CCCAAACCCAAACCCAAACCCAAACCCAAACCAACAGGCAGAACGAGCAAAGCAAAACAGTCGGGCTTCCACTTAGCAATAGGCAGAACGAGTCAAGCAAAACAATCGGGCTTCCACGGGGAGGGGAGGGAGGGGCACCTTTATCTGGTTAGCAAGTAATAACAGTGAGATGGGGATTTTTTCCCTAGTTAGCAAGCAATAAGAAAGGTAAAAGTATACGAAGGTCTTCCGAAATTTTCCGAAGGGATTTTTTGCCTTCGCGTTCACATGATTCATTAGGCGATATCAAAAACCATACCCATTATTTAACGAAAGGTTTTGGTTGCTAATATTCAAAAAACTATTTTTACAAATTTATATTTTCTAAAATTAACTTACGAAAACTTAGGTCAAGGTGATAATTTAATTTATAAGTATTTATTTCATACAACTATTTACTGGATTTGTTGAATTAATTATGTATTTTTAATGAAATTGACATACGTGAGTTTAAATTCGAATTTCAACATAATAAATATAATATTGTTAAAATTGAGGAATTTCAAGTTATTTAGGCAGTTTTTTCAAATGCACAAAAAGTGTTCACTTGTGTATGTAAGATTTAATTATTTAATTATTCTGAAATTCCAATTAATTAATTAATTTGCAATTTTATGGGTAACAAATCAGGATCGGAATTTGGAAGCATGATGATTAGAACAGAAAAATCTGTTTATTTTGCTGGAGATGTTGTAAAAGGTTAAATTTTTCAGAATTTTAGGAAATATTTACCTTCATATCATAAAACCAGGTTATCATGGAAATGTTGTTCAATTTTCAATTGTAGGAAAAGAGAAAACTCAGTGGACAAGTGGATAAAAATAAAGCAGAACGACACATCATGGCAAAAATCTCTTCCATAGGGACACTTTTGTTATTCATACATTTTTAAATTAAAACTAAATGGTCGGACAATATGTTTTTCCTTTTGAATTACACCTTCAACCAAATCTGCCAGGATCTTTTGAGTCTAGGTATGGTGTTCTGGCAAGTCTTAATTACAAAGTCAAGGCTCGAATAGTATCAGCTTCTAAATCAATTAATGACGTCAAGCATAAATAAGATATTATCTTACGACAACCAATTAAAGAAATTTTATAAGTTTCTTCAAAATAAGTGACTGCTAATCTAACCACATGGTGCTGTAAACAACAAGGAGTAAATATGATATTCTATTTAAGTCTTCGACAATATCTGCAAAAGTAGAGAAAAATTTATATATACCAGGAGAATTTGTTTAAATAACATATGATATTGATAATTCAGATTGTAAGCTTAATATAGAAAATATTGATGTGAATATAGTGAATAGGCTAACCCTTAAATCTAATTCAGGTACTTAGTTTGTCCGAGATTATCCATTGAATGGTTTATCTCATAAAGGAATATAAAAAGGATTGAAAATATAGCCAACTAGTTCAAGTGAATGTTCTATAGAAGTGGCTAATACTAAAACACCAGGGTTTGTTATCACACCTTCAGCATCAGGACACTTAGTGAATTCAACATACTATGTTAAAATAATTCCAAATTTTGAAGGTAGTAATTTTAAATATTGAAAGGTTGTACGTGTTGTAGTTCGAGTCCAATATTATTAGTACCAATAACCATGTTAACAGTTCTTTCAAAAGATCAATTAGAACCAATTGTGTAGCCTGAAAATTGGCAACCATAAGCCTTTTAGCCTTTGATTATAAAATCAAATAGCACCAATCCTTTCAATAACAAAAATAGTAATTTGAAAGGTATGGCTAACAATATGGATAATTGATCATTGATATATCCAAAATAATAATAATTTTAAAATTTCAAATCTATACTTATAATATTTTATAATCAAAATGTCAATTTGATAAATAGCTAAACGAATATTAAATGATTTAGGCATAATTCAAATCTTGAGTAAAAATAAGTAAACTAAAATCTGCAATTAAAATAATTTTTTAATTAAGTTAGAGCAAATCATTCAAATCTGCAAGATATCATTTTATTTAGAAAACCCATGAAATTAAAAGATAATTAAACTCCTTTAGTTTTTCAAGGAATAATTTAATGATCATTATGGAGGATAAGGCAGAAAATGCATAATTGTATTGTTATAGAAACAATGTTGTATATTGCAAAAAAAAAGAATAGTAAATAGGATGAGCAAAATCAGGAGGTAAAAAAAATAATGGATTAAGTGATGGAGACTATCAAATACAAGGAAACCAAAAAATGCAAATGTTAATTCAATCACACATTCATTCATTTTAGGGTTAGAGAGGTATTCTTTGATGGAATGATGGCCACAAAAATTAAGAGATGTTTGTGAATCTGCTTGAAAATTTGATTGCCAAATCAGTACTTAAAAAAAAATATCAATACATTGTCTAAGCATTAATTATGATTATGGAGAGAAAAATGTAGAATTACTTATAAGCAAGTCAATTGCAAAAATCGGATTGTGAAATGTGAATATTATTTACTAGAATGAATTTTATTCTTAGAATCAATTAGTAAAATGTGTGAGAAAATATTTTTATTTAGATGAAATAATACAACATTAATGAGATTATTATTAATTTAAGTTAGATTCTCTATTTTCTGTAGATAATTATTTAAATTTTTGTCGACTGAAACTTTAAATGCTGATTATGAGGTTGCTTTTTTTTTTGATAATTATCATCCTATCTGCTTAATATTGTAAAGGAAAACCTCACTATCAAGATTAATCACGATTGAATGCATCCTTGAGCAATTTTCACCTTGATTGATCTACAGAACTAATAAATTTACACTACTCGCTATCATCTCTTCAATTAAACTTGCTACGAACTAGCTTTAATTGCAATTTTTTGAGTTCTCATTTTTAATCTGGATTAACTACAGTTGATTTAGAATCATAAAGTGAATTTTATTTTGTCCTTTTTCTTTGTAGTTAAATATTGATAAATTGTAATTGTGGGTTAAGATTGAGTGGCATTGGCCTTAGTTTTATCCTTCTTTGTTGAGTTAGTAATCTACCTCTCTAAATCTTTTATATAAAGTTACATATTTCTAAGTTATGAGATAATAAAAAAAAATAACAAATCTGAAAACTACAATTTGATGATTTAGTTATCTGTTTATGATTCATTCCTGTTATATCGTATCATAGAAAATAGCAAATAACGTATTCAAGGATAAAGCAATAATATTGAATTGGCAAACATAATTGATTGAAAGTTAATTTACATTGATATTTCTGATCTTTTCTTCTAGATTTTTAATGTATATATATATTCAAAATTCATAAGAATATAATCAATTTTAGAAGTTAAATATATAAAATATTTTTACTACTTCTTGCAATCTATTTGTACTTGAGATCACTGATAGATAAATCAAATTTGCTCTTTAAATCAATTTGAGTTCATTGATATATTTCCATAAATTATTAGGGAGTTTTATAAATGTTAGATCAATTTAGAAGAAATTTCTTAGTTGTTTTATTTCTTACTTATCCTTTACCTAAAATTTCAAGTTCATTCGGTAAGGTTCTTAAGCATTACCTTATTTAATATTGTTTTTATCACTCTCTCATTCAATTTTCTTACTTTACTATACCACATAATAAACCTTTAGTTGAGTTTTTTTATTCCTACATCAAAACCAACCCAGGCATCTAGCCATTATTTTATCTTTATTCTACTAATCCTTCAAAATCTTACTGATATTATTTATAGCCATATAATCAATTGATTCACATGTATGCAATAGAAAATTGTACAATATATTTTATAATTAATAATATAATTTTCTAATCCAAACCCATAAATTATTTTTAGAAATCTTAAATCTTATAAACCATGTTTTATTTGTATAATTAGATTACTACCAAAAAGACCCATAGAAGGAAAAAAATGATACCGAACAATATACTTTTAAAAGAAAGATGTATCTTAAGGGTTTATTCATCTGAATACTACATTGGTCAATAAAAATATTAGATATCACTAGCCATTTTGAAAGAATTCAAAAAATTAATTTGCATATAAAGAAGAGAATTAATTTCTATTCGGTGATTACATAATGAAGAAATTAGAAAGAAAAAAAAATTAAATCTCCAAACACTTTACTTCTACTAATTTAAAAAATAAGTCACAAATTTATTCTGTACTATTGATTTTACAGATCTAAATTTAAATTTAGGGAATTGGTTTCGGATATTTTTAAGAACAATTATTAATCATGATAGTGTTTGAAAAACTGGTAAATCAATAAGTAATATAAAGGTGTAAAGTCAAACTGGTGACAAACATAATTTTAATTATATTATCTAATAGGCATTTAACAATTTCCTATTCAAATTTTCTCCCTATCTCACATCTAACGCTTGGAGCAGGGTATAATTCTGAGGAGGTCAATACAAGAGATAATATAGAAGCTTCAGCAGATAGCCCTAGTTCTATTATTGAAGTAGAACTATTTTTTCAAAGATATTCTTAAACTATCCACCAACAGCTCATTAAACAATATTTCATGTATATTCACATCCCATTTAATCTATATTCTCAATCTCTTTGAATTCCAAATAGTCGTTCTAAGCAATTCTCAAAGACTGTATTTCCCGAGCTCTTGGCCGGCTTTATTAATTTATATGCAGATATCATGATTCGCTGCTTTTTTTTGCATTTTTTCAATTAAAGATCAGCTCCTCCATTTCAGGCCGTTTTCTGCTTTTCTATTCTCTAAAATGTACATCTCGTAGATATCTTGAAAGAAGCACAAATAAGGTCAAGCTAAAGGAGGGAAGGCAGCTAATGGCTGTACATATATATATTGCATTTTGTGCATATTCGTTCAAAGAGTTTGTAGAAAGCAAAACATATTTCTTAACAAACTCTGGGGTTTTGTTAATAAGCAAAAATAATTTAAATGACATTTAACTAAAAGTTTACAGAGTAATGAAAGAAAAACAAAAAACAATTTAATCAGAAACCTATTCGGTTTTTTACGCTTTAATATAATAGCAATAAAATTACTCTGAATTGTTAAGATGCTTTAAGAGCCGAATTTTGATTGTAAAAAGTGTTTCTTTTCAACTTAATTAGATCTGGTAGTTTGAAATAAAGCTGTCAAGAAAAAACTTTGAATTTTAAATAGATTCCCTATATTTGCAAACCTAATCACTTTGTGAAAATGAATTTTTATGTAATCTTACTTGTAAAAATCGATAAGAAGTTTAAATAGCACAACTAAGAGGTCACACTAAGACTTGAAACCAATTATACTATAGGTAATTTTATAAATATTCTCAGAAACAAAGAATTACTTAAAGTAATTTCAAACTGATTAATAAATTAGTTTCTCTACAATCATTGACATCTTTGTTTAAAATTAAAAACAATTTTCTTTCACCATTCACTTCAGTACCCAATTTTTTTTGGTTGAACACAATCATTGCTCCATCTATAGTCCACATCTATTCTCATCCTACACTCTTTCATCTTCATTTTTAAGTGCTCCGAACCAACTAGACTCATTCCCCTTCTCTTAGTCACAATCCCCCATGAATTATGATGATAAACTTTGGTCATCAAGTTCCCCATTCAATAAATATCCTGATAAGCCGTTCCGCTGTCTAATGCCGTCTTATCTCTCTTGATAGGGCGATTTTTAATGCATAGAATCTTATTAGGAGTTGGCTTCTGGTTTGGCTGAACTGTATCTTTTTCTTGTTATGGATGTATTCATACATCTAAACTTGTTAATAGAAAATTATAAAAAATGAACAATGATCTATAATGATCTACAATAATGATTAGTTAAACAATAACTCAAAGTTTAGATCTCTAGTGATGTGTATATACTTTTTGTAACCCCTTTGAATTTCAAAGACTACCTTATTAATTTTTCAAAATTTCTTGGGGAGCAAATCTTGCATAGAAAATCATCTGATAACTATATAATACTTAATAAATTAGTAATGAAGTTAAACCAATTTATTCTTTCTTCAAAGTTGAATTTACAATTTGGATAAGATTAATAAATTTGTTAGAGATTAGTTCATCAAATTATGAAAGGGAATTTCATTATCATATTTGTTCTAGTGATTAAGGTTGATACCAAGGAACGTAAGAATACTGAGATTAAAAAGCGTGCCAACGGATAAAATCGAAATGATGTAAGAAAAGTGGATGTAAAAAGTCTAATAACTACAAAATTGAAAATATATTTTGAATTGTTAGTTTTGCATTCTATTTGCTAATACATTAGAATAGAAATATGAAAACAGGATAGAGGAAGGTTGATGACAGGATGAAGTTGAAGATAATCAACGAATTATGAGTATAATTAGCAACGGTACTAACAATAGCTATGCCGAATTGCTATTAAATAATCTAAGTAATTTGATTGTGAACTCAACTTTTTATGGCTTTGGTGTTTATTGAGGATGAGGAAGTCTTTTTCTATGATGCAAGGCTATGAAGGATGAGGATTAAGCCTCTAAGTTTCAACCGTAAATCTAAGCAAAGGGTGAAATAGGCATTCAGGCTGTCTCTTAGCAGGCAAACCTTACCCTGCGTTTTGTAAAGGTAGGGTAAGGTGATTATATGTTTTTTGAGAAAGGAAGACTTAAATTTTTAAGTTTTGACTTCACAGTCATATAATTTTTTCTGTAACCAAACCTAAGGCTCCAATTTCAAAAACTCTTACTACAACAATAATTATAATATTTATTTAATTATTCATTAGCATGTCACTTAAATATCAATTCAATGAATTACATTCTTATCGTCATTTTTATTATCAAGGGAATAATCGAAAACACTAAGTAAATAATTAATCAAAGAATGCAAAGCTTAAAAAAGAATTAGGTTATAATATTAATATCAAGCATTTACCATCTATTGCTGAAAATCAAGGAAGTGATAACTTAAAGAAGACTATGCAAGAATTACCATCATCGATTGATTCATTATAAATTAATACTCGAAGGAGAAAAACTTAGATAGATTGGCTATATTCAAGCAAAATTAATTAGGAAAATATATTAATGTAGAATCGAATATTTGTGCAAAACTTATTTTCCCCAACTTAACTTATTGAATTTTATGACAATCAATTGCTTTCTGGGATTGAGGAAGCATAAAAATAATAATTCATTAATAGCAGACTTATTGTTTGCAAGTTTCTGATTCAAAAATGCTTCCAAAACCTCAAATTACTTTAATTGGATGTTTTGTTATAATGTTCAAAATGTAAATAAATACTTTAAGCTTCAACCAATATAATAAAAAAGACCAAATCACCTGCCATATTCATCAATCACTGCAACTAAAATATAACGATAGACTTTTTTCATAGTAAATGCTCTAAAATAATTAGATAATGATTAATTCCCCAAAAATTAGGAAAATTAAACTTCTCACATTGCTTGTATGTCTAGGGGCTAAGAAAAGGTTGTAATTATAAAAGCTAAATGTGCTGTGATTTGTAAATGCGAAAATGAAAATGATGCAATATTAACTCTAGAGAATCCATTGCAATTGAAAGACGGAAATTATATTCTCTTGGCAAATGAACCTTATCGGAAACTCTGCAGATATTGTTGTAGAGAAGTCATATTATAGTAGTGCGAACTTATGATATTGCCATGATTGATTTTATTATTTTTATTATTCTTTGTTTGGAGCCAAAATATTGTTTTAATATTCAAATTATGAAAAAGAACAAATAAGTATCTGCAAAAACTAAGTATCTCAAAAAGAAAAAGGAAATGCCGAGTGGTGTAGATGATTTGGCAACTCATGAGGAAAATGATATTGTTAAATTTGCCCAAACTAAATAATAACAGAGCAATAAATTCTAATAAATCTAATTAAAACCTACAGATCTAAGTTCGAGTGACGAGGAAGTTGAGGTTTAAAACAAAGATGATCCTGATGAACAATCTCGATTTGTGCTGGGTCTTATATAAAAAAATGTATTAATTTAAGTAATATGGTTAGAGAGTTAATGAAAAAAATTCATTTGACATACCTATGATTAATCTGAGGGATTTAAATGCCTTTAAATGTATTATTATTTATTATATCTGTAGAAATTGAATAAGGAGATGCTTGGAAACATATATCAGCATCCTTAGATGCAGGTTCAAAAATATATGGATTTAGAGTAGATCTAGTGCATTAAAATACGTTTAAAGTCTTGGGTGGTTTACATAGAACTTAGATTCCTGATAAATAAAATTAAGAAGTTGAATAAGAATTTGAATAAGAGTAATTAAGAAAAAAGAAATTACACAATACTGGGGGTGAAAATACTTTAGAAAAAAATTAAGCCAACATTGATACCAATAAATACGATTTAGAATTTGAGATTGATCCTTTATTTTAATAAACTTCTGCAAAATTTGATGAAGCTGGAGCTAAGGGACTTTTGATGAATAATCTAACAATCAATGAAAACCTAATGCTTGCTTTAGATTCTGAAGTTCTACCTATAAAACCAATTCAAAGCACCATAAACATTGAAAGTACGATATATATCGAAATTAGGTTATAAATCTATGCTCAAAAACCTCAATAACTTAAGACTCTGTCCTGAATTAACTGAATTTAGGGAAAATATCTTTTAGAAAGGGCAAAGGTTGGTTGATCTTAAATAAGAGAAAACTTTTATGGCCGTTATGAATCCAGTAGGAATGAATATGGACTTTTAAGTGGAAGACCAATAATATGAGAATTTGCCAGAAGAAATGAATCTAGACGATTAAGTATCTATTAATTCTGGAAATTAAAATTGCTAATCATTGTTCTAATAGTAGGGGCAATAATTTTAATAAAATAAATTTAACATTTTAAATTTTGAATAGGCAGCAGCCAACATTGGAACTGGAAAAGTATTTGAAAATGAAAAGGAACAAGTTGCTTGGATGGCGCTTGATATGAATTTACAACCAAAGAAAAAGGTAACTTGCCCTTAAGCTGATAAAACTAAGAAGAGTAAATCAAAAAAAAAGAATGGCCTAAATTTTGCATTTGGAGATGATGATGATGAAGAAGAAGAACTTGATAGAAAAACAATTATGCAACCAAAGGAAAAGGAGAATTATTGTATTAATAAGGATCCATTAAAACAGTTAAATTTGTTACCGAAATCTTATTAAATTGATAGATAGGAGTAATTTATTTTTTATTTATTTTAGTTTATATTAGCCATTTTAAATTGCAAAAATACCTCAATGGGGAGAAGAGATACTTGATGAAGGATAAATGTAAAATGAAAATTATGAATATGGTGGAGTTGATGATGAACTCCCATAATAGTTACAATAAAACATGGGAATAGGAACTTCTTTGCGAAATAATCCAACCGGGAGACTCAATATACCTATCAAAGAACTCAAAAGCCAAGTCTGGTCAACATTATCGAAGAAAATACCAGTAGTTAATTTATGTAACAATAGTTATCAACAGAAAATCAAGGATTAGAGTTCAATTAGATTAATTAAATTTTACCTGAAATCTTGAAAATGCCTACAAATAAAGGAAGGGTTTCCATATAAACTTGCTTTGTGACTATGTTGCATTTAGCAAACGAATAAGGCTTAAAATTCATTTAAAACAATGATGAGAATGATTTTGTTATATAGCGTGAAGCTACAAAATGAAAATGAAAAATTATTTTTAAGAATAAAGCATTTATTCTATCCATATAGATTTATTAGGTATTTTTAATGTTATATCATATTAATACATATAAAAATAAAATAAAGAGTTTGGGAAACTATCAATTAATTGATTTTTTGAAGCGTCTACAATATGGTAAGTACAATATACATACGCGTTTACTGCTGCTTATTTTAAAAGCATATATTAACGTTCAATTCCTTCATCTGCTTCATTCATTTTAGAAAATTCTTTTATAGTTTCTTCCTCTTTTTTATATGATAATTTTTATTAAGAATTTGAATTTCTGGCAATTTTTTTTTGTTTCTATCCTGTAATTTGTTATATATATGAATTTGGAGTAATTGATAATTTTTTTTCATTTAAATTTGACCTTTTTTATTCAGGAGTTAAACATAAATTTTGTTTACTATTATTAACCCTTGAGTTAGAATTGAATGAAATTTTGCTTAACCTACTTAACATACTAGGCTATATCCCTAACAGTACACTGCCGTTATTAAAATCAATTTCTGAGTGAGAATCATTATAGCTACTAACAGATTACATTCTATTTTTTCGCCTGTTAATATCTGGGGCCAAACTTGACTTTCGTTATTCTGGAGTTTTAAGTAGGGAATTCATTTCTAGTTGCTCTTGCGAATAATTTAATAAAGATCCTCCAATATTATTTGAAGAAATTTCATCTTTTGATTTTTTAAATCTAAAATACTCCTAAATGTATACAATGATATTTTGTTATTAATTAAATTACTATTATTTGAACTACTAGGCAAATGGCCTTCAATTGAATACTTTTTTTTATCATCTATTCTTTCTGATTTTGGGCCTAAATCCCAATCAAAAATAAGATCTTTTTATTAGTAATTGTGCTCTTATGATATTTTCTTAAATAAGGATTGACAATATTTATAATTAGGTTCTGCTTTAAAGGGCAAACCCTTTGTATAATCTAAGAATCTTCCAAATTCGATTGGAATTCCTTTGCATAATTCATTCATGTCTATTTTCATTTTCATTTGACCAACTTATCTCATTTTGTCTTCTTCATCAATAAATTACAGGTTTTACCAAGGCAGTTACCCTAAAATTATTCGCATCTATTATACCTTTTAATAAAAATATAAGCATGTAACCTAATGATTCCAAATCATCTCTTCGACTTAATGAAAATCCTTTATGTGCATTGATGCTTGCATATCGGGTAGTTCCAATAAATGGTTAGTTCTCTCGAAATGATCTGAATTATTTAAGAAGTTTACATGTGCGAATCGTTTTCATCCTTATAAAACTTGCTTATTCCAAAATCTACTATATAAAGCAGATTGTCTTCATCTTCTTTGCCAACAAGTACATTTTCTGGTTTAATGTCTCTATGTAGCACTTTGCTAAAAATAAAGCAATTCTTATCTACTTTTTGTGTATGCTCTCAATAATGTTAATCATTTGTTCAGCAATATTTAGCACACATTTTAGAGAAAATTTTCGAAAGGTTTTCATAAAATGTGTTAGGTCTCTGCCCAAATATTAAATTACTAAAACATTTGAATCTCCATCTTTTCCTGCCCAATGTAATTTTGGTATTTAAGGTGTTTATTACAATCTTTTTAAAATTTCTGCCTGAGTATTACTTAACCTATTAATACCTCTCTTTCTAAACTTGTATCTTCTTTGTTGCCTTTATCGATCTTAATTGCCACTATAGCTCTTGTATTAATATCCTATCCACAATAAACAACTCCAAATGATCCAGCTGAAACTCTCTTCTTCGTGATATATGTGGTGTTAATTAATCTTTAAAGTTATTGATTTTGAATGCTCATAAATTCTAAACAACTCTGATAATAAAAATAATAAAACTTTGACAGAATTAATTATTACAATCTATGAATTAGTAATTATATCATTAAATAAAAAGGATATACCTTCGAGAAAAGATTATCTCTTTGGAATTGTTTGCAAACAATTTCAATTTTAGAATGATCTCAAAAATAATTAAATTTATGTAAAAATGCAAATGAATCACTTTTAAAAATAAGAACATGGTTAAGTGTTATCTACAATTTGTCCACAAATAAAGGTTAATGAATAAAATCTTATTAAGATTCATTAAACGATGAAGGAATAGTTTAGCTATAATTACAGACTATATTCAGGATTGGAATCTATGAGTATAATCAAACCAAATTTCATATATTTCATTGAAAAACAGTTTTTAGAATTATAATTTTCATAAAAATAAAAATTTCTATTTTAATAAAATATATGTAAAACTGTGCAATAATTTATTGTAATTCACAAAAAGTATGTTTGTAGTTTAAATTTGATAAAAATTTTGAGAGTTTTCAATATTGAATACTATATAATCAATTTTGTAGAAATTAGAATAGCAGAAAGGCAGCTGATTGATTGTGAATTACTCAGAGGAGTATGAAATTTATTACCTTTTAAGATATATTTTTAAAACTGATTATTGAAATGAATAATTACAGAATCATGTGTAGTAAAGAAATGATAAATTATTGAAAAATAATAATAAAAAAATGGAGGAATAATTATACAAAATCGTCATAGTTGGGAATAGTGCTGTTGGTAAGTCTTCATTGCTAATTCGTTTCTGTGATGATTAATTCAGAGATATGTATCTCAGTACAATTGGAGTTGATTTTCGATTCAAATCTCTGAGAGTTAATGGATAGGGAGTTAAATTGCAAATATGGGATACAGCTGGTTAGGAAAGATTTAGAAATATTACTAACTCCTATTATAAAGGAGCATAAGGAATTGTAGTCGTTTATGACATCACAAACCTTAAATCTTTTGAAGATATCCGTAAATATTGGATGAACGAACTTAGTCATTATGCAGATGAAAATGTGTTGTTGATGCTCTTAGGAAACAAAAGCGATTTAGCGACTGATGAATCTAGACAAGTAACTACAGTTATGGCTGAAGAATTGGCCAAAGAATTCAATCTAAAATTCTTCGAAGTGAGTGCAAAAACAAGTGACTAAGTATTTATCATTATTATCAATTAGGTTGAAGCTGCTTTTCAAGCTTTTACTTAATAAATTTAAGAAACAGGAATTGCTGGAAAGGTAAGAAAACCACAACCCTAACAATTTTTACAAACTCCAGTGCCTTAAGAAGAAAAACCCAAAAAGTAGGATGGCTGTTGCTGATATCTATGTTATATTTTTAAGACAATATTACAATATATCTGGAGGATTATACGCTAAATCTATAGAATATTTTTAATTATAATAAATTTATTACAAAAATACAGATTCAAGAAATGTTTTATTTCGATCTGTTTTCGATGTGCAAATCACTAAAATATTTAATTAATTATAAACAAGAAATTTTCTCTAAGATAATAAAACTATCATTATTAATCATGATCTCGATTGATAATTCATAAATCAATCTTGTCATTCTACAAGTCATATGATTATTTTCATAATGAAAAAGTAAGAGATTATCATTAAAAAATAGATTAGCAAAGAGTAAAAGAAAAGCATCATTTATATCTCAGTTATTATTACCATATTATTAATGATGAGCTGAATAATATCTCATTGAAATTAAAACCTTTGATATGTAAAAATAGGTTTTCAACTCTTAATGATCCTTTTGATCATAGTGATGTCAAAAGTATAAGATAAAGATTACTGCTTTACATTTAAATATCAAAGTCTTTTATCTTAATCAACTATTAATAATTATTTTATAGAGTGCCTTTTGTATTCTTGTAGTTAATATTTTAGATATAAAAATATCAGCGTATTGAATTAAGTATCTTAAAACAACAAGATATTGAATTTGCGTTTTTAATGATTAATAAAAATTCAATAAGAGATTATAATAAATTTATAAATGATTTCTTATACGCTAAATTAATGTGCATCTTTCCAGATTAATGAAAACAAGTTTGAAGAAGTCAACAGAGAAACAAAAACCTCTCATCATAAAAAGCGATAAGTAGAATGCTAAAAAGAAAAATTAGCAAGTGAATCTACATAGGAGCAAGAAGGATTTATTGGAAGAAAGGTATATATCATCTTTTCTAAATCATAGATGAAACAGCAAATTAAAAGAAAGAATGATGAATTCGATTCAATCACTTGTATAAAAAATATAATAAGCCTATCTCTCAGTGTTCTTGAAGAGGAACATCAGATTAATTACGAATAACAGAATCCAAAAGAGCTTTATTCTCAATAAGATTTATCATTGAAAATTGTAGACTAAAGTGATATCGAAGCCTTTTAGTTGCCACCAACTGCTCAATAATTTTAACAACAAAATAAGAAGGCCCAAAAAAAAACAAGGAACAAGAAAAATAAGGTTGATTCTTAACAAAAAACCCAAAAAAACTAAACATTAACATAAAAATAACATCCACAACAACCTTAGATAGAATAAATGATAAAGGATAAATAATATAATTAGGCTTCTTCTCAAAATTCTCATAAATTAAAAGAGTAAACAACTTCATCAAAATAATAAGTGTTGACTAGCTTGAATTAAATAGAGAATATTTAGAAATGCAAAAATGAGTCTAGTGATTTGGATGCCCAATTTAGTCATGTAATTTAAAAACATTATATAGATTGGTGCTGTTAGTACAACAACAGGGAATTCCTAATCAGAGTCAGATGACTGTTTATTATAATAAGATGAGAACAATTTGAAAGACTTAAGTTTATAAAAACAGAGTAACAAGGAGAAATATAAAAAGAAAAATTATAATAATATAGAAAAAGTTGGAAAAAAATAATATCCATATTCTCCACAAACTACCCCTATAAAACGTAAATAATTAAATTTAAACAAATCTAAAACACAAGACATAGACGAGTTTATAAATAACATACAAATTAAAAGTTTTTAAAATAAAATAAGAAAACGAATATGTTTTAATAGATTACATTATATTATATCAACAAATTCAGACCTTAATATTTATGCTTATGGATCCTTCGAAACTGGACTCGATTTAGATGTAAGTGATGTGGATATAGGAATTTGGGGAACATAAACATTGAGTTACAATTAGATTGTAAACTTTTTACAGTAAATAAACTCAATGTTAAAATAGACACCATTTTTAGTATAATCAAAGTATGATTATCTAAAAATTTTAGGTTAATTCAAAGTCAAATGCCCATACTAAAATTAGAATTGAATCCTAAGACTGAGTTTTATAGTGATAATGCATACATTTAACAAAATTGGCAAAGTTTTCATTTAGAGTAATAAGATCCTGGTATGTTTAGCTTATTATCTTAGGTAAAATCATCTAGGTTGACTTAACATGGATTTACCAATGGAACAATATTTATAACAACCCTCATCTAGGTTTTGCTTCAACAACAATCATCAAAGATTGGGTGATTCGATTTTATTGGTATAGAGAGACAATGCTAATTTTAAAGTATTTACTTAAATCCAAAAATCTTAATGATGCACATACAGGTATCACTTATCACAATGAATATTTTAGGAGGAATATCTTCATTTTGTTTGTCGATAATGTTGACTGCTATCTATATGTGCAAGCATTACACTTAACATGATAAAAAATAAATCCTTCTTGACTTTTTAAAAAAGTATGCAACTTAATTTGATCCCTTAAAAGAGGGCATTTACATAGATGGTTATGGGTACAAAAATTATCTAGTCTAGGTAATAAAACCCATTTATCGCCTTGGATGAATGTCCCCCTTATAATCCTCTCACAATTTACTCACCAATTAATTACTAAATAATATCTCATAAAGCAATTAGATTTCCTGAGATTTAGGAAGCATTCAGAAGGCTCTATGAACATTTGATGAAATCTAACAAAATTCAAGAATTCTTTGATATCCCCTAATAAGTGAATTAATAATTATTTATTTGATTATATTATGACTTATAAAATTGTTAAAATTTAAATCAGTACTCATCCAATGCTTTATGAGTTTTTGAAAAGGCAACACTTGTAGTAAGGCCATCAAATTTATATGTATGACCTAAGAATCCTTAAGTGAATTTAGCATCTCTAGGGTAAAACTTTTCAATTAATTCAAATTTCGTTGGGTTGAGTTGTCCATATTGCATACTAGATGTTTCATAAATTGGCGATCCTATTTGTATGTCCAAATGGAATTACCAACATTAATTCCTTAAGCTGGCTTTTTATACTCGCTTTCTCTAACTGGAAATGGCTTTGGAGGCACCTTATTTTCTATTTTTCTTCTTTATTTCTCTTCCTCTGTCTCTTACTTTTGTTGTTCTAAACCAAATTATTGTGCCACTAATTTATTCTTAATTAATTTTTCTGCTCTTCTAAAGTCCTTAAATCATAGTCAAATTTGAGAATACTTGCATGCTTCTAACTATTTCAGCATATGTAGGAACTGGAGTTTCATTCAATTTTACTTGTTGTTTTCCTTCATGCAATAACCAACCATTTCCATATTGAGAATTGCACGTATTATAATGAGCTGATGTTGATCTAGGATGTTACATAAAATATTAATAAAAATGCAAAAAAAATTTAACTAATTTGGTATTGAGAGTAAGGATAGTACAATGAATCTTTTTAGAGTTAGACCTTAATACCTAACTCATGTGTCTCCAGTTGCTGTTGAAGCAGCTCATCAAAATTTCTTTAGTGGATCAAAGGAACTTTTGGATAAAATACCAGATCATGAAAAGGGACCAAGATAAGATTTAAAAGGGAATATCGTTAAATACACTGTTGTTGGGAGTGTGTAATAATTCTTGGCTGAGAAATCAAGAAGCTAATAGCAAAATAGAAAACCTGTCTAAATACGAATTACTGCAAATTCATAAGCTACTCCTTCTACCCAATAACAAAATGATCAAACAGAACGAGTAATTTTCAGCTCCAAAGGTATTTGTTCTTACATACTTAGCCATAGAATAATCGAGTAAGGATATTTAATAAAAGAAAACAAAAGTTAAAACTAGAGACTTTTAAGAAGTAATCTTGAATGAGGATCAAGTTTAAGACCACATTTATTAAATATAACAGAGGATTGAGAAGAATAAGATGGAGGTATATATAATTTAATATATAACAATAAAGAATGAAAAAAAAACTAGAGAATTGCAAAGTAGAATGTCAAAAGGAGAATCTTTAAAAATGAGCAAATGTGAAAGAGTGATTGAAACATTTGATTAGGTTTAATAGGACTGGGACTTGACAAAAATAAAAATAGAATCAAAAGTATAAAGATTACCAGGTCAATCTCTTCTGGATCGAATTGAATAGCATAGGATGAAGGAAGAAATGAAAAGAATACTTGATGCTTTGAAACCAATTGAAGAAAAATAGGGCAATGAATTTTGGGTATTTTAATTAATAAAAATGAATAGCGTCTCGGATTAAGAAAGAAAGACTCGAATATAAAACCAAAGACCTTTGTGGAATTATTTGAAAAAAATTATTAGATCTATGGCAATCCTAAATCTCCATAAATAGAAATTGTTAGAAGATCTTCTTTAAGTTAACTTGATTTTAAGCCATTTAGCACTTTCACCTCTCAATCTGCTCTAAATAAAAAGCTTTCTGAAAATTCTGATCTTATTATGAAATTAATACCAACCGTTCCTGACGATATTGGAAATCTCGAAGTTGTTGGCAAAAATGTACTTGAATAAGAGATTGTTTAATTACGATCTCAATCTCATAAAAATTCGTTCCCGTATGTAAGGTTTAGCAGCAATTCTAATTACGAGAAATACATCATGAAAGTTCCAACAAAACCAGAAACATAATAAGATGAAGAAATTATTGAGGAAAATTATGATAGAAAGCGTCTAATGTCTTAAGGAAAGCTCTCTGAAGTCAAGGGGTATTTCTGATATTTTATAAATAAAGTATACATTTAATTTCTCATATATGTATTTCAAAAATTACTTTCTAAGGTTTCTTGGAATTGAGAAACAAATAAAATTAAACAAAACTGTCTAAGATAACTACACAATGTGAAGTTGTTTGATAAATTAAAAGTGATAATGATTTAATCTTAGTATACGTTGATATTGATACAAAGAAACGATAAATATCATTTCCCTTACAAAAATTAAATGTAACCTAAAAACTTTTAAGAAATAATCCATCTCAAAATTTAGAGGTTTTAGGCAATAAATCGAAATTATGCAATGCAGCAGCAATCTAAAAATATTTTGTAGATTTATTTTATTTTTTTAACTTCCAATTTTTGCTTATTTTCATGACTTATTATTTATTTTAAAGTGGTTTTTAAGATCCGAGAATATTTTTGGTGTTATACTGCTCTAACCCCTTTGTTAAGGAGAAAGAAGAGGAATTTCATAAACCGATTTGTATCAATATTTTATTTTATTTATGAAGTTAGTAAGTTATGAATCAATTTATTTAAAGTACAAATGTATAATTATGTAATATATCAATGATCGCAATTGATAGTAGCAAATTGTTAGTTACCAAAGTTATATTAGCCAATAATCTTTATATGCTTATATTTTACAAGTACTCTAATTCAGTGCCTAAATTAAATATAAAAGAAAATGAATATAGATCTCGATCAAGTAACATTGTCAGTTATTTCAAAGTAAAATATTCTTTATATACAATGTAACATTTTTATTTATAAAATATTTTTACTGTATTATGCTAGATTAATTGTCAGAAATAACACTCAGTGAATCTTCTACATTTGAAACTCAAAGATTACCTCCAAGATTATAAACTACTGAAAAAAAGGGAAGTGGAAGATTTACTTTTCTCAAATCTGAGTCTGAAGACAAATAAACTTAAGCTCAAAATAATCGAGACAGAATCAAATAGCAATTAAGAGGTATATGGATGTAATTACTTTATAAGGAAGGATTCAGGTAATAATAAAGAAACCCTTAAATGATGAAAAGGATTTACAGGAAGAACTACAAGAGTTAGGGCATAAACTGGATGTGGAAATCAATGAATTCGATTCTGAATACATATGTCCAAACTTAAAAAAGTTTGAGGAGGAATATGAAATGATGGAAATATTGGGAGAAGGCTGTCTAGGATTGGTTAAAAGGATTGTACACAAATAATCGTAAATTGAGTATGCAGTGAAGATAGTTTAAACATAAGATGATGAAATTATAAGAAATGTAAGAGAACATATTAAAGGTAGATGATTCTTGAGTTTAAATCAATGTTTAAGTTGTAACATGAAAATATTGTGAAAGTTCATAAATTATATGTTGATTTCAATAATGGGTTTTAATCTGAAAGCAAAGCATATGTGGTTATGGAATTGATTAAGGGAAAGGAGATGTTTGAGGTGATAAATGAATTAGGACATTACAGCGAAAGCGATGCTAAGGAATTATTTAAATAATTACTGAGTGCTATTGAATACATGCATCGAAATGGTATTTGTCACAGAGATTTGAAACCCAATAATATTTTGTGTGTTGAAAGTATTTATTTTATTTCAATAGACAAAAATTAGATCAAGGTTACTGACTTTAATGTAAGTAAATTTAGTGACGCATATAAAGAATTTGGAGACCTTAAGGATAGAGAGAAAATTGAAATGTGGACATATACAGGAACAGTAGCATTTTCAGCTCCTGAAATATTTTCTGGAGAAGGTTATAAGTAATTCATTATTCTATTCTTAAGCTAAATGGTTGACATGTGGAGTGCAGGCTGCATTTTATATTCGATGTTGTCGGGTTAATTGCCTTTCCTTTCTGATTAGTAACATTTTAGATTTATTTGATAGCTTGAATGATTTGATCGAGAAAATTAAAGAGGCAACAATTGAGTTTCCAAATGATTTGTTTGAATAAGTTTCTGAAGAAGCCAAAGATCTAATTATATAATTATTGTAGAAAGATTGGGCTTTTAGACCTCATCCTGATGCTGCTCTAAAACATTAATGGTTTTAGATTCTAGACGATGATTAAGTCAGAAAGAAATCACTAAGAAAATTAGCAATCAGAAAAAACATGCCTAGATTATCCTCCAAATATTCTAAAAATAGTCATAAGCAACGAAATATCCTTTTGAAATCTTCGTAGACTATCACAATCAAAAATAATCGTTCAGTTGATTCAAAATGCGATGTTTAACAAACTGATTTAGCCAATAGTTTTCTAAAAATTCCAACAAAAAAAAGCATTTTCTTTTCGACTAATTTAGGAGAAAGTTAAGGAATTAACTAAAACTCACCTCAAGATTAAGAGTAGTCTCCATCTTTTATCGACTAAGCAAACTCATCAAAATTAAGCGAAGACATAGGCGATTTTGATTAAAGTGTTCCTGATCGATTTATTAATTTTAACAAACCATATAATGTTGATGACGAAGTCTAAGAATGAATATAATGATTATAATTTATTATAAATGAATTAGTTTCAATTTATTAAATTTCTTCAAATTGTTTTTTGAAATTGAATTTATCATTTTGTTATATTAATATATAATCCATATTCTCTACTTATATAAGCCAACTAATAAGTTAACTTAAGATTACAGCTCATTGAAACATGACGATAAATTACTTTAAATATTAAATAATAGATAGCTTAGATTCAAACCAAATAAATGTAAAAAAAAGAATAAATATTTAAGATGAAATGTTTTTTTATTTATATACTAGTTATCACACTTAACCCATTGCTATCCCGTATCCAAATTTATAGCTATCCTTATTATAATCTGCAATTGCACACAACTTCAGTTAATATGCAAATCCTTAAAGTGTTAATGCAGAACTGAATTTCTATTTTGAATTCACTGTCACAATAACTTCCGAAGTGGCAAACTTCTGTCTATAACCCTTACATTATAATATATTCTATTACAAGTATAGCCCTTGATTCTCCAGTTTAATTTGAATATTCTAATTCTGACATGAAGTATGATTTATCCAATAGCTAATTGTCGATATTATTTATTTACTCTATGATTATACGCTAAGATTAATTAATCAGCAGCCCCAACATATTGAGCATATATATTCTAATTCTTATTGATACCAAACTTCATAGCATAGCTCATTAATGAGAGATTTCTTTCAGTCTTTAAATTATTTTCTAAATGGATACCAACGTCATCATTTCATATCCTAAAACAAGTCGGTTTCCAATTGTTTACATCATATTGAAACTATAGAGTCCAGTGCCGATTTTAATTGAATGAACGTAATCCTCTCCTGTTATATCGCAATCTAAATGCATTTAAGCATTCAAAGGATCTGAATTTAAATAAAATGCACTAAATCTTTAGGTTTTTATAGATATTAATACATACCTGAAGTTGAACATTTCGTTTAACTTTTTGATAATAGCAGCCTCCAATTTGCCAGTTGAATCCCACCTTCCTGTCATAATATATGTAGGCTGATCAAAAGGGGTTCTAAGGGAGCCTCCCAAATATTAAGCGGCCAAAGTATAACTTGGAACAGGTGGTTGTTTCATGGGATTGGGATTTGGAGCTTTGCCTTTGCTCTACTAATCTAATATGTTAGCATACAGAGGGTGGTATCAACCAAGAATGGGCCAGATGAAAATTATTAGACAATCCTCCTGCAACTTCAAATTTAAAGCCTTTAATGTGTTCTACTTTCTTAGTAACAGCTCTAACATTGTTCAATAAGCCATCAAACAGAGGTGGTCTTCTTGGGTAACGATTTCTGAATTAAGGTGGCAATCCCATTTCTTCATCGTCATTTATTTTGAGATGTGGATCTTATTATGCGAATGCTGGATTATCCATGTCGACTTATTCCTTATCGATGGCTGCCATTATTAATTTTTAATTAATTTATTATGAATTAAGATGATCACAATTCCAATGAACACAAGGTTGAAAAGTAACTCCACTATTATGATTAAGAATGGCCACAACAACCACCCTCCTTATCTCCAAGATTCACTCCTTAACAATGTTATCTGTTCCCTCCTCAAAATATGTCAAACTTCAATCTTCATGCTGAGCCTGAATTTTAAGATAAAAACAAACCCAAATACCCATTTCGAAAATTGTCAGCAGGGGATGCCCCAGATGAAGAGGATCAATTTCGACAGCCTTACAATCATTACTATTAATAGCTGCCCCCATAAATGAAATATCCTCAAAATACCCCTTATATGCATATGAAATATCCTGTGCCCTATCCTCCATGGTATAGACATCCATATCCTCCCTTCTATTATCCGCCTTTTGATTCATCGTAATACTAAAACACCCTATCCAAAGAACTTCAGTCCAAAGTCAACCAACTCGTTCAATTCTAAAAGGTCTCTCCCTTTCAATGTAATTGCAAGAAAAGCAAATGCCTAAAATTGTATTGTGAATGTTTTGCTAATAATTGGGTTATCATTCATTCTATTCATAGGTCTGCTCTTAAAGCTGCAATTGTACTGAATGCAAAAATAGAATTGATAACCCTAATGAAAGATCAAAAGCAATTGAGGAAGCCTTACTAAGAAATCCTGAAGCCTTTTCTACAATCCTAACTAACAATGGCTAATAACCATAAATAATTCCAGGTATCTAATCACATTTCTACAAGAACCCAAATCATAAAAAGACTAAAGTAAAGAAACCAAGAAAGGATGCAATTGCAAGAAATCTGAATGCAAAAAGAAATACTGTGAATGCTATAGTATTAATTAAAAATGTACTGATTTATGCAAATGCGAAAACTGTTTAAACAAAGAGGAACCACAAGATCAAATACAACCCTAAAAACAACAGAACGATCCTCCAGCACAATAATAGTTATAAAAATAGGAAGTCACATCGAAAAAGGATCAAAAGTCAAAAAAAATAAAAAAGGAAGAAGTTTAAATTAAAAACAATACTAAAAATCAAAAAAGGTAAAGAAGGAATTGATAATTCTATTTATGTGTATATTATATGTATTTTTATTATAAATTTCAAATCGATTCTTCCATGTCAGATTAGCTATATTTCTTGGAAACATCAATTGATTCCTTTGTACTTCTGAATTTGCTTTTTAAAACTTGCACAACCTTTTTCAATTACTTAATAATTGAAACTAATGTAGTCAAATAACATTATACTTTTTTTAAAGTACTCGTCATTCTCTTGAATTTATTATTGCTATTAATTTTAGTGAAGTATTTTCATAGATTATGATTGAAATCATTTCATTTATTTCATAACTTTAATTTTAATATCAATAGTTAAGTATTTCATTATGTATTCTATGTCATCAATAATATTGATTAAAAACAATAAAGTATACATTTCTTAATCCTAACTGAAGTTGCAATTACGATTTTCCATTTTACCAATTATGACAAAGAATTTCGATCATCTTACTGCTGATCTACTTCTGAAAATAAGAATTATGAATGGTCTAAACGGAATAGTTACAACAATGATTTTAAGTTGCTTTAATTTGATTAATAGATAACAATTAATTTTAATGAATAATTTATAATTGACTCCTGAAGAAGATCAATACTTTAGACAACTTTGGAGCACTCTTGATCTTTAAGTAAATTAAAGAAATAACTCTATAGGGTATTGGAAGTACTAATGCTAAAGACACAATTTAATTTTTCAAAAAAAGTTAATTGCCATCTGATAAACTAAAAGCTATTTGGTTGATGGCTGTTTCAAATAACGAAAACAAGTTATACCTTTAGGAATTTCTAACGATTATGAAATTGATAGCGTATTGTTAAAACGGATTTGAATTGAATCCTTAACTATTAATGGAAAATAAATAAGTTCGTTTGCCAGTGATCGATGGATTCCCACATCCCTAATAAGGATTGTTATCTCCTTCCCTGGGGGCTTACCAACAACCAATTCCTCAGCCTTCTCAAATACCGATTGCTTAACTATATCAAACAGCACCTGTTCTAAATTAACAATAATACAAACCCCCTTTAATGCAAATGGGGCAAATGGATATTTCAAGCCAATTTGATATTAGTAATGAACTTTATGAGAAATACAACTTACATTACCAACAACAAGATAAAAAGTAATAAGGCTACATTGAAGGTGAAGCTGCAAAGGCAATTTTTTTTAAATCTGAACTGTCAAATGAAATACTAAAAGAATTGTGGGCACTTGTTGATACCAATCAAAAAGGATTCTTATTTAAGAATGAATACATCGTTGCCATTCATTTGATTGCTCTATGTAGGAAAAATATCCCTTTGCCCTAATACTTGCCTGACTCACTTTAAAGATTAATTGCTCAAAGCTAACCTCAATAATCTATCATAATTAAAGATATCAAAGTACAATACGACAATCAGTAAATATCTCAATCAAATGAATCTAGAGTATAATCAGGGTAATAAGCTTAGTTCTAATAGAATGGTGAATTGCAGGCATTAACTATGCAATAATAATAACTGCAAAATCAATTAAATTAATTGGTTATGCAATTTTCAAACAACTCTAATAATAATGCTTAAAAACAATTGATTTAACAGAAAGAGAAAGATATAGAATTTTTAATTTAACAAATGAATAAATTACAATTAATTTTTAATAGTTTGAAAGCACAAGAATAAGAACTACAGGCAGAAATACAGAAATGCTTAATGAAACCCTAAATTTAGAAACCAAATACTTAGTAGCATCAACAGGTCAATTATTCATAACCACCATATTAAATATAACAACATTAACCTCCCTAATAAACTGATTTTCTAAATGTAAACTACTCTCAAAATTTGAGTATCAACACCACTAACTACCCCTCTTTATCCGTTGATAATCCAAATCATCAAGTTAATTACTAGTTATAAGATGGATATGAAAACTATCAAAAATAGAATAGTGCAAGTTAGGATATACCATGGTGAATAAAAATATAATATATGCATTTCACATCTATAAACATTCAAAACGGGATTATCATAAAATAAAAGTAGTTCTCTTGTTTTATTCTGAAATCATTTCTTCTGCCCTTAATGTTCCAACTATCGTTTCAAGCTAATATGCATCGAATTTGCTATAGTAGGTAATAATCTAAGTCTTATTACCCAGATTTTCAATGCTTTAAATCAATTATTTGTAAATAATTGAATGTTGAGGTAATTGATAAAAGATAATATTTTTCATTGATCTCAATTAAATTATCTCAAAAAAGTATGCTCTTTCAGTCATCATGATATATTGAATTCTACCATCCTTAAATTTGCTAATGATGCTTTGAACCTTACTCTTTTTTGTATATTCACTTACACATTCGCAATTACTATTGATTCTTTTGAAATGTCCCTTTAAAGCAACAAAATCAAAATAAGATTAAACAAATATCAAAGTTTTCTTAAATTATGAGCCTTTATTATTTTCTATGTCATTCCATAGTTTCTTAAATTGATTGAATCTTTATTCTATTTATTATTCAGTATTGGAACAATCAATTTATCTAAATTCTTATTAAAAGTTGACAGACTTCTAAAACAATTAATTATAATAAATCTTATTGCTAATACATCCCTTATAATTTGTAAAGTATTGTTTTCTAAGAAAATTCAGTTCCTAAAAATAATGATCAGTATAAACAATGTTTTATCTATAAAACTTGGACAAATTCTCAAAACAGTAAGGTCTTATAGAACTCAATTCACTAGTTATGTTTTTATGATTAGGTAGCAAATTAGTTGCCTCCAAGATGTCCTCTAAATAACTCCAATTCTACATATAAATAGAAGAGGCTCTGTCGATGACTAATATTTCTATAGAAGATAGAAAGTGAGTTTCTCTATGCTTTTAGTCCTCTGTCCCTATAATTAATCTCATTCCTAAGGTAGAAGTGACGATAATATCTGATTTATCAAAATTTGCATGCAATTTGACATACCCTTATCTTGAGAATTGAATACCGATTCTAAAATCATCCTCTTCGAGTCTCTCCTCATCACAGAATTCATTCTCATATCTTTCTTTGTTGACAACTTCTTTATCAGTTTAAATTAATTAATTAATTATTGAGATGGCATCTCCTTTAAATGCTGTTAAGATTAACACTTTGCATCTAGTAAACCCATAAGATTCTTTTTCTTTATCTAAATGATTTGTAATATGTGTAATATATGTTTTTCTAAATTTTTCAGCATTCTATTCTTCAGGATCCGTTTCAATATAATCAAAATAATTATATATTATATTAGACTGTAATAATTCTTTTTCATCCTCTGAGTCCTTGACTACAGGCAATACAAATTTATCATCTTTAATTAATTATTTTTGGGATAATGTTTCAATATTATAGTCTTCATTTTTGCAATTCAAGTCAATTAAGGTCTTGTTTTTTAATTATTTATTTAGTTCATATTTTTTAAATTCAACTCCATTATTTAGAGTATGTACTAATTTTGTAGTTTTCTCTTTAAAGAAAGCATTTAATTATTCAGGCTATTCAATTTCTATATCCCCAATACAAATAGTTTTTCTTAATTCTTGATGATCATATTCAAAATGGGAAAATGGATTGTCATTCGGTAGTTTAACTACTTCATACTTTTTCATTTTTGCATACACTGACTTATTTTCTTATTTGATATTCAATCTAGCTGATTCTGAACTTCCATAATTATCATCTGCTAGTTGTTGTTTTACATTAAGTTTTTTGAGTAGATTTTAGTAATGGGAAGGTTTTTCGTTTGCATTTTTAAAATCAACCACATGTTCAAAAACTTAATCATCCTCATTCTGCTATTCTGAAATTTCTTCTTCATCAGTGATTTCTTCAACCTATTCTTGCTTCTTGATTTATTATGGTTTTTTTTTCCTAATTTGCTTAACTATTGGATCATTGTCTTGATTTTTTTGTTTTTTATTTTTTTTCCCCATATAATGTACACAAATAAATAAAATTAAAATTAAAGTTATTCTAAGAAACTTAATTTTATCATTTACTAATTTTGAAAAATGTGAACGATTTACATTTAATCCAATACCCATGGGCATCAGACCATCCTTCAATCTATTTGAAATGTTTATTATATTCAATTTTTTAAGTTTATTTATTTTAAAATTTAAATTCAAATGGAACACTAAAATTATTGTACATCAGAAAATGGAGTTAGAGTTTGTAATGTGAGTTCTACATTACCTAATTGTGCAGCCGATAATATTCTGATTTAAGAAAGAAAAGTATGATAATAAATTAAATGTTAGGCATTATGGATGTCCTTAGCAGGATTACCTTAATATATTACTCTGGATTTATCACAAGTTCAAGAGAGACCAAAATTTATCAAATGTTTCGGTTTTGATTGTTGGCATGATTATTAAAGCAACCCATCGGTGATTGAATTGATGGTATCATTAAATGGTGAAAATTTTATAACTTGGACAACTCTATATCCTGAATTGAAACAAGGAATATAATTGTTTTAGATCGATCCTTTAGGAACTAGATATTAATTTATTAAGATCATTATCAAGGAGACTTTTGGTGCTTCTAAAACTTATTTAAATTAAGTATATTTACTTGAAGAATATGCAATGATTAGTACAGAGAGTGTTACTGAATCTTAGCAATAGACTGAGAATAATAATAGCTAATATAAACACTAATTCGAAAAGGAAGAACTTGAACATCATGAAAGATCAGATAGAATGGATAGATTTGAAAGAATGGATAGAAATGATAGAAATGAAAGAAATGATAGAAATGAAAGATAAGATGTTAAAATAAATGAATATCATGATCTAGCACAAAAAATTCATAGTATGGGAAGAGAAGTTGCAAGTTTGAAATAGAGTCATTAATAAGGAAAGTCTAGCTAATCATAAACTAAGCAAGGGTTCCATAAAAGTAATATAACTGAAGATGTGCCAGATTCTTATTAAAGATTGACATCAACAGAAAGAATGGTTTTGGACATATAGAGCAAAAATTTGAATGAGATTAATATATTGAAAAAGGAAGTTTAAGAATGGAAGGATAAATGCGAACAATTAGAGAGTCAAGTTTAACGATTATTTAAGATGGTTACTCAAATTAAAGATAAATAATAAGAATAGGAAGATTCAATCCATAAATACATATAATAAAATTAGAGTGAAGTTAGTTTTGATGCCAATAAAAGATAAGTTTACAATACTGGTTAAATAACTCAACAATAAACTTAGCAATCTCAATAAATAACTCCTACTCAATAACCTTAACAATCATAACACTAAATGAACAAGTTTGAAGAAGTAATTGATAAGAAGATAAGTGAATTATCAGGAAACTTCTAGGTCTTATTTCAATAATAAGAATCAAAGTTTAAAAATCAATAAAAGGAGTTGGTCAAGAGTTTCAAAGATTATGTTCAACAGGAATATATTCAAGAAAAGCATAGAGAATAAGATAAAAAGAAGCCGGCTTCAAGGGGAAGGTAGAAAGAGAAATCTGCTTAAAAATCTTCTTCAGATAAATCATCTCATAGTTCTTCAAGTAGTTCAATCATAAATTTCATTAAATCTAAGAAGGCTTAATCTAAATCTAGGCAACAATCAAAGTCTCATTTGAAATCATTGCCTAGATCCAGATCTCCTGCTGATTCCAAAGAAAATGATAGGTATGAGAATAATAGGCTATCACCCAAACAAAGAAAGGTGGCAACATTGTTGGGCAAATTGCAAGAGAAGTTATAAAAAAGAGTAAATTTATATAATTTATAAATTAGGCTAAGAAAATAGAATAATTAAACTTATCTCAGAGGAAGACAAGGAAGAGAGGCAGCATTCAGAATTCAATGGATTAGTCTAATTCATCTGATTATTGATATATATTTAATTTTATGCTTGATAAATTATTCTTCTTATTCAAAGTCCTAATTCCTTAAAGTTTGGGTTTGGTCTCGAATATTCATTAGTTAAGAAGTATCTAGATATAAATAATTAAGTGATTTACTCTGGGAAATACTTTTTGGCCAAACCATAGGATGCGTTCATTCTTACACACAATTAAAAGTAATTTCTAGCATCAAGACATTCAGGCACATAAGAATCCTCGAAAAGACCAAATTGATTCTTGCAATGTTGGGCCATTCTGTCATATAGATGACAAGCTAACAATTGATTTGCCTATAATATTGATTGAATGTGAAATTACTTTGTACTCAACAAACTCAAATTTCAGATTGTCCAATAATTTAACGTGATTCTTAGTCAAAGTTTAGAGATTAATCATGTTTCTGAACATGAAATCTACAGAATACTGATGATCTTACCTTCCTCCTCCCAAACTTCATTATAAATTGGCATTAATATTTATAATTAAGCTTTATATATTTCTAACTTCCCAATGATGAATTGGAGTTCTAATATGAAAAACTTATTAATGTAGATATATATTAATGTTTCAAATTTATGGACCGCCACCTTAGTAAACTACTCCTTATGGTTAAATTTGTCCTTATTAAACAATCTAATTCTATAGATTTGCCCTGGAGGCATTCAAATCAATCATCATGCATCTGATTTGTCTCGCATATCTAATGAACATTCCGTAGCAAACGACTACAATAATGAGAGAAATAATAAAGAATATCAATCTATTTGATTATAATGAAGTAATACCCAACACTCCTTTGACTTTCCTTTTCATCCTCAGAACTGTTATCATTATTGTCATCTTGAGTATTATCAAAAGTTGCAAATATTATAATGGATCCAATGATTTCGAAGATCAAAGCCAGAATCAATAGAACCTAGTAATGTAATAATAGTCTTTCCACATATCTACTAATCGAGTAAATGCCGATTATTGCTCCGACAACGAAAAAGAAATCGCTTCGATTAATACAATGTCATTACGAGATAATATACATAACACCAGCTGCCACATCTGCTCCTCCTTATGAAAATGTTGCCACACAGCGAATGATTAAAAAGATCATTGCTAAAACACCAATACAGCAATTGCATCCATAAAAACTATGTTGTGTTAAATGGCTTACTATCTTGTATATGATCGTAGCTCCATTTCCTTAGCAACTATGGGGTTGATTGGTTGAACTGCAACAACAAGTCCAGTCTAAGGAACCAACACCATTTGTTGCTAATATCCATTTCCATATTGAATTCTTTGAGGATACTATGGGTATTGAGAATACACCTATTGGGGATATTGTATTTGTTATTAGGGGTAATATTGATATCTAAAATGGGTTCAAAAGAGTACTATTGTTGGATGGGTTATCCTACTACTGGCTATCCTTGCACTGGTTGTTATTGCAGGCCTTATTGAGATTACAAAGGCTGTCCATGATCTGTTAAAAACTCAGCATTTATATTTGCTTGTTAGTACTGCATTTGAGATTATTTTAATATTATTTATATTAGGAATAATATTCTATCTAATTAAAATTGTAGTTTTTTGAAGAGGAGGACGTGGCATGGGAATTTTTGAAACTCTGGTTTTGCAAGGGAGTTATGTAGAATGACAAAATGGTTTATAAATCCAATAATTTATTACATCATTTATTATGGTTTCCTAATTATCTCTATTTAATTGATAATGTTTTGCAATTATTTAAAAATATTTTTGAAAATAATTATTTATATGTGTGATAAAAGGAAAAGGTTTAACTCCGCCTTGACTTTCGAAGAATTTGTTGATTACCATAATCAATTACCAGATACTCCTCAGCTTAAGTAATACTCATCCTTAATAATTAGACCAATTAAGCAGTCTGCTTTCTTCATACCAGAATTAGATTTAGCCAATGATGTCTCTCAAAACTAGTTGAATATGCCTTTATAAACAATTTTGGAGGAAGAACCCACTAGTCCCAAAGAAATAATGAAAACTAAAAAGTCGATAAGAAAAAGATAAAGGTTCTTCAGTGAAAATTCTCAATACTCAGTAATTAATATATTGGAGAGAAAACTACAGAAAAAGAAAACTTGTATCCCTACTCCATAGAATTATGATTCCCTCTCTCAACCAATCATGATTTGATATTTGCGTTTATATTAATAATAATATAGAGTTAGATTTCATTTCTATTTCTTTTAAAAAATGTCATGATTCAACTTCGAAGGATTAAATGCATTTTTTAACAATCCCATTCTGTCAGAGAGACTGTCCAATAAAAACTCATCCTCAAAAACTCCAATGCATTCTCGTTTAGGCTATTGACCAGGAGATTGAGTAAAAATGTCTGACTTTTCCAAAATGGTTGGAAGAGTGAAGTCTTTGAAACTTTTTTATTTGAATAACTTCTCTTGCACCTTCATTTTGATAAACCATTCATGATTCATTGCCACATTTGGTTTGATTCGCTGTTTTGGTTCAACCTATAGCATTTATTTCAATAAATCAATGGCATAAGAGGTGTTTCGGACTTGAGGAAATTCAATTTAGCCTGATTTGTTGTCGTTCTAAGCCTTATAATAATCAATACATGTTCTTACGATTCACTAAATGGCATCACTTGATATATGAAGTAATAAAAAATAATTCCCACTGCATAAATATCGACACTCTGATCGTAGGGCTTCCCATTCAATAACTCAGGCGATTGGTAACTAAGAATCTAAATTTCAATTAAAATTACCCCTCACTTCCTTTGATTCCCTTCACTTAACTATCTATGAACTCAGATTAATTAAAATTGGACAAACAGATGTCCACCAAATTGTCTGATTTCACATATATGTTCTCCAACCTTATGTCTCCATGAATAATTCCCAAAGAGTGAATGCAAGACAAAATTTCTAATAATTTATAAATAATCCTCGCATATTGTGGTTCTTGACTATTTAGAATATCTTCAAATCTATACACCATTTCAGTGCCGAAATAATTCTCGAAAATCAAAAATATTGTATACTGATCTTCATATACTTCCACCAAATTGATGATATTTTTATGCTTGATTCTTCTTAAGATATTAATTTCCTGTTGTATTAATTTAGGATCGAATTTGTTATTTTTTTGAATGACCTTCACTGTATAATTAACATTGTTGGCAAAGCATCTAGCCTGATAAATCTGTGTCTGTGGATCTTGATATCCCAATCTCTTATTCAATTTGTAGTCCTTACTAAAATTTAACTGAATCGTAAATCTTTTCAACATATTAAACCAATTTTCCAAATCAGCACTTCTATTGAAAAAGATCTCCGTACTATTCTTCCCTTAAACCAACTTTATTGTTTGAATATTTTTTCGTATTATTGTTTAGCTCAAATTACAAAACAATTAGTGAATTTGCAGTCTTAATTAATTCTAACTATCTACCTATCAGCATATAATGCAACTTATTCCTCATGCAATTGTTGATCCTCACTCCTAATCCAAATTATGCCAGAATATATCAGATGTTGACTCAAAAGTGTCAGTTATAATTTTTCCAAAGGTTACCACAGAATAGGATTGAGATGCGCAGTTTATTACTTTTTTTGTTGTTGCATAGTGTATAACTAGATTTTTATTATTTTTGTGAGAGTATTATTAATGAAAAATTAGTTTTCAATAAATCAATATATTAAAAGATATTATTAAATACACAAACGAATCAAAATCTAATACCATCCTTTACTCTTACATGTGAAATAAGACTGGAGCTATCAGTTATAAGGTTGATTCTCCTATTCTCAAATTTACAGCTCCAGAACTGATTTAACCATCCTAATCGCTGTCGAGCTATCTAAATATATTTTTAATCTGCTCCAAATCCTATTTGTACTTTATTTTTGGTTGATCAGCATCAAAGATCTTCTTCCTTTCAATTTTGTATTAATAGTCATTTTACTTACCTACCAATCTTTCTGATCTCTCCTTAGTTTATTAAGATAATTTTCCATATCGATAATTAGGAGCAATACCACGTTTTCTTTCCATTTAGTTATAATTGAGATTCCCACTACTATATTATTATTGTTTCAATTTTCTTTAATTGTTAGTTTCAGTATTTAATTACTGTCTATCTTCTATTGTATTTATTTGCAATTGATCAGGATTATAGATAGTATTTAGAGTGAAGTTTGTATTAAAAAAGAGATTATTATTTTACTGTTAACACATCCTAATATTTTTGGTCAATTCTAGAAAGTTTATTTTTTAACTATTTACAATCTTTATTGTCCATATTAGAAGATTGTTAATCTTGGTATTCAGCTTACACCATGATGTCTAGTGTTGATCTATCAATTGATTACAAGTGGTTTTTAATTTCTGAAATTATGAATTGCCTACCTGCTTCCTTAATTTGGTTTATATCGCAAAATGCAGTTATAAGTAATTCTATATCATCATCCTCATATATGTGTATATGATTTGGAACATCATTAGTTTCTAATGTCACTACTGCTAATAATTTTGATGTCATAATATAATGAATTTATTTATTTAATATCTGTATATTTTTATCAATCTGATGAAAAACTTTCGGTTTTATTCTTTGAATTTTAATGAAGTATTTAATGGTAACCACAGAACTGAATCATTCATTTTTCATTTAGATCCATTTTGGCATATTTTTCTAACGAATTTATTTTACTTTCTTACGCAAACTTATTAATTTGTAAATAAAACGAGTTTTATATAGATTCATCAAGATGTAATCAGAAATAGTTGATATTCTTAATAACGATAGCTTATTCCAGAAGAAAGTAGTTTTAATTACATTTATATATAGTATATTCTATAAAATGGCTCTTTTAAAACTCTAGAGGATTTCTTGCTTTATTTTTGTATGGTACCAATGAATTATTATTGGTTGAATAATATTCATTATTTTGCTGAAAGTAGGAAGAATAACAAGGATTAGTTAATTTTTTATATTTTTTTTATTACCTGATAATAATCACAATCATCAGATCAAAATTGCAAAATTGGGAACTTAGTGAAGGGAACTTAAAAGATAGGTTTCTAAACTTACTTCACTTTTAAATGATTTAATGAGCCAATAGAGTCTTAAATCTAATTAATGGTTTAGGATCGTTAAAATCTATTTTCTCTGTAATCAAACAAAAACGATTGGAATTAGAACTATTAGTTTTTGAAACTTTTATTGTTTCAGGCGTCTCCATGTTCATAACTGATTCTCTAATAATTAAATAATTTAATAATTCTCAAATACGCTCAGATATTTCGCTCTTTATTTTATCAAAGAGAGTACTAATTAAATTGGTAATCGTTAGGCTTGGTTTCGTCAATAATCTCAATTCATGCGCTTTCAAGACCTAAAATTTTGTATCATCAAATAGTTCCATCATAGGAACATTTCTATATAATAATTAAAAACGAGTTCTATTTCATCTCTTATTACGCTGAGTTAAAGAGAGTTTTTTCAATTTCAGCCAATAATGATGAGGTCTTAAATCATGCCATCCATGAAATTTTATATTATAAAATTTTTAAGTGAACGATCTGAACTCAACAAATTTTAGGTTTTCTATTTTTGCTATCGTTGTTAAAAGAAAATGCTTAAGTTTATATTAATAATATAAAAACCAAAAAGAGATTATAGTCAGTTTTTTAGATTGCTACAATCGTATTTGCACCGATTCCTCCCATTTAACTAGAAACTGTAAGAAAAAGGACAAGATCATTCTGTGAGAATAACGATTTTCATCAAAATTTTATAAGTAGCACTTGCGCTTCATTACTTGGATGATAATCTTGGCAAAGAAATTGGTGTCATTAAGATGGAAAGAATCAAAATCTTTGAAACTATTAATATCGAATAGAATTATGAATTTTACATTTATCACATGATGTTATAATAAAATAAATAATTTGTTTCATAAACTAAGTTTTAGCAAAAAAGAAATTAATTTAGAATTAATATTCTACTTTCGAATTTTAGTTTTCATCTAATGGATTAGAATAAACAGTCGAAGATTGAATACTTAATTGAGCTTACGATATTTATCAAGAATGGAGAGTGAAATTCAAAAATAATTCTTTTTTGTGTTAAAATGAAATTATTTATAATAGCACTTTATTGTTATTTAATACAATTCATAATGAAACTATAAACACGCGTGAATTTAATAATAAAATCTATAAATATTTAGGAACAAAATGGTACTTATGTGTTGTAGATATTTAGCCATCTGCCTAGACCATGAAATTGAGAAGCCAAAACTATCAAGGAAACGTTAACAAATAAGGAAAAGTACCCAAATCATTAATTGTAATGAAAACATAATATATGAATAGAAAAAAGAAGAAAACCTTCCTGTTGGACCAATTCTTTTGGGCGTATTCCTATTTGTAGTGGTTGGATCAGGTATATTAAGAAATTAAGATTTATAGCTTTATTCTAAATACTTAATGTAGCCTCAAGTGGATAAGAAATTTGATATATATAAAATGCTTGGTCAATTTTTAATTTAAAAGATGCAAAAACTACAATCTAATGCAGTAATTACTAGTTTTCCATTATTTTCATGAATTTTCATAGTTTTTGCTCTCATTTTCATCAACTTTTCCCATTTATCAAATCCTTTGTTTGTCATCCAGATGTCTAGTTATACAATAATAGCATACTTCCATTTTCAGAACCCAAAATAATCATTTCATCAATAACACATGAATTCCAGGGATTAAGTCTATCTTCTGGAAATTTAATTTTTTTAGTTTGTCTAAAGTTTTAGAGATTCCAGAAAGTGATTTCTGTGCCAAACCCAATAATCTCATTATCAATGATATTCATAGCATATTAGGGTTCTTTGGTATTGATTTATTTGATGGGTTCACTCTTATCATATTTCCAGACAAAAATATAATTGTTTCTTTATGATTTTTTGTTCTTATCCCACCAAAGACTAGAACAGAATTGCTATTTATCATTGATGATGCACAAGGGTCCATAAGTCTTGGCTTGGATTTCATATTTAATGAGTTATCCATTATCTAGTTTCCATCGATTTATATAATTAACGGGACTTAATTAATTAAAATTATTGGATGCGAATACAGAATTAGATTGTTTGCAATAATACAGTTTACTAGGTGTGCTTTGTGATTCTTGGAACTCGAGTAAGTTGGCTACAAATTTTCCATTTACAAAATCAAATAATCTTAAATTTCTCACGTAAGCCAGGACAATTTAAGTGGAGTTGACAGCGATGGAATCATAGACTCCATTTTTCATTTCAACAATTTATTAATGAACATATTTTTTGATTGGATCATAAATGATGAAGGGATGAAATTCTCCAGCTGCTATGCCTATAAATTTATCATTTAACCAGGTGATGCTGTACAATCTTTTGAACTTGAAATTTGTTGGTATTTCAAAATTCTGTGTTAATTCTATGTTTTTGCTATTGATATCAATTAAAGGCAATTATTGAATTAACGACTCATCCTTTTTAGAAAATAATATTCTTATCTTCTCGAATTTGTTCTTTGACTTTTGATCTTAAATTTCAAGTGTATCAGATTAATTTGGCTGAAATTATTCTTGACATTTTTTGACCATATTGTACACATTACACACCTCATTCAATTTCTCTTTGATCAATTGTATGTGATTCCGAGTTATATAAAAGTCCAATAATTGGGCGAAGTATTTGTCGTCTTTGTTTTATAAAATCTCGATCATGCTGTGTATTTGCTTTTTTGGAGATTCAAAAGTGAGTCTTTCATAAATGGAACCCAATTGTTAAGTGAGACTGGAAATGGCATTGGGCAATTAATCAAATAAAATTTGAGAGAACTTCGTTAAAAGTGGAAGTGTCTTGGAAATGAAATCTGATAATTCAACTTTTTAAACAAATTTGTGAGACTCTATACAATCAATGTCGTAACACAAGTCACACACCTCTTTAATGTCAGATCTTTCGAGAAGGTAACCCACCTTTTAATGACTGCAATTGTTTATCATAAATATTATAATAGTATTATTATTTTTCAATTAGCGCCCAAAATATGTGGTAGTAAATGAGTAGTCGTTCTTTTTTTAACTAATCCCAATTGCTCATAATTGATTGAACTGAAGAAATAGAATTTGTACAAAATCATTATAGTGATCTGAACAACTGCAACAAGTCCGACAATCATATATTTCTTTTCTTTGGGCAAATACTTTAGTTCCTAATTAAAATTCGAAGTCAAAAATGAAGTCTGAGCAAACAACACATAGACCAACAGCATCCATTGTATTGCCTATAGATATTTAATGCATTGATTTTACAGGATTGGGAATCGAATTGAGCAGTGAAATGGGAATCATGACAACAGCTGAATAGCCATAAATTGTTAAGCAATGCAAAAGAGTTAGCCGATCTTGTGACACGCATTTAAGAGCCACTCTGTATATCATGGGGACGATGAGAGTTTTGAGATACATGAATATGGTAAGGATGGGTACGATTTGAAATTGATATTCGAAATGCTCCCCTGGTTGTAATTGCATGTATTTGATGATATTGACTGACAATGCTGTGGTGAAGATCAACGTATTTAAAATCCAGAATGGTCCATACAATTCTGGTATTCCTCCGCCGATATCGAAAAAGGTCCCAGAGAAGGGGTTGAATGCATTGACAACCTTTGCAATGACCAATTCAGTTGTGACGTCGAAGTATTCACGGTAATACCTTAATATATAACATGGAAGGTGGGAGTACTCAATGGTGAATAAATTGCAGAACTTCTGATAGCAAGTCTGATCGTCTGGGTCTTCCATCTTCATCTGTCGAATTCTATTCTGAATCTATGAATCTGTCATTTGGAGGGAGGGTTGGAGGATTGAGACATCTTGATTTAAGTTATCTAACATATAATTTAATTTAATAAGTTATGAGTGTAGTGTATTATAATTTCTATCAAATCGAAATTCGACATTATGTATGATTAAATTTATTTTTATTTAAAGAGCAAATGTACTATCCTTATGAAATTCAAGAATCGGAGGAGAACGGTTCAGATGTGTTTTCGTATGCGGATTAGTCAGAAAGAGTTGCCAATTCCTCTCAAAGAAGTCTTTCTGATTCTTAAGCTCGATAGGAGATGTTTGAGGATTCAGCTGGTTCATATTCAGATAATGAAGACTAATACTAAGATGTATAGTTAATAGATCAAAGCAGAATAGTAAATTTGTAAGAGGTCAAAGTATTTTTGGATGAAGTTATTTGTCCAATATGTTTTCACATAATAATTGACCCCAAGATTTGCAAAGAATGTGATCAAGCATTTTGTAGCAATTGCATAGAGAGATGGTACTTTAATGTTGAGAAATATTTTAGGTTCCAAAAAAGTGTGAATCAATAATGTCCATGCTGTAGAAAAGGAGTTAATAAAAGGAACGAGTGTGTGTATGGGAAAGTGCCAAAAGTAATGCTCAACTTATTAAGTAAATTGATGTTAACTTGCAGATATAGTGTATTTATTTATTTAAAAATAAGTCAGAAGGATGTGAAGAAATTATTTCTTATGACTTTCGTGAAAAACATGAGAATCAGTATTGTTAATTCTAGGAATAGACTTGTAAGAATTTCGGTTGTTACGAGACAATGTATCGCAAAGATTTTGAAGACCATCAATTGGAATGTAAATATGGCATAGTTTATTGCAAATATTGTTCAAAGGATAAGCTTAGAATGGATATAGAATTGCATGTATAAATGAAAATCTAATCTAGTTACAAGAATGTGATTGTAGACCGATATTATGTGAATGGTGTCAAGAAAAGTTTTAGCATATAGAAATTGATGACCATATTAAGCAGTGTGAATTTAAGGACATTATTTGTGAATATTGTAAGAGGATATACAAACAGTATGACATGGAATAACATACTCCCATTAATTGTTTGAAAAGTCTTTATAAGAGTTCTCTTGAATTGAGTTAGCAAAAAGATGAAAAAATATTATAATTGCAAAGATAAATTGAGTTATTAAAGCATACCAAATCTATGGAATAGTCTGATCTAAATTAATCCACAGATGAAATTTTGAGTGAAAAATATAAATAAGATTTTGAAGTTGATGTTGAAGAAGTCATTGAAGAAGACATTCAAATTGAAGATAGCGAATAAGAGCAATTTCAATAAAATGATGGATGTTATGAGAAATAAAACAACTCTGATTAGAAATCTGAAAATCTATCTGATGATGACAATCAAGACTAACAAAATACGGATGAGTAACTAGATTTTGCTGAAATACCTTCAATCTAAGAAATCAAGATGAGAGGCTTATTTACTTCATTCTTAGAAAAATTCACTGACAACAAATTTAAAGATCTTTGGGATTGGTCTGAAGATGAATTAAATTAGGTGATTGATTGGCTTAAATGAAATACATATATATATATATATTTAATATTAAATGATGATTTTTTCAACATATGATGCCAGTAAATGCTTATAAGCACCCCACTCCTTTTTAGCAATGATCATCGCTTCTACAACATACATAAGTGTTTGTTCTAATTTCACAATATGAACCTCCCTTCACTTCGCAATCACTGCAGTTCTCCTTCCCTAAAAATGTATGAATTTTAGCTTATGATTCTTGTCCCACTAAATTAGGTTCGGCTAACACTAACGATATTAAGAACAAGGCAATTATGACTTTCATGATATAAGTCGTTTTTCTAATAATTAAAATAATATTAAGTTTGCTTAGAAATCTAATATTATTTCTACACTATTTTCATTCTAATACTACTCTTCCTTAATTGAAGTAAATCTCCAACTTAATTTACACTCTCTAACTTAACCACCCTCTGTCCAGCCCCTTCTTTAGTCACTGTTATTTGTCTCAAATTTGTTAAACAACATTCCATCTAACAAATATTAATGAAGTTTATCGAATCATCTCTATTTTTATGTGATTTTCATCATATAATTGTATTATCTTTTTAAATCTAATCAAAAGATGAAACATAAAATATCAAATAAATATGATATCAGATTAATTACGATAAGTGCTATCCAATAATACCCCAAACATTATAGGACCGCAACTCTCTCGAAAAACTATTCTTTTAAAAAAAAAGAATAAGAAAATATGTAACAATACGCTGAATCAACTGCCTCAAAAAGGAAATTAAGATGCTTCATAAAAAGATGATAAATCGTAGAAAACAGATAAAACTGAGACAATCACAATGAAGTCCAATAGTAATATTGGCTCTTAGACCTCGAATTCCATTCCTTGTATTTCTTAGGATGCATTTGATGGCATTGAAATCCCCCCCACTGATCCAATTTGGTTGGAAATCATCCCACAAGAATTATTGCTAGAAACCACAGTCGAGAAATTATTGGAAGATAACAAGGATTACTTCTATAACTTATTAGGATTATACTTACAGGAACGGGCTATTGGAGACTTGAATATGTCACGCTTTGTTTTACCCTAAAAGTTTTAAACACAATACTCGAAAGATTTCACCTTGAAATCTGTGGATCGAAAGATTGGCATAGACTCCAGGATATATGAAGATTATAAATAATACAGTTCGCAAAATTAAAATACTACTACTTACAAATAGTATTATTAGAAACCAATACCAAATGACATTATCCAATCATTCAAGCCCACCTCAGAACGAAGTGTCCTTGCCTTGGCTGCATTAACCACCTATAAAGTGTTCATTAATTATGTAATCTTTAGGCTAATCATATCAACTTTAAACAACCAGAAATACCAGAAATTATGAAGGCACCAAGCAATTCCACAACAGGAAAATTGCAATTGAATGGAAACTCCAATTACAATCTAGACTATAAATGGCATCAGCATTACGAACGATTACCCAATTTCAAAAATAGTTATTCCAAATTGTACAATCAATTGATTATGATAGGAATCCAATTTCCAATTCAGATATCTTCTTTACCAAATAACGAGCATCCATCGACTATTACCCATTGAGTCCATAACCTAAAGCCTCCCAAGTGCTTACAACACCTTCCTTCTAAGGTTAATTCATGACTACATTCAAACAGTATCGAATACTTTTTTATCTTCAAGCGATTTTTAATAAATTGACAAGGAACTGATCACTCCAAAAATGAGGAATTGGAAATTAAATATGGTGAATAAAATAAATTCAGTTAGGGAAAGATAAATTTAATAGTGAAAAAAAAGTATAGATTTGTTTTAAGTTTAACTATTATTATATATAAATTATCAATTGAATAACCACGTCAGACTTGTTCATTGGCCATTGCAATATTTGGGAGGAATGGAAATGGACGAATCATCAATCATCATTCTGACTTTATTTGTAAGTTATCCTTACTTTTATAAAAATATTATAATATAAATTATATGAGTTATTTAGCTTAATCAAGTCGATTAACTGCTCTACTAATAAGTCTGAAAAATAAAAAATTAATAACACCTGATCAATATACTCGTCTTTGTGATTATGCCATCAATGATAATGCTGAATTGAAATAACTATTTGTGGATTATGAGAAGGGTTTGTCTTAAAATGATTTTCTATCGGGAGTTTCAATCATACTCAACAATAGAAATGGATGCGAACATATAATTAAATCATATTTGTACTTTCATTTTCAATTAATTTAGTGAATCTGTTGTCAGTGTCAATTCGTAATTGAAAGGGAAAATTAAGGAATTTTATAGAGACATCAAGGTATTTCCAATTTGATATCAATTATTTTAGACCAACATGAACGAAATTTATGAAGAATGCTTTAAAGCACAACATTATTTGCAAGAAGTTAAAGATTTGATCAAAATAGTCTTAAAACAATTTTATGTGGAAGAATTTTATTTGATCCAATTTGAAGAAGGACATTAATGTGTTATTCTGACAAATAATTTCGATTTCAGATTCTTTAAGGAAGAATACAAAATTAGTTCTTGGGCACACAAATAAAATGCTCATCAACTAAACAACACCCAAACTGAACATCATGCTTTACTGAAAACTCACAATCTCCCAAAATAGTACATCATCTCATAACATGCTGTCCTATTTTTGACTTTTAGTGAAAATGTCAATAAAACCTATTCATAGTATTTCATGGCTACTTTTCTTTATGATAAATTTATCAGTTTGATTTACTAAGGTTATTAAATTGTAGGACTAAAGAAGATGTAATCCATTAGAACTGAAATTCTATAATTAGTCTCCAAAACAATTTTATTGTATAATTATAAATTGATGTTTCAAATATTAGTCTAGATCATGCAATAGTTTAATTTGTCAAATTTATTGTGTCAGTTTGAAAAGGAATTGACCAAATAACAGACTGTTTCTAATTATTTATTAATATTGCTTTCAAGTGATCTTGATATCATTGGCATTGAATTAGAAGGCAAACTATCACTTCAATTAGTAGATAAAGTCAAGAGCACTTTTAAAAAGTCAATAAAAAAATATAAGAAAAAATTGAAATCTAAAAAAGATCTATTAGAATCATTCTAACAGGTTACTTAACACAATGAAATGATCATGTGTTTATTCTTCAACAATTACCTTAACCTCTATTACATGACAGTTCAATGGAACCACGATCAGTTTGTGTATTTAATAGTAATATTATCAATCTAGTTCAAAATATAGTTTACCCAAAGAGATAAATTATGGAGATCCCATTTATAAAATATTTGATTAGAACCCTACTATTATTTAAAAAGTGAAAGAAATTATTGACTCTCCAAACGACCATTTGGAATTTAATGATGGCTTTTTTAAGTTCTCCTTAAAAATAGAAAGAGGATTTAAACAACAAATCAAATAAATATCCATTTTTTTATTTAACATTTAAGTGAAAAGGTAAATAATTCATTCTCAATACCTAGACCCTTGGCTGAACTATTTAGGATATTTAGGAGCAAAGTGAAGATCTTACTTACAATAAGAAAGGCGACCTTGGCCTTTAAATCTAAGCAATTGATGATGGAAAATCAATTTCTTAGACAATCAGCCTTAGTCATGTATCTTCCAGATTAGGACAGGAATAGAATTACATAAACTCACAATCAAGATCATGATTAAGATTTAGAGAAATATCGAAGTTATACTATGAAATAGGCAACAAAAAAATTATAAACATTCTTGAACAAGAAGGATGAAGAAGATAAAACAAATCCTGAACTTAGGAGAATTGCAATAGATCCAAATCTATAGTAAAAATTACTCGATTACGAATTTAACCTACTCAACAAGAAAATGTATAAAAATAAATTCATCATTGCCTACAATTTATTTCACATGTGCGAATACACAAAGTAGTATCCTTTGCTGACAAAAGAATTTATGAATTTCATAACAGTGTTGAAATATAAGTATAATAAAAAATCGAATCCATTTCACAACTTTACTCATGGAGTCAATGTTATGCATGGATGTTATTTATTTGGCCATCATTAAAAGTTTGGCTGCTATTTTTCCGATTTGTAAAGATATGCTATGACCTTTGCTGGATTGTGTCATGATGTAGATCACTCTGGAACTACTAATTTATTTTAGGTGAATGCTTAAACTAAACTTGCATTGCTATATAATGATAAGTCAGTTCTTGAAAATCATCATGTTGCAGTAACTTATAAATTATTAGCACATAAACAATGCGACTTTTTTGGCTCCATACCAAAATAGGATAGAATAACCATAAGGAAATATGTTGTTAACAATATTTTGGCTACTGACAATCAATATCACTTTAATCTGTTAAATGATATTGAAATTCGATTTGGATAATCTAAAGGAGATCCCAAGATATTTGGTACATCTACATAATAATACTTTAGAAACTGAAGAAAATAAACTATTACTGAGTGGATTCTTAACACATGCAGCTGATTTCTTTGGTGCAGCGAAACAATATCAGGTGGCAAGAGCATGGAGTGAAAGATTAAGAAAGGAATTCTAAGCCTAAGTAATATTCTGAATTATCATCTAATTTAGTCCTAATTAGAGGATATCATTGGTATTGCTTAAACACCATATCTACGCAATTTGGATAACGAAGTTTAGTATGCAAAAAATGAGGCTGGATTCTTAAAAGTTATTGTTAAACCAATTTATGAGTCTTTAAACAATTATTCAGATGGAGCTTTGTCACTTCAATTAGGAAATATTAACTTAAGTATTAAGAAATATGAAGAGATTATTGAATCAGCAAATTAATGATCATAATTGTATATTTAATTATATCAACATTCAGTATATATGTATTGCATTATCAATTTAATTCACTATCTGATAAATCCGAACCATTCCCTGAAAATGCTTCCAATTTCTTATTCACCTCTTCCATCAAATCAATACTTTTATTAAAAGAATTACGACATTCTTCTATTGAAACCTTCTTAGTAGATTTGTTTTAACTAATGACGCTCTCTGAACATGAACAACTCACTAAATCTAAATTATTATCTAATAATAAAGGAAATTTAAGTACTTTTATCCTACTCATTCATCGCTGCTTGTTCTTTTTATTCTTCAATCAATTTCTCATTTCTAGACTAAAAACATCCCATTTCAAAATATTTATAACAAATATCCTAATAAAATAAATAAGAATATCTAAAAACTATTTTTGTTCCTTTTAAATACCAATAACTGTTCTAAAATACATCTATAATCAAGAATTGATGCTTAAACCAACGATGTAACTAAGTGAATTTGAAAAAATTCAATAACTATTAGAATAATTATATAAATAAGATGAAAAATTGCACTGCATTTCATGAATTTGATTGTGCAAGGCAATACTATAGATATCAGAAGAAAAGATATATGAATAACATTAACATATACATGGAAAATCGATAAATTCATTATTTATAATCTAAAAGGACGATAAATTATTCACATAGATAAAATTTAAACCATTTCAAAGTAATAAAGAAAAGTATTTGAAGTATCATTGTACAAGGGATTAAAGATAATATGTGAAGGTTCAAATTTCCTAATCCTACTAACAATTGCCCTATTTGAACAATACAGCTTTCTTCTGATCGATAATTATTTAAACATATATGTAAAAGACATAGCAGAAAACCTATACATACAATAAAGTTACTCCTATTCTGTATTATGCTTTAGTTTAAATGGTAATAAAATTGACCAGTTCTTAGAAAATAAAATAAATTCAGAAATTAGCTATAATACCATAGAAAATAATATGTTTGAAATTATCTTAGGCATCTAATCATTAGATATGTTTAGAGTGATGAAAAATGTCAATTCGTTCTTAATTAGAAACTAAGTACTTTCAAACAACCACTATTGTTATAAATGTGATTAATAATGTAAGTGCAAAAAAATTACAATTATTTGCAGAGCCCTCATTAAGAGTTATTGGTTATAATTTGAACAAGAGGAGATTTTTGTATTGAGGGTAGTATAATTCAGCCAAGGGAAGACAGTGGGCTTTTAAGTAAATGATAATTTAGATAACAATTGGTAAAAATAAAAAAACAAAAAGAAATATATTTTTAGACATAGCTTCACTTTAGTGGCTCAAATAAAGAAAAGGTTCATTTTGCTAATCTAAATCATGCAGGGTGAAAACAATATATGGTTTTATGATTCCGTATAGCCTCATTAGATATAAAAATGATTATAATTAATTCATAAGACTATGGTATTAGTGTTTAAATAGAACAGTATTGTGTTTGATTCTTTGGTTTTATGTAATATATTTATATATACATCTTGATGCGGTGCTCTCTTTGATAATATTAAATTGTGAAACACATAATTTTAAATCTAATTTAAAAAATCCAAAGATTTTTATGAAGGTAACATATACAAAATATGCTTTGTTTAGTTCAATATTTCCTATCCCTTAACTGGTGCTTAAAAGACAGTCGAAATTGATGATGACAAGAAATGGTAATAATTTCTATGGAATTCCTTAGCTCAATCTTCTTTGACAAGAGAATGGGACAAGTTGTGGAAGCAGACAACTTGGGTGATGAGTACAAAGGATATGTGTTCAAGATTACAGGTGGTAACGACAAACAAGGTTTCCCAATGAGACAAGGTGTCCTCTTCAAGGGAAGAGTCAGAATTCTCATGAGAAAGGGACACAAGGGTTACAGACCTAGAAAGGATGGAGAGATGAAGAGAAAATCAATTAGAGGATGCATTGTCGGTTAAGATATCAGAGTCCTTGCCTTACAAGTTGTTAAAAAGGGAGCCAATGAAATCGCTGGACTTACAGATCAAAACGTCCCAAGAAGATTGGGTCCAAAGAGATTGACCAAATTAAGAAGATTGTTTGGATTCAAAAAAGCAGACGGTGTTGCTATTGTCTAAAAGAATCTCATCAGAAGAACATGGACCACAAAGGATGGAAAGAAGAGATAGAAGGCTCCAAAGATCCAAAGACTTGTTACTGAATCAAGATTGAGAAGAAAGACCATTCAAAAGAAGTCAGAATAAGCCAGAAGAACCAAAGCCAAATAAGCTTTGGAAGCATATAAAAAATTAGCTCATGATGTTCACGAAGCTCACAAGAAACACAGAAAAGCATCATCTGAAATCAAGGAAAAGGTTAAAGAATAACCAAAGGTAAATCACTAACATCAAATTTTAAGGCTAAGGATACCAAGGCTACAACCAAACCAGCATAAGGTGGAAAATAAGCCACTCAAACTAAAGCTTAAGCTCCAGTCAAGGCTGCAGCTCCAGCAAAAACAACAGCTCCAGCTAAGACAGCCCCATAACCAACTCAAAAAGCTCCAACCACCACCACCAAAGCCAAGAAATGAAAATGATATTATAAATAAAGTACATTACATAAAAAAATTAAAATTCAATAAAATATCAATTTGAGAATAAAAATTCTGTTGAATCCTATTTTTTTCTGCACTTCTCTTGAAACTCAAACTTTTGAGTGTTTTTCTACTTCGATGTTTGTGGCTACTACCTAGTATGATGATTTTCCTGCAAATTTATAATTTGTTGTAATGAATTCACTTTTGGTTAACTATTAAATAATTAGCCAATTGATTCCTTATTGATAGGAAGAGAATAAGGAGGCATAATCTGTTGAAAATGCTCAAAATGTCTGTTGAAACGATAGAACTCTAGCATTCTAGTTTATAGGATCTAACACTAGAGTTTACTAATATAATTTACATTACTTCTTTGTAGAGTTCCAGCATTTGTTCTTTGGAATATTGGACATCTTCTTTGTTCTCGATTAGACTTTTGAGATCCTTCAAGATGAATATAAAGATATCTTTAGATCATAATAGATGAACTTGACAATGTTTGCCAATAAGAGATTAGATTGGAATGAGTCAACATTTTCAATAATCTTTTGCATACTCATTCCAATATAGCATTGATTGGATAGAGTAAAGTACAATAGCAGATCTCCATCAACGACTTCTTCATGAATAAATATGGTTTGTGATGCCAATTTATAGAGATAATGATAATATTATTGGCAGACTAAACCTAATTTGGAGGAAATTTAATTTGGGGTTTTTATGTTCAATTGTTTTGAAATCAAGATTTTTGATAATTCTGAACGTCCAACTTAGGAGCTTAGGATGATGTGCAACAGTAATAGGATTTTAAATTTCCTTTACAAATTGCCTTCCTAATCGCTCTCTTTTTCTACTGCTTCAAATAATGATTATAAAAACAGTTTCTAAGTTATTTTTTATTAATCATACCTTACGTTATTAACTTTCAAAGAATGGTCTTAATCTGTTAGAGATTATTTATTGAGATTGAAATTGGTTGTCATTTGAATAAATGTGAAGATCCTTTAAGGCATCAGCAACGGGTTGCGTGTTGGAGATGTACTCTTTGATTTTATTTATCATATTATATAATTATATTTTATAAATATTAAATTGGGTTATTACTTAAGTTTTTCTTACGCACTTCGATGATTTGTAAGTTATTTGAGGAGAATTCTTGGTTCCAATAATTGTAAATTAATATATTCTCTTAGATTTATGAAGTGAATGATAAAATAAAAATTCAAATTTGTTTTATCAATAACTTATAGAGTATTTATATTTTTGAAAAATAGATATGCAATCTCTCTTTGTTAAGTGTTAGAAATGTCAATCAAGACCCGCCACAATTAAGTGCAATTAATGTAGATATGGGTAAACTTTTCGATTATGTTACTCATGTGATTCCCAAATTCACAATCGATCTGGGCCAATAGATTAGTAACATAAAACTGAGATTATACCTTATTAGGGTATCATACCTTAATTCAAAATTTAGAAATGTACTAGAAAAGCTAAGGTTTTGTTCCCGTTCCTCAGAAAAATGATCAGAGAAATTCTTTCAAAAAAAATGAAATCAAACCCACAGGCCAGGTCCCAACTAAGGATTATTTGAGCAACGATTCTAAAAAATAAGATTACTCTAAAACATTTGATGTCAATCGCGTCAACAATAAACATGACTATCTGGAGAAAAAGATCGATAGTAATGATAAGAGAGTTGATTAGTAATATATATCAGGCGATAAAAGGCCCTATTCATCAAACTAGAAATTCAATCAGGATCATGATAGAGGATCTTAATCAATTATTAATTAATTAAAGGAGGAACAACAATAAACAGAAAGATTGAGAGCTGAGTTGTAGATGGCAAAAGATAAGGAGAAGGAATTATAAAGAAAATTGTAAGATCTTAAAACATATATTTGTAGATAAAAAGTTGAGTAAGACTAAGAATAAAGATCAAAGGATGACAAATTAAAAATTCAATAATTGACAGATGAAAATAGAAATCTTAACAATAAAATCAATTAAGCAAACAAGCAGTTATAAGATGAGGTTAATAAAGTTAAAAAATAATAATAAGATTAAATTAAAAAGTTGGAATAAGCATTAAAGGAGAAAACAGAAGAGTTAGAAAATATTGCTTAAGATTATAATTTAGTATTTAGACATATAAACTCTTTAGGAAGAAATTCAATCCATGATAGAATAACTGTAATAGGAGTCATAAATGAAAGATCAAATTATAGAATAATTGCAGCAATAATTATAAGACAACTAAGAAGCTTTTCATGAATTATAAGATAAGTTGGCAAGCAGTTCAAAGCAGAAACAACAGTCATCAAATAAGAAGTCAGTCAAGAGTTAAGACAATGAAAAAGATGACGTCATATAAGAATTAGGTTAATAATTAGAAGCTAAAGATGAGGAAATTCGCAAATTGGAAGGTTAGCAATTTGTTTAAAAATAGATTTAATTGAAAACTTCAAACAACTCTATCAACATATGAGTGATGAAAAACAATAATTATAAGAGGAAGTCGATAAATTAGCAAATGAAAACAATCAATTCAGGGAAATCTTTAGTGTATTTTTTAATCATAATAATAGCAAAACTTACATCTATTTGGAATTGATCCCGAGTAATTAAATGAAGAAGGAGAGGAAGGAGAAAATGAATATCCTGAAAAAATTGCAGAAGAGAATGACGAGTAAAATGATTGATTTTTATTAAACAAACGAATAGAATTTGATAAATTCAATCTCAAAAGTTAAATTAATTTTAATTTCATATTTTATGTCTCTCTAGTATATCTCTATAAATTAACATTTTAGGAGAGTACTACCTAATCATAATTATAGATGCTAACCTATTTTATCACCAATCAATAGATCCAGCAAAATTTAGATTATAAATTTGCAATAATTGAATTAAGAAAACTCTAAACTAAAAATCTGTTGCATACTGATATTTAAACTTTCTAATTATCTCAATTTTTACATGTCATTCAAAATCAGCAGAATATTAGGACATTATTAATATGATTAATAGAATTATCTTTTATTTATGATTAAAATTTGGAATTGAAGTAATGTTCAAAATAATTATTTATTCAACCATTTTTCCTAATGTTAAATCTACTTATTTCACATAAATTCTATTTCTACTTAAATGATAATAGAAAGCAAAAGATTAGGATTAATAATTTAGAATCATATACCTGCAAATAATGAATTAAAGGGAAAATTAGGGAAATTGATTTAAGAACAGGAATATCCATGAGATTTATATTATTTAAGAAATGTTTTAAGACATTGAAATGAGATAATAGTTTAATAATATTAAAAGCCTAAATATTGCAGAGACTAATTATGAATATCTTATCCATCTAGTAGTATATAGAGACAATTGAAATGAGTATTTATTATTATTATTATTATTATTATTATTATTATTCTACCATGTCAAGAGAAGAGAAAACAAAATAGAATAAATCAAACTAATTTATCCAATTTAACTTCTTTTAGCTCTTCTATCTTCTCTTTATTCGCCTCCTCCATTTTTTACTTCATATAAAACTTGTTAGTTTTTTATTAAATGTATTAACATTTTAATTTAAATGATCTTTAATTAAATGCTTATAAGTAGCTCTCTTTGCATGTTTTTTACATTAAAACCCAGCTTTTCTTAAATGAATATTTATAACTATAAATTGAATATTTGAGAGTTGTTTTTTCTGTTGATATTTATAATTATGCGTTTTTATTATTAAAATATTTGATCAAGATGAGCATTATGTTTGATAAGCTATTTCAGCAATTCGCGAAATTTTATGAGAGCTTTAACCCTTCCTATTTTATAATTGCAGTAGTTGCTTTTTCTTAGGGAGTATAACACTTAGCTGATTTATCAATAAACTATATGCTTAAGGATGATTTTGGATTATCTCCAGCTATGATGGGGCTCTATTTGAGTTACACAACAACTCCTTGGATAGTAAAACCATTTTGGGGTTTAATAACAGATTCGAAGCCTTTATTTGGTTATAGAAGAAAATCCTACATAATCCTGTTTGGGATATTTGATGCATTAGGTTGGATTGCTTTATCTAAATATGGAACTGATAATTTATACTCTGCCCTTTTATTATTGTTTTTGATATAGTTGTCAACCTGTTTCGTGAATGTTGTCGGAGAAGCTATTCTAGTAGAAGTTGCTGCTTAAGCCTCAAGATAGTAAACAAATTTCTAACATGGAGCATCTAAGAATGTTTCAATATTCTTTGGAGTTCGAGCATTCGGAACACTAATAAGTGCATTCTTTTCTGGAGCATTATTACACTATTTCACAAAATAAGAAATATTTATGATGACAGCTGCATTTCCTTCACTATTGGTTTTGGTTTCATTCTTTTATGTTGAAGAGAAGGTTGATCCTAGAGCTTTGGATTAGAATGACAGAAGAAACAACACTATGTAATGTATCAAAGACTTTTGGACATTCTTTTAAAACCCCTTAATTTACAAGTATTATAATAATAGATTCAAGGCCAGTTGCATTGATATTTTGCTTTATGATGGCTCCTTCAAGTTCGACTATCATGTTCTTTTTCTACACTCAAGTTTTGGGCTTTGAACCTTCCTTCCTAGGATAATTAAAGTTTGTCTATGCATTGTCTACCATTTTGGGAGTGCTTCTTTATAACAACTATCTGAAAGATGTCCCGTTCAAAAAGATATTCATCACTACTACCATCCTTTATTATTTCTGTTATCAATCAATGATCATCCTTGTAACCAGAAAAAACGTTGAATGGGGTATAAATGACAAGTTCTTCTGTCTTGGAGATTCAGTAATGTTATAATTGGTAGGTGAATTGAATTTGATGCCCATATTGGTCTTAGCCTGTAGGATGTGTCCAAAGAATATTGAAGCTACTATGTATGCTATGTTGATGAGTACAATCAATTTTGGTAATCTATTATATTTGAAAATAAAGGATCTACATTGGGATCACAATGGGGAGCCCTTTTCCTAATCATGTTAGGAGTCAATCAAAATGATTACTCAAAATTATGGCTATTCATTATTGTGACAGGAGTATTCATTTTGATGCCACTTCCTTGGGTTGGTGTTGTATAAGAAGACAAAATCCTCAAATCAAGAGATTAGTAATTGGAGGAATTTAAATAGAAAGATTGCGAGTCTGACACTGTTTCCACAAGTAACTTAAGATAAGAGGATGACTAACAATAACTACTTTCAGAAAATGAGCAATAAAAGTCATGAAAAATATATAGAATACAAATATTAATTATTATTTTTCTCCTTTTCATTATAACTGATGAAAACTAGTTTAGCTTGTATTATAAATTTATAATTTTCATAGTACTATTTCTATATGATTTTGCTGATTGTTGTGATAAATGTATTATTTTTAATAAAATCTTGTATAAGGAAGATCAAAAAATAATTATGTTATTTCTTTTAAGAATGTATCGTGGTACAAAATTGGAATTTAAGAAACAGCTGGAAATAGAGCATGAAAATTATATATTTTGCATTTAATATTGATCATTAATTTAATACATAAAATTAATCTTTTGGATTTAAATACTAATCTAAAATTATTGAGATTTTTTTGTATATCAAATAAGATTTTCATTTATATTATAATTATAAAAGATATTAAAGTCTTAATTAGATTCTATGTAATTCATCTAGCTTCTTTCTTTCTTGAGCCCACAAGAATAACTTGGGAAATTTTATTATAAATTCATAAAAATGATTAGATGACATAATTAATCAAATCAAATTAGATCAAATATCAAAAATTCATTATTTGAAATAATTTTATTTGATATATGTAAGGTTTAGAACTTTATTTTTATAAATCATTCTTAATCAGTTTCTTATGTTATAATCAGGCAATTCTGAGGTGATGTAAGAACTTTCTCAGTATTACCCTCTGTAGGTCTAATCACTATGATTATAATAAATACATTTATTTGTTTGCTATTTTAGACAGCAAAAGCGTTGTATTTCTTTAGGTTTTCCTCGTTAGCATCAAAGATGATTGAGGAGCTCCTGGATCAAGACTTAGTTGATGTTTGAAGAGATGGTTGTCGCTCTCTCGTGTTAAGAAGTTAAGACTCGACATTCTCTTGAATTAAGATTTTCTTTCGTTTATTTGCAGATTGAGATTTTCATACTGCAATTTTTCCATTTTGTTACGTTCCTCTTGTAAAATTTTAAAATCATTAAAATCTCTATTAAATTTTATATCTTGAGTTTTGACCACAGAGAACCTTTTCTATACTTTGGTCAAAATCCCTCTCATGGAGGACATTTTTTCAAATTCTTATTTTCTCCTTCTTTCTTCTCTAATCCCAATGATTTCATCAAGCAAAGCCTTCCTTTATGTCTGATTTTCAAGAAATCTCAAGGACTAAGATACTTGACGGGGATCAAACGGGTTTTAAAGCATGTCAATGGCCTTTGTGACCATTTGCTTGTTTCGTTTAAGCTTTTACAGTTGAAGTTTCTATGAAAAATTGTGATTAGTAGAAGAGGTTTGAGTTAAAGAATGTTTGATCATTTTATAAATTAATGATTAATTAAAATTCATTAACTTCATATTTTTATCTAGTTTGCTGAATATACATAGAAAATATCTTAATATTATTTACTAATACGAAAAAAACATGCTGGAAGATGACTACTATTTTATATGATGTGTATATAATTTTGTTTAAGCAAGTATAAATAATTAATTAACAAAGCTTTTTAACGACATTATTAAAAAATAAAATGTCTCAACAACAATCCATCCAGAAATCAGCCACTTAATCAACTCTTAGAACTTTTACAGATTATGGAGGATAATAACGATTAGTCAACTATGCGAATTTATAAAGGAATCTTTCTCCTTAAGCTGAATTGTGTCTAGCCAAGGATTACAATTCCAAAATCAATAAATATGTGTATATATCACATGATATTCTAGAAAACAAGAGAGGACTGCATGTACATTGCCCTCTGAGTGCGATAGTAAAACTATTGAGATGTGCAAGGAAAACTTAAATAAAATTGCAACTCTTTAAAAAAACAATCCTACACTCAAACCAAGCGACCCCATAACTCAAGAGAGCAGATCATTAAATGAAAACAAGAGCCATATAATCAAAACTCCTCTGAGTGATGTCGATAATCTATGGAATTTTCATAATAATCCTATTGCTCCAAGACAAAATCCGAATTCTAAAGTGAATTATCAAACTTAATAATCTGATTGGAAACCTAGTTAAAAATCAATCCAACCAGCTCCTGCAAAAACAAAGGATCTTTTTGAAAAAAGAGAACTCAAAGTGGCTGAATCAAAGCCAACAGCCAGGAACCCTATCTTAGAGGATAATTAGACAAAACAATATGGAAAACATGAATCATATGGAAAGTCAGATCATTTAGAGTGCAAGAAATTGCTATCAAATGGTTATGGTTAGGAATTGAAATACAAAGAGGATGTAATATTTAAGTATTTATGGTTAGAAACATATGGCGTAGAAACCAAATTCATTTTAACTATCCGATAGAACCTTCAATTATTCAACAGTGAATTAAGGTGATTACAGAAAGAAGCCATCAGAGTTTGAAAACAAAAATACATTTTTTACTAGAAGATGAGTAAAATTACATATAACTATTATAAATATCATTATATAATTCATTATTCATAAAGGAGACTAATTAACTTTTTTTATTGTTGATCTATTAAATCAATTTTGAAGATATCGTTAAGAATGTCTTTGTAACACTTCAAAATCACGATTAAATCAGCATCGATTGATTGAAGAGAGGATGAAAGTGATTGAATCCTTACAAAATTTTCATTCTGTAATGATAAGCAATGCTCTATTTTATTTGAAATCTCTATATTTTAAGAGTCTTGAGTCTCCTTTAATTTAAGCACGGCATTATTGATCTCGCTATATAGTTGGAAGCAATTACGTGATTTCCTTCGATTGCTAGTGTAAATGCGAAATCAAAGCCTTTTAGCTCTCAGTAATTTCTATGTACTATTGTTGCAAATTGTTGGCACTAAATGACATAAACTTTTCATTAAGAGCCTTAATGGTCTTTTCTAACTTTTAATTGTTAGCAGTATATTGATCTTACACTTCTTTGGTCAATTTAATATAATTGTCCTCGTTAGTTCTGAGTCTCTTCTCCAATGCGGCAATCTTACTATTGTCAGACACTGCTTATTATGACATGTTGGGAAGAATGGCTAATTAATACTTTGAATTTTACCTGAATGTTATTTGGAGTTTGATCTTCTACCTTGAGGACTTTTCAATTTATCTTGGGCACTCATAATGCTGACATTATCGTTCTATGGCAATGAGATTTAGCTTTAATTACGGAGTAGTCCACTTGTGTCATTATTTGAGTCATCTTTTTTTGCACTCGCTTTATTTCCATTTGGACTGTAAGGACTAGTTTAATTATATTGCAATTTCTGTAGATGTGAATTAAGTTCTGTCAAGTTGTCCCTATTTTCAAGTCTGTCTTGGAATTCTGTTAATTTGGCTTCAATTGAGATGATGATTTGTTTGAAGACCAGACCACTAACATTATCATCATCTTTAAGAGAATTGGCTAATTCAACAATTTCAATTAGACAATTCTATTTAACTTTAGGTTCTATGGGGATAGGTTGGATTATAAGTGGTTTAGAAGTATCGAGTCCATTTGATTCATTGGCAATCTCTTTTTTTGAATTGGATGATAGATTTGTAACATTATCCTTTGGTTTTGGAATTGATTTTCCTGGTTTTCTTTCTGATTGAATTGACGTTTTCATTTTTAGTTTATTTTTGTTGGAATAAAAATAATAAAATAATAAAATATAAAATATTATTGTTAAATAAAATAACTTAAAGATAATAAATAAAATAAATTAGTTCACAATAAGTCTTCTGTTGTTTCATCCACTTCCTTTATGAAGAATTCCTCGAATAAATTTTTGTCTGAATTGGAAGGTTTCTTAATAATCCCAAATTAATCTTATTAAGGAGTATATTTGGATGAAGCCATCAATCCCTCATATGGCATAACATCAATGCTTCTATCTAAATGTGCACCCAATTGACTAAGAAATTTATTATTGTTGGTGGACTACTAATCATCTCTCATATCTATACTACTTTCAATTTTATCTATGTTTTCTAATTAGTCCTAATAAGATAATTTATCTAAATAAATATGAATGAATACTTGATGAAGCACTAAATTAATGTCCAAAACTTCTATCAAGTAATTCTTATTTGGATCCCAACCGACTCATCAGTGCTGTACTACTAGTGATTGAATTCATCAATTAAATGAGTCCGTACTACTCCCCATTTCTTTCAATGATATGGATATCACTAAAACTTTTAACTAAATCCTCAATCATAATTTCATCATTCCTATCTCCATTTTAACTATTTTATAATTTTTAAATGACATTTCCCCATATATTATCATCTAACCTAAGACTAGAGTGCAATGATCTATCCTAACAACAATTATTCTAAGCAAAACTTAATTTATTTATAAAAGCCATCACTTCTTTAATAGTACTAATTTGGAAAAATGGATGCTACAAAGCAGCATCAACAGTGATTCTCTCACTTTTATTTGGATTCAACATAGCCATAATCAAATTACCTAGTGGCTATTCAAGTGTTTTTAATGATTCTTAAAATCTCCATTCATTTTAATTACCCAACAGCTCTATAAAATCTGTTAATTCATTTGAATGCAACGGTAATTTTTGGAAAATACATTAATAGGTAATGACTCCAATTGCCCAAATGTCAACCTCATTTGAATAACTAGCTTTATGATATATTTCTGGAGCACAATAAAAGATGTTACCCGTTTTTGTCAACATTTCAATTTGCTATCCTTTTGATGAGAATCTTCTTGAGACTCCAAAATCAACAATTTTGACATTGGGAGGTTCACTATCCCCATCCAAATTAACTAGTATATTATCTGGCTTTAAATCTCTATGGCATATTCCTTTTGAATGGGCGTGCTGAATTCCCAAAAGAAGCTGTTTTATCACAATCTTTAACTCCTCGGGAGTCAGAGGTCTTTTCTTTATTATGCTTTCCAAACTCGGGAACTTACAGTACTCCATTACTAAATGAGAAGTTTCCATCTTTTCATTGATGTAAAGCTCTATATCCTGAGCAATGTTTGGATGTTTTAGACATCTTGTATTATTGAATGTGCGTTTAACATTGCTCTGAATCTCTTGATCTCCAGATCTAACTATTTTTACAGCATATGTCTCTCCTGTGCTTTTCTTCTTTGCTATCTTAACTACGGCATGAGCTCCTTGACCTTTAAATTATATTTAAATTTATACCTAAAGTTTACAGACATTAGTAATAGTCTTCAAATCGTTTGCATACCTCTGGTTCATCCATCTTAAGAACAGGAGCATCGTCACTAAATTGAATCTACGTTTTTAATCTATTCGCCATTAAAATAAATAAGTTTAATGTTAAGTTAAGTGAAAAATAAAGCCATCATAGTAGACCCTTTATAACTTATAAAACTAATAATTCTGATCTCATCTCCAGCTGGATCTAGTTATTCTAATCCTGGGATTAAATCTGGTTGCCAATAACACAGCAGACATATAATTTTATCTATAATCAAAACATCCTTAAATTTCTATAATGTTGTAATTACAGGCATCTTTTTCAGATGAATATTTAATATATTGAAGATCTTTAGAAAAATAATCATGTGGCATGTGTTCTATTAGTGAATGTAGTCTTCTAATCATTGAAAATATGGAAAAAAGAATGGACTTCAATAATATTATGAATTATAGAATAAGGAATCAGTTGAATATATTTAAGAATAACATTAAATAAAATCATTTTTTAAGATCACTATAATTGTAATCAAGATTAACTAAAATTAATTTGAAGTTGTAGTTTAATTATAAGCTTCCTTTGATGAATAAGATTTAATTGTAATCTACACAGGAATTTGATTCCAAGAAAATTGAAAAATTGAGAGTATAAAAATTGGAAGGACTAATATATCAAATTAAACATTATTTTCTAAATCAATAATATAACTTTCTGAAATATTAGTAGAAATACCCAATTACTTAATTAATACTGATTATAAGAAGAAGAAGAATTTAAGAGTGATTTACCATAGCCATACCAATCTTAATCAAAGTTCTAAACTTTGACTACCAAAATAAAATAGATTCTACATTACATTTTTATTTCATGTTCTGTTTGTTATTTTATTCATCACATTTTAATAGTATGATAATAATTAACTTCAAGTTTAAGTGGGTTATTAATCATTACCCCAATTTTTCAAGCTATGATTAGGGTATGTTGAATATTGAAGATCGAATTCACTCACTTTTTTGAATATACCATTCTTACCTATAATATTTAATATGTTTACCTTGATGAATATTCATCATTCCTTTAAATAGATTTGTATATGCTCCAACCATTACACAAACATCTCCTGGAGATATGGCTGACTCGTCCATATCATGTACATTCAAGAAAGCACTGCCAGTCTCATCTGCAATCCAATACTTAGTGATTTTCTTTTAAGTCTTAGTGATTTATGATTCAATTTTTTTTAGTACTATGAACCTGATAAAGTGGATTATTTGGCTTACTTGAATTCTAAGTTCTTTTGGGTTGGGTACATATTTTTGATTTGGTTTTCGAATTTCTGCTTAAAGAGAATGGAATTGAGTTGTTCAAACACCTATTAATTAATCATTTAATTAATTATGATATATGTTATTTTAGGAATACTCACTCTAATCTATTTAATAACTCAACCACTCTTAGTGGTTATCTATTTCAAAATTAGGTATGGCAAAAGAGTAATTATTCAATATGCTCCGATGTTAGGACTTCTTCGTACTCTAAGTCAATCAAGGGCAATCAATGGCGATGCATTTGAAGCACTATCCAAACAAATAGGGAACAATAGATAAGCTGACATTTTAGTTACTAATTTGCTATTTCGACCTATGATCGTCTTCCTAAAACCAAAATACTATCGAATATTCATGCAATAACATTAAGATTATAGTAAATTCCCTATGATAGTCGACAAGAGATTGATATCAAAAGGCATGTTGATGGAAGGGGGAGCCAAATGGCTACAGTAAAAACGCCTTTTGGGATCTCATTTCGAATATAACAAGCTCATAAACCTTATTCCGATGATAAATGATGTAGCCCAAAAGAAATTGGCCAATTTACCTAATGAAGTATTCCCAGCCATGAATTTGGCCTCTTCGATTACGGGTGAGGTTGTTCTCAAGGCTTTCTTCGGGGAGGATATTGCTTAATTGAGTCTAAATGGACAAGATCCCTCATAATGCGTCACTCAATTAATCACTCGATTTGGATAATTAATAACTGAATCTCGATTCTTTCAAATAAAGAGGGCATTGCTTGAAGAAAAAGTGTTCAGTCTATTCCCAAGAAAAATCGAATAGGACCTGTATGAATTAAATACCGTTATGCTTGATCACATGAGAAAGGCAATAAAAAATAGAATGGAAAAATTAAAGAATTGTAAGAACATTGAACACCAGGATTACCTAGACGTTTATTTGGATGTTTACCTAAACAAAAACGATTCTATGGATCCACCCATAACAGAAGATGAAATACTACAATAATCTATCACACTATACTTTGCAGGAACTGAAACTACTGCAAATCTAGTAACGACAGCTTGTTATTTTTTAGCTGAGAATCAGCTACTTTAAGAAGAAATATACCAGGAAATTCTTGAAGTCTTGAATGGAGAACAAAATATAACAGCTAAACACTTACAAAATCTTTAAAAAGTAACAGGACTTTTAATGGAATGTCTTCGATTAAAACCAGTTGCTCCTATGTTGATATCTAAACAAGCATTAAAGGATTTATACATCAAGGATATATTCATCAAAAAAGGTATATATTTGATCTTATCAATGTTTAGGATGGTATGTCAATTACATGGTATTATCAAATGCATAAAATCAGAAATACTTTTCGAATCCAACCGAGATCGACATTACGAGGTGGAAGGCTGATGGAACTCTCAAAGATACATCCATCGATCCATTTGCTTTTGTGCCATTTTCAGCTGGAGGTAGAAATTGCATAGGATAATATCTTGCAATTATAGAGAGCAAAATTGTAGTCTCAAAAATACTGTTAAACTATAGATTGAAATTGAATCAGAAAATTGGAAGAGCGGAGTGGATAGCTAAAATTACATATGGACTATCAAATCAAGATTATATAATATGGGAAGCTAGATGATGTTTAAAATTTTAATGTTTAGATTTTCATTACAAAAAATTTAAATGGTCACACTTCGGCATACATTATGAATGTCTCACCTTAAGTTATTGAATTAATTTGATGAATTAATTATACTTAGGTGATTCTCCTCCATCTTGATTATCAAATAAATTAGGAGGGTATTATAATCCAACATATTGACATGCTTTAAGAAATTGTATCTATTCTTAAGGTAACATCAACTTTTGGTACAGATATTTGCTATCTTGATTCGGAATAGAATTTTTTGAAATTTGTAAATCTAATTTTTTACTAAAACTTTCAAAGCTTTTCTCAATTCTAGGTAGAGAGGTAGATCTGATTTTTTGATTGGAGAACACAATGCTTCTATTGTTCTTATCTTAACTTATGCTAAATCGTTTGTTTCTTTCTTCGATCGTTGGAATTTATATAAATTTTTTGATCAAACTATTTACTTATTTTCTATTCTTTAATTTCAATATTTCACTTCCTTGTGCTTCAATCAAACTTATTTTATGATCCAACTCTGATTTCTGTGCTTTCATGATTATTTTAGCTTCTTGATACTTTATTATTTCCTCTTTCAATCTTCTTTCATAGTTTGCACTTGTTGTGTCAATTAATTACTTAAGTTCCTAATTTTGCTCTTATAAAAACATTATTTCAAAGCTACTCATATTCGTTTAGACCTCTTGATGAACCTTCTTTTTCTAGATCAATAGCTTTTTTAGCATGCCTTGATTATTTTTAATTGCATCTCGCATCTTTTCTGTTTCCTCCTCCACAATTTGCATTCCTTATGGAACCTCCTTAGGACTTGGATGCGAATCGATAATGTTTTTACTATTAATCGAGAGTTTGTGGATAAAATCCCCAATTGATGACATTTCAATACTTGCTCGACTTTGATTGACCTTGGCCACCTTATGTTTCTCTTTTATGCTCTATTGGATTAAACATTCGAAAGGGACACTCCTGGGATGCGGAGATAAATGCAATTGGAATTATTGAATCCACAATAGCAGATTATTCAGGATCACCAAGTGATATCCAGATAGAGTCTTTCATGATATTGCTTTACTATTACTTTTATCACTTCTCCCAAATACGCTAGATCATACTCGCCCAAACTCAGGATTAACTAGGCTTCGCACACTGTCACAATATTACAGTATTATCTCAGGTCTTCGATGTAGCCCTGTTAAATTTCTTGTTGTCGATCGTTGAATTGCACTTAAGCCTTTTACAAAACTTGCCTTATCTTCACTGTCAGTTTCTCCAAACTTAATAGCAGCTATTGAAAATTACTCTGGATATTGTATGGAACTCATCTGCTTTGTTATAATAAAAATGAATTATAATCTATATATCATTTATGGTTTGTTGTAAAATTAATAATTAAGCATGTATCTTAAACTCAATATACTAGTCAATCCTTTTTTCGAAATCAAATAAGGAAAAGTCTTTTATTCTCAACAATTCTTTATAGAAATATTTAATTTATTATTACAAAATGAGTTATGGTTGGCTCACCGAAAGTTCCTTGATCCCAGAACCCGCAGTTCCCATCAATGTGGATAACTCATCTGTAATTACATAATATATCCAAGCATAGATAGTTGCAATGAAGATTGCTTTGATGAAGGACAAACAAAATGAATAAGGAGCACTCTCAAAGGCCAAGGTAGTTAAAAAATAGGAGAAAAGAATCAACAAAGGAATTGAAGAACGAATTAAGAGAGATATGAAAGACACTGCAGCTGAAACTGATTAAAATCGTTTAGAAAAACTAAATGCAATCTTAACAAAGAAGGCTGAAATTTATGAGAGATAAAAACAAACTGGGATTGTCACTAAAAATTCATTGATTGACTTTAATTTAAAATAGATAAATGACATGAGTGAAAAAGATTAAGAGTATTAAATTATTTATTATTCTTAGACTATATGAAATGGAAAGACAAGAATTCATTAAAAAGAAGAAGGAAGAAATACATTAGGCATAGAGAAATCTGATAAACCAAAGACCTGAAATTGCAAATCCCTAACTTGGATTTCAGTAAAATTAATAAGAACTTGAAAGAATTTAATGGGAACAGCAAATGATGAAAGAAATAGAAAGTAACATTAAGGATTCTAATTAAATCCTTTTCGAAAAAGGACCGATTGAACAATCTTACGATAAAAGACTATCATAAGCAGAAAAAGAGTAACCATATTTATCATTTTCCTTAGAAAACTCCCAAATGTCTTAAGTGAGGAATAAGAGGCTAAAGAAAAGATATCAGAAATAGCAAGAAAAAGAAAAGAATTTCAAGAAATTAGAATGGAAAAACTAAAAAAGTTAATTAAAAAGTGATTATTTATTGTTAAGCTTAAATTAATATTATTCATTTGCAAAATAGAGCCAAAATTAGATTGTTCAATATACTCCTTTGAGTCACAATAAAAAATAAAAAGAATGCACAAAAATATAAATCTGTTATTTCATAATAAAATTTCTTACATTTGAAATATAATATTATTAAATGAATATCATTTGATTTATTTCTTGGGGTTCTTTTTATAAGTAAGTGTTTGCTATACTCTAATTAAAATTATAAGAGAAATATCCATAATTTTATACTTTTTCTTATTAATAATTATCATAAATTTATGAATTTATAGATATAGTCAGAGAAATGTATATTTCCTAACAAAAACAAACATTCATTTGGCCCAACGCCTTAAGCTGTGAAAATAAGTAACAAGCGATTAAAGAGAGAATCAAAAAGTGTTATGGAAGTCTCCTTTAAAAAGAATGATTAAGTGATAATAGTTGAAAATTGGAAAAAATACAACGAGGATGTTAGTAACCTTGAGCAACCTTAAACTCCTATAAGAAAGTTCAAAGAGACTAGCTGCACAGGTTGTTAAATTTTCTGATCAAATGAAATATATTTATATAAATTTGGACTGTTTTTTGAATATTTCCTTGTAGTGATTTTATAAATACATCCTCGAAAAAATCAAATATTTAGGATAAGAAAGTGTTCATTTACTTTATTCACTTCATAGTATAATTAAGTAATAAATGAAGGGAATTATCCATTTTCTCTTTTATTTAATGTGAGTTTTCTTACAAAAAGAAATCCATAAAAATTTAGATATAAAATTTCTCTTAAAATGAATATAATTAACTTCGTAATCAATTATTTATAAAAGATAAGAACAAAATATCATTATTTTAAAAATATATATGAATATGCTACAGGAATTAAATTTGTCTGACTCCGACTCATATCCTTAAAAGAAAAGAGGCAGAAGTACAAATGGTCGTCAAAGTAAAATTAGATAGATTATATTAGTGACAAGTTAGGAGAAGTTTGAGTTTTAAAAATAATATTAGTTGTTTTAACTGTTTTATGAAAGTTGCCAGAACATTTCAATAGACTTTGTGTATCTAAAAGAATATTTTAATGTTGGTTTAAATGATTGTCCCAGTGATGTTGAAATTTTAAAAATTCAAAAGAAACTACACAATCGGCGTTTTTCATCCAATCCTAAGAAAAGTTGGGGATTTGATGAAAAAAAAGTCTTGATTTGGGTGATTGGAAAGTATTGTTCTTTGAAATAGAAAAATTGCAGATTTTTAAATAGTGATGATTTTAATGAAATTGCATAATATTTATTTAGAAGAAATGCTGAGAACATCAAATAAAAATGGACGTCAATGCATAAATCATCCTTAATTACGCAACCATTCACTTAAGAAGAAGATCAGTAATTATAATTATTGTTTGAAAAATACAAAAACGATGAAAATAGATGGAAATAGATTGCTTAGGAGATGAGCAAAGTTAATCAGATATACAGAACTAGTAAGCAATTAAGGGAAAGATGGATTAATTATTTAGACCCGTCATTAATTAAAATTAAAGATCCTTGGACAGATAGAGAAGATTTAGAGTTGATTTATTAAATTTAATAAAAGGGAAAGAAATGGACTGAAATAGCAAAATAATTAAAACGAAATGAAAATTAAGTGAAGAACAGATTTAATGGTTTATTAAAAAGAGATGAAGTAGATGATGATTTAAATAAATTAATAGATAAAATACTATGGAGAATAAGCAAATATCCAACTGATGAATTGAACAATTAAAATGAAAAATAGCATTTCCATAATAATCATCATTAAAGTTTACTACTGGCTGTAGGCAATATTGAATCAATTACCAGAGAAACTTCCTATGAATTGACTCCTTGTATGGTTAATCTTAAGACTAACTAAATCTTTTTCACTCCCAATTACATGTTACAAGAAATCCTCTAATATTAATAATAAGATATTGGGGATGAATTTGAAAAAATCAAGAGAGAAATGGAGAAATTTGAACCTCCTCAATTTAGAGTGGCTTCTTTGTCAGTAATTAGTGAAGAGTATCAACAACCATAACTTTTACATAATCATCAACACTTTATACACTCATTCTCCGAGATACCCAATTTTGAATCATCTAATTTGCCTGCATCTATTGAAGTCAAGACATTCATTAATCCATTTTATTCCTTAAAGAATTTGCAGTAGAAGTACATTCGGTATCGGACAGACTTATTATTACCAAAAGTAATGAATACTATACCTTGGAAATCCTAACCCTAATTATTATTTTGTTGAAAATTAAATTCGTTTCGTTTTGTTATTAACTATTCAAATTGTATTAATTTAATATATTTCATTAATTAATCTGTTATTAATAAAGTATACTTTATATTTTATACTATCAATAAGTGAATAAAAACCAGAATATCAATTGTTGGTAGTAAAGTATAATATCACTGTTACATATTTCGTGTATTATTTTATGGGATTTAAAAACTGAAGCTATAATAATCATCAAATATTTCTTAAATTAAAGTTGAAATGTTCTTGAATTGTAATTTGATAAAATAGTATTATCTTTAAAGAATTCTATTAATACATTTTATTTTCATCGATTTCTGTTTGAAATCATTTAGTTAGGCTGAATAATATTATGGTTCTTAAATACTATAATATTTTAATTTTCATTTATTAACCTAAGCATAACTCTAGAATATTACTACAATAAATATCAAATTATGACTTAAAATAATATTATATCAACTTCGTATCATTCAATTTCTCAAAGATATACTCTTATATGTAATTGTTGATATCATGAATTATGCATTTTAAGTTTTGAGTAAATATAATATAAATTTAATTTAAATTGTTTCTATTGAATGGAGTAAATTTTTGGAAATTCTGTTTCGCACAGGAATTAAATAGCGTTATAAAGCGATTTTGCTTATTCAGCTGGCTAAAAGGTTGTGTATTATTCAATAGAAAATAATGAACAATAAATTTTTTTTATAGGATAAGCTTAAGTAAATTCCATACTTATATCCAGAGATGGTAATTTAATTTTTACAGGAGAACAAAGTTTTAAAAGTCCAGCAATCAATATTTATAAAGTAACTACAGAAAAAACCATTGAACCTGTTCATCGATTAATAGGTCATAAATTTGGAATTAAACAATTATTGGAATCTCCGATTAAACCCTTATTATTGTCTCTTGGAACAGAGTAAGATAAAACGCTATTTTTATGGGATTTATAAACAAATAAAAGTTTGGCTATCAACAAGCTTCAAAATAAAGTGAATTCAATTCGATTTTCAAAAACAGGAATTATTTTGATTAGTACAGGTTAGTCTCATTTACAATATTGGCAATTTCGTTAAGATGGTACTCCAATATTTGAAGGGTTGACTCTTTAATCTAGAAGCTTTTAATTATTTGACTAATTTGTATCAAAAAATTACATAGATTGTTTTATTGATGATAATGTGTATGCATTCACATCAGATGCCCTATTGTGTATCTTTTCATTGGCCACAAAGCAGATATTGTCTTTCATGCAACTAGATTTAATACATCTCTTTACATATACCTTCAATGGAACTTACTTTTTTTTTGGAAGTTCGAATTCTAAAATTTAGATTTGCGATTCTGATTTGTAACATGTTTCCTTTCTCACTTAAGACAATTAAACGACTCAGGAGTATGATTGCATAGGAATTGAAGCTAATGATGTTTATTTGATCTCTGCATATCGCAATAGGAATATTGCATTTTGGAACATAACTAATATGAATAAGATTGAATAAATAAGAGTACTTTATAGTCACAGCAATGCTATTAATGATTTGATTGTTCTTAAACCTTAATCAACTTAGGAAACATCATTCTTTGCTTCAATTAGTGAACAATATCTGACCATCTGGCACACCAATTCTAATATTAACCGAATCAGGAAACTGAATTTGCATTGCAATGTTACTTATGTAGAATAGTTCAAATCTGATTTTTAATATAATGAATTACGGTGTCTTTCTCTATCAAGTGATGGGTAATATTTGGCTATTGGAGACACTTATGGAGTATTGAAACTTTTTTCATTTGTCAGTTTTAAATAATTGGCCTCTACTTAAGCTCATACTTTGAAAATCACCGTAATTTAATACTGGCCTTTCAATAATCGCTTTATGACAGGATCCGAAGATAAAACCATAGCAATATATGAGAAATCAAACTTTAAAAATTATTATCTTCTTTCTCATCATACTGATTCGATTCTAAACATTTTTACTTATTAGAATAAGATCATTACTTATTCGAAAGATAGATATCTTGTATTTTTAGAATATTCCTAACAAAATTACAATATCTACCATAAATCTTAGATGAGTAGAATAAATTCAATTGATTAGGATCAAAATCTTCTCTTTATTTTATAAGATGGTGTAGTCTCTGTAATTGATATCTAGCGTAATCATTAGAAATTAATATTAAATATCCAAGATTGCTTAAAATTGAGAGTAAGTCATCAGGATAATTATAGCATTTTGGCAACGGCATCCTATAAAAAGGTTACACTTTACAAATACTAGAATGAAAAATACTATAAAAAAATAGAAGAATTAGATATTGATAATATAGCCATGATTGAATTCGCAAATAATAATACCCATTTAATTTTTATGACAAGAGAGGCGAATACAATAATACTGTGGAAACTCAATTCTATAAAATCATTAACTGCATAATAAACCCCATCTTTGCAATTGAGTTGGGTAAATAATAATTTTTGGAAGAATAATAAATAGGATTCGGAATAAGAATAATAAGAAGAATAAATCGAGGAAGATGGGATTATAAAATTTGATTCTGAAAGTGATGAAGGCCAGATTGAACAAAATAAAGTTGTATCTGAAACTCCAAGGTTAGATTTATTGGCTTTAACATTAGGAGCGTAGCATGCAGGGGAAATAAAAAAATAATTAGATTAAGCTACCTAATAAATTAATAAGTAAATTTAACTAAAATAAGAGGAACAAGATCTTTTGCATAATCCATTTTATGAAGAACAGAAAAGTATGCAAGAATTTCATAAGAAATAGAACACAAAAATTATGTAAAGGTAGTTATTGAAAAAAGAACCTAAAGTTGAATTAAAATAAAATTAAGTTAAGGATCAATAAAAGGTTGAATAAAATTACGCTATTACTAATAGTATTGCATTGCCTATTGAAAGTTTTTTAGGGTAAAAGAATCAAAATTAAATAGTAAAATATGATAAAATGCCCACTCTAGAAATGGACATCAAAAGATTTGAGAATAGTTAAGTTATGAAAAATATTTAATAGAGTATTCGTAATTAATCTAAATTCTAAAGTTCATTTCAACCTGAAAATTCTATCATGTTAAATTGCTCGTACAATTTTACTGAAAGAAAGCAGGATGATTAGAATTACGATGATGAGAATCTACTATATGTATTTGATTATCAAAGATAAAATAGTAAAATCAATAGATTAAAAGTGCCAAATTTCAAATGCGATTGATAATGATTTAATTGAATGAACTTATTGAATGTCTTAATTAAATGCATAAGCCAATAAAGGATAAAGTGTTATTAGAAGTTGATGAGAGTTTAGAAACTATTTCTAAAGAAATACAAGATATTAGACAAGTTGATTGTGAGTCAGTAGAAGAAAATTAAGAAGACAAAGAAGAATATATATGTAATATTAACATTTGAGTATTAATAGACAAGGCAGTGAGTTAATGCAGTGAAGAATTGTTTGAGAATTATGCCAAGAATTTACTTGGTAAACTGCTTAATTAATAATGAACTATGATGTAATTGTATTAATTATTTCATTTATTAACAATATTCGTATTCTCCATTATAGAACAATTGCATATTTTATATATTAAAAAAATGAATTTAATAATTGAATAATCATCCTGTATATGAATATAAATAGAATCAAATCCTTATAAGATAATATTAGGATTAAGGAAATAACTATGAAAAATTTAATTAGTTATTTTTTAATCTTAAAAAGTTGATTTTATATCGAAATATTTTGAAATAAATAATTAAATTAGAAAGAAAAATAATAATAGTAAATTGAGCTAAAATTATTATTAGAATCTTTAAAAACTTTATCATTTTTGAGATGATGTACCAATATATTAAAAGATGGCCATCATAACAAAAAATATTTGTTTATGTAAGTTTAATCTTAATATGATAGTGAGTTTGATTTGTTAAAATCCAAACACAAACACTAAAATTATAGATCTACATAATAAATGCATGCAGATGGGTAATCTTATGATTAGTCATGCTGCATTTAAATTTGCACAAAACTACAGGATTTTAGTCAGAAATAATAACATATTTCAATGAGATTGTTGAAGAACAGGGTACCGAATTGTTGTTGTATCTATTTTATGAGGATGATAAGATTAAATGCTTCTAAGATCAATGATATAATATTTAGAGACTTTCCACATGATGTATCCAGAAAGCATTTTGCCAATAGAATTTTACAGTTAATTGTTAGATACAACACAAACAAGTCATTTGAGATTGTTGACCATAGTACTGATGAGAAATTCAAAGGTTACATAAAATGTAGCCAATTATGGAGTGCATAAAAGGAGATTGAAGGGGTTTGCTTATATGAGTAATGAAGCCAAAGAATTATTAAAAAAATATATTTGTGATAATTAACTCATGATCTTAAAAATTAGATAACTCTTTTCTACGATTGCGGAGCCAGTCTCAGGAGGTAGATAATGGATGAAGTTCTTTCAAAATTCCACAGGGATACAAATAAACATTGAAAGGAGTTTGAAAAATGAAGCTGTATTCATTTTTTTATATCATAGACTGAAAATCTCAATTACTATGTTCGTTAAAATTACAAGACTTTTAATTAAGAATAGTTGTTTTCAGCATACATTAAAAAGGATTTGCAGTTCGAAATTTAAAAATAAGTGTAAATGGAGATCTTAGAACGATTTGTAGCAGATTAAATGAATTTTAATGAGAATATGCTGATCACATTTTTAAACAAGGAAGCTCAATTGTTACCAGCCTATTATTCAGTAATAGCATAAAACCTCCTTTTAAATGGTCTGAAGATCTTTGATTAGCTTAATATTTATTAATAGATAGAATATATGAGATTATGTTTGTAATCTGGGTTTTTGCATGCAGACATTCTTTAGAAATTCATCCTAAATCTAAAGATCGATGATGAATTCATAGATTCCTTGTCATTGCTTCAATTCAGAAACATAATGACATTATTTGGATATTGTGCTACATCACCATATGATTTAGGATTGTAGCCAGGATTCATAGATTACTTGTGTAATAAATATATCCAAAAATTAAGTAATTTCGAATTGGTAGCATCTGAAATTATGAAATATGAGTTTTCTCAACTCATGATAAATTATCATTTTAGTTTTTTGAGTGAGGAATAATATTCAGAAATTAAGATAGCTTACGCAAGAATGTAAATATTTATATTCTAAATTAGACTTGAGAAGTTGTTCAATAAGAATTATAATTTTGTAGTCCACAGAAATTTGAATAGTAAGGATGTTGCTAAGAAATTATTGTGGCTTTATCAACCAGATGATTTTAAATTGTTGCAAAGATCCCTTACTCATTTGATTACCAATACAATTTACTAAGGAGAATTCAAAGCTGATCATATGATTTATTCATTGCCATGTAACTAATCCTCATTTATATCAATAGTGTATTTTAGGTATTTCAGTCCATAACTGTACTCCTTATTATTAAAATAATGTCAGAAACAGAATTAAAATTACAAAACATCAAAGTATGATATAAGGCAGTTTATGTTCTTATTGAATAGCAATGCCCTTAAAGGATTTCGAACAATAATGTATGATAAAACAATACTTGATGATGTTGAGAATTTTATAAAAAGCACCCTCATTTCATACCTAAGCAATGTTAAAGATGAAGAACTCCTAATTTTTGAGGAAATATTTAATCCAAGTATGGAGTAAGATACTGAACTTGACTTTAATGATGCGGAATATGCTGAAATCCTACCTTATTTTTAAAATAATAACAAAAATTAAGACGCATAAAATCAAGTAAATCAAAGGCAATTTTTAAACAATTTAACTCTGAAATTCAAATCTGTATAAAACACTTTATATTAAAGTGGATTTCAAAGAATCTCAACTTAAAAAATAAATAAAAGAGTTTCAATTTTAGAACCTGTTCTAAGTTTCATTGAAGTCTTATATTATGCATCAATTTTAATTCCTGAATTCCAACCATAGACAAAATTATTTAAAACTCCATAGATGTTTAAATTAGTAAATAATCTCATTTATTTGCCAAATCTGTTAGAGCATTTGGTTTAAGTGAATCAAATATGGCCTAATCTATTTAGCGATGAATTGAAATCGATAATCACTGCCAGCAAAGCAAAAATAGATGAAGTCTACAATACTTGTCAAGATTGTCAAGAATTCATTGATAAAGTTGAAGGACAAATAGACTTAACTGGATCACACAAATCTAGAAAATTATAATATAGAAACAAAACCTATCAAGGATTGTTACAATTATTCAATTTTGCTCGTCCAAAACCACACAATAAATTATCTCCAATATTAAAAAACCCATCTGAAGAGTACACAATAGAAGAGACATATTCAAATTAAGAAGTGAATCTGTATTGGAAACTATCACAAAGGAGTGATAATGTAATTTAGCACACTCATTTCAAAGAACTGGTGTGGTAGGCACTTAAACTTGATAAGAATTAATGGATTATGAATTATAGTGACTTTCCTCATCTTGTCGATTTTGCTTGTCCGAAGCAGAAAGTTGTAGTTTTCTTGGAGGAGTACCCTCGTTTAATTAGAGGGTTGCATAAAGTGTACACTGTGGAGACGGAAAGGGCAGTGGAGCATTTCTCTAGACTTGGATATCAAGTTGTGTTTATAGATTATAATGTGTATCATCCAGATAATGAGTAGATGTTGAACATTTTGAAATAAAAATTTGTATTTCGTTATAATTGAATTAAATAATATTATGAACGAAATTACAATCCCATGTTCTAATTGCAAACAACCAATTGCAGAATCTAAACATATGCTTCATGAAACATATTGCCTACGTAATAATATAAAATGTCCTAAATGTGGAGTATTTTACGATAAAAATGATCCAGATAGTCATGAGGAGGAATACCATAAAAAAGAAAAATGTTAATATTGTTCCTTTGAAACTGAAGGTCACTTTCTATATTATTTAAATAGATTTGAAAAAACATAAATGCTTAAAGAAACCAAAATAATGCATGCATTGCGATCTTTCTTTCCCAGCTGATTAGTTATATTATCATGAGACTCAATGTGGAAGTAGGACATAAAAATGCGATATCTGCAATAGTTATATTATAATGAGAGAGTACCAAACTCATCTTATGACTTGTACACCTAAACCAAAACCTGATTCCTCTTAATAATAGAAAAAGCCAACCTATTAAGAAATTTTTGATAAACAAAATTATGACACCCCCAAAATAGATGATAAAATTGATCAATAGAAATTCAATAGCAAAAAGGAAACACTCCAATAAAATACCTCAAACCAAGTCTCATCCAAACAATAAGTACAGACACAATAACAATAATAATAACAACAAACCAGAATTGCAGGATCTGGATATAAATATGGATCGGCAGCTGGTGAGTCCAAAACTTCCTATCAACTAAAAGACGAAGATAAAAATAGATAAAAGGATGCAATTAGACCTCCGTCTTCTAATAATCAAACAGGTTTTAGACCTTAGCCTTAAATCGCAACATAAGGAACATAACCTAAATAATAATCATATAATACTACCTATAATCAAAGATAATAGAATTCCACAAAAAATGAAGAAAAAACACAATTTGATAATCAATATGAAAGGTAATAGTATATAAATAAATAATCCCAACAATCTTAACCACAACCGTAATAATAGTAAAAGTAATCAACACAAGGTTAGAAAAGTTTAGAGAGCTATAAATATTCTTAAAATGATAAACAACAATTTTAGACTTAAAATAATAATAATCCTGGTTTAAGAAGACCAGATACTGCAATAGCAAGAGAAGTCTAAAAATAAATATAGTTGGAAGAAGAATTTGGGATAAGTCCAGAAGAGTATTTAGAATAACAAATATTTAATACAATGCCAATAAATGGAAAGACAGAAAAAACTCAGCCTGTCAAAAAAACACCACCGCCTTAACCTGTAATACCAGCAAGGGTTCCTTAGAATTATGATAACAAGGATTTCGATTTCGATTTCGACGATATTACAGAGGAAGAAAAACTTGCATAATAATAAATAATGGAAAGTTTAAAGGATAATAGGAAAAAACGCTGAATCCTATATTTTAATTATATAAGTGTAAATTTATATATATATGAGTTATGTGCTGTTTAAAAATTAGAAGTAATAGGCGATTCTTAAAATTAATAATAATTTATTTTTTATTATATTAATTGTTTAATTTAAGACTATTAATAGTTGATATCATCAATATAAGTTAACTATTATTGATTAATAAATTTTCTTCATTATTACATGTATGCTTTGTGAAAACACGATGTCTTGGCATTAAAACAATAATGTAGAATTATTTTTGTTGCTAAAGCATAAATTTCTTGTCAAATTTACTTATTTGAAGACCCTACAGCTTCTCTCTAAGTTTAATCCACAATACCTTTCTCAAACAATTAGATTGTTAATTAATCCATCCGGATGAGAATAATATCAAGATTCATAAAAATAAGAGAAGAAGAGATGTATATAATAAGGATTAATGTAAAAGAATGAGGAATTTAGTTTTTCAATTATGTAAATTAATTGAAGCTGTATTTCTTAATTGATTTATTCCATCTGTTGTCTTATTTTTACAACTATCTTCGAACTCAGATTAAGTGTATGAGTAAATAATCATAAGATATTTCTTGTTCAAGAGTATTAAAAATAAATTTTATGAAAATCTTAATTTTGATAAGTATTAGGTGGGGTGATGGAAAAATTTAGATTGATAAATATAATTGAAAAATATAAATTTTAAAAAGGAGTGACTACTATGCTTTTTATTTAATAATACTGATGCACCTTAACATGAAGAGGAAGTAGGAGGCTTTTGGATTATGCCTGCTTATGATTGGGGATGATAGACAATCTTCTCCAAAAACTTATACCTAAACTACCTACTCTTAAGGTAATATGACAACCTTTACTAAGCTCAACTGAAGTGTGAAGTAGATTATGAAAGATATTATGTAAAAAAGATAGATCTAATAAAAGTATGATCAAAGATACGATTTATTTTGAAAATTCTTTGGTTGACTTGTAACTTGATAAATTATATGAGTAACTGTTGTCCAGAGACAAATTTCACTTTTGAATTATAGAAAATTATTATGGAATCAAAGCTCACCAGAAATGAATAGAATTAAATAGACTTTAATAGGTTCAAAAGGAACAAAGATATTAACAGCCATCCTTGTAAATGCAGGTTGGTTTGAGATTCATTAGGCACATTTAAGTAAACTGAAAGAACAATACATTGAAAAACCAAATAATAGCTTTGACATTGATATAGTCCTTAATTTTAAAAGTTACTTTCCTAAGTAGAATATTGACTCTTTTCTTTTTAACCAACTGAGTAATTATTGAATAGTTAATTTAGAAATATTTCATTAGGACAAGAGGAGTATTTTACACCTTCACTGTGGTACTAGATTGTACGGAATTGACAAAATTTATATTATTAATATTAATTAATAAATATAAATGGGTAATGGATAATGTTGCAAAAGGGTGGAACGAGTCGAAACTCTAGAATTAGATAACAGTCCTCCTTAAAATACTAAACATGCTTCACCTTTTGATGAGCCACAACAAATGGTTTCACTCTCTGATTCTGACGAAGAATATTAACCTTAAAAACAGCATCAGTTTGGAGTATTCAAAGAAAGACAAAAATCTTCTCAGCTGTCAACTGGTTAACAATATTCTTTTTAAACTCTACCATCTGAATAATAATTCTCAAATTTTATTACTTTTTAAGCCATTCCATCTCAGTAAGGAATTCATAATAATGTATTCTCCAAATTTCAAAAGGAGATGAATGAGTTTGCTAGTAAATAAACCAAAAATTAAAAGAACTTGTAAAAATAATGAATGATTTGTATTTTTGTTATACTTATATATCAACTTTTAAACAAAATATTCATCATTATATTTTAAGAATTTTCCAACATAAATTCTTAGACAATCATGATTCTAACAATTATTATTCTGTCTGATTTATTAAAAATAATCACTAATATTTTATATAATATCTTATAACTCTCTTTTTTTATACTGAATTAGATTGTTATATAAATACTCATTGATGTTTATCTTCTCATATTATTTCAACCTTCTCAAAGTTTCAAAGCCTACATGATATGGTCTATTTAAAACAAAATCAACTCCTTTAATCCAAGCCTATGGTTCAGTACAAAATACTCTTCACATAACAAACTATTATAATTCAAGATTAAATTTTCTTTTATTTTGTGTAATAGAAGACAACAGCTTTATTATTAAATAAAAATTAGAGTTCTAGATCAATCAAAATTGTAAAGACTAATAAAATTGAATTCCTTCCCTATCATACATTTAAGACAATTGAATAATGTCTCTATAAATGATGAAATTTACAACTTCATCAAATATACCTTCATATATTGTAGAGTTCTTTAATTTTATTTACTTCTTGATTGATTGGAGCTCTATATTTATATTTTTGATGCTTATTATTCGCTTAATTAGTGACAATAATGTTAAATTTAGATCTCATTTTCACTTACATGGGCTCTGGATGAACTAATAACTTGTATACATGATTTCTTATTCTCTAAAATGAAGGAGTTATACTTATTATTATTCATGTGGATTCATTTCAAAACATTAAGTATTCTTGTTACTTCGATCATAATATGATGAAATCTATTTTCATTTTTTATATCATCTACTCTAGTGATACAAAATAATTTAATCAAAATCATTCTAAAAATAGAAACCTTTTCTTAATCATCAATATTTTCTCCACTATTTTAATTTTCACGACACCACCTTGGTAGTCTTCTTGCCTAAGCAATTAGTTAATGATATTTAATTTCTACAACATCCTTTGAAATAATACCTTAACATTATTAAGTGTTCGCAAGTGTAACATTTAATTTTTCTAATGAAATCTTCAGTTTTTTTTAATCTTAAAGAATTTATCAAACTTGTATTCACCATTTGAATCAATGCCTTTGCCCTCTAAATATGAGAGATACTCAGATCTTTCTTCTATGTTTACATTCAGTTCCTTAGTCTAAATACATTACAATTTAGCAAATTAATTTTTCTCTTGTAGTATCTCCTTAAAGAATCCCTTGATTTATTTAAATTTATGAATCTTAATGGCATGTTGAATATTTATCATCAACTTGAAATCATTTCAAGAACTTTCTTCTCTATTTTCGGAGTGTAGCTGAATTGATGTTTGAATCATGGGAACTAAACTTGGTAAACTATAATATCATTTCAATCTAAAAAATATGAATTCAGTATTTGTTAACTAATCAACTTCTTTAACTTAAAAATAATTCTTAAATCCCTTTTAATTCTATTTATTAAGTCTCATAATAATCGCCTTATTAGTAAAGATTATTCGTTAGTAATGATCATATTATAGTCTCAAGATGTAAAATAAGTTGGTGATTATAATTTTCTCTAAAAAATGAATCTATCTTCTATAAGAAGCCTATAATTTATCAATTTTATGAAGTCAACATAATTAATTAGTATTTTTAAAGAATCAAAGCAAGTCATATAGCAATATATTGATATTTTCAAATAAAATGAAAGAAATGATATTTTTATCAATAGAACCAAAATTAACAATTAACTTTATTAGATTTGCCATAAAATTTAGTCTACAATTAAATTAGTTATTAAACTTGAAAATTAGTATTTTGTTATAAATTAAAATAGCCATTTGATAATTTTATTAAGTTATAATTTAAATAGTACAAGATAATTAGACACAAGAGGACAAGGATGCAAAGATAACCAAAAGCGTGACATTTTGTTTTGAGAAGAACATTGTTCATTCTATTTACAAATGCCCATCTGAGTATTTAAGTAAAAAAAAGAGGAAACAATTAAGCAGAAAAATCTCAAGTTCAATTAAAGGAAAATGGCTGTTGGATCAAACATCCTCTGATGAAGAAACCAAAAACTATTCAGATCTTGAAGATTATGAACACTTCTACAGCATTATTGAATGGAAAAAACTATAAGAAGCTTAACAATAAAAAATGACTCCCAATAATTAGAATGAAGATTAAAATTCAAAAAAAATCAATGATTTTAAAGATAGAATTTTGGATACTCCTAAATCATGTCTAAAGCAGATCAAGAAATTAGACATTCCCCCTCAATTAGACGAACCTTAATAAAAGGATTAAATAGATGATTAATAAACGGAAGTGTGTTCAGAAAAAAATCTAAATAAAGATAATCTTTTAAATGATTAATTCATTGTTGTAAGTAAGTTTAAAGATCATGGTGAAGGAGAAGAAGATCAAGTAAAATAATTAAAATAATCATAGATATCTATAAATCTTGATGATTTATTTGAATTCTAAAGTAATTATAAAGAATAGAAGACTCATGATCGATAAGATATTTCAATATATGATTCACTAAGGAAAAAAATAGATTTTAAATCAGCATTCAAGATTGTTGATATAGTAAAATTATATGAAAATATATGAAAAATTATTTAATATTATTTTGTAATACATTCTATTACTATTCCAATTAAATGTATTGTAAATTAAGATTGCAATTGATGTGTATGAAACTCAAGCGAAGTTGTCCATCAAAAGCATTCTTCTGTTTAAAATACTTCCTTAGGAATTGAATATTTCTGTTCTGCAAAGGTGCTGAATAAAGTTTTGCAAGTTCTAATATACAAATATCTTTGGTTAGCGAAAATTATTTAAGTATTGTATAAATAAATGGATAAGAATGTATAAATGAATTTGAGAGTAAGCCATAAATGATTATGAAGTTCTATATTTAAAACTATTGGCATTCGTATCATTAATTTTAGTAAAATCAGTATATTAACTATTATCCTAAATCTCAACATTGCCAACAAGTTTCTTAATATTTAAGTTCTTATTCAAAAAAGCTCCTCTTTCTTTTTTCTATTTTGCATGTCATCAAACACAAAGAATAATAACTTGTTAATTACTTAACATGATCAATAAAATTAGAATGGCCTTTTGGGATTGAATTTAAATAATAATCAAAGAATAGCAGTAATTTCAAGAAGATTTACTAATTTTAGTTCAATTCATAATTGTCTAATACCTATTTATAAACCTTATTAGTTTATAATATTTAAAGATGAACTGAATCAGAAAGGATTAATAATATTTAAGGAAAGTTTTAGTATAAAATAAAGATTAGTTAAATAGTATTCTTTGAGGAAATAATGAAATTAACTTTTGGGTCATTCTTTTTTTAGATTAATCAAAAATTCATATAATGACTGAAAATTAGCACAAGAAATAGTGAATTGAGATTGCTATTTGAGTTTTAGATGATTAATTAACTTACAAATATTCAACTTATAAATTTAATTAATTAAATTATATAAATAACGAATGTCTAGTGCCATCATAGGTAGGAAAGTTGATAAGGAAGTTCTGTTCAATATTGATGGGTAGCCAATTAATGATAGTAATAATTGATAATATGACTAGATGTCAAAGTTTTGAAGTTTGCAGCCACTCCTCAACCATAATTAGTTAAATCGTCCAAAGAGCCTGCTAAGAAAGAATAAGAAAAAAGTAAACAAAATAAATTGAACAACAATTCATCATAGAAAACAATACCCAAAAAGTCAACTTAAATTCCAAATTCAAAAAAACAAACAGAATCAAAAAAATAATAACCAACCACATAATCTCATACGGTATTTCAGAACATTACAAATCATCAAAAATCAGCTAAGTTGTCATCTCCTGAATCCCAAAGATCACCATAACACTCTCCTAAATCTAAATCGCCAATTCGAAGTCATAATGCCCCATACAGAGAACCAAGATAATTTAAACCTTTAAGTGAATAATTCCCAAATTTGGTTGGAGCATTATTTGAATAGAAGAAATTTACAGAGGATGTTGATGATGACTCTTAGACAAGTGGAACTGAATCCTATATCTCAGATAGAGAATAAGGAGATGATGAAATTAGGTAAGCACCTTAGCCAGAATCAAATCCTTAAGTATATAGAAATGTGAGTAAAATCGTTGCTGAAAATAACAAAAAATATGTGTATTCAAAAAAGGAAGAAGCAGAAAGATAGGAGAGAATGAGACAAGAAAAATTATAATAAAGAGAAAGAATGAAAAAATATGGCAAATAATAAATTGTTAGAGCCCATACTTAAAGGGAGAATTTTGAATAAAAATTTGCTTGGGGTGTCAATTAAAAAAAATTACAAGATGAAAAAATGAAGTTTACAAAATTATAAGAAGAAAAGGAATATGAACGACAGTTAAAAATTGAATAATAAGAAGAAGAGCAGAAACCTAATTAAGTTAATTTGGCTAAGTTATTCCCTGAAAGTTAAGACAGAGAGTCTCGCTATAAAAAAATGTGGGTAGAGGAAGCCAAAAAGGCAGTTGATAAGAAATAATTTTCATTATCTTAAAGGGAAAAAACTAAATCTCCAGTCAGATGTAAATCCTAACACTCCTCCAAGTTGAATTAAGACTTTTTTGAGTAAAATGCTAAAATCATTATTGATGAAATGTAATAGCAAAAGAAATAAAAGTAAAAGGAAACAATAATAAAAAAGCATAAGATTGATTATATTAATAGACAGGTAAAAGCAATCTTTTCATCAATGAAAAAGCGTAAGTGGACTCCAGATAAAGAATTTGATAACAAAGTAGGACCATCAGTAAGTTTAAGCAGAATCAAACAACCTAGAGATGATTTTGGAGTTAAAGAGATGTTCGAAGAGGCTGAAAATGAAGCAGAAGATCTTAATGAATAAGGAAAGGTTTAACATTATTNTTCCTTAGGAATTGAATATTTCTGTTCTGCAAAGGTGCTGAATAAAGTTTTGCAAGTTCTAATATACAAATATCTTTGGTTAGCGAAAATTATTTAAGTATTGTATAAATAAATGGATAAGAATGTATAAATGAATTTGAGAGTAAGCCATAAATGATTATGAAGTTCTATATTTAAAACTATTGGCATTCGTATCATTAATTTTAGTAAAATCAGTATATTAACTATTATCCTAAATCTCAACATTGCCAACAAGTTTCTTAATATTTAAGTTCTTATTCAAAAAAGCTCCTCTTTCTTTTTTCTATTTTGCATGTCATCAAACACAAAGAATAATAACTTGTTAATTACTTAACATGATCAATAAAATTAGAATGGCCTTTTGGGATTGAATTTAAATAATAATCAAAGAATAGCAGTAATTTCAAGAAGATTTACTAATTTTAGTTCAATTCATAATTGTCTAATACCTATTTATAAACCTTATTAGTTTATAATATTTAAAGATGAACTGAATCAGAAAGGATTAATAATATTTAAGGAAAGTTTTAGTATAAAATAAAGATTAGTTAAATAGTATTCTTTGAGGAAATAATGAAATTAACTTTTGGGTCATTCTTTTTTTAGATTAATCAAAAATTCATATAATGACTGAAAATTAGCACAAGAAATAGTGAATTGAGATTGCTATTTGAGTTTTAGATGATTAATTAACTTACAAATATTCAACTTATAAATTTAATTAATTAAATTATATAAATAACGAATGTCTAGTGCCATCATAGGTAGGAAAGTTGATAAGGAAGTTCTGTTCAATATTGATGGGTAGCCAATTAATGATAGTAATAATTGATAATATGACTAGATGTCAAAGTTTTGAAGTTTGCAGCCACTCCTCAACCATAATTAGTTAAATCGTCCAAAGAGCCTGCTAAGAAAGAATAAGAAAAAAGTAAACAAAATAAATTGAACAACAATTCATCATAGAAAACAATACCCAAAAAGTCAACTTAAATTCCAAATTCAAAAAAACAAACAGAATCAAAAAAATAATAACCAACCACATAATCTCATACGGTATTTCAGAACATTACAAATCATCAAAAATCAGCTAAGTTGTCATCTCCTGAATCCCAAAGATCACCATAACACTCTCCTAAATCTAAATCGCCAATTCGAAGTCATAATGCCCCATACAGAGAACCAAGATAATTTAAACCTTTAAGTGAATAATTCCCAAATTTGGTTGGAGCATTATTTGAATAGAAGAAATTTACAGAGGATGTTGATGATGACTCTTAGACAAGTGGAACTGAATCCTATATCTCAGATAGAGAATAAGGAGATGATGAAATTAGGTAAGCACCTTAGCCAGAATCAAATCCTTAAGTATATAGAAATGTGAGTAAAATCGTTGCTGAAAATAACAAAAAATATGTGTATTCAAAAAAGGAAGAAGCAGAAAGATAGGAGAGAATGAGACAAGAAAAATTATAATAAAGAGAAAGAATGAAAAAATATGGCAAATAATAAATTGTTAGAGCCCATACTTAAAGGGAGAATTTTGAATAAAAATTTGCTTGGGGTGTCAATTAAAAAAAATTACAAGATGAAAAAATGAAGTTTACAAAATTATAAGAAGAAAAGGAATATGAACGACAGTTAAAAATTGAATAATAAGAAGAAGAGCAGAAACCTAATTAAGTTAATTTGGCTAAGTTATTCCCTGAAAGTTAAGACAGAGAGTCTCGCTATAAAAAAATGTGGGTAGAGGAAGCCAAAAAGGCAGTTGATAAGAAATAATTTTCATTATCTTAAAGGGAAAAAACTAAATCTCCAGTCAGATGTAAATCCTAACACTCCTCCAAGTTGAATTAAGACTTTTTTGAGTAAAATGCTAAAATCATTATTGATGAAATGTAATAGCAAAAGAAATAAAAGTAAAAGGAAACAATAATAAAAAAGCATAAGATTGATTATATTAATAGACAGGTAAAAGCAATCTTTTCATCAATGAAAAAGCGTAAGTGGACTCCAGATAAAGAATTTGATAACAAAGTAGGACCATCAGTAAGTTTAAGCAGAATCAAACAACCTAGAGATGATTTTGGAGTTAAAGAGATGTTCGAAGAGGCTGAAAATGAAGCAGAAGATCTTAATGAATAAGGAAAGGTTTAACATTATTAACAAAAAGTGAAAAATGGGAAAGTTCTGACTTCCAGAGAAGTTAGAGAATTTAAAGAAGATTAAGAAAAGAAATAAAAAAAAGTTGAAAAATTTAAAACTGATCTTAAAGATAGAAAAAATATTACTTTAAAGAATCCAGAACCTCTTACAGAGAAGGAACTCAAGTTAAAAAGAGAAATGGCTTAGCAAATTGATATTAAAGGAGAGGTGGAAAAATAAATAAAGAAATCATAAACTAAAGAACCAAGAAATCCTTAGAAAGTTCAAAAGACAACCATTTAAGAACCTGATTTAGGGGAATTCATATTTGCAGAGGCAGAATTACCTTAATATAAAGGAGATTATGAAGAGGAATAAAAAATGGGTTTTAGAGAATAAGTTGAAATGGAAATAAAAGAATAAATTTTAATGTAGAAAAAGAAAAGACCAGCTGTAAGAGAGGTTTAATAAGAGAAACCTAGATAAGAATAGGCTCGTAAACCTTAAGAGAGGGAGAAAGGTCCAAAATATAGGAAAGAACAAAAGTTTGTTAGTCAACCTAGATATCCTGTGTTTCATGATTTGGGCGAAGTCCAATTATTAGAGGATGATATGTATAATGCATAACATTCTAAATGGACTCCTTATGCTGGAAAATTAATTGACAACAGCAGTGATGAAGAAGATGACAGAGATTTCCTAGAGAAAACAACAATATAATTGAGATCAAATCTTAAAAAAGGAAAGGAAAATTTGGGATCTTAAAAAACCTATTCCAAGTCTGTGTAGGGAAAGAAAACTGTTTACTTCAGAGAGCCTGAAAGTGAAAAGAAGGATATTGGAAATCAATATTTAACGGAATAAAAGGAATAATTAATGAGAATAGTTTAAAAGTAATTGTTNCATCATAGGTAGGAAAGTTGATAAGGAAGTTCTGTTCAATATTGATGGGTAGCCAATTAATGATAGTAATAATTGATAATATGACTAGATGTCAAAGTTTTGAAGTTTGCAGCCACTCCTCAACCATAATTAGTTAAATCGTCCAAAGAGCCTGCTAAGAAAGAATAAGAAAAAAGTAAACAAAATAAATTGAACAACAATTCATCATAGAAAACAATACCCAAAAAGTCAACTTAAATTCCAAATTCAAAAAAACAAACAGAATCAAAAAAATAATAACCAACCACATAATCTCATACGGTATTTCAGAACATTACAAATCATCAAAAATCAGCTAAGTTGTCATCTCCTGAATCCCAAAGATCACCATAACACTCTCCTAAATCTAAATCGCCAATTCGAAGTCATAATGCCCCATACAGAGAACCAAGATAATTTAAACCTTTAAGTGAATAATTCCCAAATTTGGTTGGAGCATTATTTGAATAGAAGAAATTTACAGAGGATGTTGATGATGACTCTTAGACAAGTGGAACTGAATCCTATATCTCAGATAGAGAATAAGGAGATGATGAAATTAGGTAAGCACCTTAGCCAGAATCAAATCCTTAAGTATATAGAAATGTGAGTAAAATCGTTGCTGAAAATAACAAAAAATATGTGTATTCAAAAAAGGAAGAAGCAGAAAGATAGGAGAGAATGAGACAAGAAAAATTATAATAAAGAGAAAGAATGAAAAAATATGGCAAATAATAAATTGTTAGAGCCCATACTTAAAGGGAGAATTTTGAATAAAAATTTGCTTGGGGTGTCAATTAAAAAAAATTACAAGATGAAAAAATGAAGTTTACAAAATTATAAGAAGAAAAGGAATATGAACGACAGTTAAAAATTGAATAATAAGAAGAAGAGCAGAAACCTAATTAAGTTAATTTGGCTAAGTTATTCCCTGAAAGTTAAGACAGAGAGTCTCGCTATAAAAAAATGTGGGTAGAGGAAGCCAAAAAGGCAGTTGATAAGAAATAATTTTCATTATCTTAAAGGGAAAAAACTAAATCTCCAGTCAGATGTAAATCCTAACACTCCTCCAAGTTGAATTAAGACTTTTTTGAGTAAAATGCTAAAATCATTATTGATGAAATGTAATAGCAAAAGAAATAAAAGTAAAAGGAAACAATAATAAAAAAGCATAAGATTGATTATATTAATAGACAGGTAAAAGCAATCTTTTCATCAATGAAAAAGCGTAAGTGGACTCCAGATAAAGAATTTGATAACAAAGTAGGACCATCAGTAAGTTTAAGCAGAATCAAACAACCTAGAGATGATTTTGGAGTTAAAGAGATGTTCGAAGAGGCTGAAAATGAAGCAGAAGATCTTAATGAATAAGGAAAGGTTTAACATTATTAACAAAAAGTGAAAAATGGGAAAGTTCTGACTTCCAGAGAAGTTAGAGAATTTAAAGAAGATTAAGAAAAGAAATAAAAAAAAGTTGAAAAATTTAAAACTGATCTTAAAGATAGAAAAAATATTACTTTAAAGAATCCAGAACCTCTTACAGAGAAGGAACTCAAGTTAAAAAGAGAAATGGCTTAGCAAATTGATATTAAAGGAGAGGTGGAAAAATAAATAAAGAAATCATAAACTAAAGAACCAAGAAATCCTTAGAAAGTTCAAAAGACAACCATTTAAGAACCTGATTTAGGGGAATTCATATTTGCAGAGGCAGAATTACCTTAATATAAAGGAGATTATGAAGAGGAATAAAAAATGGGTTTTAGAGAATAAGTTGAAATGGAAATAAAAGAATAAATTTTAATGTAGAAAAAGAAAAGACCAGCTGTAAGAGAGGTTTAATAAGAGAAACCTAGATAAGAATAGGCTCGTAAACCTTAAGAGAGGGAGAAAGGTCCAAAATATAGGAAAGAACAAAAGTTTGTTAGTCAACCTAGATATCCTGTGTTTCATGATTTGGGCGAAGTCCAATTATTAGAGGATGATATGTATAATGCATAACATTCTAAATGGACTCCTTATGCTGGAAAATTAATTGACAACAGCAGTGATGAAGAAGATGACAGAGATTTCCTAGAGAAAACAACAATATAATTGAGATCAAATCTTAAAAAAGGAAAGGAAAATTTGGGATCTTAAAAAACCTATTCCAAGTCTGTGTAGGGAAAGAAAACTGTTTACTTCAGAGAGCCTGAAAGTGAAAAGAAGGATATTGGAAATCAATATTTAACGGAATAAAAGGAATAATTAATGAGAATAGTTTAAAAGTAATTGTTATATTTATTATATAGTTAAAAGGCCAGAGGACAGATGACAAGTGATGATGATTCTGATACAGACTTTTGCAAAGCATACTCGTCATAGATATGGTTAGCAACAGACCCTATGAAGCGTGACGTTTTCATTATGACCTCTAAAGAATTAATGGATTTACCTCATATTTAGTTATGAATACATTTTATTTACTATATTAATTAATATAATAGAATTCATGTTAAGTCTATACAACAGTGTAGATTTTAAATGGTAGTTTATAATATGAGTGAAATACAAAGTTTTTTTCAACATTAATAAAGATTTTAAAAGTATAATTATAATAATAATTTATATTAAACTCTTTGATAAGGATAGGATATATTTAAATAATATGTTTTAAGACTTAGAAAAATAGCCAAATATTTTTTCATACGAATTATTATTTTTTTTTAAGAATCTGTTCTAATTCTTATTTTGGAAAATAAGAGAGAACAAGATTTCTATCATATTCTTCCTGCTTTTTTGGAGATTTATGTTTTTTAGCAGGAGTTCTAAAATGTCTGTCAAGATGTTTTAGATGAGATTGTTTTAGCAAATTTTATAATTTATCTTTTGAAGACCTTGACTTTTGGATGGTTTTTTCTTAGGGAGTCAGTTCTCTTGATTTGGATGAGTTTGCATTATTATTTTATTCACTTGATTTGTTGAGGTTGATGAAATTACTCACCTACAATGCTGAATACTTTTATTTTTAATCTTTTATTTCTGTAACAAATCCGTATAATCTGTAGGAGTCGTTTAAGAATTTATTTCTTTAGAGGGTGCATTTGTTTGGTTGATAGTATTTTTGTTTTTGAATTCTATCTCTTTTTGGTGAGGTACACTCTTAAAAGTTTTGATTGATGGATGTATTCATTAGTTCACTGTTTTGTCTATCGATTTCATTAGATTCAGTCTTTTAATTTTTTTTCAATTAAGGGAATTTTGGTTGAATTGTTGCTTTTACAGAATTTAATCTTTGAAAATTGTTTTCGTGAAACTTTTGCGATGAAAAGATTTATTGACGTGAGTCTTCAAAATAGGATAAACTGTTTAATTTTTACGGACTATTTTATGAATGCGTCTGGAAATACTTCTTTAATTTTTCATTTCTCTCAAAATTGTTACAATATAGGTTGTGATATTTTTTCTGTTTTTTCGATGGAGATGTGGAGCAGGCTCTCTATTTAAATTTCTCCAATTCTTTGATCATATCCTTTCTTGCCATATAAATAGGTAGTTTATTGAATTTTTGATGGAGTGCCAAAGATCCTTGGGGTTTGATGATTCGATTTGTCGTAAGAGGAGTGTTAATCCAGATATTATGTGGTAGAGAATGTGAACCAAGTTTGAGACCCAATTCAATTTTATTGTTTTATCGAATCTCTCTAACATTTGCAAAATTTTTTTTTTTTGCAAGAAAGTTGACTGGGGTTTGTAAATCGAAAAATTGTTTGGCAGCAAAAATATTTAGCTTGTACATGAAAATAATATTAATGAACTAAATGCATAATAATCATTTTTTGTAATATTGAGGATAATAATTTAATAATAAAAAAAGTTAGTTAAATTTATGTAGCTGAAGTCAGTTCATCAATACTACATAAAAGCAAAAAACCAATCTAAGGATTAGAAAGGGACGAAATGTAAGGATTAGACATAGACCACTGCATCTTAAATATCTCTGATTTTGAGTAGAATGAACAACAAAAATATACAGGATACAAAGGCAGTATCTGATAGGGCTAAGAACAATATATAAATATCTCCTAAATTGTAGAATTGTTTGTCGGCCTCAAATCTAATGAGCAAGACTTCTTAATCACCTAAAATAAGTGAATGCACATTAATAGATAAAAAATTCGCAAAAGAATGTCCTAGTAGAATAACGAATGGGAATGAAATATAACTGCCCACTGAAATTAACAGTTTCTTGGAGATGGAGGAGAGAAAGAGAAGTTTAAATAATTTCAAGGAACAACTCTCATAAAACATAATGAAAATTCAGCATTTGGATCAACTTGAGACTTAAGTAAAATTGATTGAGTAGCAGCTCCATTCTATTGTTTCGACAATCATTTAATTAAAAGTAACTATTTATTGTAATTTCAGGATTCCTTATGCTTGTAATTACAATAGGAATAATTGACCTATACATAAATCACTTAATCTATTTCAGATTCTTTGTATAAGATGAAAGATGATATACTTCATAATGAAGTGAATATTATTGAATCGATGTAAATGAAACCGTTTTAAAATATCATGACTATTTACAAAAAGAGATTGGATGAGCATCAGAGTTGTGTGTAATAAATGATCGGTAAGAGATAGTTTGTTATTCAATTTAATTAATGGTGCCAACAATTGATGTTAAAACTCTAAGTGGATACGAAATCAACCTTTGATTCTGAGTAAAAAGAGAATTGTTTTTATGGGAGCAACAAAATAGCAGAATCCCCAAAATTTCGCAGCAATTGATGATATATTTATTTTTGAGAGTGATTAAAAAATATCTATGAATTTTGGGGCTTATTAAAATTTTTTATTATATGGAAATAAATAAATCATTTATTTAAAAAGAAATTATATGAGTAAATTCTTTTAGGAGGAATCCAATTCAGAAGGGGAAAATGAGGCTCCTAGAGGAGGCCCTGAAGTAGATGCAGGATAAGCATCACAAGCAACAAGAACTAGAATTATCCAAGGATTGATAGATTCAGATGATGATGAAGGTTAGAGAGTGATAGTCACAGAGAAGGAAAAAAGATACACAAGATTGAGAGAAATCATTAAAGAAATCAAGATTAAAATCAAAAACCAGGATTTTGTTACATTATTGGACAAATTCGAAGAATTAAACAAGGAGGTTGAAAAGAGTGCTAAAGTATTTGAAAAAGAGGGGGGATTGCCTAGATTCTATATCAGAGTAATGTGTTAGATCGAAGTGTTGATTCTCTAATTTACAGCTGAATAAAAGAAGAAATTGGGAGTAAATAATAGCAAAGCTTATAACACATTAAAACAAAGAATCAAAAAGCATAACTTGAGTATTCATTTATTCTATGCATCATGTAGCTATTAAGGACAAAATTGACGAATTCATCAACAATCCTGTCACTACTGATCAGAGTGAAGATGAGAGAAAGAAGAAAGTAAGAGCAGAAAAAAAGGCAGCTGGCTCTGATTCTGAACCAGAAGCACAATAGAAGGAAGAATCATCAGAGTCTGAGGATGATGATAAATATTTGCTTTAATCCAATGATCCAATGGTCAGAAGAAGGTATTGGTTAAAAAAGAAATTACCAGATAAAAAAGATCAAAAGGTTGAAGAAATTTAACAAGAGAAAGTCAATAAGAAGGTTGCTGTTGACATCGATTACGATGTTAAATTCGATATTGCCTAAAATAAAGAAATTCATATTGATTATGATGCTGAAGCAGTCAAGAAGAAGTTGGAGCAAATTGTCTCATCTAGAGGAGTTCAAAAGAACTAAGTGGAGAATCTTTACATTTGTGAAAAATACATCCAACATTTCATCAAGGAGAATCTCCAAAGAGCTGTTGAAGTAATTCTTCATTTTATACTCTTAGATATTGCTAATCACAATTTCATTATAGATTGATCAAGCCAAATAAGAGGCACCCTTCTATTTCAATAGATAATCATGGTTGTAAATCTATTAAAATACATTCCTCTTATACTCACTTCATCAAGACAAGGGAGTCAAAGTTGAAAAACTACACACTTACAGCAAATATGATTAAGAAAACTCCTTCTCTGAGTTCAGATTCATCAGCACTCTTTTAGTCAATTTCTAAACACTCGAAGTTGAACTAAATAAAGCCTTCTAAAATGTAGACTATTACACATAGGAATATGCTGAAAGACTCAGTGATCTATATTAATTAACACATCTATCCCAAAAACTCTTGGAATTACTCAAAGTCAAGAATGACACTGCCAACATTGCATTGATGAGTTTCAAACAATTAGAAGCCATCTATTACATTGGACCTGCTGTAATCTAAAAGTTGTTGGAACTATAAACTAGTAAGTAAGCTGCTACTCCACTTTAAATCTTTGGAAATGGTGATATTTCATCCAAGATCTAATCTCTCGTTGAGAATATTCTCAAATATGGAGATAAGGAAACCATTGTAAAGGCAACACTTTATTGGGTTTACAATCTAGCTTTGAATGGAAAGTACGAATAGGCTCATGAAATATTCATATCCAACATCTCATATGATTAAATCTCATAAATGAAAACACTGATTCAACTATATTATAATAGAGCCTTGGTCTAATTAGGGTTCGGAGCTTTCAGATAAGGATTAATCTATGAGACTCACCTCCATTTAGCTGATTTATTGAGTAGAGACAAGGTTCTGAAGGATTTACTCTCCTAAAATTATATGAAATAAGTTGAAGGAGAATACAGATATACTGTGCCTTATCATATGTCAATTAATGTTGAGACTATTGAATTTGTTTATCTTTTAGCTGCTATGTTATTGGAAGTTCCAAATATAAACTAAGATCTATTTGAGGATTCTCATAAAATCATCAGTAGAAAATTCAGACAACTTTGCCAATATTATGATTCATAAACTTTCAATCCATAACCTGAAAATATGAGAGACTTGATTTATGCAGCATCTAAGGAATTGGCCAAAGGAAATTGGACTAAATGCTGGGATCTCTTAAAGTAAATTCAACTTTGGACCAGAATTCCTTCATATGAGCAAGTCTAATAGCAAATAAAAGAAAGAGTTTAGGAATAGGCTTTGAAGTGCTACTTGTATACTTTTAAGAATGCCTTTTCTAACATTTCCATCGATTACCTCAGGGAAAGATTTTAGTTGTCAGAATAAACCACAAAGACTATTGTTTATAAGGTATTTCATATTTTTAATATTATAGATGATTTATTATGGAGAAATTAAAGCAATCATTGATAATTAAGATTAATCCTTCTTGATTTTTGTAAATGATGACATTTCTAATTAAACCAAGAGGTTGGCTAGTGTTCTTATTGAGAAGTTAAGTCAGTAATGTAAAAATAATGAAAAATTAATGGTATCATTTAATTTAAAATAATATAGGATTCTAAAATTGGAAGTTTTGGTATTGCTGTTGACAAAGAAAGTGTAGATCAAATAAACAAGCAAAAGAAAAAAAATGTTACTAAAAATAAAAAACCTCCAAATGCAACAACAAAAAGAAAATGATAATTATATTACATTAAATAATCTAAAGTATAGTATAACATGCAATTTTATTTAAATAAATACTCTTCATATGCTTTAAAATATATTAGTCTTGGAAAATTTAGAGTTTAATCTTAGTAATTTATACTCTTGCATCAATTAAGAACTAGTCTTATTCGGCAAAGGCATAAAAGTCTTAAGGTTCATTGAACTCATTTTCATTGTGTCTAAAGGCTTATTTGTTTCATTCTATTCTATATCCGCATTATCTTAATAGTATTCAGTCTTAAAAACCTTCAAATTGGCATTTGTCAATAAGTCTAGGCTGTTTATTGTCAATTAATTGTGAACTTTGGTTTCCTTAATCATCTTAGTAACTTTATGTTAATCTAATTCGATTAATTGAATATCGGCATTAGCATAAACATTTTGAGTGTAGCCTCCAAAAATTAAGATTTTAGAGTCTATTGAAATGCTACAGTGACTGAATTTACCATATTTAAACCCTCCAATTTATTAAACGAGCACCCAATTCATCTACATCAACTATAAAACATATAAATCATTAAGGATGTTCTCCTCTTTTGAATCATTTCTACCTCCGTAAACAATTAAAGCATTCAAATTATAATAGTAATTGAGACTATGAGAATAACGGGCAACTGGAACTTACCCCTAAAATGATGGCAGATAAGTACTTTAGTTTTTAGTTTAATGATTCTAATAGGTTTAAATCCGAATTAAATGACTCTCAAATCATTTGTAGCCTCTCCATTCTGCATCCTACCTCCGAATACATAAATTCCCTCTTAGGTAACATTCGGGTACTTTACTTTCTTCTTGTTGCATTCATAGCTAAAGTAAGGATTCTCCATTTTGACTTCTCCATTGAATAAGGAAGCAGAAGCTGCATCTGAAACCCCTTCGAGAGATTGATTTTCTATTTACAAATTAGACCTAGAGTTTAATTATAGTTGAATACCATTTATTAGTTTCTAAATTCAAACTACAAACGTCATTTAAGACTTTGCCAAAAGAATTAATTCCTCCATAAATAATAAAGTATTTTCCAACACATTATGCTATATGGTTCCTCCTTCCTTCTATAAGATCACCATATGATTTAATTTGTGTCCACAATTTATCAGCCGGATTAAACATTCTAACATCGCTATAGCATTCTCTAATCCTCATTACATTGTTAAACTTTTTTTCACCTCCATATATGATTATGCTCTGCTTGTACAATGTGGCAGTGTGTCCAAATCTTCCGTCAACTGGTGCTTCTCCTTTGCCTACTCCAATGTCTTTCCATGTCCATGTTTGAGTATTCAAAGCAATAAAATTCTTAAATAGATCATTACCAATTCCTCCATACATATATGCCTTATTGAGAGAGGGAATGTAAGTGACTGAGCATCCTTCTCTGACAGGCGGTTTCCACTCATTGATTTAGATGTTAAACCAGAAGACTTTAACAAAAGCGGAGGAAGGATCCAATTATTTATTATTATCATCTTCTTGTTGTTCATCCTCTTCTACTTACGGAATGGGTTTTGGTTTTAATTTGATTTTCTTTACTTTTTAGAGCTGTTACAACTCCTATTATTTATTAATCAACCCAGTAATTTCCTTTACTGTGCTTGTCCATTTTCTATTTAGTTGAGTTGTAAATTGATTAGCTTAGGATTGATTGAATTGCAATCTATTTTTAAGTGTGGATTCATTCGGATTTAGTTGATCCACTTTACCCCACCAACTAGAATTGGTCTTCATCATTTCTGTAAATGTTTTGAATCCAATGTCTTCCTTTTATTATTGTAAAAAGATGAGTTTGCAGTCTCCTTTTGAAATATATTCATCAATAGCCATAGTTTGTTAATGTCTTAACATTTCTGGCTATTTCAATTTTATAATCTTCTCAGTTTTACTTAATCTTATATTTTCAGTTTTGAGCTAGTAGCCTGGAGACAACTTCCGTAATCTGATATCGTCCAGCTTTTGTTATTAGGTTTGAATCCATCGCCGTCTTCTTTCTTAATCCATAAATTTATTAATTCATTATTAATATAATGTATCATAAATTATATAAATTTGTTCACTTTTTTACCTTTGGAAAACGTTCATTAGAATCATCACGCTCCGATTATTTCATAACGGAATTCGCAGCAACTCTTTTCGGTCTTGTTGAATCCAAACTCATCAAAATCGAGTGTCTTTAAGACAGATTCCTTTACCTTCCCGATCTATTTATATATACTTCAGAATCCGCCTATGTTTAAGTTGTAAGTATAATTGTTTTATCTTAAGATCTGTCCAAGGTTTTACTTTGACCTCCAAGATTTTTATAAATGTATTTGTTGAAATACCAATGAGGATTATATTCTCTCACTTCTAACAGTTCACTTTTATCCCAACAATCTATAACACTCTGTAATGATTTTTTCAAGAGGTCCTCTATAGAATAATTTAATTATCTATAGTTGCATACCTCATTTCTCAATTCAAAAACTGTTCCTATAACTGATGTAAATTTTATTGGGCCTTTTGATTATTTGAGTAGATAGGCAGCAGTTATTTATGCAATCTCAGTATTCCCTGAAAACAATTATAAAAGCAATTAAAACTTTCTATTTATTACATCCTTCTCTCTAAATAGGATTTTTATTTGATTGTTCAAATATTCTGTATCATTGAATATATCTGATTTTAATTTCAATACATGGTAATGGTTTTTATCAAAATTCTACATAGCAGCAGTATAGCCAGTCTCATATTCCTTTAATTTTTATTCCATCTCATCTTTCATGTCCAACAACATCTATTTAACACTTGTCTTCATATCTTCTAAATTCTCATCCAAAAGTTCTTAATTTTCACCTTGGCCAACCTAAGTTAAATTATACCCTCCTTTACTAGATAAGCTATTTATTCGACCTACTTTTTATCCTATTTGTAAACAATTTGTAAGTTTGATATCAATTTATTCTATTATAAAGTTTTGTAGCTACTCCTATTAACTTAATGAATTGTCAGATAGGATAACCTAGAGTTCAACATCCTTCTTTTATTGTTTTTTTTTCTATTCCAACATTTATGATTCAAAGGCTGCTAATTTAATGCTCTATTATTTTAAGGATTCATTTAATAATTATGAACGTATATCATCCAATTTATAATTAAACTCCTATGACATTTCCTTGGCTATTGTGGCCTTGAGACTATGAAATTAGTCTGCAAGCTTATTCATTTAACTACTAAAATTGGCTTAGAACACTGCTAAGTGACTGTTTACTATTGCTGGTATTTTTTCTTAAATCTTTTTCTAAAATTCATCAATCTTATTTAATGTTTTATTATAGTCCAACAACTCTTTAGAAATTTAATTAAAGTGCTTCTAAAAATTGTCAGTCTAATTATTTAATAATTATTAAAATGAATCCGCCTACTAACGATTTTATAACTCAAGCATTTCCAACCCTTTTATTCTTTCATCTATGGATAGATTGTAAACTTCAATTTAACTCTATAGATTTGATATGGTTCCCTTCAGAAGTTGATTATCTTCAGCTCTTGACTTTTCTTCCTCTAAATATACATCCATTATTTTACTTTATCTAAAGTAAATTACAAATAATCTTCATTTACAAGATGATTCATCTCATTTATAATCCATTCAACTCTCTCAGCTAAGCTAGATAGCTTCTTTTCTTGTAGATCTTTATGAATCCCTAATTGCTCCAATTACAGATTCTAGTTTTAAAAATCTTTCAATAAAAATTGTTCGCTTTTTTAGATTTAACTCACTTAATTTCGACAATCTATAAAAAATGTATAATAATCTTTAAAAAATTCATCTATTTTTTTGTTAAATATTTCTGAATACTCTGTTTATTTCTTGCCTAATTAATCCAAATCGTTTTATGTTTTTAATTATGAATTAATCACAAACTAAGAATGACTTTTTTATTGTTCAATTTCCTTTTCAATTAATTCAATTTTTGATTTCAATTGAGTAGATGATTATGAAGCTTGATTCTAATTTTTTATTATTTCTAACTCTAAAATTCTTTACTATTTCAAGAGAATATCAATTTAAGTATATCTCTTAGCAGCTTCAAATTAATTACTTTGCTGACTCTCATTTTACTATCTAATCTACTACTTCAAACTATCAATATTCAGTTATTATTCATCAATTTATTTTAGGCAATCAGACACTAGATTAATATCTATAATATTACATCTTATCATTAGTGGTTATGAAAGTTCATAAACAACTTGCCTTATTCTAGTCTCTATTGAGAATTCATCCATTTATTATAATATTAATCAAAATTATAAATTGTGATTTACAACTACTATGTATTCATATTATCCAATTTACCATGATATCTGATGAAAGATATATTCTCTAAAGTAATTGAATATAGTATAAAAATTTCAAAGTTTTAAATTAAATAGACAAAAATTAATAGAAATAATGTAAGATAAATTGTTGAATCTCAGAATAGTAGTAAGACTTTATTGCTTTAACTACTATTATATCAATTATGTAAACTTAATATATAAATAAGAAATTATACAAGAGAATTGATTAAAATCAAATTAAAGGTGCTTTTTGATAATTCTATCAATTTTTCGAACTGATAGTTTATGAATTTTTAAGAAAAAATTAAATTTTTTGTTATTATGTATCAACCAAAGAATTTTTTATAAACAAGAAACATTAGCCTTTAAATTAGAATCAGCTTTAATTTGAAAAAAAATTTAGGAATATAAAGAATTTAAAGAGAAAATACTTAAATAATTGTTATGTTTTTAAAACTCATAAAATTGATTTTTGAGTTTTTTTCAAGGTTCCTTCAAAAGGATTTAATTTATTTGACTTTTTGAAGTCATTTTATTTTAAATAATAGGAGTTATTTGCTGATTTTTGTCTTTTTGAAGCGTTATCTTAACTGTGATTGGATTTTTAGTCTTCTACTTTATTACTTTATTTGAATTTTGAAATTCTAAGGTTTTTCCTAGTTAGCATATCTTCTTGAGCACTTCTAATGTCTAAAATAATCTTTAGTTGATCATCCTTATTTTAATTAGTATTGATTTCTTCATCATGGCATGATTGAGCATAAAGAGTATTTTATATTTTATTTAAATGCTTGTGCTCGTCTTAATATACAGTATTTTTTATTTTCATTTAAGAACAAGATCCAAATAAGCAATTTTATTTTTATCTTAATAATTGAGAATTAATTTATTTAATAAACATTTCAAAATCTGATCTGATAGTTTTATATAGTTCCATTAACTGTTTTCCATGAAACATAACATCGAATATTTATTTCTTTAAATTGTTGTAGTATTCAATCAATTCAACGATAGAGGAGATTTGATATAACAAAGAGATTTTACCTTTTTTAATGAGTAGTTCAAATTTATTAGGAGCATTTTTACATTAGTTATTTGAAATAGTTTGCCATTAGAGAATTTCATAAAAGTCTTCAATTACTTATTGAATTTTGGTATCTATTTCTTAAATCTATTTTGTTTCATTCATCTTTGTGTAGAGAATCATTAGATAAATAAAACATTTTAACAAGTGGTATTCTTTAATTGGGAAAATAAAATATCTTTCACTAATTTCTATTTAGTTTCTTAATAATTATAATTATGAATGCTTTTTCGAATTTTGAAGACTGAGATAAGTTATATAACCTGATATGATTGCATACAACTCATCTTTTTTGGTTTTATTCAAAATTTTGATTGTCTTCTTCATAAACTTAAGTGCTTCATCATTTAATTTAAGTCTTTGTAAGTATTGCACTTTAATTAAACTTGATCCATATTTCTCCAACATTAATGAAGATTTTTAGACAAATCTTTGCTTATAAAATTGTGTGAGGAAAGTCTAAGCCATATGTTCATTTAGCGTTTAAAACAAAGTTAAGTCATTTGAATTTTTTTGTTCTTATTTATTTCTAATGTTTAAGAAGATAGCCTTTATTTTTTGTATTAGATTTAATTTCTTAGCCTAGAAATGCATTTGTATTATAAAATTATTAGATTTTGAATTGGTATATGTACGATTAGATCTTTCTATATATCGAAGAGCACCTAAATATTATCCATTGAATTCAAAAATATTCCCTATAACAAACTACAATTTAGACATGATTTTACTTTTGAAAGATTTCCCATCTCTATACCATTGATTCATACATTTCGTATATGAATGCATAATTTTAAAGGCTGAACCTATATCATCCTATAAAACATATAGCTGCAATTGCTTCAACACTACAATCACAACTTCATCTGAAAAAATATCAAATGATCTTAATAACAACATTTCTGCAACTTTTAAGCATTTTAGAGAATTATCTTAATCATGCACTTCAAGGTAGCTAATCCCCAATAGGAATTCCAACTTAGCCTTGTTGCTTGTTGCCAAATTTTAAACGTTTATGTATTAGAATTTTTAGGTAATCTTGTCTTTTACCAAATTATCCGATTATTCTTATGCTTCTTCTATTGCAATGAATTCAGGAAAATAACTGTCATAAATGACTTAACTCATCTCTAGATTTAGCATTGCTGAGACTGGTTGCAAACTCTCCTTTTGTATTTCTCCACTTATTAATAATGAATATGCATAAAATAATGAAGCCTAGTGTTAATTTTTCAATTAAAACCCTATTACTTTTTGTATTTTTTAAACTGCTTAATAAAAATTATTATTATTTAAATATGATTATGCATACATTAATTAGACCATTATATACTTTTTCTATTCTATTATTCCCTTTGATGAATTATGACTTCTTAATTTCCTATCCATTAAAACTTTGGTTTACAATTGCTTATTGATGCTTTTTTGAAATTAATTTAGTAAAGGCAGAGGTTTTCTTTATGATATGGTCAGTATCTGGAACATTATTGTAATGTGAAATTGATCGATAAAGGTTTCAAATATAGAGTTCATAATTTCAATAGGTCTGTTCATTAACTTTGAAATCATTTTCAATCTAAATTCCCAAGAGTCATCATTCATTGATTTCAATTGATAGAATGCATTTAAAATTTCTGCATAAGCTTCTTCTTATTTTTATTTCTAGCATCTTTTGAATTTTTCATAATAAATTTAAAATTCATCCTATAATAGTAATGATGAATAAAGTAATTCTTTATATATTAGTTAAGTTTCCGTATATTTATCTTTATTAATAGATAGTTCTTCATATTCAGAATTGAAATCAAATTAGAAGGACTTCAAATATTTTTAGTTATTATCTAAATCTACAGAATCATCTAAATCGTTATCTCTATTCTAAGTTTCTATAGGATTTTCTTAAATTTAGAAATCAGTATTATGCTGTGGTTCTTTTCCTTTAACCCCTAAATCTAGATTGGATTCATAATCGGCAATCATTTTTTATAGTTATTCAATAATTGGAAGAGTATCCTCTAATGTTTTATCCACTGATTTAACCTAATTTGCGTACAGGGCCATGCGAATGAACTCTAAAACATACCGATCAGATTAGGAAGAAAAGATCTAATCAACATAAACTAAATAATTATCATCTGCTAGATCTTCACCTTTTGAAATACTCTAAAAATACTTTTTCCTTTAACTTTGGATTTATTTCAAGCTTATTTTGTTTATCTTTTTAAAATAGACTAATAAGTCACACAAAGCAAATAGATCCTTTTTAAATGCTTTTTCAAATAATCTCATTTTTTTTTCATCCAACTCTTTTAAGACATCATCTCCTGTGTATCCAAACTTCAACAAATATTTTAATCTTCCAAATGTTTATAGCTTAAAGGCCCTAAATTTAGAAACATAAAAGATTGTTGATAATGTAAAATTGAGTCTATATAAATAATTTGAATAGCATTAATAAAAGATCTCTATAAGGTTTAGTGACAATTTTTAATACAAAAGCTTAGATAATTCCATTTGATTCCTTAGACACATATTTTGAAGATCTTTTAATGAATAATCCAATTTATCATAAAACAAAGCCAATCTGTATACATTTGGTTAATCAAATTAAGGAAGGATTTCAAATAAGAATGTAGCATTTGTTATAAAAACTATATGGAGTTCTAGCTTTTTAAAATATTTTTAGATGAGCAAATGGAATAGGATAGTCAAAAATCTTGACTATTATTCTATATCTACAACTGTTATGACTTCGAGCATTTCTTAATTAGTTTAATTAACTAAACAAGTCTAAGGTTTCTTTTCTTACAAACCATTTGTTGTCTACCTCCTTTACAACTTTTACAAATTTGCTTAAACTTCTTGTAAACTTCTTTCGACATTTAACAATTTATCAAACGAATTAAAATTATTTGTACATTCTTTGTCTACATTAAAGTAGTTGTCATTTGAAAAGAAAGTGAGAAACCTTGAATACTTAGAAGCCTCTTCAAATTTCTTTGGGTTCAAAGTGAAATATTTAAAGCCTAGTTCTGTTGTTAGAGCACCATTTAAATTCACATTATAAAGGAGATCCTTATAGTTTATAAGCATTGAGATCTTGTAATATTTCATATCTCCTTCTTATTATAATTAGACTACAATCGATTTTACAGACAAAACATGGTCCATTTTTCTTAAATAATTTGCATCATCCTTTTGATGCTCCTGCTTTTTCTTTTTGACTTTCTCTGTTTTTATTTGCTCCATATCCACTGGAGCATCCTCATTTCCAGCCTGAGTAACTAAGTTGCAGATGTCAACTTGATTAAATTGATAAGTTTATGATTTCCTACCTGATGAATAACACTGAATTTGAATCTGTTCTTATTCCTCTTCCTCTTTTATCTTTTACTATTCCACTACAGTCTATGCAATCTACTCTCTTATCCCATCTTCTCTTTCTTTTTATTTGGAACAGCATACACCCATTAAATTATATATAGAGATATTATTAGTATACTTATTTTGATGGTTAAAATGAATTATATAATGAGTTTGTATATTAAATTATTGAAATACTTAAGAAAATATGAGTGACAACCTGCAATTGACTATTTTAGAAGATGCAAGAAATAATAAATATTAAATAGACTAATAAATAATTATTTATTACTGAAATTCGCCTATGTTGAATTTTAGTTTTAAATACTTATTTACTATCTCAAACTTAGTAGACTTACGCTTCTCCTTTTTTATTAATTAAGAAATTATTAATTAATAAGGAATAATTTTTTTATTAATATTCTTCAAATAAAACCTATAAAATTTAATTTACATGACTTTTCTTCCTTTCATAATTTAAAAGTTAATATTTCAGACTTAACAATTTTTGTCTTTTGTCCAAATAAATTTGAAGACTTTATTTTCTATTACAAATAGCATTCTGACTTGATTTCCTCCTTTTTCTATATCATGAAAATATAATGAAAACAATTTATTACTGATTTCATCATTAATTAATATTATTCCAGGCAATCTTCATTACTTTGGTTATTTATTTTAAATTCAAATAGTCTTCCAACTTGGTTCAATAGTTTATTTTCAGCTGAACTATTGACACTTTAAATTTTTATTTAAGAAAGCAATTTTGAATTTCCTGAAAATTTGTTATTAAATAAAAAATCTATTCTGAAAAAACAAATGTTTGATATATTCTAAAACAAAATTATTCAAAAAGCTAAGAGCTTATATTAGTAAGGAGAATTTACAAAAATTGATAGCATAAAATATCTAAGCTTTTATACTAAATAAATTTTGGATAGATTGCTTCAATTCCATCTCTTTGATAATTGCAAAATCATCCTCATTATTAATCTTAATTTGATTAAATATTAGAGTGATTTATTTTTGTATTAATCACACATTAACATTATTTGAATTTTGTAATCATATAAAATATCATTAAATATATAATTCCATCTATTTTTGTTATCAGTTAATAAAATTGAATAATTATTTATTTAAATAATTTTTATTTATATAAATTTACAGAATTAGAAAAGTGATTTAATGCTTAGTAATTTCAGTAAAAAAAAGATAATAAAATTCAAAATTTAACAACTTCATACTATTGAAGATATTTTCTTGTATGTACAGTATAATTTACAATTTTTGTATCAATTTATATATATGTAAATAAAAGATAACAAAAGTTGAATTTACTTTCAAAATATAACTTATAAGCTTAAATACTTTCTTCCTTTTAAATACAATTAGTTGCATAAATGTTTCCTTAAGATTATTTTTAAATGATTATGATTGATTATTACCACTTAGCAAATTTCGAGAGATGAGTATATTTAACAAAATACATAACAATTACCACATAATGAAATCAGAAGCATTTGATACTTAATTGCAAATTGGAGTGTAGATCGTGAAGATAGTTTATAAAATAATAATTTGAAAAAAGAGATATTTCCAAAATTATTAACCTTCTTGTTTGGAAGACTTCATCATAAGTTGGGATGGCTCGATTCTATTTTTCAATATTTAATAAAGATATAATTATGAGGATGTGTGATTAATATATTATTCAATATTAATTATATTCAGTTATGAAGAGTTCTTTTAGAAAGAGGGATTGTCCGTTCTGTTAAAAATTAAAATGTTCAAAAAATGTCAAACATTTATATGCATATTTAATCAATAGTGTATCATTCATTAAAGATTGAGAAGGCCTTGTACACTAAATATTCATAATAAAAAGTGAAAAATTTTGAGGACTTTTTTTCAACAAAACCAGTTAAATGGGTCATAGATTTCAAAGACAACCTACATATTAAGGAGTAAGAGGAATATTTAAAAAAGTAATTCTATTTGTAATATGAAAATAGATACTATCCAATCACATAATAATCTAACAAATTAAAACAATTATTAGAATATTACAAATATCATAAAGACATACCTAGAATGTTTTTTGGATTCTTAGCGGATATTGCTACTTATTATTACGAGAAGAAAAAGTAAATATCATATTATAAAGAATTAGAAAATATGAATATAGAAAGATAAAAATTTAACTAGGAATTCCATATGAGTAATCTAGTCTAAGCACATGTATTGAGTTTACTGTAATAATAGAATATGAAAAATTAAATGAAGATATTTAAGTCTTAAATAGTATCACAAAGTTAAGTGAAAGATCTGCCAAATCTCTATTAAGATAAATAATTAAATTTTAAAAGGATGAAGATTAGATTGTAATTAGTCTATATACCATTTTAGAATGTAGATGAAACATGGTTAACAATGCAATAAGAAATCTAAACAGAAAAAAATAATTAAAAATAACTAACTAAACAGCCAACTTAGAACCTTAAAATATTAAAATAATTAGTCATCAGAAACAATTAAATAAATAAAGATAAACTAAAATTAAATTTGCCATTTCATTTGATCAATGGAAAAATCTAAGCAAATATTAGAATTTCCTAAAAACAGTCTCCAGAACGGCCTAATCCTACTCAAAAATCATCTTCCTAATAACATATTAATAGTAGTCAAGAAGAGAATGAGTTCCAAAAGTTCATGAAAGCTAAGATTATAAAATTATCTTAAGATAACAAAATAAAAATTCAAAAAATATTCTCGAATAAAGTTGACCAAAATAATAATAATAATAACCAAGCGAAACATAGTAGTGCTCACTTTATTACTAGTACTAGAAGTGTTTCATCAGAATAGTTGAAGACAGAATAAATGCGTTTAAGCTAGATCATTAATACTGGAGGAAATAGTTAAAGCCAACCTAAACTATTTAATTATATTTCACCTGTGCATAAGAAATCTGCTTCCTAGTAGTCTTTATAAACTGAATGCACACCAGCTAAAAAGGATTCAAAACTTATAAAAATATACTCTAACAATTTTAGCAGTAAAATAAAGACTTAACCAAAAAAGACTCCCGAAAAACTCCGATAATTGTATAAAACAAGTGCTTAAACTTCTCAAAACAGTTCTTAAAAGAATCTTATTTAAAATCTCGACAAACTTTCCTCATTTTAACAATTCAAAATTATGCTGGAGAGTCCTAATCCAAAATAGAAAAAGAAACTGCAATTACATAATACTGATACTATCAGATTATAGACTGAATACAAATAAATAACTAAAAGACAATCTATTACGCTAACTCAAAATAAAATTAATGGCAAAATCATGATGAAGAAATAATGAATTCTTTTTAGAAATTATATAATATAAATATTCATAATCAGCACACTTTTTTATTGAAAATTCCCTCCTTAGCCTCTTATCTAAATTTAATATTGGATGGACTATTCATTTTGTTTTTATAAGATGACAATTCTTTTTCGAAGTTTTGGCTTGACATTGGAATATGTCTACACTATTCTTTCTAAGATCATAATAAATTAAAAATACTATAAAATTTATCTATTGATGTTAAGAGGCATGATTCTATGGGGTTCCAATATAATCTTTATTTATTTTTTTACTATGATTTTTGTTGTGTTATTGAAGTGGTTACTAAAGTGCTTATTCATTCTCAAATTTCTTGAGATCAAAATCATCTATTTTAAGTTTCATCATATTTTTCAATTTCTCAATTTAATTTTACAAGGATATAACCAAAAGATTTGATTATTCTAATTAGACTTATTAACTTTAGAAATTATCTTTTAGATCCATTATTTCTGAATCCTTAATCTTTAACAATTTGTTTAACTTTGCTTCTGATTCTTTCTGTTGATCCTTGTAAGAATTAAATGCATTGACAAGTTGATTATATGAATTCTCACTCATAAATTAATCAGATATATTCTACTCTAGTAAATTAATAGTTTTTCTTAATTGAGCTATGCATTATTTTTAATTATCAATAGTGTTTTATTAATCATTTAAGGTATTCTCTAGGAATTTAATTTATGATTAATTGTTAAGTTCTTCATTTTATAATTTTAATAAGTTAGCCTCTTTTTTCTCCTCCAAAAGTTAAATTTGTAATCTCGTGATTTCTTACTTTTAATTATTCAACTCTACTCTCATTTGTTTGACTTCTGCTTCATTGTGAATAGTCTGTGAATTTTTAAGAGTTTCTTTTAGTTTCTAAGATTCTTTATTATATTATTCTATCTGTAGAAATAGATTTTCCAACTCTTATTGTTATTAAATATTTGTCTGCTTAAGTTGTTGATTCGTTAGCAACAACTCTTCAATTTTTTATGACTGCTCTTCTATTTAACGTTAATATGTAGTTTTTAAACTTGATTATTCATCTCTCTTTTCTTGTAGATTTAATTCACTTGCATTTAGTTTCACAGTCAGCTCATGAATCAAGTTTACTTTCTTTTTTAAGACATCATTTAGTTTTTCAATTTCTGCAATAAATGCTTCTATCTGCACTTTCTTAAGCTACTAAGTTATGATATACACTTACTCCTTTGTCATTTTAACTTTACGCAGGTGTATATGTTTTAGCAGTACAAAAGTTGTCAGCTGTAATTCTGCATGGTGAAATGGATCCGGTTTAAGTATGGAATTACTGTCTCTTAAAACTGGAAGACTAAAAATTGATAATGGGATCATACACAAGTATTTTGAAAGTCTGAGGATACTTTTGTTCTCACTATTCTGTTGGAATACATAGGTAGACAAATATTTAATTATTTAACAACTAATTTTTACAAATATTTTCTGTTAAATGCCCTAGAAATCAATATTAGAATTCACCATCTTCCTTAATTGAAGATAAAATAGATATGAATTAACTTAGAAAAGACGAATAATACATTGAAAAATGTTTCAACTCTCTTGATTTGAAGATATCAATTTTTATTTTTGTATTCAAGCAGAACTCTGACTAAAATTCTTAATTAAGAAGTTGCGATTTACATATTTATTTATGAATCTATCTTGGTTAATACATATATTTAAATGATTAGATATTTATATTAAATAATATTTATTTATGAACTAATAGATATAAATACCTGACCAATAAAATTTGATATTAATCAATCAAGATGACAAAGCCATAAGAGAAGTATTGTTAAATTAAAAGCAGCATTTATTTGAATTTCTTCTTACCATTTCAATTTATGTTAATATATTTGACTAGATCTGAAGCTATATTAGATTAAATTATTATTATAATTAAAATATAAAATAAATTATGTTAAATATTAATAATGATTAATTTGAGTTAATATTAAGCCCAGCAATATTAAATTACAAAATGTGAAATTTTCCTTTAATTAGTTTAGACATATGTATGATGTAAAATAGAAGGATGATTATTTAAAATTAAGATTGAAATTTTTTGCAAGAATTCCTTTAGATATAATATTCTAAAATTAATAGAAATATTTTAATTAAATTATTGCAAATGATTCAGTCATTTTGAAAAATATATTTCTCAATTTGTGATTTGAGAAAACAGATACAATTAGAAGTTAATATGTTTTATGAAACTTTAAATACTTTAATGATAGAGGAATAATTAGATGATATAATGATAGGTGATGATGAAATATTTCATGAAAATCTAAATTCATCATATTTTACAAGTACTATAATTTGTTTTTTTTTGGTTTTATTTTTAATAATTTTCTGCAGTTACATTCAGCTAAGATAGCAGCATTTGACTACGTTAAATCAATAGCAATTCCTTTTAATTTATATCCTAAATGATTCTTTTAGGATCATTAATTTCAACATAATCTTCTTGTTAGGTTTCTAAGTTAATAAAAGAGAATTCATTATACTTGATCTAATATTTTTATTTAATATCTTTTGCTTTGATTCAGAATGAGATCTCTCTAATTCATAAACATTTTTTGAATTTATTTTTGGTAGTCCATCACCTACATCATTCATTTAATCAATTTTAACTTTGATCTCCTATCTATAATATAAATAATAATGACTTTTAATTTTTCAAATCTTAGATATTGTTAGTCATTGATGCCAATTTAGCAGGCTTCATTTTAGAACCCTTCTATAGTTAAAAGTTCATCGCATAAGCATCCTTGGGGATATTCGAAGGCACACTCTACTTATACTTAGCCTTATTCATTTTATTCTTTATTTTATCTTAAACTTCAGTAGGTAGAAATCCCATTCCATTATACAGGAAATTTTAAGAAATATGATCATTCTTAGTTCTAAAAATGTTGTTTATTTTTTTGAAATTTTCAATCTCTAATGATAAATATTTAACGATTTCATTTGTTTTTAATAATTCTCTTCTATAACTATCTAATAAATATTCTTTAGATTTCGCTTACTCTAATAACTCTGTAGTTTATTTCATAAAGATTTCATGATCTGTTTATTGTTCCTTAAGTTTTTTCCTTTCTTGAGTAAGTTATTCCTGATCTAGTAGATGTTAGTTATTTAAGTTTTCCATTTCTTGCTTATGATTTAATTTTAGATTTTCAGTTAATTCTAATAGTCTTTTTTACTCAATTTCATTTTCATTTTTTAATTATTGAACTTACTCTTGGAATTTTTTGAGGATTTACAATTCCTCTTCATCCTTTTATTTTAATTTTACATTTAAATCTTCAATTAAGAGTTCATATAGTTGTTCTGAATCAATATAGCTTTTAATACTTTGATCTTTGTCTTTGATAGTTTCTAACAATTAAGAAATCTCTATGTCCTTCTTTAATAACTCTTATTATAACTATTATTCAAAATCTCTTTTCATAGTTTCAATTAGTTATTCATTCTTAACCTATGAGATTTTCATCAGATCTTGCATATCAGTGATTTCATCTTTACTACACTTTATTTTAAATTCAAATTCTTCCTTAAGTCTAATAATCTCATTTTTACACCTGGCCAATTGTGCATCTGAAGTGTAATACGATGATGTGTTAGAGTCCATTTCAATGAGATCACATTAGACTCCAAAATCATTTTATATTGTCCATGCTCTCTAGGTGGTCTATAAGGATTTATTGTATTGAATGCTTGCATTTTGTAATCCTTCATTGTTAGTTTTAATAGTTGAAGTTGGTTCATTCGATACAATTTTTATTATTTATGTCTATTGAGTAGGCTTGTCTTCGACAGAGGATTATCGACTTTGTTGCTAAATAGATTGCATTATTTCTTGTCGATTATTTTCGACATATTACTCAATAGTAGTTTCTTCGAAATTAAATTCATCTTTTTAAATGGATGTTCTTTTATATGAAGATTGAACTGCTGATTCAGGATTGCTTGTTTATTTGATTGGTTCTCTTTGTTTGATAACCTACTTATATTATGATTATGGATTGATTTTTTATGATTATTACACTTTATCAGGAGATGAATTCTTATTGTTTTAGACTACCGTACCTTACTTCCTTACATTTTCTCTAGTTCCTGGTTGAGTTTTATCGTGTTTCAATCTCTTGATCTATTCACTAGATATATGTATACTAGTACTTTAATTAATCAATTAATATGTCCTTCTGAAGGAGTTTTGAATCCTTGCCTTTCATTTGCTCATCAAATAGAAAGACTTTGTACTTTAAATCCTGAATATCCTTTTCCAAACTTGCGGTATATGGTTAGTATCTATCTATCTAGTATTGCAAGATTTTATTTTTTTCAATATATTACAAAGTTTAATTTTTATAATCTTGGCAATCGTCTTTAAGTTTTTGGATTTAATTATCCATTTTCATTCTTTAAGATTAAATCTTATACTCGTATTCATTTATTAATTCCATTTTGACCTCATTCAACTTCGTACTAAAGACTTCCAATTGTTTTAAATAGGATCTTCTTTCAATTTCAAACTTCTCATTTTAATCTGATTTTTCAAATTTAACTTAAGCAAGTTCAGTATTCAGTTTTAAAGTCTTAATTTCTAGTTCTTCTTTATATAACTTGTGCAACTTTTATTCATTCAATTTTAACTACATGATTTATGAACTGAGATCTTCAATTTTCATTTGCTACAATTTAAATGAGATATCTTTACCAGATGATTTTGTCTTTGCTCATTCAACTACTTTTGTTATTTATGATAATCACTCAATTTTCTGTTTTAATCTATCAACTATTGTTTTTCTATAAAATGTCTTTCAGTTTCTTATTGTAGATTCTCCCTTAACTGTTTAATATTTAATTGAAAAGCAGCTTTTGCAGTATTGTTATCGATTATAATATTATTCAATCTGATTATCTCCTCTTTTTATAAAAACTATAATACCTTCTAACAGATCACATATTTATTTGAAATCTGCCACTGCTTTGATCAATACTCTATCTTCTCCATTTGGACCAGTGTCACTAATGAGATTGGCTAATTATAATTTGCGTTCCTCTATATAGAAGTTAAGACTGATAACATGTTGCTTTAATTTAGTGTTCTCGTTAAATAGTGGCTGTATAGCTATGAATATTTACTTTCATCTTAGCTTAAAATTGGGAAGCATTCAATTCTAAGGCCTTAATCTTATGATTAGCGATTTCGTCATCTTCAGGAAATTTAGTGAAAGTATTCATATTAAATTAATATAATAATTATAATGACCAAAAAGTATTAATAACTTACGAATCCTCTGTTTTAAACTTCTGTAATTAGTTTAGCAATTAATTGAATTGGGTAATGACTTTATGTTGAGTTCCTTCCTTAAAAGCAGAGAAATTTTATTGGAATAATAATAGGTATGTATATCACTTTTACTGTTTAGAAGGCAAAACTAAGCGTCTCTGAGTTATGTATTTTAAATTGAAAATATAATTTATTTTTACAAACTTTTAAATTGTTGCTTAAGTAGTTGTTTTATTCCTAAACAATTCATACATTATATATTTATCTCTTAATTTATAATTAATTTTAAATTACATCTTTTTTTGTAAATACAAGAAAATGAGTAAGTAATATTTAAATTTAAACTTATTCATAAACTTTAATTTATAATCATTACATTTTAGCCCTTTGAAATCTCATAAAGCCTATTGCATCTAGGTCATTTTAAATTACTTTGAACTTTTTAATCTAAATTTTCTTCTTTTTATTGATGTCATTATCCATTCTCTTCAATTAGGCAATTTCCTAATCACAACATGTAATAAGTGTACTCATTGAATTATTATTACTATAGTTAGTGTGTATATGTTGAATTTTCTCTTTGATTCTTTTTAAAATGTTATTGGTATTCTGAGTTTTTGGATTACTTTTGGATTTTGATTTTTCTTATGTTAACATACTATTATGTAATATTTAAGATGAATTTTATAAAAGCGATAATTTACGCGTTCTCTCATCAGTACCTGAGGAATCTTTCAGTCCCATACGATTTAATTACTTTTCAACATTGTGTTTAATTCTCTAAAGTTTATAATACTCTTATAAACCAAATTCAATTTGTTCTTACTCATATAACTGGCATTCTAAATTAGTTTTTTTACGGGTTCCTCTCATTGGGGATGAATCAGATTGATGCTTAGTCTTTTTTCTATCAACTTATTTTTTGATTTCTTGTTAGGATGCAAATCTTTCCTTCATTTGTTCAAGCATCGCTAAATGTGATTGTTCTTAATAAAAAATGGACTTTCTTCTCTCTAATCTCTTTTAATCTTCTATGTTGCTTGTTTCAAATAACTCCTTCTCTTTCTATTGTAAATGATCCTACATTTGATTTACTAATTTTTCAATGAGTTCCTTTTTAGTTAACTAATCTTTCTAAGGTCTGTTTAATCAGATAAGTACTTCACTTTATTGTGTAATTTTTCTGACTCCTGTAATTGCTTTTCAAAGACATTTTATACTTTACACTCGTAATTCTCCAATATACTTGGTTATATTTTGCCTTGAGAAGAAACTCTTCGTTTGTGAGAAGCAATCTTTGTAACAGAGTCATCAAAATACATACCAGGCTTTATAATAATCATCATATTTACTGTTACGACATGATATTTTATTTTAAACTTTCTCTTGTTTGAGGGAGAATTGGACATTAATATAAAATATTTATTGAATACTAAGTTTAATTAGTTCAATTTGTATATATAATTAAATAAGAATTGCTGAGATACCTAATACAGATATCAGGATATTAAAAAATGTGTATTTAATTTATCATTATAAATAATTAATTATATGGGTTAAGAATAAGCAAAACTATTCAAGCGTCAACCTTGTACATTACATTATAAGTACGATGATCATGTAACTCATAAATCTTAACAAATAGGATCTTGAGTTGAAATATGACCCAAAATAAAAAATAGTATATCAAAAACCTTTACGTTTCCAAGAAATGATATAAATAAATCCAGCATTACGCGATTTGGATTAGGGTAATAATTCTTGAATATCTTTTAGATATCCTAATACAACTTCAATTTTTACATGAGCAGGCACTCAAATCAATTATTTTTGAGCAATTAAAGAAATGTGACGATTTAATAATATTGTACTAAGCCACCAAATTTATTGTTAATTGTACTTCAAATGAGTGTCTAGAACTCATTAACAACTATAATATCATCACTAAAATTACTTAAGAGTAGTAAAAGGATCTAGATAAATAAATACTAATTATCATCATAATTCACTATATTGTAGGCAAACTACCTTCAATTATGTTGGAATAATAACACATATCCTGGTTGTTCAGACATTTGAATCCTTATAATGCTTTAAATGTCTCGCTAATATTATAGATATTAGCAGATATTTGTGTGAATTAAGACAAATGCATTGAAAATATAATAGAAATTCTAAAAGATCTCAAGGAAGAAGCCAAATGGAGATTTGCCACAGAACCCATATTTAAAATCATGGAAGTTTAACAAAATGTATATCTTATAAGGGATGCTTGCACCTTTATCAATGCTTTGGCAGAAACTCATTCAGATGACGAAATGTGTGAATTAATTAAATAATAAATAGAACAATATGGTTTAACAGTTATTTATGATGACATCAAACTTAAACTCAAAAACTAAGAGTATCAGATAGCACATTGTTCTTACAAACATGCTATGTAATTCTTGCATGAATAAAAGTACTTGCCACATTATAGTCAAGTGGATAACTTCTATTTCAATAATCTTTACGATTTCGACCCTAGTAAACCATTGATATTTTCCTATGGATATTTCGATGATATTTTTAATACAGATCCAGACTATTTTGAAATTCAAAAGAATTAACTTAAAGTATAATTAGATGTGTATGATTCTTTAATCCAACCAGCCTTTAATCCCAATAAAACCATTCTAGAAAGGTAGAATCCCTTGTTTGTATCCACGATAACAAAAAAAGGTAGCGAAGAAGGTCTAGTTGGTGCCTTGAAAGGATTATGGCAGAGTAGAGGGAATGAATCCACAAATTAATAAATCATATTGAATGCCATCAAAAAAGCTAATTCATTACTAGAAATCTAAGAGTTACTAGTTAAATTAAATGATGAATCGTCAGGTGTTACTATTCTTTCTAGGTTGATTGATCTGTTGACCAAAAAATTCGATCAAATTATGTCAGATCAAAAGAAAAGAGACTAGATGAGAAAAGAAAGAGAAGATGGATATAAATAATAAATTGTAACCTCTATTTATATTGTAGACCTATCTCTAATTGGAAATCAAACAAAGAAGTAATTAGGACAATTAAAAGGATTTTAAAAACCTTAATGAAAAACTAAATCTACTAATTGAAGAAAACAAAAGATTGCAAGATTAGAGTTCATAATACACTTAACTCCAAAATAAATACTCAGAAATGAGTAGTTAATTAATAGAAGCCTAAAAGAGTGTGGCAAAATCATAATAAGTTTCAGAATTAGAAGCCAAATTAGAAGAGTACGCAAATGAAATTACCAGATTAAAAGCAACTCATACTCAACCCTAGTTATGTAAAATCTAAGCCCCGGATGGAGGTTCAGAGCCTCCACCAAATCCTTCAGAAAATATAGCCTAAGTTTAAACAGTTTCTTAAAATGCTGCTCCACCTCCACCTCCACCACCTCCATAATCTTAAATTCCAGCTCCACCTCCTCCTCCTGGAGGTAATACAAATGTACCTCCACCACCACCACCTCCTCCTGGAGGAAAGACTGGAGCACCTCCTCCTCCACCACCGCCTCCTCCTCCTCCTGGAGCTAAAGCTGGTGGTCCCCCTCCTCCACCTCCTCCTCCAGGTGGCAAAGCACCTCCATTACCAAATGCTAAACCTGCTGTGCCAACGAAGCCTAAATGCTAACCTTCAGTTCCACTTAAAGGTCTAAGTTGGAATATTTTAAAGCCAGATTAGATTGGAAATTCCGTATTTTAAGGGATGAATGAGAACGAAATTAAGTTTGATGTTAAATCTTTAGAGGAGAAATTTGCCTCGAAACCAGCAAAGCAAATTTAATAAAGTATGGGGGTGAGTGACAAAAAGAGGGAGGTGTAAAAAATCACTTTATTGAGTGGAGAAAGAACTAAGAACATAGAGCTGATATTGGGTAAATTAAAAATGAGTAATGAAAAAATAAAGAATGCATTGCTTGAGTGTGACAAGTCAGTTTTAAATCTAAATGTGATTGAATCTTTATTAAATGTGGTTCCAACGGATTAAGAAAAGTCTTTGTATTAAAATCCGGAGGAATTAGAGAAGGAGACTTTATAAATAGCAGATCTATTTTACTTAGAATTATGTTAGGTACCTGCTTAGGGAGATAGAATGTAAGCTATCAAGGCAGAGTTTGTGGGAATGGATATGTGTAGGGAATGCAGAGGAAAACTAAAGTAATTATAGAAAGGATTTGAATTTTAAAAAAATGATGAGGCATTTAAGTTATTAATAAAATGCACTTTAGCCATAGGTAATTATGTAAATGGTGACTCTGCAAGAGGAGGAGCTTTTGGATTTAAAATCGACGCAATATCAAAAGCAGCAGATATAAAGAGTGTGGATGGAAAAGAAACATTATTGATGAGTATTGTTTAAGAATGCGAGCAAATTTATGAAAAGCAAGGAAAGGGATCCTTTTTCTCAAATGATCGTATGGATCTTCTTGACTTTTTATGCAGATTACCTGTTTCTTAGATGACAATTGATATAAATGAAATAAAGAAATTGTAAAAGTTTGTGTAGAATGCAATAAAGAGTTAATCAAAGTTTCCCAACGATAGAGTAAGTAGATTTGAAGATTTCTCATAATAACTTTTATTGGAAATAACAGATCTATCTTAACTTTAATCGACATGTGAATAATTGTACTCTGATCTATGCCTATTTTATTGTGAGAATCCAAAAACTATGCAGAGTGACGTATTCTTCTAATCTATTCAATAAGTTTGGAATAATTGCTTAAGAGTATATAAATTGAAATTATATTTTAGTCGAAACAACAAATTGAAAAGATGTAATAAATGAAAATCAAAGAAGAACAAAGGAATAAATTGGATCAGCAGAAGAAACTGCAATAACCGATTACAAATTAGACTAATATGCATGAATCGTTACCAAGGAGAGTGAGCGCTTTACAATAGCTATAACAATCTCTGCCAAGTGATGCAGTTAACTAATTAAGATTGATGAAACAAAATAAGAATGAAAATAACTGATTTTGGGCATTAATGTAATGATAATCATAATAAATCCTCAAATGTTGGTTCGAATTCATCTTAAAATGCTCTATTCATCAACATTTGGATACTCTACTCTTTAGAATATTTTCTTTTAATAAAGTCATGCAAAATGAGTGTCATAGGCATTTCGATGTTATTTTCTTGAGCTTGTTTATACACCAGTTCTAAAGTGGGCCATCCTTCGACCACTCCTTTTGACTCGTTTAAGATATCTTCGACTTTTTCTCCTTTTCCTACTTTAATGCCAAAGGCTCTATTTCTGCTTAAAGATCCAAAACCTGCAAATAAAAATGAATATAACTTGTCAACATCAGATCCCCAAATCCAGCAAGACCATAAAAAGTATGTTTTGAGGCCCCGTAAATTCTAGCAAATCTCTGCATTTCTCCAACACTCCTAGTGACATAGGCTGTTTAGGTATTGATTCCAAAGCCCGCACCATCTAATACGCCTGTGCCTATAGCCACCAAATTCTTCAAAGCTCCAGCTAATTCAACACCCACAACGTCACTTTAAGTGAAAATTCTTAAGAAATTTCCTGACAATCCTAATTAGACTAATTTAGAAGTCTTAGTATCTTGACTAGCTACCACAACACATGATGGATCTAAATCATGAGAAAAAGGATTTACTATTTTACATAAGCTCTGCAGCGAAGGAAGGACCACTCAAACAGGCATATCTTAATTTGCCATCGAATTCTTCACTCAACATTTAGGAGATCAGTTTTCCAGATTTCAAAATGATGCCCTTAGAACAGGAAACGAAAGGAACCTTGGTGTCTATGTACTGTTTGTTGGCCTAAACGAATTGGTGGAGCTCCTGGGTTGGAATGCAACTAAGCACATAATTGGCCTCTTGAGTAGTAGTTGGAGAGACATACGGTAGAGGGCTTGTTAAAGGTCGGTAGTGGCAGTGATATCAGGATGCAAGGTGAAGTTACTGAGAAACTTGGGATTCCTGTGTTGTTGATTGATGGACTCTACTATGGCTTGGTTCCTTGCATAGATTTGAACTCGGCCAATGTATGGATTGTTGATAGCACAATGAGCCATGGCAGTTCCAAATGCTCCGGATCCGAGTACACATACTTTATACTTATTTGCCATATTATATAAATATTATAGGTTGAGAATACAAAAAGTAAAGGAATTGATTTATTATTAATTTATGTTATATAAATTTAAAGAATATTTTGTGATTTATTAAGAACATTTGAAGAACAAAGATCAGTGGAGAATGCTAATGGTGCTGATATCTGTCTATTAAATATGCGACATTATTGCAGTGACAGGAGATGCCATAACCTTGGATATTGAAGGAGACAAATACATTTTGATATATAGAATATTGGTAATATTAAATTACCATTATAGACCCAAATATTTTTGATAGCATTCTTTGAAGTGTCACTGATTAAAATGATCAAAATAAAAAATGGATTTATAAATCTCATGACTCTATTAAAATTCCTATGCTTAGTCGTTTGTTGGGAAGAGCTCGATTATTATGCAAAATAATAATTAATATCGAGAATACTGGACAAGTTTCTAATTCTAGCATGCTTTGTTTTTGCAATAGAATCGTAAGTATGTTAGACATTAGCAATAATCTTCAATTTGGCTTATTCATTGTTAAGGAACTTTGAGTTTGATTCCAAAATGAATGTCATATTCGGCACAAAGTTGATTGTGATCCATCTCTTACTATAATTCCTAATATTGATTGTCAACAAAAAGAATATTAAGAACAATTTAAATTCCTAATTGGTAACCATGGGTTTGAACAGTAAAGTGAGTTACACTTAATTGAATTCCTAGAGATTATCCAATCCCAACAGGACACTTCATCAATTGTATATAGATATCCCAGAAAATCGCAATATCTCACAAATACCCCATGAATAGAAATAGGAGGATCAATAAACTGAATCAGTTCAATAAGATCAAATAAACGAAGCCATACTGTCCTCTGCAGAATTCGGAATCTATCTTATTGATAATCTGACTAAAAGTGTGTAGGTAATAAATCCGTAGTTGTCCAATATTATTATGAAAGAAGATTAGCTGAGCACTTAGTTTCTTGAGACAGAATTGTATGATTTCGGATTGCTTATTGATGAGTCCTGTTTATTACTGCCAAAATTTCATAGAAGTCAAGACATTGCACAGTTCCTCAAATTCACTGAAACCTTAGAGTATTGTATAACTTTATATTGTTGAGTTCCATCTACTTTGGAGAATAATATCGAAAACGATCCTACTCAAACCAAACGTTTACAACTACTAACCAAAAAAATCTCCTTCAAAGCATTCTTTGATAATCTTATTGCTTTCAATCATCTGAAATTCGCAAACAAGCGTTCCCCTATTGATTTCTCCCTTAAAATATATATCAAATTCGATACTTGTTATATACAGATTGTTTTGTAGCCAATAATCTATAAACTTAAACCTTAAATTGTGATTTTTGTGTCCGACATCACAGAGGATCCTTACATCACATAACTGTTGAATACTACTAAAAACAATGACTTTTTGATTAGTGACATTTCCCAAAAGATTAAGTAGCCTCTTAATTGTACGATATCCATGCTTGAAATTATCATGGTATCACTATTCCTTATTATTATATAAGAACACAACTCCATAGGACATAACTGAAAAATATATCAGTCCAGCACTTGCTGGCTGCAAATTATTAATTAACACAGCTAATGATATCCTTGATTATGCCTAGTTGCAAAAGAAGGATAAGTTGGACTTAGTCTAGATGGATGTGCAGATATAAGAGTTCCTGACTGATATCATCAATGTAGTAAAATCTTAAGCAATTTTCAGAGGATTAAAAATATCTGTTAATATTAAATAGAATGTTCCGTAATTTATAAGAACTGATCCCAACAGATTGAGATAAATCCTACTTAATTTATTAGTCACATCTATTTAAGCCACTGTCAGAGGATCCATAATATTTTGTGTTTCCAAAAGTTAAATCCTTAATGAGCATATTGACTTTGTTGTAAAGGTGAAGGCTAATGAAACTAATTTCTCCATTCTTAAAATAATAGAGAGGACAGTTAGATTCTTTAAGTCATAAACTTTGAAGTCCAAGATATTGGATCTTGGGAATCTTCGACAGTATTCACAATCAATTCTGATTTCGTTTTATTTAACAAAATGTCTGTCTCAAATTCCATTCGAATATAATTATGAACGTGTGGGTAATAAAGAAGAGTTTAGTTTTGTCATTAAAATCAAAAATTTATACCCATAATTTAATTAGAATTTGAATAAGAAAAGATTGTCAGAATTTTCAAATTAATAAAGTTTTTATCAATAGTACCAGAATAAAGAAGGCTTAAAGAGATATTAATCTCAAATGTCCAGTTTACAACCAGAGAATTCGAATATCAAACTGGACCTCAAAGAAGCAGGACAAAAATTTAATATCAATATCATCCAAAATCAAGGACCAGAACCCAAAGAAAAGGAAATCCAAGAACAATCAAATGAATCTGATCAAAGTCCATCTGAATAATAGGATGATGAAGTGTCAATTGAGTCCAAGAATGGCATCTCTAATAGAGTGGAACAAATGCTAAAAATCAAACCATATTTCTTTGATTATGTGAATGAAACCTAATAGAAACACGAAGGCATGAGTTCTCAGCCATCCCAACAACTCACTTTTGGAGGATTAGGACAAGGCAGATCCTCAATATATTCTTCGTTATGTTTTACTAGTGGAACCATGTAACCCAATGATTTATTGGATTGCTTTGAGAAAATGGAAAAAATTAAATAATAAAAAAACAAATCCAATTGTAGAGTAATTCTTATTTTAATAGTTAGTGTACTAAGATATTGATATGTGAGAGTGTCGATCTTGATCTTTACGCTTTATCGCATTAATTAACTAATATAGGCATTACATATGAGTATATAACTCAGAAATCTCAAATTGTGAGCGCTCTTGTTAAATTATTAAATAGTGATTTGTAATAATAGTAAAATAGTAATTAATAAAAGTAGAATAGTGAAGATCATTAATTAAAGATTAATAATGATAATTAATAGCTGAAAAACAATGAAAATCAGCCATGTTGTAAGGGATTATAACTTTTATTCATTGGAATCGAGTAATTCGAAGAAGAACTATACACTTTGTTCAATTCAATAAAAGATGTCTATGCAGAGTTTAAAGTTGAACCCAGAATCATAGGATTGATTGGCTGTATGGATGAAGAGAACAGAGCCTTGACAAGAAAGCTTCCCTTTCATGACTATTTGTCAAAACCCATAATGATTGATGCCCTCCTCTTTATTTTAGCAAAATGGATTAAAATGAATTGATGATATAATAAAATTATGTTTAATAATAAAGATTGATTAGGTTATTCTGATGAAAGTAATGAGAACCATCACTTACACTTATTGAATCGATATATTTTTATAATAAATTAGAGTCAACTTGATAGATTAAAGAGTTTAATATTAATTACACAATGGAACAATTTATACATCAATTATTTGAGATGAATCAATAGATAATACACTCCTTGTTCTCCTCCTTTTTTTTCTTGCTACTGGGCTATTACATGATTTAACTTTATTTTATGGCTTGTTAATTCATTAATTCAGGCAAGTTACTGCCTCTAAAGATTTATTCGTAATTGGAGAAGTCCAACTAAGTAATCGCTGATTTTTATTCTGCATCTAAGATTGGTAGGTTCGCCAAGAACTCATCAATTTGTCTTTGGATGTCTTCTAATTCATCTTTCGCTTTTTATGCCTTATTAATTGTTTCCTGCAATTTCACCTATTTCATATCTACACTCTGAGTCTTCTCTATATTTGATTATTTAATTTATATTTTCTCTGATTCTATTTCTTGCAGTTGTGATATTAATAAATTTTTTTGATATGTGGCTTCAATGATATCCTCATCTAGCTTTTGAATCTTTTGCTCTGAAGTTATTGATTCTGGGTTATTATGAAACACATTCTTAAATGAATAAAGCTATTGTCTTTTGTTCGCCAATTCAGCATTTGCTTTATCCAAAGAAATGGCCAAATCATCCTTTTACTTTTTGGCACTCAATATTAGGATGCGTTCAAGGAAGAGACGTTCGCAATATTCACAAACGGGATGAAAAGCATCATCTTAGGATTTTCGTCTCTTCACTATACAATTGGAGCAAGTGGATTTACCACAAAAATCACTAATATAATAAATTAGTCATACCAATGATTTGGACGATCGAGATCATCATCGCATATATGACACACTAATTTATTCTCGAATTAAGTGGCTATCCTTGGTTCAGGATTGACTATCTATTCACTAAGCATTATATTAATAAATTCCTAATAATTAAATGATGAATTCAACCTTGTTCAGCAAACCTAAATAGAGATAGATTTATTTAATTTATGCATCTCGCAATTATACTTAATCAAAGACTACTCCTCGGACTACCCACCTCAAATTACCTAATTGTTCTCCTCAGTCTAGAATTAATGATAACAAATTAAAAAAAAAAAATAGCATTGTTACCCCAAGAATATAAAGATCGCAATAACAAAGTCCAGTTGTTCGATAACAAATTCGAATTAGAGATTCAAGTGAAAGCATTATGAAGGAGTTAGAACTATCAGGGAATGAAGATTTAAAGGATATAAACAAGAGCTTACTTTTGACTTCTTAGGAGATCAATAAGAAAATGCAATTTAGTATAGAATCATATCTGAACAACACTCTTAAATAAAAGAAAATCAATCATAACCTTAATAATATGATTGAGTTTGATTTGACATAAGACAATGCTTCTTTTCACTCATTTGAATTCTCGAGAAGTCGCAGAGAAACCCCTCTTCAACCCATCAAAGTCTACCATAAAAAGTGATTATTTTTTATTTAATATATTACTCATAGCTTCATAAATTATTCGTATTCTAAGAATAACGGAGAAGTATCATAAGAAAGGTTAGTTGTTTGTCTACATTCAAACTCTATCTTCTATAATTAAGTAGCATTTTTTATCATTAAGTTTGTGAGAGGATCCTCCTTATAATAATTTAATTATTGAATTAAAGAAATAAACAGTTTCTCCAAAGCAATTTAAGAGTACTAATCTTTTTCAGTCTACATTAGAGTTTGAATGTTCTCTATATCCTTCAATAACTTATGAATCTATTTATTAATATGCTTATTTTCTTTGAATTTGCTATTGTTTTGCTGATTTTACAATTCTATTTACTTAATATCGTTTCTATCCTATTGGATAGATTTATGAATAAAAATTGGTCCTGCATTCTCACAAGATACCTTGTTCTCCTTCTTGATTGTTGGTCTTCTAGGTGGTTGAGATTGTTGTCTTTTTAAATTCGGTAAGATTTGAAAGTTATTTAATCCAATTCTGTTAGTACCTTCCTCATCTGATTCAACTAAATCAAAACTATTTTTTTTTGAAAATTAGATGTCCTATTCCTTCTACTTAATTTATTGAGTCTATTCCTCTTTGATTTGCTATGCAGTAGAGGAGCTATTTGCTTTCAAGTGCTGTTTAAGAATATTGTTTTTAATATAGATAAGCTCTAAAACTGAAATGAGTTTGCTCAGAGTGAAGTTCTTTTGGATGATATCGAAAGGGCGTTTCTGATCCTCATTATAAGTGAATAGCAAGTAAGGGTTGATGGAATAAAGTTGCAATATAATTTTAATATTTTCGCTTTTGGCAGCAAAATGCATTACTAATTAGAGATAAATTGATACCTGAATTGCCTTTGTGACCTAGTAATTTGAATGAAAACACATCACGTTAGTATTATTCATTTATGGAAATAGCAAATCGTAAAGCAGAATATGAGGATTTTTTGATAGCAAGATGAAGAGGTGTATTATTGTTGATATTCTTTAAATTAGGATCGGCACCCCTTTCAATTAAGAGATGCCCAATTCTTGTAGCCTCTTAGAGATTCTTTTTAAAAGATGGAATCAAGTTATGCAAAGGGCCATTACCTTTTTTATCTTACTTGTTAATTTAAACTTTGGCATTTAAGATGTCTTTGATTAGATAATATTATGTTTTACTCACAGCCTAATTAAGAACACTGTTGTATTCTCCACTTTAAAAATAAATGAGATGAATTACCCTCCTATATTTAGATTAGTTGATGCATTTATGATGATTTTGGCACAATGATACTTTTCCTCTTTGATTGCCAATGAAAGTGGAGTGTGAGAAGCATCATCTAATTATGAGGATAGTTCAAATCTTATATTAAGAAGAGCTCTCACAATACCGATATCTTCATTCTCAACTGCCATATGCATTAGATTTGATCCGTAATCAGATGCATCAGCATCTTGCCCTAAGGTTTTAGTTTGAATGAATTGGCAACTACTAGTCAACTCCTGGAGGGTCAATTCCGTATTTCTCTGAGTAGCTCTAACAATGTTGGACTGTTTGGGGATTTGTACAGTAATTGAATCTTGAATCTGATCATCATGATATTTTTAATTAAATATCAAGTATTCATGACAGAGGATGCATTCATTATCTTTAAGTAGTTAATTTACTTGGTCCCAAAATCTTGAGAGATCATCTGTTATCATCATGTCCTTCTCTAAATTAAAGATAAATATATTAGTTATACTGGATACAAAATAGTTTTGATTAGTGTATTTAACCCAATCTAAACCCAGTCCTTTGAGTTGTTTCTCTAAATTCAATATTGCTTTTGGTAATTTGGTGAAGTCGTTGCTTCTTAAATCCACAATCTTTAGTTGTTCCATCTGGAATAACTCATCTGGTAAAATGCGAATGTGATTTTTGCCTACATCCAGTCTCTCCAGTGATGTTTTCCACTTATCCCCCAATTAGAGAGTCTTCAATAGATTGTTGTTGAGATTGATATGCGAGAGATATAATTCAAATAGGCAAGTTGGCACTTCCTGAAAGAGATTGTTGGCTAAATTGATGATGGATAAGCGAGCATATTGTTTGATGCCTTCATGCAAAGAAGTCATTTTGGAATTTGAAAGATCCAACACTCTTACATTATGATCATAACTATTAAGTAGATTCAAATTTTGCATCTTGAGTATATACTTGGTATAGTTTTTTTTCATCAATGACATTTATCTATCTAAAACTGAATGTTTTATACGTTTAATTTTCCTTCTAACTTGTCTCATCGAAATCAAGAAGTCCCTTTTGCTTTTCTTTAATGGAATACTCATCCTTAAGGTTCATGTCCTTCCTTCTCTTAAATTACATCTGATCCTTCTCATACTGATGACAGGTATTTTCATATGATTGCAAAGTATTGCTCATAACTGATCAAATATATTTTAATTATTGATTATCTCAATTACATAATCCGAAATATGCATTTCTTATATAAAAATTCATTCAATGAGGAATGAGGTATGATAATTTGAGAATTAAAACTTGTTATTTGATAATTAGCAAGGATATTATTATTTTATTAAAATTCTATAAAAAATGAATAAAACCTTGAGTTTGCTCTATAGTCCAGAAACATATGAAAAAATCAGAAATAGCAATATCCTAATAATAGGAGTCGGAGGAATAGGTTGTGAATTGTTGAAAGTGTTGACAAACAGCGGCTATCACAAGATGACCATATTGGATTTAGATACAATAGAGGCGACCAATTTAAATAGGTAATTCTATTTTAGAAAGGAACACGTTGGCATGAGCAAGGTTATAGAATACAATATAGTAGGCATTGGTAGGCAAAGAGAGCGTGATGAAGAAGCATCCAGATCTGGATATTACTGCAATTCATGGATCAATATTTGATGGTATGTATAATAGGTAAAGTCTAGAAAAATATGATGTTGAGTTTTACACTCAATTCGACTTTGTCCTATGTGCTTTGGACAATGCGTAAGCCAGAGAACATTTGGGAAGGATGTGTTTAAAAAGTAATAGAATTTTGGTGGATGCAGGGACTGGTGGATTCAGTGGTCAAGCTAATGTGATTAAAAGATGTATATAATCATCAGAATCATTATAGTTTCTTATCAATGCAACAACTGTCAGCCTTCAAAAGGAGCTGCTCAATATGCTGTTTGCACTATCAGAGCAAGTCCATCATAGCCAGTCCATTGTGTTACTTACGCTATGGCCTTGTACAATCTGTTGTTCGGACCTTTGGATGAATCGAATGTCTTGGCTGGTTTATTGGATTTGGCTCAATTCCACTCCTGCGATAAGACTGATGAATAGCTATTGTAAAGTTTGGCAATAAAGACATTCGATAAGTTGTTTTACGAAGATATTAAGCAAGGAATCAAGGGATTTGTGAAAGATGAGGAGGCTAATGCTATTAATTAACATAAATATCCAATATCTTATGAAGATGGAATGAAAGATACCCATGTTTACACTACAGTTGATCAATCGAAAATAGAGGTGGATGATGATAAAGGTAAATGATGAAATTGATTTGTTTAGTTTAACCATTTAGTTATTATGTAGATTTATTTGTAAAGATGTTTGTTAAGATCCTGCAGACTCCTGGTGTAGGCTCATTCAAATTTGACAAAGACGATTGGGATAGTGTGAGATTTGCTGCAGCCACAACCAATATTAGAACATATAATTTTACTAAGAAATTCAAAGATATTGATCCAAGATTGATTGAAGGAGATAAAATGAAATATTTGAGTGTCAATGAAGTCAGACAAATTGGAGGAAAGATTATTCCTGCTATTGCAAGTACAAATGCTATTGCTGCTGCTATTTAAGTGTCTGAAAGTAAGAAAGTGTTGGAAGAGAATTGGGATCAATTAAGAATGAATTGGATTCAACCTACCTATGATAAAATTGCTCCCACTTATCTTCCAGAACCCTATCCAACTTGTAATCATTGCAGTCCAAGAAATGTTTATCTCCACATGTATTGCAATTTTGATACAACAATATTTGGAACAATAGTTGAGTTGGCCAAAAGTTTCGGTTTGAATGACTATGACATTTATGGACAATCAGGAACAGTTTATGGATTACATAATAAAGTATTGAAGAAAGATGGGGCCAATGAAAGGATCTACAAAAAATTGCTTTCTTAATTCTATTAAAGAGATACTCCATATGCCAACATGATATTCTCTGTCTTTGAACACTCTCCAGGTAAAAAGTACTATTGGCAACTTAACTGCAAATTGGAGTTGATCATTATGCACAGGGCTGAAGTTTAAGTGCCTCAGATTTCAAAAACAACAAAACTGGAGACTGCATTAGAATAATTGAAGCAGCTCAAAATATCAAAACATAAAGAACTTTGCGAGGCTAGAATGGAAAATTTAGACAGGTATTCATTTTGAAATGAGAAATTATTTTAGAGATTATTATTAAAATTATAATATTAATTCAATTCACACGTGTGTTTGGGGTTCAATAAATGTTAAAAATAACCACGTTAAAGTACAATAATAAAAATGACAAATAAAACCAAGATACTCAATTATATGAGACCAGCCATGGCCATCATCCCAGATGTGGCTGAGCCTGAAAGAAGAGTACCAATATTAATTTGATTTTAGATCTTATTTAAATACAGAGCATTATGGACAGCCATTGCAACTTTGCTATATCTGATATGCTCTCAAATTCCACTCTATGGTATTTACAAATCTGCTGCTGGTGATCCATTCTATTGGATGAGAGTCATATTAGCATCTAATAGAGGTACTCTGATGGAATTAGGTATCTCACCAATGGTCACAGCCTCCATGATTATGCAACTCTTGGCAGGTGCCAAATTGATTGATGTTGATTAAAATGTCAAAGAAGACAAATAACTTTACTCAGGAGCATAAAAATGTAATAACCTGTGTCTATCTTAGTGTTGGGAATCCTCATTGCTTTCGGAGAAGCTTTTGCTTATGTTTGGTCAGGGATGTATGGAGATTTAGACAAATTGGGAGCAGGAAATGCCATCCTCATCATAATCCAATTAGTCTTCTCTGCAATCGTAATGATCATGATCGATGAATTACTCTCCAAAGGATATGGAATTGGAAATTCAGGAACTTCATTATTCATTGCTATTAATATCTGCGAAAACATCATGTGGAAAGCATTCTCCCCTATCACTCATAAAACATAACTTGGACTCGAATATGAAGGTGCTGTCATCGCCTTATTGCATGGACTCTTCATCTAGAGTGACAAAATTGCTGCTATCCAATCAGCCATTTTAAGAGACTCTTTGCCTAATCTTACTAATTTATTGGCTACAGTCCTTGTGTTTTTGATTGTCATTTATTTCCAGGGCTTCAAAGTAGATATTCCCATCAAAAATAACAAAGTTAGAGGTGGATTGACATCATATCCCATTAAATTGTTTTATACTTCCAACATTCCAATCATTTTGTAAACTGCACTTGTTTCAAACCTTTATTTCCTTTCCTAAATCCTCTATAGAAATTTCAAAGGAAACTTCTTAATACGTCTATTAGGATTTTGGTAAGAATTAGATAATGGACAAACCGTCCCAGTTGGAGGATTAGTCTATTATGTATCTCCACCAAGATCTATTTCAGAAGCAATTTTTGATCCAATCCACACAATTCTTTACACTGCCTTCATACTTGGAACTTGTGCAGTCTTCTCCAAAACTTGGATTGATGTATCTGGATCCTCACCTAAAGATGTATTAATTAATAATTATACTCAGGTTGCTAAATAATTGAAAGAATAAGACATGTAAATTGTTGGATACAGAGACTCATCTATGAAAGATGTTCTAAAGAGATACATCCCAATAGCTGCTTCATTTGGTGGAATGTGCATTGGAGCTCTTACTATCTTGGCTGATTTTCTTGGAGCTATTGGATCAGGTATTTTATTCAGTCTATATTTTAATAGGAACTGGTATTTTGCTCTCTGTCACTATTATCTATGGCTATTTTGAAACATTGAAAAAGGAAAAGGAATAGGGTACATTAGAATTGTTTTGATATTATAAAGTATTGTTTTAAGTACATCACAATTATTATAATAAACATCATAAGACGACAATTTTACCACAATCTAATTGAAATCTTAGTTTCTCAAAAGAGAATTACTAAGTGACAATATATCAATTATTGTTATTGATTTCTTTGTTTCTATTTATTGTAACCTCTAATTCCATTTTATAAGTAATTAAAATTTAACTACGTAATCCCTCACACAATTCTGCAGTCCCATCTTATAATTATATTCCTTTATTTTTTAATTATTTATTCTCTCTTATTGAATATTATGTTCTATACTAAATAATTTGTTATTGTAAATTCATGTAAAATTTTCATTTTTCTTCCAATTTGGGGTACACTCTGTTTGCCTTCTGAATCTTATCAGCAATTATTATCATAATGCGACCTATCAATTTAACAATGTAAATGTAGTTAAACATTCAATCCAATACTACGTCATTCTTTCATCAAAATTAGTTTACTCATGTTCTCTTTGAATTTAGATGGACTTTTTAATTTAACTAAAGTTAAACATTCATTAAAATCTTTTTTAATAAAATTTCTTTTATTTTACTATTCTTCATTTTAATATTAAAATAATACCTTCAATTCAACAATTAATTTCTCGACTTCTTTATTCATTGAATTAATTAACTAACTGAACACTTTGTAATATATAATTATTATTTTAATTAAGTGAAATACTACTTTCTTACTTATAATATGTGAATGTTCTATACATAATTAAGATCTAATGTGAGGTGAGAATAAAAACTTTCTTTATTATAAAATATTAAAATGAATAAAAGAAAATATGAAAAGCAAAGTAGAAAGTCATCTCAAAATAAAAACTAAGATTTGGAATAAAACCCCAAGAGGAGATGGTCTAAGTAGGATACTCCAAGGAACTATGATAATATCAATAAATTATAATATAGTTTTGACTATTCCACGATAAATAACAAATATTTATAGTAAATAAGGAACAATACTAAAATTAAATAACTTATTGCTAAATAGAAATTGGAATAGCAGAATTCCCATCTCTTCAAAATTCAACAAGATTTCGTGCCAAAACCAAAGTGGCAAAATTATTAAGATAGTTTATAATCAATAATAAATCAATAAAAATATTTTGCCTATCTTGACTTTTAAGCATCTTGATATTCATATATTCATTAAATTAATATTTATTTTTACCTTCTAACATTATTACAACACTATTAAACAATAACATTTTAAGTACTTGCAAACTATTTTTTTTATTGAAATGCAATATCCAATTTATATAATTCATAGTAAATCTAATCTTACTTTAGCAATTATTTAAAATTCCTGTCTGCCATTCATTTTGTTTCACCCTTTTATAAAAAATATCTTTTTAAGTCATTCAAACTATCAATATAGTGTGCTCCTAAAGATATTTAAATCTTTGCGAATTTATCAATTTATGCTATATTTTTATTAAAATCCTATATAATCTTTATAAAGATTATTTATAAACATTACTTGTATCAAAATGATAATAATAAAAATAATATAAATATTAATGAGCTTAAAATACTGCATTAAAGAGAGTCACGAAAACTAACCAGTATCTTTTTTTCTAAGAGAGAATGAGCATTGGGTTCTATGCTGTGCAATGTGTTAATATGAATCGGATCTACCAAAATAATCATTTATTTCTCTCAAGGATCTAGAAAAAATCAACAAAGAAACTCAAAAAAAATTAGATTCATCAGAAATTATCCAACACCTATACAGTGCCTTATACAACCTAAAACAATGGCAATCAAATGTTGAGAGCCTTTTATTAGAACTAAAAACTTAACTTTAATCAAAAGTAGACCATTTCTCTACTTTAATTGAAACCCTTAATTAAAACACTGATTACTTTGTTTTCAACAACGAAAAGCTGCAAGAAGTTCTTAATTTTAGAGAATAACTAAAACTAGAGTTGGAAACATGTGAAAGTGATGTATAAAATCTTTAATTGAATTTGGAAAATGCCTTTCTAATCTTAACACTAAGCTCATCCTCTCAGCAAACAGAAAAAGAAAAAAAAGTTCCCTCAACTATTGGTGAATAAACAGATAAACCAGAAAAATCTAATTCAAATTCTATTATCAATGAATTGAAACCTTAGAGCAATTAGTCATTATAAATTGAGATGGAATAGCTTGTAGATTCACCTAATCATCAACCCAAGACTGTTATAAAGTATTAATTATTCTAAGATTAGAGTTGAAGAAATAAAATAATAAGGGAAGATTTAAATAGATTAAAATACATACTATGAAGGTGAAATATATAAGGGGATGATGCATGGCAAAGGAAAAATGGTTTAAAGAACTCAAAACTATGAATGCATGTATTTATTAGCTCATATATGAAAGTTATGAAGGAGATTTTTATGAGAATAAAAAACATGGCAAGTTCACAGAAACATAGATCGAAAAAGAAGTGGCAGACATAAATCAGTCCTTTTTTAAAAGTCTCAATTTGTTAAAGCCTACTAATTAAAAGAAGATACAACTTATAGGAGATTATAAGGAGGATAAGAAAGTAGATGTATTTACAAAAATTACATATCTTAATGATGTCATCTAGTCCTAAAGGTATAAAATGTATTCAATAGTAGATATTAATTCTATGATAACGGTGCTTTGACAAATGAATTTTCTGACTGAATAAAAAATAATTTATTAATAATAATATCATAAATCATCTATTGATATTGATTCCTCTTCATCTTCATAATTATGACGTCTTTTGTTTATATTCTTAGGAAATATGGACACTTTCTTTCTAAAAATCATCTTAAAGACTATATATCCAAGAAATACAATAAAAATTATGTACAAAATGGCGAATAATAGATTTTATAGTTGAGGTTCCTACCTTTATAACATTATTTCATTTTTTAATTATAATTAAAATACTTAGGAGCTAAAGTTAAAATTAAAATTATTCTCATGAATTTATGCTAACAATTAAATTGATTAAATGTTTGAAATAGGATCATATAGCTCATTTAAAGTTTGATGGTATTCGCTTAGGTTGTAATATCCTTGAGTATACTCAATAGATTTATTTTTAAATCCTATTTTAGTTATGATAAGGATTTTTTAAATATTTAATTAATCACAATTTAATTGTGTGCAATTAAGAATTTATGTATTAAGAGTAAGGTTTTTTAATTGCTGTTCATATTTAAGAGGAGAGAGGAAGATACTTTTGGATATCAATTCAATGTTTTTATAAGTCTTTTCTTATACTTAAAATGATATTTAAGACTTAATGCCTTCTATCATAAAATATGTATAAGCATCTTCTCTTACATTATTTATAAATTAAACTTTATAATAATTTTATGCAATTTTTTCTATTTCTGATTAGCCATTTTTATTAATTATTTGGATTTTTTCTTCTAAATCTTATTTAAAATAAAAATAAAATATATTATTGTTTGTTTATTAAATTTTAAAGATTTCTGCTGCAAAATCAATTGAGGATATATCTTAATTAAATTGTAATTCTAAAAGTTTTGTATCAGTTATCGTGATTTCTAGATCCTATTAAATTTTGCTTTTAGTTAGAATAATGTATTGCATTTCAGCTTGAGTTTAAAGAGAAAATCTAAGATAATTTTATGAATGGTAAGTTTATACAGGCTTAATAAATTTCCCATTCTCTATGAACTATATTTCAAACAGAGAATTATCTTATTCATAGTTCATTTAATGATAGTAAATATGGAATTGAACTTCTGCTTTCGATTATGAAGCAAATTTATACTCCATTTAACATGTTTTACAATAGCTAAATCGTCTTAATTAAAACAGATTTAAAAAATAGAAAGTAGGTTCTCTTATATGTAATTAATATTCAAGGGCCTTTTATTTAGTTTTAATACCAATATACATTTTGGTGTCTCCATTCATTTTAATAGATTTGATATTTGATTCTATTAATTCGAATTGGTTCTGATGTTCATTAGGATATAGGGTGTTATTGGAAAAGTAAATTTAGACTAGTAGTTCATAATCATAAACAAAAAGCTCAAATACAAATTCGGAGAATATTGTATCGACACAATAGAAAGAATATGAATCTTCCTCTTGTTCTAATCTAAAATTTGAATTCAAATATAGAATTTAAATTGAATTAAGATATTGTAATGTTAGATTTTAGTGTGCAGTAGACTAGAGATAGAAGTTTTAATCCCAATCTTGTAAATTTTATTCTTCTTTAGCCAAAATGATAACATTACTCTCAAATTATTTTCTGGACCTTTCTGAGTATTGAACTGCCTTTATCTTTTAATTGGTATAGATAAAATTGAGCGAGTTTAAATCATCCAATACGAGGGAAGCTTCCTTGTTTACTATCTCAATTTATGATATTTTATTAGGTTTTATAAATTAGACATTAGCAGAACTGTAGTGTTTAAAAGTAAGGTAATAAAATGTGGCATTTATGGTGGTTACTTTAAGTTGATGGCTACAAAGATCTTAGTAATAATCCTTTGAAATGAGGGTGCATTCTATTTATGAGAAATTTAGGAGTAATTTGGTCTCATTATTTTAATTATAGCAACCATTACTTTTACAAGTTTAAAGTTCCAAATATCCAGACCCATATTAATAATTAATTTCAATTTGATAAAACCCAGAAGTTTCATAAGTCATATTCAAGTTATAAATCACTTCTGATGAGTTTTTTGTAAATCCTAATTCAGGTTAGAATCTGGTGAGTATTCTTGGATATGAATTTACATTAACTTTATATTTATACCATTATTCTTAATACTGCGGTAATGGATCGAGGATCATTGTAGTCTTCTGATTAGATAATTAAAAGTCTTTGCATATAAATAGACCGTATTGTGCATCATCTACTTGCACTTGAAGTAATTAATCTAATTTAGTAATAGTGTTCTCAAGTTCAATTGATATGGGTGTTGGAAAATCAAATTAAAAATCAAACCATAAATAGTCCTTATCCAAAAGCTATTTTTATTCTTTTGTAATATTCAAATCAATATGTAATGAATTGTTAATTCTTCCATTTTATTCAAATATCAAATAACATAGACTTTATGTAATATATATAAGAAACAATAACATTAAATATAATTATATTATTAAAAAAGAATCTGTCTTAAGAGTATTATGGGAATCATATGAGATAATCAATTTTGAGTGGTTCAATCATTATGAAAATAGTAACAATTAAAATTACAAATGAGGATTTTAATGTGAACAAATAGTTGTTTGAGAAATTAATTTTTATATAATATTTTGTTAACCACAATTTCAGAAAGAATGATGGATGTTGCTGATAGAATAGTTGTTGCTATAAGAAAAAGGCCTCTATCATAGAAGGAAATTATTAAAAAGGAGGAAGACATAATAATTGTGCAAAACGATAACAGTGTGATCGTTAAAGAAATCAAGTAAGATAAATAAATTAACAGAGTGAAGATAAAAAGTAGACCTCACCAAATACATTGAAGAACATTAATTTAATTTTGATCTAGCTTTCAATTAAAATCATTCGAATGAATAAGTTTACATCAATGCTGTTAGACCCATAATTCGTGCAGCCTTTCAAAGAGCCAAAGTGACTTGTTTTGCATATGGATAGACAGGGAGTGGAAAGACATATACAATGATAGGAGATATTGAGAGATAAATACCTGGAATGTATTTATTGGCTGGTTAAGATATATTTTAAATAATTGAAATGGTAAAACTACTAAATTTATCAAAATTTAGGAAGAATACACTCATCTTCAAGTGTATGTTTCATTTTTTGAAATTTATTGTGGAAAATTGTATGATTTATTGTCTTAAAGGAATTAAATCTAAATAAGGGAAGATGCAAAAGGGAATGTGAATATGATAAATTTGATGGAAAAAAAAATAAATTCAGTTTAATAACTAATGCATTTCATTTAGTTGGGGTAGAATGTTAGAATTACAGGTATAAATAATCAAATATCATAATAGCATCAAATAGTTCTAATTCAGAGTCATCAAGATCCCATGCCATACTATAAGTGAGTTTAAAATCAGGGAAGACACTGCATGGAAAGATGTCATTCATTGATTTAGCTGGCAGTGAAAGAGGAGCTGATGTTTAAGATCAAAACAAGTAAACCAGAATAGATGGTGCTGAAATCAACAAGTCATTGTTAGCATTGAAAGAATGCATAAGAGCTTTGGATCTGAATAAAAATCATACACCATTTAGAGGATCAAAACTAACCTTGGTATTAAAAGATAGTTTGACTGGTAATTGTAAAACTGTTATGATTGGAAATATTTCCCCTAGTTCTCAAAGTAGTGAGCATACTCTTAATACTCTTAGGTATGCAGATAGAGTGAAAGAGCTAAAAAAACCTGAAAACAGAATTTTCTAAGGGGAATTGATGTAAAGAGAGTTAATGTTGGCTAGATAAACAAGTAAATCATTATATGATAATTTTTTAGAAAATGTTACGAGGAAATAATTTAATGAAGAAGAAGATTAAGAAAATGTGAGAAATTTCAGTCCGATTTCAAATATTAAAAGACAATCATTATAGCCATTACATCAGTCAACTTAAATGTTCAATAATCAGAATTTCAATTAATAAAAAGAGATCAGAAAGAGTGATATCTCTTCTGCTATCAACAAGTTTAATCTAACTTCCATTCCATCTATTAACGTAAATTTCAATAAGACTTAATAAATTAATCCAAATAATTATTTTCCTACTCATTAAAGGATAAATTCTGAAAGTACTTACTACCATGATTATGATCATTTTGATAATAACTAAAATAACCTATTCTTAAAAACTTAAAATTACTCTTAATAAAATAATCAATTGTTTTAATAACACTAATTTAATCAAACTGCTACTTACAGTGAATTATTTAGTGAATCGCCTTATCAATCATAATAAGAATAAGGATTTCGACAATTAAATCAATAAGCTGTTTAACAAAGTTAAGAATTGGAAGAAGAGTTTGATTATTCTAACCCTTAACAATCATATCGATAAGGACACAGTAATTGTTCTTCCATAGTTTATGATCACAAAAATTTAATAGACAAAATTATTGAGATATCTAAATTGGTATAGTATAATTTAAACTATTTAGGAAATGAAAGAAATAACAATGTATGAGAATTAGAAGGACTTGTAAACTTATTTGCAAACAATATCTCAATAACTGCAATAAAAGGCAGAGTTGATCCAAGAATTCTAACAAAAGGTTTTTGAAATCTAATAATAAAGTCAACATTGGACATTTCAACCTAATGAAAGCTAAAATAGAGATGAATTATTTCAATATACTAATTACTGAGTTAATAATAATAAATATATATATAAATAAATCAAAACTGCACAAAATCATTATTAACAAATGACCACCCATTAATGTAATTTATTGCACTCGATTTATCTGCAGAAAGTATAAAATCAAAAGGTATATCAAATTTTTAATTAAGTATTTCTTCATTTATCACTGGGATTGGTGGTTTGTATTTTCTAAGTTAATACATAAAGAGTACCTATTCAATAAATCCTTCCAGTTTATTTATTTTAAAAAGGGATGATCCTTAATTTCATCAGCATCTCTTTATGAGGCACCTAATCTCTACATAGGATTTTTGATCAATAGAGATTAAATAATAGATTTGCATTCTTTGGTAATTGTATCTGGAAATTGAATATTATTCTATTCAATATTGTTCATCATTTCATCTCTATTGGCTGAGAAATATGGTGGTCGACCAGTAATCATTTCATATAATAAGATCCCTTATAATAAATTTAATTGAATACCCATATGATACCAATCGACAGCCCTTCCATGACCTACTCTTTTAAGCATTTCTGGTGCTAGATATGCCATAGAGCCGCAAAAGCTCTTGGCTCCATAATTGTCATGTATCCCTTCTTTAGATAATCCAAAATCAGTTAGCATTGCATGTCCAAATTAATCAATAACAATATTCTCAGGTTTCAAATCTCTGTAGATTATGTCGTTAGAATGTAAATGTTCTAAAGCAGTCAATATTTCAGCAAAGTACAATTTGGCTTACTATTCTGACAATCTTTATTGTCTTTGAATTAATTTAGACAGATCACCACCAGGACAAAAGTCCATTAGTAAACATAAATGAGTATTAGTTTAAAATGCATATCTTAATTTAACAATAAATGGATGATTTAAATAAGACAGAATATTCCTTTCGGTTAATGCATATCTTAATAAATTTTATCCAAGGAATTTGTTCTTTGGCAAAACCTTCATAGCTAATTTTGGTCCTTGATTAGGTCTACCAGTGATTCTCTTTTCAACCAAATAAACATCCCCAAATGAACCTTTACCTATTTGTAATATTATTCTAATTGAAGATGGTCCAATTACTTCAGTATAATCTTATGCAGGATGTATGTATGCTGTTGATCTATTTGAATGTGAATTCATATATTCTATTTTTTAAGGAGACTAACAGCGACTTAACATTTGATAAGCATTAGTTTATTATTTGCTATTAGGAGAAGTGATTACTCTTTCAGTAGTCTCTTCAAAGATTCTAACTCTTTAACATTAGTTAAAAGAATCTTATTTCATCTTAATTAAGTTGATTCACTACCTTCAAGTGTTTATCAAACAGTGTTTTGAGAATTGGACAATGTTGGACTAAATCATAAGGCGTCTTGCCATCTAGATTTCTAATATTTATCATTATTGAAGGTCTAGCCAATAAAATCTCAGTAACTCTCTTGTGTTCTAAGTTTAAATGAGTAATTTACAAAAATAGCAAGCATAATGCAACGGAGTATTTTAAAGATTATCGATGTGGTTAATATCAGCACCTATTGTCAATAATAATGAGAGGATATATTCACATCCTTTTTAAGCGCAAATACTTAATGCCGTTTATCCTTAGGAGTTTGTTAAGTCACAATCAGCCTCATTTTTTAAAAGTAATAATGCTAATTCGTAATTCTGATTCATGCAACTGTAATGTAATGGGATCAATCCTTTAAATTTAATGATATTTAATACCAGAGTCATCTCTTATGTTAATTTCAGGCTTCAAATCCTTGGATGCAATTTCTAAAAGTTTCTCTACTTCTTTTATATTATTTGATTTAACATAATTTAATAAACTTTAATTGTTCTCTTTTTTCTATTACCACCAGCCTTACCATGCTGATTTGTGTCTCTTCTTCAATTTTGTCATGTACTCTCTGTTAACTGGGATTTTCTCAGCATTTCTAATATCATAAACATTCCCTATGATCTAAAATTTTAGCTACCTGTATCCTAATCCTTTATCAAAAAGGCTGCATCATTCTCGCTAATATTTTAATACAAATGGACTGGTGCAGTATTTGTGTGATAGTGAGAAGATTTCCATTATTACTCTTCCATATAATTGAGTTACTAATCAAAGCCAATTGAATTTTTGGAACTAGATTTATTACTATTGCAATTTGATAAGCTCTCTTAGGAATTTTGATATATGGGTTATCTTTGATGTAAATTAATAACATTTATACATGGCTTCCAAATTGTAATCCTTTGTCTTTTGTGCCTTCCTAACTTGTAAATCGTTTCCTTTTATGAATTGTTCGCCTCCTCTGTAAATTTGCTAACTGTTTTCCCTTGGTGTTGGTAACATTTATTAGCGTTGCATTGTAAAACAAATTTATATTAATTAAACTTATTATTAATATATATATTTCATTCTAATCAATTCATAGGAGTAAGTTCAGAATCAGTTAGAGCTTATAGTTTAAGATGAGTCAACTCATTTCAAATGATTCAATATTCATATCATAATCTTGCATTTTTGATTTTAATGATTAATAAATATAATTACTAGTATTATATAATCCAACAATTTAATGTATAAATTCGAAATTCATATATTTAGTTTAGATAAATTCTTAAAAGGGATTCCAGTCATCTTATAACCATAGTTTATTTTCAGAGTATGATAATTCACATTATGAATTCAAAAAATTGATATCAATATCTAATTATTTTATTAAACTTGTATCTTTTAAAATTATTTTTGTTTTAAATGCCAATTTATGCAGATTTAGTACTAATCTATTTCTTGAGCATCAAATTTGTACAAATCTTTTCACCTTAATTTTCCTAATATCCGTTCTTGGATATTTAATCAAAAGATTGTTAATAAATCCTCGTTATTTTATACTTCAAGTCTAATTTAAAACTCTTAAAGCTAAATTTTATGATAGATATATTAACAAATAAATCAGTCAATAATTAATTGAAAATTTATTTATTTCTCGACTGAAGAAAATGGCACTATTCGTATATGATTAATGTCCATTCTTTAAGTTTTTGATTTCATTTTAAACTTTTGAATAAAAATTTCTAGTCTTATGTATCAATTCTCATTTAATTGACCTCTTAGGTAGATGATCTCAATACTTATAACTCAATTTATTCTATATTATCAGCACTTTGCTGATAATTGGTACAATTTTGAGTAATATTGGTGAGTTCAATGAACATCAAATAGGAGTAATATCAACCAAATTGTTTAAAATTTAATGTTATTCCTTCTAATTTTAATATAGAAATTACTCAAAATTTCTTTGATCAGAGCATTCATTTTATTATCTGTAAATGATAAAAAATAATTCGTAAAGCTTTTCCACTTTAAGGAAAAAGTCAGCTATCTCTACATCAGAAACGACAAAAGCAAAGCAATAACCTGCAACGAATAAAACAAGGGCGAAATCCATCACTTCCACAATAATTAAGTTATTATTGATTTAGATTTTGTAGGAAGCCTATCACAATAATAAAACCACCAGAGATTGACTTTAATAAGATAAAAGTAAATGCCTTTACATTAGCAAATAGAAATTCTCACAATACTTCAACAGATCAGACAAATTCTAGAAGTCAAAATAGTGATTTAGAATAACAAACAGGTGCCGTTATGAAACCAAATACTTAAGATTAGTTACAAATTCTAAAGCGATAAAAATAGTTACTTGAGTATAGATTGATGCAAGAGACAGAATCTTGTCAATAATATCAATAGAATTATCATTTTCTGCAAGAAAGACTATAGAAGTTGGAACTTGCAAAAAATAACTATATAAGTGAAATGAATTCGTTTACTAAATGTTTAAAGTTAATTTTAAACAAGGATGAATGATTTTAGTTTATAAAATTATTTATAAATATAAATATATTTATAATAATCAATTGAATGATTAAGTGAGTTCACATAATTGATCATAAATATCTTATAAATAATTATGTGTAGTTGTGAATGAAAAGTTTTCTAATTAGCTGTGTTAGATTACAATCTTATCATCAATATAAGATATATTGCATTCATTAAGATTGTAGATCATTTAGGCTTTTTAACTTTTCTGGTTTTTAAAAATCTAAATTTATCTGTTATTAAAAATCAAATATCTAAATGTAAAGATTAAATAATTACTTCTCTTAAACATCCTCGTCTTCAAATTTGACTTAGCAAACACCAATATTTTTAATAAAATAATCAGTTGTGTCACTACTAAATTCATTGCTGCTTTTCTTTGATGAAGACAATGAATTTGATGAGTCTTAAAAAGATATCTCATTAATATTTGGTCTTTGTTTGGGATCGTTATTTAAACATTCCAGTATTATTTCAGCAATTTTATTATGTCTATCTCTGAGGATCGATGGTAGCACTCCTTTTCTGGCATCATTAATTACTTTAATCATTTCCATTGAAGTAGAGATTGGATGAAACAATAACAAAATGATGAGTCCTAAAGCATAAATATCACTTTTTTGATCATAAAAAGCCTTGTTGATATTTTAAATGATTTATTCTGGAGCAGCATACATTTTGGTGCAAATGTCATCATCATTATCTTAATCATCAAAATCATAGAACTATTTTAATTTGGTAACCAAACCGAAATCACCTATTTTTACATCTTCTGGACTATTCATAAAGATGTTTCCTGGTTTCAAATCTCGATGAACTAGTTTGCATTCGTTATGTAAATAGTCTAATCCTTTAATAATTTAATCTAATATTAGTTTAGCCTCTTTTTCATATTTTTAAAGTTTGAGTTGATATTTTTCAATATTCTTTTTTTTGAGTTTCAGTAGTTCATTATTTCTCTATTGCAAATAATTTTCAAGTGTTTCTTAGCAAAACTCAGTTTAAATATAGAATATGATTTTATCGAACTCCAATTTTTTCTCATCCTGACTAGTTGATTTCTTATTTGGAGTGTTATGATTTTTTTTCTTTCTACTCACTCTAGATTTTGGTTAGATGTCATTTTCTTATTCTGAATAACTTATCTACTCATTTTGAGTGTCTTTAAACATAATCAAATTTTCAAGGTCATTTCTTGAATTCGATTAAGAATCACAAAAACTAAAGTTGTTTCGTTCAATAACAAAGTCATTTTGATCTTACTCTTACTTTCTCATCATTTTGGAATCCAATTTGTTCTACATTACTTCAACCCAAGAATTGAAATATCTAATAATTTTGGGATGTGATAGACGGGCTAAGTATTTGGCTTCTGTGGAACTTATTGATCAAAATAATATACCTCTCTATGCTCTTTCAATATTTTTCTCAAGGCTATCTTTTATGTCTTTAGCTTTGAGTTCAATCTATAAAATTTATAAACACAATTTACTTTTTTCAAAGCATAGGTATTCTTATCCAATAAGTTGTTCACCTTATAAACCTTAGAGAATCCACCCTTTCCTATCCTCCCTAGTACCTTGAAGTCTGATTCTAATCTCTAACATAATTATTAGGAATTTAAGTGTTTTTATAAGGTAAGTATAGATAAATATGCAATATGAGTGTATTTTGTACCTTAGACTATAAGGTGGCTAGTTTGGCAAGATCGATTGGAAACATTATTTATCAATTTTATCAGAAAAAATATATAATAACTCTAAACCATTATAATTATGGAAGTTAAAAATAATAAAATGATCAAATTTTTATCTTTTAAAATGTACTATCGTCACTCATCAAATCCTATCCCTTCTTATCGATTTCCTCCTTGAAAAGATAGGATCAATAACATACCTGATCATATTAAGAATTGAAAGTCTCAAGTTTTTATAACTACATCTCTTGTTTAATTGTATCAAGATTGAATTTGAGCTTTTCGTTTTCCCATTATAATGAGGACACCTAATTTTGCAAACATGTGACATAATCTTTATTCTAGGATTCCTATTAAATGTCAGTTAAATCTAGATTTCTTTAACTCGATGAGTTTAACTATTGTCTTTATTTCAAAGGAGCATGGATCTTAAGTTTCCTGTTTGGATGACCTGAATTAAATAACTATGCAGGCACTTATCCAAATTCAGCAACCTAAGTATCCAGAGCTTATTTCTCTAAAGAGGTTCTGCATTAATTCCAGTTCACATTTTCAGCATAAGTGTAAGGATAAAATAAATTATCTGACTTGACAGCCGCGTCTCCTCTAGTTTTGCAACCAAATATTAAATCTATCCACTTAGGCAGTTATGAACTTACATAATCACTCTCCAAAGCCATCCTCATTTTCAATAAGAAATCAGCCATAGAAGCAGCCCAAGGTGGAATTATGGCATCATCTATAATTTCTCCTTCCTAAGTCATTCCCAATTCTAGTTTATCACAATTGATCAAGAAATCTGGATCAAGCGAATAGAATTCAGGAGTTAATTCCTTAGAATCTGCATGTAGATTTAATGTTGTATACCAGGTGCTATCAATGCCTCTAAAGATACGGTCTGTTGGTCCAAATACTCCATTTTATAGTTTAATTACAAATTCAGGTATTTTTCTTATTAAATAATACACGACAGTTCCAGGACTAGAATAATGAGTGGGATAAATGTAGGGTATGATGTCATTATTGTTATTGTTCTTTTGGCTTTTCAATTATTCTTAATAGGATTATTTATATTTTTGTAATCTGTGTTTATTTAGAGCACCAACAGGACGGGACAAATCTCTGAAAAATTCTGGAGATGTCAAATCAAAGTTTTTATCTGAATATTCTGCGATGACCCAAGGAAATACAGGATAAGCTGATAGATCACAAAAGCTTCTGCTGGAAAATGTGTTTAAAGACATCAGGTAATCAAAATTGCTCAAATCTCCATTAACCCAAAGTTCAGTCATTTTTTCAATGGTGATAGAGCTGATTTAATTTTTGGTAGTTTTTCTTATTAAATATTTGTAGACTGAGTCTAATTGTTGGGGGTCTTCAAATACAAGTAAAACACTTCTTTTTTTATTAAAGAACCAGATTTCTAAACCAATTTATTTAAACATGTAACGATATTTCAAAAAGAATTTAATATCAGTCAATTGCCAGATCAATATCTTTCCTTTTGGTGAATTGATTAATGGAATGTATTTTATGCCTTCATCTCTCTGTATAGAAAATATTCCATATATGTTTCCTTCAGGCTTAATCAATTTGCATTTAACTGCTATTTCAATCTTAAGTCCTTACTGAGAGGATTAAGCTCTATGTTCATTCATTGCTTCATTTAATGTAGTATTGATAATTGTGTTGATAAATTAGTTCTCATCTTCTGCTTAAGTAAGTCCTTGATAAAGCTTAAGAAATCTGATAATATTTTATTTTGAATTTGATTATGAAATTGAAAACACAATATTGTCGTCGCACTACATCATAATGAAATTAGCTCACTGTTTCAGTAATGTAGGGACTGATTGGATTTCTATTAATAACAAACAGTTTATCTACTCTAAGAAACATGATAGTAGATTGAGAATTGACAGTTCTGGATTGAATTTTGTAGATTCTATCCAATAATTCGTTATTTTTGTCTCTCTTGAAATGCTGATGCAATTGATTAATATCTAATGAATCGATATCTTCCATTAATAAGGAGGGAGTCCATTTAATTGTCATGACTTAATTCATGGTTTTTGTATCTATGTTACGCAAAATCTTCAGTATGAGATTATTTGAGTATTTCATCTTGATCATGGGCAATTTTGGTTGGTTTGGCTGAAATACTAGGGAACGGGAACAGATGTGCAATTTACCACGAATTCTATTCTTATATGGATATAGTTACTCATTATTATTGTGAAGTGAGACTTTAAGGGATAGAAAGTAGTATTCTTGAGTTTCTAAATGTAATAAATTGAATTCCTGTTTAGGCTTTCGTATTGAAGAGAGTGAGAAAAACATTAATTAATTTATTATATAATGTCTTAAAGGAAAAAAAAGAGAGATCCAACGCCAACTAGAGTTGCTTTGGTTTGTCTCAAGACTACCCAAAATAATATTTAAATCAATAACTAGTCGTTGCTCAAGATTTTCTCCAAACATGGTTCAATATCAAAAGTATCACTTTTCGATGATATTTATTAATATAGATATTAATATTTGAGAGAGGCTAATTGTTAACGAAAGTCTTTATTGAATATGATGAAGTAAATTCTGCTATTGATGCTATTAAGTATGCATTTGCGTTAAATATTGTAGATATCTAAACAATACTAAAATATTGAATCAAATTTCATGTAATGTCTATCACTCTCGTTTGAAGTAATTGAAATTAGATACAGTCCCATATACAAAAGGACTTGATTTTACAAATCCTCCATCAAACAATATAGAGCAAAGCGAATAAATAGAATAGTAACTTGAAAATCAGGATAAAAATAATGAATGGCAAGACTTTTAATTTGAAAATAGATCAACTGATGAAGTGTCGGACGAAGAGGAACCTCAATTCTCGGAAGAGAAAATGAAAGACATTATTACAAAGCTTAATTAGATTGATGAAGAGATAAATTAAACAATCGAAACTAAAATTGTTACTGCTTTAGATAAGTTGAGATAGACTTTTAAATTCCATAAGTAATAAGAAAATCAATTAATTCAAATAAATTAATGAAGGCCATAAATGATTAATTCAAAATTTATAATTTCTCTCTTTCACAAATTCTTATATTTTAATAAATCCCTTATTATAAAATTTTAGAACCTATGAGAACAAAAACTGCCTATTAAATAAGATAAACCCTCAAACAGACCTTGTTCAAAGATAAAAAACATCAATTCAATTGCAATGACACTATTTAAATAAATGAAACACCATCAATAACATTATACAAAAATTTTAATGAAGTGTATTGCTACAAGAATAAGAGACTTGGTAATTGAATTTAGTATGATAGGCGAGGGAGCACACGGGATTGTTAAACTATGCTACAAAAAAGTAGAAGGTAATACAATTCAGTATGCGGTTAAAATATTTCGCACTGGGGAGCCAGAAATTATTAGTACAATTAAGAAAACCTTTAAGATCAATAGATAGCTTAATGACTTGCAATGTGTGATCAAAGCTATTGATCTATTCATCAATGTTACTAAAGAAGAAATCCATTTTGTTATGGAATTATGTCCATATCCTTCTCTAGACAAACTTATCTAACAAAAAACATCACTATCTATCAAATAGCAATAACTAATAATTTTTGAACTTGCCAAAGCAATAGATAAAATTCATAGCAAATGTGTATGTCATAGAGATCTTAAACCAGATAATATCTTAGTATAAATAACTGATGATGACGCAAAAATTAAAATAATAGATTTTGGAGTCTCAAAAAAGTTTGTCACAAAAACTAGGAATTCTACATTGAATATTGAGATGTGGACAAGGACTGGTTCATTATTTTATTAGGCGCCTGAAATCTTTGCTGGAGGAGGCTACAATTAAAAAGGTAATTAAAAATTAATTATTTAGTCGATATATGGGCTATTGGGGTTATAGTACATTAAATGTTTTGTTATGACTTACCATTTTAACAAGATCAAATTATAGATACAATTGAAATGATATGCGATCCAAATTATAATGTTGAGAATACTGCCAAATTTGAATCTTTGGACTAATTGCAATAGGATCTATTAAAACGATTATTACGAAAGGAACCAGAAAAAAGATTAACATCACGAGGTATGAGAATGCTGACTATTATTAGAATTCATTTTGCATCCTTGGCTATATCCATATAATCAAGAGCATCATTAAAGCACAGTTTAATTGTATTTGAATCAGGAAAAAGCCAAAAATTTATCAACATCAGAAGAATTACTAAGTCTTGGATAACTTGATCAAAACATGGTTTTGACTAAGGAGCCATACTGTGCTAGTACCATCTTTATTAATGTATAAGAATAAAAGAAGGAAATAGATAAATTAGATGAAATAGGAACCCACATATATTTTTATTCTTCATCTAAGCATTTGAATCGAGAAATAGAAACGAAAGATTTGGATTAATAATAGACAAGTGTCACTCAATTAGATGAGATCAAAGATGAATGTGTGCAAGACAATCATAAATCTTTAGAAGATGATATCGAGTTAAATAATTACAAAACTGTTGGTTCCATAATATTGAATTGATATTATTTGTTTAATATTTCTCAAATTAAATAAATAATTAACTATTTATGTTTTTCACTAATGGTCAAGTTGTTAAAATCATTTACTTTCTAATGCATTACTATAAATCTATATAAACAACAAAAAATAGTAGATTTATCAATATCGTATATCCAAAATTTCCAACTCGGTTTTACTCACAGCCATTTGGACAATATTAAAAGTTGCTGAACAAAGAATGATTAAAACTGTCCCAAAGTGAACTCTGTTTACCCATTTGAACATTGTTACTTCTTACTTTTCATTTTCATCAACTTGCATGTAATCTGACACCGACATAAAATCGAGTCCAGATATCATTATTAAACCTAGAGTCATGCAAATTAAGACTATCTTCTCAATTGAATCACAAAATTGCCATGTTGAAAAATTACGCAACTTAAATAACCTTTAGGTTTACTTTATAGCATTCTTTTATCGCAAATAAATATTCATATTTGCAATTAGGACATTTAATTATCTAATTGTTTTGATTGTACTACTTTGTCGCCCATTCGTTTAGGCATTTCCTATGAATATATGACAAAGATCCTTTGCAATAGCATGGTTTAAATCTCTTGTGTGTGTTTTTTTAGTAACAGATCCAACATATATGTTTTTAATTTTTTTTCATTTTAATAATTTCAATAAACAATTATAATGCACCTTTGTAAATTATGATTCTTTCATAAACAAATAGATTAGCTTCTTTCTACATTAATATCTTCCATTTGACTCCACATTAGGTTGTTCTTATTTCAATCTTTTCTCTCTCTAAAAGAAATAGAGCAATTCATATAGTTGATTAGCATCCTTCATGTTTTGTTCCAAATAAATCAACGCATTCTTTCTATGATGATACAGAATCTATTATAATTCTCTTAGTTACCTGAGTACACAATTGGAATTTCACACTTTTATTCTATTAATGAATTGCCAAACTACCCAAATAGCATTCTCCCAAATATTCCAAATATTTTGACACTTCTTGTATCTTAATATGTTGAGTCAACTTGATCAAGACTTCAATGAAATCGATATTGTTCACTAAATGAGTATTGAAGAATCTCATAAATTTGCTTTGATTATTCTTTAAAGATTATGCCCTAATTACTATCATTAATTACCCCAATCCATTCAACATCAAGAATCGATCAACTGCCATCAACATAAGTTACTTGTATTGTTTTAGCACACTCTATTCACTCTTCCAATTCAATCTTAAATACGTCTTCAATCGTTCTAGAATCTGAGTGAATTAATTTAGCTTTGAATTCTTTTTAATTTCGAAAGTAAGAAAGAAGTGAATAGAACCAATTATCATCTATTAAAATATCGAATCCTCAATGTTCATCTCATTGAACATAACCCCGACTTCTTCTAAGGCAGACAACTAAAATCGTGTTAATTCTTAATGCACAGTGTGAGGCTTCTTCATTGCCAATAATGAATTAAATATGGAGAATATAAACGCTTGGAAAGCTTACTTTGAGTACGAACTTAATATCATTACTATATAGGTAAGAAAGTCATACTTAAGCCAAAGTATTATTGATAATCAAATGGAAAAAGTGTATTATTGAGGAATTATTGAGTCAGGTCTTTGAAGAGAACCTTGATATACGAGGAAAATTTAGAAATAAAGGGGAATTAGAAATGATAATTGATATTAAGCATTTATTTGATGTCCTAATAGATGTTTTTTATTTGGCTTTATGCAATTGGCTACTTTAATTATTTTAGTTATTTGTTAATTTAAAAGGTAAAGTATTAATTAATCCCTTGTCTAGGCTTTGACAATCTTGTAACTTCTTAATATTTATAGCTAAATATGAATTACAAGATTCTTACATTTTATCTTCCAATTTTAGCAAGAATAATCTCTTGAAGAACCTTGAGTCACATGATATTTATGTTTTATTGAAGTAATTGCTTGTTAAATCGAAGGAATTTAAATATATAAGTAGGTGTAATTAACAATATATGTAAGTGTTATAGTCTCCAACGTCCTATTGTTATTGAATGGATTCAGTCAACAATTAGTCGATTTAAGTAATGTTCTTCTTTTTCCTAATATTTAATTGGGTATAGCATACAATTTATTCGACTAGAAGATGCATCCAGGGTCTACTATTTTAGATTATCTTTATGCTAAGTTGGCAAGGGTGAAATTTAAGTATTTGTCATCAATTTGAATATGATTTTGGATGAAATTCTGAACACACATCCAATTTCCTGGATTTCTATTGAGCAATCCTAATAAGAAGTTGGTTGGGACATAATCTATTAGAAATCTTGGTTTTTCAAATAAATATGGCTTATAAATAGTATGAAAAATAGATACCAAGTCTTTGATGTCTTGGAAGAATTGATAATTAAATTCTTTTATGATGTTAAAGATTGTTTTTAGATGAGTTTGGCTAATTGGACTACATAGGAATGTTTAAAAGTAGACAGCCATTTTATTTTTGATACAAATCTCACTTAATAACATGAAGCAACTTTTAAATATGTAGTGATAATATTTATGAACATCTAAATTATAAAATACATATGTATACAAGTGGTTTTTGCGATTGTTAGGATATTTTTAAATACTAAGTGAATACTTTATTCATCGATTAAATTATATAAGACTTTCATATCGGTCTTCTGTAATGCTGATTCTTTTCTTAAAGTCAATACAATTTTAAGTATAAGTATGCAAATCAAGCTTTATAATTGTAATTATTAACTTAAGATATCCTGAATGGAAGTCAGGAATTAAAACATCTTTTTGATTTCCTCTTTAGTTTTTGCGGATATCATTTTTAATACTCGTTCCATGAAAACCAACACTTTAGATAAGTTGAGTTGTGTCTCTGCATGTTGAATTTCTAATTTTTAAAAACAAAAGAGTTTGATTTCTTCATTATCTTAATTTTCTTTTGATTTTTTATCTATTTAACATGGACCTTTAATAGCTTCTGCCAATACAACATTAATATTGATGTCTTTGGCTTACAGAAGCAATAAGCCGTCAACAATAGTATTAAAATAAAGAGTTTTAGAATTGGAAGCCAACTTAAACAGATTTAGCATTTCATTCACGATATTTTTTTTATCAACTAGTTTTTCCTTTTTAATAAGGGATGTAAATTTTTTCAAGAAATCCTTATCCTACTTGTGTCTATTGCTAGTGACTTCAAAAAGAGATCGCAAATCACTAATAAATTATTCATTAGTTTTATTATCAGTTTACTTCTATTTACTCATAATATTTAATAAAAATAATAATAGATAAATAATAAGAGTCATTATAATTTAGATTGTTCATATCTTAAATTTAGGTGACAAAAATTCATTTAAATATAGTATATTAATAAATTCGATCAGGGTAGGGTAAATTTGATAAACACTTCATCTCTTTATAAGTCTTTATTTCTGAATAGGCGCGTTTTGAAACAAAGAGCAGAAGAATTAAATAAATAAAGAATATCATTGTAATTGTTAAGGAAATGCTTTTATTTTATTAAACTAGGATCTATTAACTATTTTTAAATTAAGCAAATAGGAATATAAAATAAATTTTGATAAAGACAAAATACCCTAAATAGATTCGAACATAACTAAAATCTATGAAAATGTAAAGAATTAAACCAAATATTATTATTAAATTGGATTTGTTTCTATGAGATAATGAATAATGTAAAGTTTCAATCTTTGTTGAGAATTTTGAGTTCCAACTTCCTGTAAGTAGTGTTGATAAGTGAAATTTCTACAGGTATGCCTATATTTAATTGTGATTCTAAAAAGTAGGGCTTCCAGGTTTTTTATAATAGTTTGTACATGTAACAAATTGACTCAGGTTCAAATTAACAAGTATTTGGATTTTGAACAAAAGAATCAATTGCTCCAAAAATACTCTTAATAAATTTATTATACTATATAGTTAGATATTTAAGATACTTTATTTGCCTTAATGAAAGACATTTTCATTACTATCTTTTCTTTCATCCATTAGGTATTGATCTTTTCCCTTATTGTAAAGTAGGTCTCCCTATCTAATAATTTAATTTGATCATCTTCCTAAAATATCTTTAATTCATCACAAACTAATGTAAATCTTTATTTGGACATCATCTTTCCACTATCTCCACAATAATCAGCTTCTTAGTAGAATAGCCGAATTGAAAATGAGTAATTTATGCAACATAAAACTTCATAAAGAAAATTCCATTATTAAAAGTCAATACTTCCTTTGTTCAATAGATCAACAGAGATGTAGAGATGCTTATATTTAATAGATGTACGATTCTTGTATTTTTGAAAAATCTCTAAAAACTAGTACATCAAAATATCATAATCACATGGTCCTTATTAGCTCTACATATAAGCTACTTATGATGTGGATATGTCATATATTATATTTTCAATTTCACTTTAAGAATACTTATTATCAGAAAACCATTTGAGTAATGTGTCTATGAATTTTGAATATGAAACACTTGGATATTCTTATAATGATTAAACTATTTGTAGATATAAGTTAAGATCCTAGATATCGTATTCGGCTTTCAAAAATTTAACAACTAATTGACAAGTACTGCTTTTTTACTCAAAAAATAAGAAACTCTTGATAGTTCTCTTGTATCTATTTGCATCACTAAATTACGATTAGCCATAATGTGAAACAATATTTTCATACATATGTACATGTAGAGGAGTATTTTAAATAGTATTAGGAATTTTCATGATTAATTCTTGATAACTTTAGAGGATAGTACTTAATTGATATAATCCAGTTCTCTGATTGATATTGAATTTGGATATCACTTAAATAATAACAATTGATAATACTTTGTTTTAATAAATTAGTAGCATACGAGGCTGATTTTATAGGACATGTAGATATTCTTAGTTTCTTTTCAATTGTTAATTTTGGTTTGCTTTGTTTAAAATCCAGTTTAATTTAACTAAAGGAAACATCACTCTCATCTCCTGACCCTTCTTTCGATGAATCACTTTTGTAGATGTCATCATCATCTTTACTTGAAATCTCAATTTGGCTGCCTATTTTTTAAATTTTCATTATTGGCTTAGAAATATTGATTGTTGTCAAAGTCTTATTAGGAGATCTGGTTGGTGAGTCAAGATCTTTGGCAGATAATTGTTATTATTATTTGGGATCGACATTTGTACCTTGTCTTCTTTTAAACTCCTTAAATTCAACATTCTCCAAAACTCCATATGTGTTAGCTTATTCTTTTATTTGATTAATTAAAAATTATGGAGCATATCTGATAACTTTTATTAAAGAGTCTTCATAAAATTTAGACTCATAATATTAAATAATTTTACAATTGTTTCTTTTTCTTTGGTTCTATTGTGGTATTTCTTGAATAAAACAATATTCTCATTAAATTTATTCTCAATTTCTTTCATTTCAAGTTCCATTTCTTCTTTGTCTATTTTAGCATCCATCACAACAGAGATTTGTGTTTATAACACATTCCAACATTACTACAATATGGTATATAGAATCTACATTAAAATAAAAATTGAAATTGCCATAATTCAATTGCAAATATTGTTTGATTGCTAAAATATCTTCACTTGAATTGTCTCCTCTCAAATTCAAGACAGTCAATAAATCTTCAATTCTATCTTTTAATTAAGCAATTTAATCAGCCATAATGACAATAAATTAAGGGTCATTACTACTCAATTCTTATTCAGGGAAATATAGGGAACTGTATTCTGAGATAATCTCAGATAAAGGAAATTTAGCTCTCCTAAACAATTTTGACTCTATTTAATTTCTGGGCACTCTCTCTTTTCTCAACTATACTGAATTGACTTAAGATTCTTGATTTCCTTAAGTAGGTTACACTTAGATTTCTTCATCTACTTTCTTAGCTTGTTTTGGAGTCTAAGTTGAAGTACTCACATATATAAAATATTCTGATGTATCTTCACTTTACTCTCTTGTCTTAATTAGATCACTGGTATCAACAGAAGATTCAGTTATGATTAAATGAGTTGATCCATCATAATATTCATCCTATAACGTAAGAATTCTAAATCATTTAACAAATCTTACTTATATTAATTTTCAATTTCTTTTTTATGCACTTCGAATTTCTGTTTAAAGAACTCAAACATATCCTTCTATTATAAAACTAGATCCATCTCTTCTGCTGTTTGAGCCTACTTATGAAATTTATCAATTCCTTAGTATTCGATTAACTGCAAATTCTATTCCCAAAAGTCACTCATGAGATCATTCAATTGCTCTTCTCTTCTTTTATCTTTCTTCCTTAAATAAACATTTTCCTTCTTCATTTTTACAATAGTATTCTAAACAGATAATGCTTCTTCCTTCATCATCCTCATGGATTCGGCTTATTTTTCTATAGCATCTTAATAATTCTTATGCAATTAATTTATATCTTCTAAGCATTTCTATTCTATTTGTTAATTTCTTTATTGTAATCCTAAAATTATTTTTTGTACTTCTTAAGTAAAAGCTTCCCATAGCTTCTTCAAAAATTGTCCACATTCAAAACCTACAGTTGTAATTTATCTTTCTAATTCCAAAACTGAGCCTTGAAAGACTATTTCCAATTTGTTATAGTATTCTTAATATTCGGTTATCTTTTACGAATGAACCTATTCCACCATCATATCTAGCCATTATGCCAATTAAACCATTTCCCTCCTTTAATTTATATTGTGGAGGTTAATATTTTATGAATCATGATATAATAGTTTCTTCATTCTTCTAACTCCTCTATTGCAGCTTTCATCCAACATAGTTATCGGTTGTAATAATTTAGGCTTCAACTTATCTCTATTATCAATTGAATATTATCATTACTTGACTATTAGATCTTTAATATGAGAGGAGATCGATTATTACTACTAATTATTTAATTCATCTCTGATGCTCTCCATTCTATTTTGTTCCAAATATCTATTATGAATGCTTTAAGTATATGGGAAGATCTTCTTTATTTCTTATTCTGTCAGTAAATGTTAACTCATCGATCTGGGAACATGAGTCTTTTATTAATCTGATTATTTCATTTACTTAATTATAATTTGTTTATTTATTATATTATCTAGATTGAATACTCCGATAATTAACTGTTTTGATAATTGCAAAGACAAAATGAAAATTGTCAAGTTATGATATATCTCCTTATGCTTAAGAGAGAATTGAATAATTAACAATAGAAATAAAGAAAAATTATATATATTGATGATAATATTTTTAAGAATTTTGTTTCGCTATTTATTTTCTAAATTTGCTATTTATTTCTTTTAATTTGGCTGTAATACAAAAAAATACTATTGAAATATGTTAATAAAATTAAAACCGAGTTAACTGGTAAATTGGATAATATGACTATTCTTTAATAAATTACATGTAGTACTTTCTCTGATCAACCAAAATAGAACATATATATAGATTTCATCTCAGAAAAGTAAAAATTAATCTTTATTCCTTAATTCACATTGATTTCCAATTAATTTATATTAAAAATTGTATTTATCCTACTTTAATAAGGGATTTCTTTATTTTCTTAACAAATCAAAGGAGAACCTATAAGCTACTATCAATCAGACATATTAACCCTTAGCATCGTTTTTTCAAATCTTGCTTGTGCCAGAATATAAAAAATTTCTTAATTTCAAATCAAGATTATTTTCTTAGTTAAAATTGGAAAGGTGAATACCCTGAGATTTAAATCAGATGTCAGAAAATTTATGATATTGCTTCTATTTTTCTTAAATCAAAAGGGTTTCTTAGATAAGACAAAAAAGTAAAACAAATTTGGTTTTTTAATATTATTTGAAAATATAAAAAATGTAAAAAGTCAGTTTTTAAGTTCTCTGGAGTGATTTTATCGATGTCATGAAAGCTGCTACAGATATGTAAGCAGTCTTAGATACAGTTGGCTAAGAGCATCCATTTTGGTTATAGTCTAGAAATAGATTAAGTACTCAACTGAATCGATCTAATTAAATTCACCTAAAAAACTAGGATCCATCTCTAGTTCAAGACATTAAATATCGCTATTATGAAATTGTTACAATTCAATAATTTGGTGATATTGTCTTAGGATATTTAAAATTCTACGAGAACAATTTATAAAGAATGCCCATCAAACTCCCAGAAGGTGATATAGGTGAGTGGCAAGACTTTGAAGAAAGTGAAACCAATTACTAAGCATAATCCATGGTTAAATTGTAAATGAAGTAATTTATTTAAATGAGATTATTTTAGAAAACAATATTCTTTCAGAAAATAATGGATAGAATATCAACGAAAAGGCGGTCCCATTATAACCAATAAACAATAGGCAAGATCAGCCCAAAGCATATATATTCCTTTCAATAAACCTGATGGATATTATGGTTCTTTCGATTCTCCATTAGTATTAATTAATATTATATAATTGATAAGTCCATGTCCAATCCAGTCAATGAAAATTTAGCAAACAGCAAACACAGCGTTTAAAATTCGAATGGAGATTCAGAATAATTACCTGGAGGTAAGCGACAGACTCAAAATGCAACAAAAAATAGAGTATCTAATGTAAGAAAATAATCCTTGGATGTCAGCATTGACAGTCTGAGAGAGAGCCATATATCTTAATAACGAAATATGAGTAAAGCAAAATCAAATCTCAAAACTAAATAGCATGAATTGAACATAGAACATATGGAATAAAGCATGGTAGAAAAAAATAGAAATTGTTGTGGAACTGAATGTTGTCAATTTTGATTTATTAAAAATACTTTATTTTAAAGAAATCTATTGTTTTTTGATATTAAAGCATTTTCTCAAAATTTAGAATCATTTTTTTTCTCAAACTATTAAAGGTGTCTGAAGTACAAATCAACGGTAATAATTAACTTAGACTAATCCTAATGATTATTTTAATAAAACTGTTATAATCATTAAATCATTATCCAATTACTTATAAGTTAGGGTCAACAACAATGAATGATATGTTTAAATTAATAATATAAAATATTACCTTTTAATAAAGAATTTAAAGTATAATTAATTTTATTTTAACGAATCATATAAAGTATATAAGGGATTTATTAGTAATAAAAAATAATCATTCGTTAAAAGAATACAAATAAAGTTGAGAGGTTGAAGTCCTTATTGATTTATTCTAAATACTTGATATGTTTGAGAAAATGGTGTTTTTCATTACAAATATTTTCAAAACAATGCTTTCATAATTGAATGAGAAACTAGATTTAATCAATAAAAAGGATGATCAAAGTAACGATGAAGGCTCTTTAATTAGTTAATCAAATGAATTTTAATAATACAAAACTAGTGAATTCTCTATTTAAAGTAAATTTATTTAGACAACAAATGAGAGAGTACATGAATTACTATTGATAAGAAATGTGAAAATTAGAAATATAATTTAAGCAGTTAAATTTAGAAAGAGTAGTTAAAATAAGATTTGAAAATAGGTTTAAAAATTCGAATGCTCGATATTAGAGCTTAAGATAGGGTGGCAGCAAATCAGTTTCAAATTTAAGAAACTATAAGCATATGTTTAATATAGCCTTAATTGAATAAAACAATAAAATAAAGAATAACAATATGAAAAACAGCTAATAAAATTATGACCTAACAATTGGAAAAGTGGATTCTGACACTCAAAATAGTTTTGAGTTATATTTATTGTTAGTACTATATATGCATTAATTGTTTTTGGTTTTTCAAATTGGAGTTTCTAGTTAGTAACAACATAACAACATATGCGTCTGAAGAAATGTTTCTTATTTAAAAAGTTTCAATACGGAAGGGGACACGTTAGTTTATTAAGGAAGTGAAGGGAATAGACATCGAATTGATAATGTGATCAATAATACAATTATGAATCATTGTGTATGTTTACTTCCCAGCCAGAGATGGAGGGTTTCTGTCTTACGAGTTTAGGGAGAACTTATTTCTTTAAAATTTTAGGAATTCTTGGTGAACGAACAGAAAGGGTTCGTTCTGTTTTGAGTTGAATGGATTTAGCTTGAACCAAGAAAGGTTCTTTGTTTTATGGTGTTTGGATTATTAGTTTCTTAATTTTAACTTTCTTGATAACTTCGTCGAATAATTGCAATTGTTCTTCTATTCTGATTCTTTTGTATAGGTTTGAGATATCATTCATGGGAGGAGCGATAGGATATTGAGTGTTATATCTTTTGTTCATGAAAATAAATGTGTTTAATAACAAAATAAAATATATTCTCATAATATTCCAAATTAAGATAAAAACAAGGGCATGTTCTTTTTAAACTACTCTTCATTCTGTTGTTTGATCCTGAGTTCTAGATCTTTGGTTAAAACATTAATCAAGGCCTGTCCTAATTGTTTTTCAGATTTGACAAATTATCTACTCAATACATTAACGAAGTTTTGATAATATGTGCACATGATGGCAAAGAGTTGTCTGTTGATTTTAGTGAATGTTTATTGAGAACATTTGCCTTGGATTAAGCAGACAATTAAGTCATTCAAGATGTTATCAATGATAGGATCCAGAGGTAAAACAAAGGACTGGATCACTCCCAATTATGTGAGTTGCTGTTCTTCTGAAACGAATTCTAAAGTCGAAATAACAATGTCTGTAGTTTGATCTAATGAAACCTTATCTGCTGGTTGATGATATGAGGAAGAAGTGGAGATCTTGTATTCTTAAGACAATTGCACCAGCAAATGCTTCTATAGATTTTCTACTATGCTCATCAAGGTTGACAAGGACTGCGGACTCAATTCAAATAGTTACAATTGTTGTGAACTGACAACTTGGAGAACTTGAATCATTTGCAAACAGGACTTGTTGTAGAGCTAAAAATTAACAATGAGTCATTACTATAATGTAATTGGAAATCTTGTGTGTGATATCTAGAATGGCTACCAACAGATCTAAGTATTTACGATCTGCAAATAACAATTGGCATGCTTGGGATATGTACTTCCCTTTAAGTATGTTGTTCATTATTTTATAGACTAGTCCAACCAATCTGCAGATCTAAGCCGAAAATTCTAATTTGACTTTCTCATTCTAGATGGCAACAATAAGATGCTGAACGTAGGTAGTCAGAATTCCTTGGAAGGTCCTGACCAATTCAATTTAGACGATGGAAGAACTATGGTATTGAAATCGGAGACTTTTATTTTCAGTTATGGCAACCATCAATTTCAAACATAATTTACACAGTTGAAATTGTTAGGGATTGTCAATCAATATAAATCTAGTCAGATCTGCTATTTTCAATAGATGTTATTTTATCAATAATCTAAAGATCTTACTGACATCTACATGTTTGAAATAGCCAAGCATTTCATATAGGTATATTTGGATAGATTGAGAAGTTGGTTGTATTGTTAGGAGTTGATTTAATTATACAATGGACTCTATGTAATTCTCATAGGCTGAATCGAATAGGAGTATGGATATGATTTCTGATGCCAATGTGCGACAACTAAAGAACTACTCCTATTGCAAGGCTGAATTCTTTAGATTGAGCAACACACTCTTTATTTAAGTGACTACATTTGAGGATTGAAATGACTCGTTGTATAGATGATGCTTCAGTCTTACGATGGTCTCCTTCATTATTACCAGAGCATATTCAATGATTTCTTTATTTTGAATTTGCAGTTGCATAACGATGTATTGAAGTAACTGATTGGTTGCCTATTGGGGTTGAATTTGAATGGGTTTGATACAAGAATCGAAAAAGATTTTGTTGGATCTCTATCTCCCTATGGATTCATCTGATTCACTCAAGGCAAACTAGAACAGATTATCAGCCAGAGACATTGCTGACATAATCACCAAAGGCGGCAGATTGTTCTGAGGGATGGACAAGAATTGCAGAGATTCCTTAATTACAGTCTGAACCATCTAGATGATATCTTCAGATGCTTTATCCAGAATCAATGGATTTATCACTATATAATTGATTAAACTTAATTCGATTATGAATTTCTCCTAATCCTAGGCAGCATTTTTGAATGAGTGATAGATCATCTTAATGTGATTACCTAAATCAATGGATAAGATTGGGAATAGATTTTCAAAGAATTCCTTGAGAGTATTCTTCAACTTCTTGTGATTTTGAGGAGTGTACCCTTGGAAGAAGGAGTTCTTGGAATTGAGTAGTAGATGGATGACTGATTTACCAATTTCGGTGATTGTTGAGGATATCGAGGTCTTAAAGGTTGTGTCTAATTTAAAATCAGAAATGAATTTAAGCAGCCTCTTCATTAGTTCTATCATCTAATACATGTGGGGATCTTTAATCTTCATTTGTCTCTGCAATATCTGGATGCAATAGGTTTATAAACAATAGAGCCACTTTTAACAGAATGCAAAATCGAATCTTATTTGTCTGAGACCAAAGCAATTATTTAATTTAGTATTCAATTCTAAGATATCACTTATGATCTCCTCACTTGCTGTTTGCACCTTCTAAAATAAGTAGGTGCAACCATCATAAAGTGCTTTTGCAAATAATCTCTTTTTGTCTTTGTTTACGAATATCTTCTTTTTGGCTGATGCCATTCTTTTTAATGATTTCAAAGCCAATAAGGCTAAAGATGTTTCGTTAGTACAATAGGTCTCCACAATCTTGAAGAGTAACTCTAAAAATTATGAATCTGTAAAATAATCAACGAATTTCTCTGGAAACTAAAAGACATAGATGTATTCTTACACTAACGTTGTTTTAGTCATTTGGGTCGAAATCAGATTCTAATTCAAAATAACTCACATTGAAATTAAACATCAATATATCCTTTAATGTACTCAGTGATTACTTGTATAATTGAGGTGGACTATTTTTAACAATTCTGCAGACGATCTCAAAACAATTAAATATCTCCTGATTCTAGAACCCAAACATGATTCTCCTATAAGACACATACGAATCGTAGGATGAATATTGCTAGATATTCTGAATCACATTCTATATCAATTTCAAGCCGATGCTGAGATTGTGGATTTAATTTCCCTCAAAAAATACATTTAGTCGTTCTTAGAATTTCATGAATTGAGTTCCACTCAACATCATTATCTATTAGATCAACAATCCCACAAGATTGCAGATGGAGTTTTGCTCATGAGTCGCTAATTCTCTCTGCAAAGTCTGGCAGAATAAGGTCACAAGGGTTTCATATACTCTGCATTTTTGATACAGGATTTCTACCTCCTCATTCGTATAGCATTGTCCAACAATAACTTGAATTTCTTGTGAGGATCGCTCAGCCACCTAAAATCCTTTGAATTATCGTTCAGAAACTATAATTTTGGCGATGAATTCAGAAATGACAAACAACGTAGAGCCTGACTGAGTTTGACCTATGATTTAATACAATCCATCGATATTTCTGATATCTTCGATGAATTGATAAATGGTCTAATCAGCTATTTATTTCCTCTAAAAGCAATAACAATGTACAATACTTCAGCCTATCGAGAATAGCAGCAATCGCGACATAGATCATCAAATTGCATTAAATTCATTTTCTCTCACTTTAAATTATTTAATTAATTTAATTATTTTATACCCTAATCTATTACATGTAAATAAGGTAATAATATAAGCATCTTTTTTAGATCCTTCTTAAGATTGTGAAATTCCACTGTATGAACTAAGAAACTGCGAATTCATATTAATTAATTCAAATTATCTAATTGTTAAAAATAATAATATAATAATTAAAATTCCCTCCTTTTTTCATGAAAATCCTCTTAAACAATATAAAGGAATGTTTCCAAAAAATCTTAAAGCGAAGTGAATTTGGCAAGACCTCCGTATGCATTATCGTATCGTTGGACGTAGACGCCATATGTGCATTAAGGATTCTCACTGTAATTGTCATAATTCTATTGATAGTCCTTGTTGAATAGAGAGAACCTGCAATTTAGAATGATCCCAGTTTCTGGGTACTCTGAAATGACTGAGGCAATTCAGAAATGTGGGAATATGTATAAGAGTATAATTTTATTAAATTGTGGAAATGTGTATGACATGAGTGACTTTATTAAGGGAGACATCAAGTTCTTCATATTTGACAGTCACAAGCCCATCAATCACAACAATGTGAATAACGAGAAGAGTATATATATTATAGATGATGGCATGGGACAACTGGAGAAATGTCCAGATGAGGAAATCAAGGAAATGAGTGATGGAGAAGAGGACTCAAACGATGAAGACGACTCAGGATCCCATTCCTCGCAAATTCAAAGGAAACAATAGCAGAAACTGCAAAGAAGTCTTCGCAAACAACTCATTCAAATGCATGAAGATTACTATAGTCAAGGAACCTATTACAGCAGACCAAGTTCAACTGTGGTTTACACTTTGGCTTAACAAATGAATCATGACTGCAACGATCACTTATGGTATGCAATTTTGGGATTGACTGATGCCTATATTCATATGCGATTGAACCAAAAGAATTATGATCTCATTTTCGAAGAATTGCAGAATGAAGTCATCAGATTGAACATCCATTTCGAGGAAACTCAAGGAGATGCTAAGAAGATTGGAGGAGTCTTTATTGAAAACGAATACAAATTCTTGCTCATGAGACAACAATCACTTTATAACTCTATGTACTATTCTTCCTATGTTGGAACTAAACTCAAATTATGGAAGGATAGGGACAACAAAAGATTGGAAGAGTTTATGGCTAAATTAGGTATTCCATTAAATGAAGCAAAATAGGATTTTCGATACATGAACTAGAAATACAAATTGATATTGAAATCCTAAATTGCTGAAGTGGCATCTAAATTTCAAATGGATGATATACTTTATAGATCATTCGTTCGCCAATCTGATACTAAAATATAAATTGCAGCCAGCGATATGGTTTATGCTGTTAATGCAATCCTTGAATACCCACAAGCATTACTCTCTAAATAATTGATGTAACATCAATGTTCTGAAGTCATCGAAAAGTTGAAGACCTCTGAAACTGCAGCCAAATTCTAGAATTTCTTCTGTGCCTTAGACACTTTGGGCAGGTACAACTCAATACTCTATTCTTATTAGTAAATCTGATGACCTGTTTCAACAAGGAGTTCAAATGGCCTTGGAGTTCCAAGCTGCTCTCGTCGATGAAGCCAACAATCTTATCGAAAATAACGAGCTTTATCCATGCAAACATTTCAGATATGGAATCTTGAAAAATGAAAGTCCTTAGCAGAAGAAGTTCTTTCAACATCCTTAAAGCTTATAAAAATTAGCTCTCCTCCTTATGGATATCTACAAAGAAAAGGGATACAAATAATCCAATAAGTCAGTCATTCTAGTTAATTAATTGGGTGAGTTATTCATGGTGGTTGGAGTGGTAGGTGGAATGAGTTTTAGTGGACAAGAAAAAAAGTATTCCTATTCATTCTAATCATTTTAGTTAGTTTGGATAATATTTCCTAAGGAAAGTCCAGGAGTTGAATCTATAATTCAGATAAGATAGTTTTGAAACCTCAGTAATCGAAATCCATAAAGATGATTTTCCAAATTTTATTGATGCCATCACAGATTTTAAAAAAAATTGATCATTTTTATTTATAAAGTAGATTTATCAATTTAATACAAAGTATTTTAAAATTTGATCAAGGAATTATTAAATAATTACATAATATTTACATCATTAATTACCTGTGTACAAAGATTATGAAAATATAAGCAGCTATGACTAAGAATCAAGAAAAAAGATAGTAATAAAATAAGGCAGTAGAAAATTGTTAAACTTTTTTAAAGATGAATAACTATTTTCAATTGGAACAAATTATTCACAGATAGAAATGTTGAAGTTATAGTATGGTTAGGAATATCTTTATGATTATGAATCGAAGTGTTTTTCTCTATCAAAATCTATTTTAACTTATAATCATAATAAGATTTTTACAAATTTCGTAGGATAAACACTTGGAAATTCATTTTTGGATATAGCTCTATAATAATTTTAAATAGAATCGTAGTATTCTCTGTATCTTTCTATACAGATAAGTAAATTACTACAATCATATTATAATTGTCTGAAGATATTCATTTCATTAAACTGAATTGTATTGAGTATATGAGATGTCTCCCTAGAATATGAATAACTATCTTGATTATTTTATGATAAACTTACAATCGTTGGATTTGAAGAATATGAGTATGAAGAAAAAATATTAAAACCTTGTATTGATCAAGCCATCTGGTTAAGCATGTTTTAATATGCTGCAAATTATCTATTCAGAAGGAGAAGCAAAAATTGAGAGATTATTTGAAATAACCTTACACCAAAATATACTCTCTTACATCCCAAGACTATTGGAATCACTGAATTCAATTACAAAATAAATAAACAAGAATAGGTTATCAATTCCATTAAAATTGATTTAGGAATCTTAGTATCTTTCCATTAGACATTAAAATTGAGTCTTATAAATAAGAAATAGAGTTTGTAGGCAATTAACCAAACAAAATAAAAAGAAGTAGAGAGTTTAACCCTAAATTGTAAAGAAGGAACTCATTTTTAATCATCAATTATCTACCTATTCAGATAAACTGATGAGATTTCCATGAGTAGCAGTGATCATAATACTTAAATACCAACATTTTTAGAATCCTGTTTCAGGATTAAAACAGTATAGTATAGATCCTAAATGTAAATATAGGCTAGTTCTAATCAAAAGTAACATAGTTCAGTTAATATGAGAAATAAAAGTGTTGAACTTAATAGTTACTTTCTAAAAGTCTTCTTTCTTTGTTTCAATTTCTCTGATTGATATCAAACAAAATGAATTCAAAAGTTGTAAGATGATGTAGGGGATGTTGATGATTAGTTTAATTTATATTAAAATCTAAATTGGATATCAATAATAATGGCAGTACTTACAATCTAGCAAGACTTAAAAAGTATCCTTAATTATTGAAATATAATTTATTATGAATTTTGCTGAACGAAGAAATAAAACTAATCCTGATTAGAATTAGTTATTAAGCATGAGCAGTTAGAGTTCCTAAAGAAACTCCGCAGTCAAAGCAACATTAAAAGTGTATTCTGAGATGAAAGAAGATTAAAGCTGCAAATTGGCTTTGAGATTTACGTAATTGAAAATAGTGCTTGCAACTCATAAGATAGTGGGAATCTGTCATAAAATCAAAGCAGTAAGGTTATAACATTATTTTGATGTTTTGCTTTTGACCAAGACACCAAATGCTAATCCTATACCTATTTTAAATAAAAATTAATAAGGGTAAATTTAATATTTTACACCTCCAACAAAAAAGAAAAGTGTTAAGTTTTAGCCTAAATGCTCTATTGCACCTTGTTTATTAATTAAATCAATGTATAAAAAGCGTGTTCGCAGTTACTTCAATATATTACAATATAATCAAAACAAAAAAAATAAGCAAATATCTTTCAATACCATTTTAATTCGGTTTTTCAGAAAAAAACAAACTTAACACTTCTAAATTCTCAAGGCAAGAGTATTACAATCAAAAATATTTAGGAGAATTACTTTAATCACCAAATAAAAGATAAAATCAATGTAATTAGAAGCCTTACTAACAATTTCTTAATACATTTATAATGCTAACATTCCTTCACAATAAATAAGTTTATTGGATTCTGAATTTTCACAATAATAGTAATTATAATAATAAACACTCCAAGATCTCCAGGAACATGAAATAAATAATTAATTGATGAGTGCTAAAGAATAATTGGCCATGAAATTTGCCAGTACGTCATTATTGATAGGAATTTTAAGTTAAGTGATGATAAAAGCATAATTTGCATTTCTGTTTCATCTAAGTTCTGGATGCAATCAAAAATTAGATATCAGAGAAATAAAATCAATTGATATTAGTGAGAATTTAGACTAGTCTTAAATCGAAGAAGACAAAATAAAACCTAAGATTATTGCTGCTAATCAAATTAATCACTTCCTAGTTTAAAAACTGAAATAATATTTCGATTAGATTAATCAAGCCCCTTCCAAAATATCTCGACCTTCTATTAAATTTTTTAGAGGAGATAAAAAACTTAGATCTCAAAATTCTAATCTTAAATTATTGATTTTGGGATAGAAAATATTTAAAGAAGATGATCCTTAGTAAAAGAGCACAGATATCACAGTTAATGAAAAAAAAGGATCATTCAAAGCACTGCCTGGAGTTAGATATGTGACATAATATTCAGATATTTCAAAAAATGCCATTTCTGATGTAATAATTTGTTTAAATAGTTTAGAGCGAAGTAACTGAACAATCCATTATTACAAATTCTGTTAACACTTTATAAACTATATAAACTTCAGTATTAGTATAGAATTATAGCAATCATTAAACTGTTTAAAATAAACCAGGTGAAAAAAAAGAAACACTCAATTCTGCAATTCAATAATATTGTAAATTTCAATATAATAATTTAAGTGATTCCAGCGAAAAGTTAAAAAAATTCACCTCCAAAAGTATCTAAAAAAACAATCAAAAAGCAAGTTGAGAATAAATTCTCTAAATTAAAACTGTTGTACTGCTTCCCCATTATTTTAATAATCTTTATTGTAATTTTGATGAGATGAAATATTTATATATTAAATAATTATGTAAACTCAATCACCGCAGACTAACATTACGATCAGTGCAGGACCCAGAGATTCATAATGGATAGATAGACTCAAAGAAGAATATGCTGCTCTGATCAACTATATAAAAACCAATAAAAGTGAAGATAATGATTGGGTAAAATTGGAACCAGCAAATAAAGAATGCACAAAGTAATTAACGTGAAGGATTATTTAATAGTTGGAAAGGGAAATGTTGGGTAGTCCATAATTTGATTCGATATGAATTTGATTTTTAATTTGAAGTTAACAAAATATGATTATTTAGATTCCACCAACATATCCATTAGCTCCAATTGAAATCGAAATTCCATCATTAGATGGATTGACTCCTAAAATGTACAGAGGTGGCAAGATCTGTATTGACATTCATTTCGCTCCTTTATGGTAGAAAAATGCACCCAAGTTTGGGATTGTTCATGCTCTATAATTGGCTGTAATATATTTAATTTTAAATAAAATAGTTAGCTCCTTGGTTGGCAGCTGAAATCCCTGTGTTGATTGAGGAAGGTAAAATAAAAAAGGATTGATAATGTATATTAAAATTTATAATGTCTAAAATATTGAGATATGATTATGAAGATGTTCTAAAAAGAAACCCTAATGACATTAAGTCTATGATAGCATTAGGTTGTCATCCTTTTAATTTAGGTTAAAAACTGTTGCAACAATAAAAAAGGAATCAGGCACTTTATTGGTTTGATGCAGCAATAAGCCTAGATCCCAATATGGTTGATTCACTATGTGGAAAAGGTAACTGTTCCTGTGTATATATAAGGTGATGCTTTGCAGCAATTCGATAAATATTAGAAAGCAATATAATGGTATGATCGAGCCTTGGGTATTGCTCCGAATCATGTACCAAGTTTAGTAGGAAAAGGTAAATTATTCTTTTAATCAAAAATTTATAGCTAAAGCACTATATCAATTAGAGTTAGATTTTAATAAATTAGCTAAACGTATTACTATCTTTAAGTTTATCTAGCCAAAGTGTTGAGTAAATAGAAAACAGAATCTAGTCTCTTTGAAAGAGGTAAACAACTCCTAATTTCATTATTAGATTCATTAGAAAAGTTAAAATTGGAATAAAGATTCAAAGAAAAGGGTATTAAATTATGACTACATATCTATTAGAAGATTAAACCAAAGAGAAGTTAGACATTCGTCTTAAAGAGAAAGGTACTATCTGAAAGTTATTAAATATAGAGAAGATTAATTTTAATAAATAGTTGGAGACTAAATTAAATGATAAAGGTAAATTAAAATTAATAAACTTAAGCCAAAGCATTACATTAGTATAAGATTGAAGCCTTACTATAAGGAAAACGTATTTTATTTCAGAAATTTTAGCTAAACCTAAACATTAAATTGAACTAGAGCAGGAAATTGAGCTAGAATTAGAATCCTAAAAGTACTTTGATTAGGCTTTATCGACTAAACCTAATTAGGTATAAGCACTTACAGGAAAAGGTGATAGTCTTCATTCACATTTAGGTCTCTGTGTAAATGCTTTTTAAAAATAAATTGATGCTGAAGTTATTATCAATAAAGCTTTATCGTTGCCAACTATTCTAGGTTATAATGAAAAATAATCCGATATTTATGCAGCAAAAGGCACTATCTCGATTTATTCTAGGCGATATTTTGTTAAATCAGTAGAAATATGCAGAAGCCAACAGTTTTTACGATAAAGCCTTAGAATTGGATCCGAATCACTTATAAAGCTTATTTGGAAAAGGTATAAATTTTCAAAGAAGAAAGGCTAATATTTCAGATTGATTGAAAGCTATGAAGATGCTATTGAATGGTATGATAAAGCCATTAAATTAAAACCAAATCATATATGTTCCATTTGGGGCAAAGGTCTATCATTTTATATATTTTGAAGGTGAATCATTGAGAATGTAAGACAAATTCCGAAAAGCCATTGTTTATTTTGATAGGGCTTTAAAATACCATCCCAAACATTTCTTATCTCTTTATGGCAAAGGTACCTTGTTATGTAAATTTGAAGGAGAAGCACTCAGAATGCTAAAATTCAATTATGATGCTTCAGTTGAATATAAATAGGCTCTAGATTTGTAACCCAATCACATAAAAGGATTGTTCGGATACGGAGAAGTGTTGAAATTAATGAAGAAATACCCATAATCTTTGGCATGCTATAAGAAAATTCTGGAAATTGATCAAGGCAATATGGAGGCTGTTTAGTTGAAATGTAAAATTATTATTTGAGATAAATTAAGATGAAGTTGAACATTGCATATCTTAATTGTAATAAAAGGAATCAATTAATACATTGAGAAAGTAGGATCTTTAAAGCAATAGCAAATTTTTTGATGGAATTTAAACCAATACTGTAAATTTTAGAAAAAAACTATGAATATTAAATTAAATATAATACTTAGATTTATAGGAAATATTAATAAATCGTTTTTTTATTATTGTTGAGTTATGCTTGAAAAAGAATGCTAAAGGAATAATAGTTTCCCTTTTTAAAATTATTTGATGCCTCAATATTTGCTTTATAATATTTATTTTTCAAATATCAAATAGAATAAAGAGCTTTTATTTAATATCTAAATATAAATTGAATGAAGTAATCAAATATAAATTACAATTTTTTATGGAACATAGTCTATTTAGCTCTCCCATAATTGATCCAATAACAATCCAACTTTACGATTAGGAGAAAATAGTATGATAATCTTTATTATCATTATAGCCTTTTAAAGTTATTGTTCGATGTGAAAGCCAGGAACTATCATTAAATGTAATAATTCTACATAATTTCAGGCATATTAAAGACCAATAACAATAAATGATCAATTTTTATTTGAGTTTATGAATAACAGAAATCTTAAACATTTAGCCAGCGATATTCAGGATTTTAAGGTTTAATTAGAACAAAAATACCATTAAAATAATGAAGAAAATTTCTTGGAAAGGTATGAAGCCACATGTAAACTATTCTTGGGCACTTAATTTTTAAAAACATCCAATAATAAGAGAAAATAAGAATACTATTTAAAGTATTAAACTTAATAAATCTAAAATTAAGAAGATCGATAACAGAGTCGAGTTATTTAAGGAACTCAAAATATAGCCTAAAATAGTCAACTAGGTACTTTAAGAGATTAAAATTAACTTCTTCTATAAGTAATAATTTATTCATAAATTAAAAGGGATAAAATTTTAATGGAAGTAAATCTAAAAAAACATTGGTTTGTGGTGTCTATGAAAAAGAGAACTTATCTTAAATTAACAATTTTATTAAATCATTTAGAAATCAAGAAATAGATTTGGTTATACTCTGCAATGGGATTGACTCATTAGAAGGATCATTAAGATAAAAATTGTTTCGGAATCATGAAAAATCAACTCTGATCAATATTGAAATAGATAAAAATCAATATTCAGTGAATAATGCTCTTGTGCTATAACATTAATTTAACTAAATTGAAAATTTGCCTAAGGTAATTTTCGTTATAAAATACTTTAAATCATCTAATTATGATATTCAAAGGTGGTTATACAATGGAATTGGTAAACATTTTGACCCTGATTTCTTTTATGTAACTTAATGCTCCTTAATCTAATCAGATCACTCTATTAATACCTAACTTAAGTCCATTAAATAAGAGAATCTATGTGCAATTACATGTAGTATCTTACACAATAAAAACTGCTCATGGAATCCATTAAATCCAATTAATGCATTTATGTTAGAACAAACATTAGATCTCCTTGAGAATATCTCAACGAATAAATTAGTCTCTGTTGTTCTGGATCATAATCCTTTTTTCTGCTTTTATAACTGGCAAAAAATAAAATAATTTATTGACCAATATTTATAAAAAATAATTAAGTCAGAGTGCGATTACGTTTAAAACATAATTGTTTAAGGTAAGAATTACATATTACCAAGTTTGGCTGCAGAATAAGGATTATTATTTGGTAAATCAGATAAAATAGTCGCATAAGCTACCTGCGATGATTCACTATCAACAATTATGAATTAACAGAGAAAAAGAAAGAATTCTAAAGCATATACACATAACTAATTTTTAGAGACTTATTCAACTTTAAGTTCCACTTGGAAAATCAATCTGTTTATTAGATTAATCTAATAAATTGCATTGAAGACAATGTATATCCAATCTAGTTTGAATAATTACTTTGGTATAAGTGCAATTATATTCATGTTTGTTTAAAGCTCTTACGATTTTTTTGGTAATGCATTCGAATACTATTACTTTTACATTTTGTAATTGTCAATTCCAGCATTATTTATATTTAGTGTAGTTACATTTATAATTTTTGCAGTTCTATTCAGAAGTCAATACAAAATAGCAAGGGCAAAAGGGATCGAAGAACCAATTATAGTTTCAGGAAATATAACATTATATATATCTTACAGTCCCCTTACAAATTAATGTTCCTACTGCTTTGAAGACTCGACTATTAAAAAAGGCAATAAAGAATTGAATCTTGAGAATGTCAAATTCGTAGGATTCTCACCTAATAGTTAAATTATGAGCTTATACCTTTATTACGGAAAATAAATCTATTTAGCTAACTAACTTGACACAAATAGCATACTTCAAAATATTATTAATTTATCTAAAGAGAGGAGATTAGGTAATTAGGAAAATTAGAATGGAGTAGTTGAATACTTTTCATAAATAATAGATTGCAAAGGTATTTGCTTTAACTATTAAAATACGATCGGAGAAGCTGCTGAAAAATATAAAACATTGTATCATTTGATTGCAATCTTTAACGTGACCCTTATTGCAATATTTATTTTAAACATAATTTACAATTACTGCTTTTAAGCTGACCAATTATATAGATCTATAATCTGTTTTTGCGTCTTGATGGTGATTCTTGAAAAAGCAATAAAGATACTACTTAATTTATCACACATTCCAGTGTTTGTCAGAGGTTACCTCAGCTATATCTTTTACTTTTTGATAGTAAATTTTGGAATGAAATTTTACGAGAGGATAAATACTGATAACAATAATGAAAATGAGAGGATTAAAGAATTTTATTATAATAAAGTCCAATCTTTTGCTCTTTGGATCTCATATAATATTGTTTTCTTATTTATTTGTTTCATGATAGAAGCTTATTACGATTTTAGTGGATATGTGTTATTATTTTTTTTGAGTTATTTTGCCTTAAATTCACTTTTAAGCATTATATTTAATGTGATATCTAGGTTTTTATGTTTCAATTTCAAGAACCATAAAAAAGAAGTCAATGAACCATAGAAAAACATTAATGAATTCATGCCTGATGAATTTTCTTTAGGGAATGAAAATTACGAAAACAAATTTCTTCAAATTTAATAAGAGGCAAATTTTGACTTTTACAGATTGCAGGAACATGAATTGCAAAAGGAAAGAAAAGAACAATTCGAATAACAGCCAGCAATATTAAATTAAACTAAACGATTTTGGGAATCAGTATAAATAAATATGCCTGCTATATAAGAAGTCACTTAACCAAGCATGATCAGTTCTAGAGATGGAGATACTGATAAAACTGTTGATTCTATGATGTATTCTAATAATCTTGGTAATTGAATAGACCAATAAATTAAGACCTTTAATGATTTATGAATAGTAATTTATCAATCATGATCTTGTAATTTTTTTTTCTCTTCTTTTTTTCTTCTGATCTCCTTAAATTTAGTTCTTAATTTAGCATCATGTCTTTATAGATTCTCCAAATTCTCCTTTTCTATTTATGCCCTATCTATATCTAATGAGGCTAAATTAGTATAGTCCCCTCTCAATTGAGCATCCGATGGCAAAAATGGAGGTTTAATGGTTACTTAATGTGGTTACTAAATGTAATTGATTGAATTGTACCATATGTCTGTGATCCCAATAACGCACTCCATCGAACTCTATGTATCCCATGTAAGTACCAAATATTTTACACAATTCTTATTGTCCCATATTGATTGTGCCTTCAAAATAATCAGTAGCCTTTCTCTTGACTTTTCCGAATTTTAAAGTTGCAGTCAACCCTTTATTTGTCTGGTAGGTCGAAACCCCAAGAGTCTTAATGGATTATTTATTGCTATACTTCAACTTTCATTGAACCCATGATAGTTCCACTATAAAGTTCATATGCAAAATTATAATCAATTCTTTGGCCTCCATTAAATATTATAGTTCTTTTCCCCTTATTTTTTAGAGTTATAGAATTTAGTCCTGCAGAGGCTTCGTACCAATAATTTCTTATCATAAACAAAGGAGATACCCAAAATATTTATATGAATTGTCTCTGCCAACCCCATAAAATTAGCTTACAGGGGGATGATGACTAATTTATTCTGCGTATAACTTTGTTCCATCAGATAGGAAACCTTCAACTGTTTCCCCCAAGATAGGATTCAAGGGTTTGTGAAAGCTCAAATTTATGTGGAATGTAGCTATCGTAGCAGTTATGACTAATTTCAATTACTCCATATAATCTAAAGTCTGAACAGCTCTGTTGATATACAAAGGGAAGAAAATCGTAGATTACAAATTTTTCTCCAAAGCTGATTTTGCAATCATAGCCTTAATGGGGAAACTAATCTTAGTGAGATTCATGTCTCCTGATAATATTTTACGTCCAATTTGCTATATCACATACGTCCCTACAGACCTCATACACTTAATTTGTTTCTTATCTTCGAATTTCTTGCCACCATCCTTTGATGCCTAATCACATCTTGAGTCATCTTTAGACTGAATCGGTTGAAATGCAGCTACCTTTTATTATAAAATATCATATGGATCATTATTGAAATGCCTAATAAGAATAATGCTATTCTCATACTCCTCAGTAATGTAAAATTGCACAGCATCGGGTGCAGTTTATTAGACTTATTATATTCGTATATCGTTATCTAAATCTTCCGAACTCAAAGTGCTATTCATTTTATTTATTTAATTAAAATCAAATCATTTTCAACGATCAAATTCATTAATCACTTACTCTAATTTAATCTCCAAGGCCCATAGAATATTTATGTACTTTATTTCGCTCAAAACCAGGATGCCAAAAAGATATAATATTCAATTGTTGTCTTTATATTTATGCAAATATCATAAATGAATTTGTTTACTCTTACAATATGTATAGATATTAGAGGATGTAATTCGATTAAATTAGTATTAGATTATTTTTGTTTATATTTTAATAATTATTTTATGTTGATCAGTAGTGCAAAACATTCTGTTAGACCAAGTACTAATGAAAGCAGTAGTTTAAATACGAGATTGTGTAAAAACCTATAATCTATGACACTAAGTGCAAGATTCTAAACAGAATTATAGCAACTGGAATCATAAAATGAACCTTTTCTATTCAATTAATAACGATCGACTCTAAGGTAAATAATAATTAAATTTAGTTCTGTCGATATGAGTAGATAAATTAGTTCGAAACAATCATTTAGATCTAGCATGCCAAATATTAATCATGGAAATCATAATTTCTCATAAAAAAGAAAAAGTGAAGGGTTACTCCTTAGAACAACTCCTTGTCTAATCTATATGCCTGGTCTTAAATAAGAAGAATTCAAAGAAGAAGCATAATCTTAACCTGCCTTAAAAAAATAATTTAGAGCTCCTCTTTTGAAAACTCCTATAAAATACATAAGCTTTCAATTCAGAAATAGAGATAAGGGCAATCCACTCGAAAAAATAAATTGACTTTTCATTTCATCACTTTTCAATAATCATAAATAAAGTTTGATTATTACATATTCTTCTTTGAAATTCAATTTAATTCGAAAATTAATTTTAATATAAATATAATATGTTATTATTCACTTTGTAAGTGATTAATTGAATTTTTCGATATTTCTAATATCCCTTTAATATCTTGTTCGCTCTTAAAGTCGAAGTTGTTGAAGCGTCTTTGTTTCGGTCAAATATAGTTCTAGTTTTTGCTATTAGTGTTTCTGTTGAGTTTTTGAATTGTTGAGCTCTTTTTTGAGATTGAGATTTTCTTGTATTAGTTTTTCCTATTAATAGAGAAGTAATTCAATTTATTAAGAAGTCCTTGAATTTAATTCATTTATCAGTTTGTCTTTGGCTGCCAACTCTTTTTTCAACTGATCAATTGTTTCGATATTTGTTTGAATGTTGGAAAATGTTTATTAAAACTTTACTGTTTACGGTTCGAGTGTAACTAAAGAATCTGCGCTTCGTTTTGTTTAATTTGGGGATTAGAACATTTGATGAAGTTCATCTTAAGTAATATATAGAGGATTCATAATAGGATAATAAATATATTTTATTTCTAAAGTAATAAGATAATTAACTCAAATTTTGGATGATATAATTATCGATTTCTCATAAATGTGATCGCTTCATTGATTGATACTCTTGGAAATAAGATAATAGTATTTCTGGCTATTCTTTTATCCCTAATCAATAGAGTTATTAATAAATCTACCTAATGTTTATAATTACCTGAACATATTGACTAGCTATGTTTTCTAAGGATTGTATTCATAAACTAAAGCTTAAATAGTAAATTATCATAGAAATAACAAGTAATGTAAAATACCTCTAAGTAACTTTGCCATCTCTTAAATTTTCTTCCTTAAAATATTGAAACATGATATCTAAATATCTAAGAAGTAAAAATTCACAATTCTAATGTAACCAAATGCTTGAATATTTGTTTTTGGAAATGTAGTATCTATGGGTTTATACATTAACCTCAGAATCTAAAGTGAAAATCTTGGTATTATCATATAATATAGTTCTGGATTTTGATTGAAATTTTAATATTCTGGTTTAATAATGATAAAAATAATTGGCAATTATTCCCTTATTTATTTAAATAATTTTACTTTTGATAATCTATTAGGCTAAAAGCAGACTATTATGAAACTGAAAATACACAGATTTACATAAAATAATATGTATTATGTGTTGTATTATGTGTTGACAATACTTGAAGCAATTAACAATATTGATTTGATATACTTTAGTTTTAGTGTTTAATTATAAATAATTGTTGCCTTTTTGATGAGTTTATAATAATTATAAATTTTATTAATATATTTGATGGATAATGAGATCAATAATTAAGATTAATAATAACAAAATTTTCTAGATGAAGAAAGTATTAAACCATAAAATCTTTTTACCAATCATCTTATTACTTGTAATAGAAGAAGTTACACAAATTTTTCTTAATCTCAACTCATTTAATCAAATCTCTCATAATTATTAGAAAAGGTGTTAATGCATATTTTATCTGAGTAACTAATAGAAATGGGTTCTTTTATAGTTATTGACAAGTGCGATCTAGAATTATTTTGCCTAAAACTTTTTGTTTAACCTCTTAAAGATTTTATTTAGAATTAGGATAGCTCAAAACTGCATTATTAGTAATTGTAGCATTATTAAAATTATGACAAAGATTTGGAGACAATTAAAGAACAGATTGACCCAAGAAAATTAAAATTGATGATTTTATAATGCAATAAACTAGTTGTAACTTACAAATCCATCCAATAATTAATTAACAAATTTAAAGTTTAGGTCTATGCAAGTTCAATTGATAGTGAATTAAGTAGGTTGCAGTGTTACCATTTGTTAGAGAAGATTTAGTAAGAACTTTCGTAAATATAAAAATATCATGATATTGTAAAATCAAGATTAGCGGAAAAAAATGAAATTGCTTAATTTTTAAATTATCCCATCAAAGATACCTATAAATAAGAAATTAAGCGTTAATTTTGTTTATTATTCATCTAAAAGGATTAATAATAGTAAATGTTAAAGTAGAAAACTGAAGTTTAGCCCACACTAACAATTAATAAAAAACTTCCTAATCATCGTCAATCTACCCTCACTCTGTTAAAACCTGGAAAAATTGCTTAATCTATATCAAATGACAATAGAACTAATGAAGAAATATCTATTAAAAGTAAAATAACTTAACATTTTTCTTCCATTGATAAAAGAGGGAATGATACAATGTCATAAAGATAATTGTCATTATTATAAAAATATAAAACTAAATTTTCTGCAACATTTTATGACTCTTTCACCATGAAATTAATCGAAAACATTTATATATCCATTTAAACAAATTTTCTAGTTAATAACATAGAAGAAGTGCTTGAGAATTATAATGACCACATTAATTTATAGAATTTACAACAGATTATAAAATTACTCAAGTCTAGAATATGTATTAATATATTTGAGTAAATTGTAAACACTAAATAAATTTAACTTACCGAAGATATATGCAGCAAAGATCTTAAATTAAAATGTAAATAGGATCTAAAGATACTATCTGACATTTTTACTTAAGAATAACTTGTAAAGCTTCATTAGAATATTCATCATTTAAATTAAATGACAAGCGTATATTTAAATTAATTAGACAATATAATCCATTAAATACTAGATGATAATAGAAATTCAAGTGATTTTGACTCACTCTAAACATCTCTTAACGTTTTCAAAGTAAGCGATGATATTAACTCTAAGATTTATGGTTAAACTTTGTTGATGCTAAAGTACATCTAAAATAATAGTATTATATTATTGTAGTCTTTATCAAACTTCTTATCAAAAACTAATTTTTCAGAATAACATATACTCCTTTACCCATTTTAATAATTGGCCTCAGCTATAAATAAAACAATTAATTAAGTCTTGCACTAAGCCTAAAATGAAATAGTAAGTAATCTCTTATTTGAAACATATATTTGCATAATATCAAAGCATATGATTGATAGAAGATAAGCATTCATTGAATAGCTTAATATGTAAAGCAAGTAAATCATGTTGTAAATTTCATAAATAATTTAAGGAAAGTTATTAAAATAGTAGATCCAATCTTATTCATAATAACACATTTTGTTATATGATCTTAATGAAATATAATCATCTATTGAATGGCTATTTGATCAGCATATTTTAAAGAAGCAAATTAATAGAAAAATTGATTCAATTGAAGAATTTTCATTTTTTATTTCATAAATTATATCTTAGATAAAAGCCCTCTTTGAAGAAGAATTCTTTAATGAAAACATTAAATATAATAGAATTGCAACTTAATTACAATTATTTGAAAATTATGTTAAATAGGAGATAATGAAGAAACCATCAGAATAACAATTAAAAATACAATGGTCAAACAAAATCTTCAGGCTTTTTCATAAGATCAATAATGAATATTTACCTACATCAAGAGCAACGACTAGAAGGAAACAAACAACAGAACCAAAGCCATTGGATAATTAAGTCTCCTTATAAAGCCCTATGCCTTCATTATAACCCTAGAAACTCACTTTTTTCTAGTAGAGTATTTATGTGAAAGGAAATCGAACACATATCTAATAAACTGAAAGATTGACATAGTCGACTGTAAAATTTAAAGATTATAAAGACCTGGAAAAAAAATTAAGTTGAAATATTTATTATACTTTGAACTATTTTCTAAAAGATATAACCTTATAGAATTAATTACTATATAAACAAATTTATCTAAATTGATATAATTACTATTCTTTCCAATGTCTGAATTCCTACATGAGAATATCATCAAAGATAAAATTGATAGTGAAGTATGTAATTAATTAAAACTTAGGAAATTTATTTATTAAAGTAAAATTTATGCTGATCTCGATGCATCGCAACTTAAATTGGATGTTTAGAATTCTGTCCAATATGTAAAAGAAAATGCGAGGAAGAAATTGATGATTGCAATCATAAGCATTAATGTAAAAATGGCCATTAATTAAGAGGTATTTATTAATTATAAATTAGGTATGAGTGGAGTGTTAATTGGATGTCACCCTACTTTATATACTTGTGAAGAAATACAAGATGATTTTTCAAATAAAGAATTAGAAACATTAAGAATTGGAAAGAAATTAAATAGAATTACAATACTTTTCTGACTAAAAATGAGTAAAATTAATTGAAAAAGAAATTCATGAAAATTTTAAATCAAAATAAAAGATAAATACCTTGTAAAAAGCGATTATTTTTGTGATTTTATCCTAATTTAGTTAAATTAACATTAATTATTTTATTTAGTCTTTTATTTTGAGAGGTTTAATTTTTAATTTATCATAAATAAGAATTCATTTTCAGCATAGTTTGTTTTAATAATATAGTAATTAAGCATTATCAATTGATAATATTTTGCAAAAAATCCAACTACCATCCATGATTATAAGGATGAAACATATGTTTTTCTGTTGAATTTTAGATATGAATCCTAAAACTATTTTAAGCGCCTAGTTTAATAAAAGTACATATTTTAATGATGAATATCAATATGAATTATTAGAAGTTTAATGTATAAAACTGGTTATTGGTGAAGTAAAGGATGTTAATCCCTTAATTATGGTATGATAGCAACTAAAATTAATAATTCCAAATTCTATTAAAATAAAGAGCAGTAAGAATAAAATTTTTGATTCTCGTGTAATAAATTATAAAAAAAATTGATAAAAGTTTTGGTAGTAAAATAAGGATAGTAAAATATGAGGAGAATAATTTATTTACTTTTAATTAATTTTTTATAAATTTTATTTATAATGTTACAAAACAATAAAAAGTTTAGATTACTCTTATTTCAATATAGGAAAGGTGTTTAACTCAAAAAATACAACAAATAAATGAGTATTAGATTCCCTTATTGAAATGATGGTATGAAAAATTGATTAAATTGAAAAAGGAGATTAAAATTGTTGTGATGAACTACAATAAGAATAAATGAGTTAGAATAGTTGATTTGAGTATTGAAAAGGCAACTGATTTAAATAATAGATCATTGATTATATATCACATCTCAGCTAACCTTTTTTTGATTTCTTGAATCAAATTCTCTTGAGTAGTTTATTTTAATTTAAACCATTAGTTTAAATGATTTGCACTTAATCTTTCATCTGGCTGGGTACTGAACATTTAAACAAACAAATTTTTGCATTCTTGATCTATGTTAGTTCTGATGTCTTTCCAATAAGTGTCCCATTCGTTATTTTTAATTAGATTCCACCATGGATCATGATTGTCTGGATTATTGGATTCGAATGGGGGGTGTCCAGTGATTAAAATGAAAAATATAACAGCAACTGAAAACATGTCAGTCTTCATATAATTAGGATTTGGTTTCCATATTTCTGGAGCAGTGTATCCTTCGCTGCCAGCAATAGTTTATTTTTCAATTGCCATTTTGCCATTCCACCTTGCAAAACCAAAATCACATAATTTAAGGTTGTATTAACTGTCGATTAGAATATTCGATAATTTAAGATCCCCATGGGTAAATCCTTATTCATGCATGTAATTTAGAGCCAGAGTTACTTAGTACAGAAGGGAGGATGCAATGCTAACTGGAAGTGGAGAGGATTTGATCAATTAAATTAAGGTGCCATGCGGACAATATTGAAGGACCAGACATGTGTAATCTTGGCTGTAACCGAATAGTTCAATTATATGTGGATGCTTGATGTGGATGAGAATTTGTATTTCATTCTTAGTAACTTCAAGTTATTGGAAGTAATACGAATAAGTTTATGGCGGTGTCTTATATTTTTTGGGCTTGGCACTTCAAGGCGTATAATTGGTTTCCGCTGTCTTTGGTTTCAAGTGCTAGAAGAACTTTAGCATCATGGCCTTGACCCAAGATAGTTTAGATTTTTAAGGTTTAGAAAAACTGGGGAGGTAATGCTTGAATTTGTTGCATTCGAATTATCTTAATTAATTAATGTAAAATCATCAACTCTATTTAATATTGGACATAAACTCTAAGTTCTTGAAAGCTTTGAAGGAGAATTTCGTAGCAATTCTATAGTGTATTAAGACCAGTTTGGGATTGTAGTTGTGTACTGATTTCCATAATTTATTTACAATCTACGCCATAGACACATATGACATCTATTAACTATATAGAAGTGGTGAGAATTCAGGTTTTGAATACAATACGGAATTTCAATAGGTCTTGAAGACTTTGTATGATATCGTTTCGAAGAAGGGAGTGGATGATGTGTGGGAATCCAAAATAATAAAATGCTTAAGTTAAATAATGTGTCGTGTCAATAAGGATAGATAGACATGTAAGGATTCTAAAATCACGTTCATTACTTCTCAATTTTTCCAATTAGGGTAGGAATCCTATAATAAATACTTGAAATTGTGCACTCATGCTAGCAAGGAGAAAATTCGTTTGGATTTATTGCAAATTGACATTTAGGCTCAAAGTGAACTTAAACAGGATGTGTTGGGGAATGAAGGATTGAAATTGGGAGTGCAATTGACAGCAGGAATTGTCCATGTAGTGAAATAGGATAAAAATTTCAATAAGATTTTAGCTGAACTTTTGGTATATAGATGAATAGAACTAGTTATCATCCTTTAATCCCGGAGATATTTATGGATTCTATTAGGCCAAATTGAGTGAATTGTAATATAAATCATTTTGTTCTTGTTGTAATAAAGTCACAAATCCTATTGCTTATGCTTGTTCAAGTTGTTTGACAAGTAAATTTAAATATCATATAATAGTTCAATGTGAGAAATCTCATGCAACAAAACAATGTACAAAGTGTAATAATTATTTTCATAATGTTTCATGACTGAATAATTCATATATAATCTAAGATATGCTCATAACTAACAATTAAGTATTCATCTTTGTTTAGATTCGTATTTTCGTTTTTCATATTATCAATTAGATTCTCTAGATATTATTATTAAAATTAGAATACTATTATCTTTATTTTCAGCCACAAAGTACGGTTTATCCTTTCTTATAATAAGTGGTGTCATTAATTTCACTTTGAGTTTTTGATCTTTTAAGAACGGCTCAAGTACTTGTTCTCTCATTTTTTTGAACTGATCGTTTAATTTCAAAAAGGAGTTTTTCACTTCTACTTTTTCTGTTTCTGGTTAAATATTATAATATTATTGCCAAATTAAAGGTAACTTATCTTTTTCATCAATTTAAGAAGTTTGGACTTGTTACTTTTTGGTTGAGAGCCTTACTTTTGGTTATGTTTTAGAGTGTTAATCAGTAACTCTAATTGATTTGATATTACGTTGTGTGTAGGAAGTCTTTTTTAATTTAATACTCCTATCACTTATAAGTGAGTCGTCGTTTTGAGTAATGTGTATTTTTGTAATGCTAGTTAATTTACTTACATCTTTAGATTCTCTTAATGACCTGTCTGATTTCTGTTTACTTAAAACATTTGGCAAAATTCTACTGCTATTTTATGATGAATTCTATTCTAGTTCTTATTTTTTTAATTAATAAGTCTAATTAATCAATTCGACTGTGTCTTAATCATCTTCATCAATATTGTCTTCTGAATAATTCTTTGATAAAGAAATCTAAGCAATTTCCTCAACATCCTAAAAGAGTTGATTCAAATTCTTTTTCTTTCTTCTAAGTTTTTTTAAGTCTTGTCGAATAAATTCTTACACAGTTTTGTTTGTTTGACTTCGATTAACAGCTACAAAACTTTTAGAATTATTCTAATTAATCATATTAATCATAATATATCATTTCAATAACTAAAATTTTAAGTAAAACTGTTTCTAAATGTTTTGGAGGTAATGGATTTATTGAGAATCGTAATAAAGAAATACTTAAATCATTTTAATATAATTATGAGTCTTATATATAAGCATCATCTAATATTACCGGAATTCAAGTTGAATGAAACCATCCCTTTTCAAAACTCTCAATCCAATAACAACAGTACCCTAAAGTCGTCTCAAAAGACACTAACGACTTAAAGAGGGCTCTAAGAAAAAATTCTTCCAGTTTAGCAAAGTCTAATTGAGAATAATGATTTCACTTTACCTCCTATTAGAAAGGCCAATTCCAACGAAAGACCAAAGTTACCCCTATCAACCATCAGATCAACTGGCTCTGATGAGAAAACCATCAAAGATTATTTGGATCATCTTAATACATTGAGATCACAAAAAAATACTCAGAGATAAACCAAATTCAAGAAGGTGAAAACAGAAACAGAAATTGTTCAGTATGGAGATTTGAAATTCAAGAGAGTCAAAGAAAATACTTCAAAGAAATCAATTGCTGTGTTTCTTAATGTGAAAAATCCACAATCTTAATCTTATATCAAGTTTAGTTAACAGATCTATGAACTGAATCATAATCTTAGCAAATTAAAAGTATTGACATCTCTAATTATAGGATTATATCAATAATGATAGAAAGTTATTTTAAGTAATTAAGTAACTTATTGGATTGAGAAAGAATCTTCGTAAAGTGATGTTAAAATAGAATGGGGATGAGTTGATTGACTTTTAAGATATAAGTAAAATGTGTTGTGTAAGAGAGATTCAATATGTATTTGGTGAATAGAAAATAGTGGACAAGTTTGATTTATCATTATACGATGATTTAGCATATTTAACAGACATGATAGGGAATCTATTATTATAAAATGAGATTCAATACATTAATCGTATAAGTGAAAATGTAATCAGTTATGAATAATAAAAGATTACAAAAGAAACCTAGTAAGTCCAAAAGATTCAATCTGAATTGGGAATGGGCGAGGATGAATAGAAGCTATCTGTCTAAACTATGCCGATGAAAAGATTCAAAATTCATGATGAAATTGAATAAATCGAATAAAAACTAGGACCTATGTCACTGATATCCAAGTAAGTAAGGTAGACATCAATGGTTTTAAGTAAAGTAATTAGTGGTTTAAATGATTGAGTGATCATTTTTTCAATACTTAAATAATTGATATTTCTTAAGCACATAAACATTTCAAAAATGAACTCTCAAATACTTAGTCTCCAACTATGAGTGCCGAAGAACAATAATTTGCATATGTCTTATCAATCAAGATTCCCAATTATTTGTTCTAAAACATTTAGTTCAAATAATGTTAAGTTGTGTCAGGAAACAGAAAGTCCAAAGTGCCATTATCTAAAGTCTTTAAACTTGATTATAGACTTTAATACAAACTGATTATAATAATATCATCAATTGTTGTTATTTCTATGACATTAGATTGCAAAACTTTCATTTGCAAAAAAACCGATTACATCTAATATAAAGAAAATAAACGATTTTTAATAGGAGTTAATTAGATATAAGATATATTTATTAATATTATCTTATAATAAAATAACATACATGATCTGCTACAAAAGCAATTTCTTTTCACACCAAAAGTACAAAATTTTTATGTTAAAAGACGAGCTTCAACTCTCCAACGTATATTTAAAGTTTTAATTTAGAATTAACATTCATTAGTGATTTAACTTAACTCATTTGATCCAAAAATCACGTGGATTACCAACGATAATTCAGAAATCGTCTCTTTTGAGTTGTTCCTCAATAAAAAAAAGTCTATTTACAAATTTGCTCCGAATATTGGAATTTTATTGAAAGAGTTCTTGAATGGAAAAGTGTGTTTTGAAGGAATCAATAATCATTACAAGATTTCCTAATACATTTAAAAAAGAAACTTTGGTTCCGTATATATTTATATAATACTTTAATAGATAGTTCGTATGAGGAGTATCCATAACGAGGAGTTAGTAACCTGTAAAATATTTAAATAAGGAAGGGCTGAATTTGAACAAGTATTCTTTATATTCTAATTTAGGAATTTCGAAATGAAGTAATTGCCCTTCAATTTTTAAAGCATAAATTTATTCCAAAATTAAAAGAATACTATATCGAATCCAGTCATTATTACATAATATACGAATTCATAGAAGGAGCTTCTCTGGATAAATATATTAAGAAACATGTTCTTAGTAAGAATTAAATTTTAAAAATAATGAAAGTACAAATTCAAACATATCTTAGGATTTATTATAAGTGGTTTAATATTTACATAAGGAAGGATTCAGCCATCAGAACATCAAATTAGAGAACATCTTCTATTGTTCAATGTTGGATCAAATCACTTTAATAGATTTCGGGCAATAAAAGACCTATGACATCACTAGTTTAAGACACATAAAATCAATCAAAACCTTGTCTACTTAAGATTATTTCACAGAGATGAATTTATTTACCAGCAATGGATTCTCATTAGAAAAAGATTTCCTGGATTGTGGACTCGTCTTTTATTAATTGTAAATCTTTCAATTTAATTATAGGATTACTCAATAAGCATTGAACAACTAGGAATTAAATAACTTCTATGAAAGTAGAAGATTTCATCATCTTGTTGATGAGATCAATAATTATGAAATCTCTCAATTTGTCTCTAAGCTTTTCAATTGGTGTAATTTAGAAAATTATGGAGAAGAAAACTTTGCTCATGATATTGATCAACTTATCACTTCCAGTAGTGATTGAAATGCTTTGAGATTATTTAATTTTTATACTTGTTATTAAATTTTGTTGGTTTTATTGTACTTGCGCTCATAATTTAAGAATAAATTCAATAAATTTAATAAAATTTATTTAGACAAAAGATGGAAGAACATTTTAAGAATATCGACATGCTCATAAGAAAATAATAATTCTAAAAATGTTTAACTAAACTTGGAAAATTGTAAAATGAATTGAATACTAAAATAAATAACCCTGAGGAATGCTCTGAAGCAGAATTAGTATTATATATAATCTATAAGATTCTCTAAAGCAATGTATATGAGAGATATGCTCAAATCTTTATTGATATCAATCAAGTCTATCGAGCTATGCAATATCTAATAAACATGATTAAAATAGAAAAACAACTTTTCAAAACTCAGAATGACAAAGAGAGCATCCTAAGATTGTGTAACTCTTATGCTAAAATTGGTAAGAATCTACAATAATTTAAGGAAGATGCTGCTTTTATTGTTGCTATTATGAATAAACCTTCAAGTACCTTGATTATGCTTATTAATTACTAATCAAGCACAATCTAAAATAAACTGGAGTTTATGCTATGACATTAACACTTTTGGGAAATTATTACAGATTTATGTTTTAAGATGATTTGGCAGAATAAATGTTATTCGAAAGTATCAAAATTAGAGAAGAATTGTATACAAGATAGTCGATTGTATTATATATTTATATTGAAGGAAGTGGCTGATTCATTACATGGATTATCACAATTATTTTCAGATGAAGGGAAAATTGAAGAAGCAATGAATTCAATTACAGAGGCTATCTCCATTTGGACAGAAGTATTAGGCTATTAACATATAAAAACTGCAAAATCCATTTACTTGAAGGGCAACCTCTATCTAAGAATGAAAAATACTCAAGAAAGTAGTGTCATTTAATAATTCTAGATTTATCATTTGCTGAAAAACTTATTACTGAAAGTTTAGAAATCAATCTAAAAATAATAGGAGAATCATCTTAGGATATTGCTGATTGTTATCATTCATTAGGTAAAATTCAAGCTCAGAATATGAATTCAAATGTATTCGAATAGTATTTTAAAAAATCTCAAGACATCCTAAAAACCTTGTATGGCGATAGTCATGCAAGCATCGCAATTATTCTAAATAATTTTGGAAGATCGTATTTTGAAAGAAAGTAATACGAAGAAGCTGTCAATTGTTTTGAAGAATCTATTAAAATATATACATAGTTATGTGGCAAAATGCATGGGAACTTAGCGATCACCCTTAAAAATTGTGCAGATTGCCATAAGGAACTAGGCAGATATAAATAAGCTTATCTTGACTATCAAAAGTCATTAGAAATTTATTAGGTACTTAATATTTTTAAACTAGAAAATGTAAATAAACTCATCATAAGTAAATTAACTATAAAATTTAATGTCCTAAATCTCAGATAAGTACTTAGAGGATTGATATATAAAACTCATTTTATTTAAAAATTATATTTATTGCAATCGTATCCACTCAATTTCCAATAGATTGGTTTAGAATTGAAATAATGAATTTTCTATTGAACAATAGAAACCACTATTAAAGTTATTGAAAGGCTAATTCAACAATATAGGATTGATTAAAAAAATTCAGATGCTCCTTCAACATGTATTATAATGTCTCATTTATATTAAAGGCTAGTATATCCAAATAAGATACCCTTAATTAATAAATTATAAGAAAAAAATTAAATTAATATATATTATATGTCTTATACTTAGTGTTATTACAAAGATTTTATATTGTAATTATATCATTATTATATAAAATATTTTCATCCTATTAAACTTTCACTTCTGAATAAACCTTTACTACATAGTTGATTAATGAATTGTGTAATTAAAATAATCTTTTCAAAGTAAATGATATGCAAGGGGAGCAATAATATTTATAATTAGAAATATTCATCATGAGCTCCTTTTTTGCTTAAAAAATCATAGTTAACCTTTACTATATTTAAATTATAGTATGGCTACAATTGATATTGATTATTAAGAAAATAAAAAGGAAAGAACTTATTTTCAGAAATTCTTTCAATCCTTTTTTTTAAGATTTATAAAAATTCGAAAACTCAGTTGATAAGGATGTTCAAAGTTGAAAGAATACACGTTTAAAAAGCATTCATTGATGAGAATTTAATTTATTTTGTAACAGAAATTTAAAGACTTATCTCTGATAAATGAAGTATAGATAGATAAATTTATCATCTAAATACTCAAATTGGATGACTCTTGTTATGAAAAATTGATCAAAAATGTCTAATACGACAATAAATGAACGTATCAATCAACATAATATTGAATATTACTACTATCAATAGATACACAAATACTGATATTCGTGGAAAATATTATTTGGGTAAGTGTGAATTGCTTAATTCAAACATAGAAATAAATACTACTTAACAATAGATAAAATGTGTTTAATCAATGTTTTAAATAAATATTAAAAATATATTAAATGTTATCAAAACAATGAGTAAGTCTATAAAATCCAAATAAATAAAAATAGGTGACAGTGTATAAAAAATAAATTAAATTTGAATTTTATTTAATTGAGAAAAATGGAATGGTGAGTTCTATTATTTAACGGCAGAGAAATATAATATATTATTTACATATTGTTATCTATGATTTAAATATTTTTTATAGAGGACTTGATGAGCGAAAATCAGTAATAAACTTCAGACCTTTGGAGTTATGACTGGCAAAACTAATCTTTAACGTCGATGTTAGGAAAATAGTGATATTAAGGTTGCATATTGATAATTGCAGTTTGTTTTGCAGTTTTATTTAGAAAAGTTTAATAAAGATACTTAATATATTATTTCGTCATATTTAATGTATAAAAGGTGATGAAGATCTATGATATTATTGATAATATATTTAAAATAATTTCTGCATACAGAATGAGTATCACCTAAGACTCGAAATAAGAAAATGCACTCAACCGGACCTAGAGCGAAGTAATTACATAACATAATATAATTTCAGACAAAATTTGAATGGACCCCTTAAAGATAGGAAAAACTCAAAGAGCTCCATATTTAGTAGCAAGGGAACTGGAAATCTATAAGTGCGTTATTAGATGGTCCTACGCCATTAGAATGCATGTATAAATGGCAATAGCTCCATCCAAATTAAGTAGATTGTGTTTATAAGCTTAGGCTCCTTCGAGACAGTTGTGGACTTCTTAAGAGGATGAATAATTGAAAGAATTAGTTTAAAAGTTTGGTAAAAAATGGAGTAAGATCTGTACAGTAATGGATTGGAGAACAGGAAAATAAGTGCGAGAGCGTTATTTAAATTAATTATAAGGCACAATAAATTAAGATAAGTGGACGGAAGAAGAGGATAAGTTGATCCTGAAATTGTATAGGAAATTCGGAACTAAATGGAGTTATATTTCTAGTTTTTTAAAAGGAAGGCCTGTAATTATCTTATTTTTATAGATATAGGAAAACATGGTTAAAAATAGATACTATGCCAACCTTAAGAGAAGATACTAATGTGATCTAGATGATTCTGATGATGATGATTTTGAAGAAGATTCTATTTCTTCCTAAGAAGATGATAAAATTAAACTTTTAAAAAGAAGAAGATTACCAATACCAAAAAGGGAAGAGCCAAAATCTAAAAAAATTTAAACATAAGAGGCTTGTTCAGAAAATTGTTAAATATTAACAAGATCAAAAGTGAATAAACAAAAAGATGAAAATAGTTAGAAAATAGTCAGTTCTAATGAGGATCAAAATATTAAAAATACTAGTGGTATTTCTATTTAAATATTCATAAAGGATGCTAAAATATTACATCTAATTTGAACGATCAAGTTCTAAATATCAAAGAAGAAAATTAATAATAGATAAATCATAATAATTTTAATTCTATAATACTTTAATAGTCTTAACAACCTTTTAAATCTTATTAAGATTCCCCAATGATCCTCAATACTAATGTCTTCCAATAATACATAAATAATAACATGCCTTTGAATGAATCAAGTTCAAAAATCATTTAAGATTAAAATTCACTTCAACAGCAATTACGACAAAACAAATAATAGCCATTCAAAATCCCATAATTACCTTATGTAATTAATCAATACCCAGGGATTCAAATGAGGAACCCATTTCTAGGGTTTGTATCTCCATAACAACAGTATTTATATTAGTTGCCATGCTAATCTAATTAGATGAATTATTTGAATAAATGGAACGAATTCTCAACATTTTACAATAATTAATTATTGTAGAATGGCTTGTAACCATGAGATTACTTAAAAGAATGTAAACAATTTATATATGTAATCGCAGCAATATTAGACATTTAATTATATAATCAAATTTTCTTAATTGACAAATTAAAATTACTCTGTTTTAATTCCAGTTTTAATTTATTTCTCAAATACTACCTCAAACTTTTGGTAGTCGAATCATCATCCTCAAAATCGGATAACCCTTCTAAATTAACTCTTTTTTTATAAATGTTTTCTTAAACTTTTTCAAATAGTTCCTGATAGCCTTCTATAACGATTAAATTCATTATTGACTAGTCGTTTTGAATTATTAAGTCTATATAGCATATACTTATATACCCTTAAATTGATCCTTCTCGCTTTGAGTGATCGATTCTGCTTTCACTAATTATTGCAAAATGAAAAATAGTTTTGCATATGGAGAATCCAATTACTCAAATTTTGCCATTAAATATAAATATTATTAACTTAAATTGAATCAAGGAAACAATAAAAAATAGTATGTATCTAATAAGTGTTCCTAACATTTTCTACTACATAGACAAAACCACCATATTTATTACAAACTTAGACAATTCGAATTTAGTTGAAAGTCTTCATGAATGTGGAAATTTTTAAATTTTCAAATAACTGAAAAAGATGACTTTAAATTAAATTTAAAATAAATTACTCTATTCTTTATAATAATTAAATTGTGGAAAAAATAGAACTAGATTAGAGCTATTACAATAGCATTTGACCATAAGAAGCTTATGGGTAAATAAGTGAATTAGGCTGTTTATTAAATTTTTTTATTTGGAATAAGGTCCAATATTAGACTTTAAACTTAAATATAAAAACCTTTTTGAAATTTAGAATAAATTTGAAAAAATGAAAAATGTAAATAAGCAAGTGAAAAATTAGTTTTAATCGTTAATCGCAATAAAGCCAAGGAAGATGGGTATTTTCTTATTTTTATATAAAATTATAATTAATTGTATTATATTATGAGTGGATGTGGACAGTTCTCATGCTTTTAAGAATATGAAAATTAGGACATAGAATAACGAATTATTTCTGGTCGTATGTGACATACAGGGATAATGTCGACTAATGAAAAGTGATAAAAATAATGGATTGTGATAGATTGATTTAGATTAATGATTTAATACAATGGCAGGTAATATTTGAGCATGTATTATAAAAACTATTTACAGAGTAGAAATAATAATAATAAATGAGTTGCTCAGTTTGCGGATTGAACTTCTTAAGAAAAGATAAAGGTTGTCAATAGAAGGAATGCCAAAAATGTAAATTAAAATATCATAGATTTTGTTATGGGTATAATAATCTAGATGAAGAATGTGATCCTTGCTAAGATAATGTTTAGAAACCTATATGTTACATCTGTGGATAGGATGGATTGCTGAGGAGAGTTTCTGGGTATAATGGAATGTATGTACATGTACTGTGTGCTATTTTTGATCCTTGTATACAGGTGAGAGATTACCATACTATGTCATTTGGTTTATAAGAGTAGAGAGATAAAAAAACAAAGGAAAAGTGTTTGAATTGTGATAATCCTGGAGCATCAATAAAGTGTTTAGATTGTGATGCTTTTGCACATCCACATTGTATCATGAAAGAGAGAGTTTAAAAAGAGTTGGAGTTTATTGAAAATGAATAATGGATTTTAAATCTTAAGTTTCATGGCAATAATTAGGATCCAAACAGTATAGAAGTAGATTAATAGGAAATTAAAAATGAATTAGACGATATCTAAGATGCCTTTTCAATTGCAATAGATAATATTTTGTAAGTTCAATAAAAGAATGACAAATCAACAAGTCAATTGAAGGATGAAGTATTATTTAATTTAGAATAAACTTTTTAAAATTATTCATTACCTAAAAAATAAGAATAATTTTGGTTAGATAATGATAAAATCGAAAGTTATTGCTAATCTCATATGGAGAGTCATGTCATTTTTTGTATTTGTAGGAAGTCATTAAATAACTAGCAAATGGTGTAATGTGATCATTGTTATGAATGGTTTCATTTTGTGTGCATTAAAAGGAAACAAATCAAACAAGATTCCTATGTTTGTGAATCTTGTAAGAGATGGAGCAGCAGAAGATATAAAATTGATTTGGATGATCCTACCTTGTTGAGTTTAGAGGATTTAGAAGTTCCGAAAGAAATATTAAAAGTTCATCTATTGGATATCTTACCTTTATTATTATATATGGAGGCTATTATGAGGAGGTTGCCCAGACTATCATTGAATTAAGAGGACTATTAGAATCTGAAACGAATAAAATCCTTTTTAGCTTCTATGCCAATAAAACCATCTGCAGAAATTCAATTGGATAAAATATTATTGAAGCAGAAATTGCTGGAAGAACTGAAATAGTCAATGTTATCTATACTTCCAATTTAGTTAGAATTTAATGCATCCTTCTTTGATGAATTAATTATATAATTAAGAAACAAAGGGTATTCATTCGATAAAGAGGAAAGAAATGTCATAAAATCATTTAAATTGTCAAGAAAATAAATGAAATTAAAAATAGAAAAAGGGATTAGTGATGGTTTTTTGGTTGAAACAACATTAAGTCTCTTGAATGAGTGTGTAATTGATCCACATAAACTGTTTGTCCATCCTAATGAAACTCTATTATAATTAATTAATCGCTATATTGTATCATCAAATATTAAGAAGGAATTTAAATAACTCTTTGAAGGAGCGAAGTTTTAATGGGATGTTCCATTCATAGAGAGTTAATTAGAACTGACTGTTTATAAATAATATATCTTGATGAAAAATTAAAAAAGTAAGCCACTTGTGGACAAATTGATTGAATTAAAAAAGATGGCCAATAGAAGTAATATTACTATGGGATGTGTCAAATTAATAGAAAACCTAATATCTGAAAGCATTACTCTCGAAGATGTGAATATCTAAAATAACTTCTAATAAATTATAGAATTCCCTTTTAATAGTGATAAATTGTTAAATCAAATTTAATCTCATTTTGAAGCTCAATTGATCTAGGAATTTAGAACAGACTTGGAATCTAAAATAAATAGAAACTGCAGATTAACTGAAAGAGAGTATCAAGGACTTTATAGTTTTGAGAATATCTAAAGAGCAGCATAAGAATCGTCAGTGATTAAACAAGTCTTTGATTAATTGGTTGATATTCACAATAGATGTAAAAACTAAGAGAAAATAACAAATTAATTTTGTTAAGATATTATAGATTAGATGGATAAATGTTTATTGACAAGCGAGTATTTGGAGAATTATAAAAAAAACCTGAAGAAATTCAAAGAACTTGATCAAAAATTGAAGGAGATCTTAACGCTAAAGGAATTGGAAGATATAGAAATTGTATGTAACTCAAATGGATTCGAATTAGATATTTCAACTCGCAAGAAATAATTGATATAGGCAATTGAAATAGTTGAAAGTAACCCAAAGATTTTAGATAATTTGGATCAATATAGATATCTGAAATCTGGTGAACTTGAATAATATGTTAAGCAGAGTCAATAATAGTTAGAATTTATTCGACAATTATTTTATGTTGCTTATAAGCGACAAGATAGTATGTAGATAATGCTATAGAGAGTGAAGGAGATTCGAGATTTAGATTTTAGTAATGAACTTATTTCATAGGTGAAGATCCCAGAAGTAGTCTTTGATGAGATAGCATAAATTGTATTGAATTTTAGATAAATATAATGGAGATATGAATGTCAGAGATTATTGAATGAGTCTAATAATGTTGAAGCATAGAATGGAAAAAAGAAATACAATATTGTTTAAGTGATGAAATTATTGAATAGTGACAATTAGATACAAGATCATTACTACTTGAAGTAGATGCAAAAGATAAAATCTTAATATGAAATTTGGCTACAGTCTTTGAGAGAGTTTGAGTTCAAATTAGAGGGTTCAAAAGCTCCAGAGCAATATTTATTCATTTAAATAATAAACAATAATTATTATCATGAATCAAATGTGTAAAGTGGATTATGGTCATTCTATATTTAGATGCTTTGGATGTAAAAGGCTGAGGAATTCTTAGAATAAAAAGCAAATATTTTAAGCGTAAGAACTCTAATCAACAGTGCTCAAATTGCAAATATCAAACCAAATAATCAATTATTAATTAAATTAAAAGAAATTTTAAAGATTTATGATGATTTGAATTAGAAAATCAAAGATTATTAAGACTAAAGACTAATCTGGTTAAGAAATAAAGATTTGATTAACAATTTGCATACATATTAATAATACTTTACTTTTTTGGAGAATAAACCAGATGCTGAAATCATAAATGAATTATGGAATCAAGTTAAGTAATATCAAGGACTTAAATTCAAGGAGTTGGGAGATGATCTATAGGAAGTAAAATAAGTACTATTTCAGTATAATGAACTTGTACAGAAATAGCCTGATAATCATCTGTATATTTAATAGTTACTAAAAATACGATCATATTATTGTCATTGCTATTTGAAAATTCAAGGATTTAGTCTATAATTGATGTACAATCTGATCAAGTAACAATCCTTAAGATGTTTGAAGCAAAGAAGTTCGAATGATCAGATGTAAGAAAGACTGAATGAAGTTGAGCTGTTAGTTACTTTGGGAGGAGAGGAATGGCAATAAAAATTAGGGCAGATTAATAAACAGAGATAAAAGAATACAAATAGTGCAGATCTAAAATTTATAGATTATGTAAGATATATAAATTAATATTAAGAGTTTAAGGGATGATTTTGAATGGATAGGGTGGATGAAAGAAAACATGCAAAATGTGAATCAAAGTCTCAATTAAGAAAAATAAAATAAGAAACATTTGAAAGAAGAGAAAATTCAGAATAAAAAGGAACAGTCAACTAAAGTAGAGGATGCTTGGGGAGAATTGAGAAAAGCATCAAAAGAGAGAATCACAAGATTATTAGGCAAGTACAAAAATTGGAGATAGGTGAATGAATAATCGATACTCAACTTAGAAGCATAAATCTTTTTGGAAATAAATTAGGATAGAGAGAAATACTTAAAAGAGATTTAGAATGTTCAATAAATCATCAAATTAAATAAATAGAAAAAGTATTTATCACTATATATATTCTAGTTTATCATATGAAGAAATTAAGAAAGTAAAGGATCGCTCGACAAACAAGAACTCTCAGAGTTATTAATCAGCCATTATTGAGAAGAAAAAGAAATAATAATAATAGTCAATCAAAATAGTAGAAACAGCACCCCAATAAATTCCATAAATACTCTATGAGAAATCATTGTTACAGAACGAATCAGAAAAACAGAAAAAGTAAGATGTGTTATTCTAATAACATAAAAAATATGGTTAATCATTATAAAGCTCTGAAGCCTAGATTGAAATAACTAAAATCAAAGAGAAAAAATAATTGATGAATATAGGAGAAGTGAATCTATTATTGAAGAAGAGGCCTGATGAGAACAGAGAATCATGGTTAATACGACCATCATTGTTAACATATGATCATCAAAATGCTTAATTCTTTCCAAGACCAGAATTGATTACACTTACTTGTGAAACTTTTTCATCTGTTAGAACAGTTGTTGACTATTTTACTCAAAATAAGTCTAAATACAAAATGATAATAGGATGGGTTTATTCCAAAAACATAGCTGTGGCTGGAGACCTATTTAATCTAGCTGATAAATTGAAGAATTCCAAATAATGCATTGGCACTAAATAGGGAAATGTAGGATTGACCTTAATTTATTATAATTTCTTGAAGAAATTAAAACCTATTACTAAATGGATACTAATGAAGGATCAATTTGAGTAAGATTATATAATAATAATTTTAGAAATCAACAAATTATGAACAATTTATAAAATTATCATACTCTTAAGAAATTCCAAGATCGCCTCTGTTTTATTTATTACATTAAAGACTGCAAGGCACCTCTAAATACTATCATATCATAGCCTGTAGATTACATCGAAGTGATTGAGGACCCAAAACTCAGGAATATCATAGAGAACTACAGGGCTCTCAAAAAAATGCAAAAGGCATAAAATAAAAAAACAGACTCTGTATAAAATAAGCTTCTAGAACCAATTAATAAAGAGGAGAATAAAGATGATAATGTCTAATAGAATTCAGGTGTTCATACTATGCTTAAGGAAATTCCTGGTACTTAAAGCTTATAAAATTGATGATTTATAATATATATGTTAAGAAAGCTATTTTTTATGAGTATTTACTACTTTGGATGCAAATTCTTTATGCTTTCAATATAAAAAGTATTTCCAACATTAAAGTTAAATATGATATCTATAAGAGTCGTGCAGAGTTTAGAAAACAAAATATTTAGTGAGAGACATAAATTGTAATACTTATCGTAATTAATTTAGTCATAGCAAGCAGAGCATTTTAAATTTATTAAATAATCAGAATGGATAGTTAGAGATGGAATTTTAGAGGGATAAAATTATACATATATTTAGGATTTTATGTAAATCATTAATTTCCTCCATCTATATAGACTTAATGATTCATAAAAATCATTTTCAAGTATACTCTTAGTGCTTAAGAAAATGTAATTCCATTTGTAAGAGATTACTGAAGAGATAATTCAAGTGATTATCTAATATAATATTTAATAATTATTGTATTAATTAATTCACTAAGCCTCGTAATAGAACATTATATCATAATCTAAATAAGGTAGGATTTCATAACCATTGGTTAATAATTAATAACTTCCTAAGTTATGCCAATATTCAAGCAGCCAAATATTTATACCTATTGGAATTGGAAATGAGAAATGCTACTTTTAGAATAGGGAATGGTATCATGATTTATAAGGGATATTCTAATGATGATGCCTAAAACTAATAATAGCTTAAGAAATGATGATATTGACGAACCAAAAAATAGGCAATTTTGAGAATAAATTGAGTTAGCATTGAGAAAATTTTTATGAAATGTGTAGATTCTATAAAATTAATGGAGAATCACTATAAAGATTATTTACTATTACTTATAATGAATGGCAATTATTGTAGATAAAGCTAAATTCTCATGAATAATGTACAAATAATAATCCATGGAATTAGATGCAAATTCTTTTTTGACTAAAAATACTTACTAGAACTACATGAATTACCAAACAAAGAATGAAATAGTATCTTTAAGTTTGAAGTTTTTGAAGATTTATTAAATCCAAAAGCAAGTGTAAGTAATTTCAAGTATGGTAATACATTCACCTTTATTCCCTTCTTGATATCTAATAATGATACTACAAATTTATATTTGATGCAAAGATATAATAAGAATGATCATAAGATGAGTGAATTGAAAACATTTTTGAGCCAAAATTCTGAGACTATCAATAAAAGTGGATCAATAGCAAATTTCTTGATTTCCACTATGATATTCGTATGAAATGAAGAGGATGGAGTGAGAATTAAAAGGGAAATGGATAAAAAGAGGAGCCCATGTTAATACATTTGCAAATCCAGAATTGGTGTAGTTGTCAATTAGTAAGATAAAAGAATTATATTTGTGAATAATTATTTTCAGTTAGTGCTTTTAAATTTAAAATATAAAATATGGATTATGAAACTCTCTTTGTCATTCTACCCAAGGAACCAAAAAAATGGTCTCGGGAGGATGTGTCATTATGGCTTAAATTTGTTGGATTGTAGTCTCTGGAAAGCACTTTCAGTATATATTTATATTTAGGAGTAGCAAATAATTCAATCGATGGATCCTGTTTGGAATTAATAGAGGAAAACGACTTAATTGATGATTTAGGAATCAACAGTAAGATAGTTAGAAAAAAGTTGATGCATTGTAAATAAATATTTTAAGAAAGGGTTGAAAATTGGATTGAAAGAGTATGCTTAACATATAAAATCAGTTTTTATTGATGACAAGCGATGTGATAGGATGGAATAAGAAAACACTTCACTTGAAAATACAGAATCCGCACAAGCTCAATATGGATAAATTAATGTATAACATGATATGATGACTAATTACATTAAGAATAATGAAATGTTATCTCAATAGTTCTAACAACCATTATGTGAAATGTAAGGAGATGCATCATAACATAGTGAAAACAAGCCTTAGTTTTTAAAGAAATAATAAACCGGCAATTAATTAGACTAGGAAATAGAAAATTTAGAATCACAAGTGTAAAATGAACTCATTATTCAACCAACCGAAGGACCATAGACTAATTTCTATTGTATCAAAGAATCAGGAGGTAAAATAGGAAGGCACTCCAACAACTAGATTTTGATATTAGAAGAAAGCATAAGCAGATTTCACGCGGAAATTGTGTTTTAAAATAAAGATGTAAATAATTAATGTTGAATGGGATAGTTTTTCATAAAAGACATTGGATCAACAACTGGGACTTTCATCAAAGTAGAGAGCAAATTAGAATTGTAAGTTGGAATGATCATAGAGCTTGGAAGCAATCAATTTGAGATTTAGCAATTAAGTATGAATAATCAAATAGTTGAAGTAAGCTAATGTTTATCTTAATTTAGATTGTCATGTTGATAGTAGAGGGGTTGAATTCATCTGAAAAGCACATAATAGCTTTGAATCCTTAAAAGTGTGTTACAACTATAGGTAGAAAATAAACTGCAGATCTCACCTTCAGTGAAGATCATCATCTCTCAAATATACATGCCAAGATTTGCCTAATTGAGGGACGTGTCTATTTGGAAGATATGGGATCCACTAATGGGTATTTTAATTTATTTGATTAACAGTTCCTGGATTAGGTTGTCAAAAGAAGGATAGTTCTCATAGTTATATCCTTTAGAGAACCAAACAGTATTCAAGATTGGAACCACTTCTACTTATTAATGCAAAAGAAGTACTCAGGTGGTTGCAGATAAGAATAATGAGAATAGTTGTATAATTTGTATAGAAAATGATCGGGATGCTCTGTACATGCCCTGTAAACATAACACTGCCTGTCTCAAATGCAGCAAGAATTTGAAGGATTGTCCCATTTGCAGAACCAAAATCCAAGATGTTATTAGGATCTACAAAAACTGATATTCTTACATATATATAAATTATTTAAGTTAAATGGGACCTATCTGTACAAAAGATAAAACTAACAAGATTGCCATCAGAGGTAATGCAAAACCTGTGAATACACCAACTCCTAATGCTCCGCTAAAAACTACAAACACACACAAATATGTTGGTGAAGAGTTTCAATAAGAAATTGAAAAAAATGATCCAGCTTATTCTCAGAAACAAATTAAATGGAATCGATTCTATCAAAAGAAATACGAAGTTATAAATGATGAGACCTATTTTGCTTTGTTAAGACGGTCAACATCCATTGAGTAATTATAATAACAGACTAATGAAGATGATCAATGTAAAGAGCCAAAACTCAATTCCAACAAGCTTTTCTCTAAAAAAATAGTTATGTCGCTCGTTTAAACACTTGATGGCCCTTTTAAATTGACAAATCAAGATATTATGGATGCTTACCTAATAAAGGAAATCAATAACGAAGATTTTAAAAACATTCTTATGGATGGAGCCATCTCCAAATATAGATGGAATTTCTGGATGGCTTAAGTCTATAGGAACAAAGATTATGATCCCCTTCTTTATTCAAAGTTGAAAAATCAGACTCCTTCTCAGAAAGTCCTTGAAGACATTACCAAGGATGTTAATCGGACTTTTCCTTCACATGATCACTTCAAGGACTACAACTAAGGTCAATAACAATTGTTCTCAATTCTCAAGGCCTTATCCATTCTCAATGAAGACATTGGATATGTATAAGGAATGAATTATATAGTTGGATTCTCCTTGATTGTCAGTGGAGGCAAAGAAGAGGAAGTCTTTTGGTTAATACATTTCATCAACACTAATCCTCACTTTTTATGGTGGGAGATCTACAGAGTCAATTTTAATTACACCAAAGCCTTATGTTAGGTGTTTTTAAAAAATTTTAATGAATAACTACCAGCACTCTATCAACATTTTCAAGATGAAGGTATAAGTGATTAATAGTATATTTGGCAATGGATTTTAACTTAGTTTTTGTACACATTTCCAATAGATAGCGTGATTTTCTTTTGGGACTTTATTTTGGCCACTGATATATTTTCAATCATTAAACTGAGTATCGCCTTTCTCAATGAATTTGGACATTGCCTATACTAAAAAGATATTGGTTAAATCTCAGAATTCTTCACTGGCTTTATCAAAGATCAATTATCAATTGATGTTACTAGCATAATTAACAATGCAAAATCAATTGATGTAACTATGACTGATGACTAAAAACAATTCTTTAAAAATTACAAACCTTAATCATCTACTTGATATTACTTAATTCAATTATATATATATGTTAATAATATTATAAATATTTTATTCAGATACTTTAGAACTAATAGATATGGTTTTACACTATAAATAAAAGTAAATGAATAAATTGAATAATGAAAATTGCATTTCAAATTGTTGATGCATAAAATTGTACATCTTTATCATCATCTTGTTATAAGAATCTTGTCTTATTTTTGAATTCATTTTATGTTCTGTAATCTAATTTATCTTGGATGGCAGTAAATAATTTAAAAGCATTCAATCTAACATTAGGTACTCTGTCATTGATTGATTTGGAAGTGATGTCCTAGAAAATGATAACTGGTTCAAACTACCTTAAATAAATTAAGTAGATCATCAATAGAGAGTACATCTCTTAATTTAGTAATGCTATGCATAGCAGAAACTCTAAATATATAATTGGGTTATTCGAATTATTTTGAAATGCATCTTAGGATAAAGTCTCGAATTTTGTCGTAACCAAAATTTTCACAGATGGGCACTAAATTATCAATTGCTTGGTCTCTAATAGCTTAATAATGATTAAGAACTCCCTTGTCAAGATAAATCTCCTACAATTCTAGAAAACTATCATATCCTGCAACCTTTAAAAGTTTGGGTATTATGGACATCATCTCTAGTCTGAATCTCCATTGTTTTTCAGTAGCAAAGCAAGAAATAAGAGGAACCAAGTGTTTTTTAGAGTTATCAGGTCCTATGGTTTGAGATAATTGATCTAGATTATGAGCCAATTTGATTTTGATTTCTGCAACATCATCTTTAATTAGAGTAGATATTAGAGGAATGAAAGTTTGTATGACAACTTAGACTGGATACTATTTTGATATTTTGCAAATTTATTCAGCCAACGACATTCGTACATGTTAGGAGGTGTCAGTGGAGAGTGCTTAGAAGAAGGGTAAGAATTAGTCTTTCAATGTAATTGGTACCTCCTTCAATAGATTATAAATAGTCATCACAGTAATAGATCTGACTTCAGGCTCTGGATCCTTGAGTAATTACTGAAAGACAGGGACAGCTTTAGTTTTGAGTATACTCTTGTCCTTATCTAAATTATCGAGATGAAATGATTACTCAATTTGACAACTACTTCGATTATACTTTCTAAGCATTCTGGTACTGTGTATCTGACTCGCCAACTCTTCTCTCTAGGATCTGCTAATGAAAAATATGCTTGAAGATGAGTATCTAATTCATTATTGTCATCAATAAGTTTGAGCATCTATTGTGAACCTTCAATGGCCTTAATTTTAACACTGTCAACAGGATCTTTAAGTAAAGTCTCCCAAATTGTAAGTAATTATTAGGGTTAGCATTTAATTTTGGCTAGATCAGACAACACGCCAGCACATACTCTCCTCACCATCGGCGTGTCATCTCCGCATAATTGTTTATATAATTCCCAAAGTATGTTTTTCTTTTCAAATGAGACATGTTTATAAGTTAAAGGAAATAGACTGGCTGCAGAAATACGTGATGGGAAGTTGTCCCATTATCCCAATTGTTAGACAATCTAAAAGAAATGATTTTCAAAAAAGCCTTTTATTATTTTATTGAATTCTTACTGTCTGGCATATCCTCTGCTAACAATAACAATGATTCTACAGCTTTTTCCCTCACTAATGGCTCTTCCATCGAGCTCAGAATTTCTAAAGGGACATTTAAGAGGTGAGGATTAGTCCCTGTGTGAGGTTTCAGATTAACAAGTTCTTGGGCCAATTTAATTAGAAATTCATCCTCATTATCCTATTCTTCAATAATGTCTATTAAGTATGGAATGAGTTCAGAGCATGTTCTGACTGGACCCAGGATTTGTGCAATTGATACAATTTTTGTGACTGCATTGATTTTCAGGTTTGGATCATCACTTTTGAGTTCTTCAATAAAGATAGTGCAGTCTTCTTCCTCCATTTAAATAATTAATTAAATTACTTTTAATTATTTTCGTTAAATGAACAGATAAGAGAAATTAGAAATAGTGTCTGGATTACGTGCCATCTTGGAAGAAGTATCAAAACCTTATTAATTAAAGATGCTCAATTACAAAAATGAGAAATGTTTGCGAATTGAGTACTACAGCTGCAATGATTTAATACAGAGAATCACAAAGGCATTTAGAGAAATTATGAATAGCAACTAAGAATACAAGAAATTGGAATCCGTTTTGCAATAATAGGAAGCTGACATTCGAAATCACATTAGTGTAATTAGAATTTCTTAATCGATGACTAGTTGGAACAATAGATGAAGCTGTACTAGGATTAGTTGCAATCCAAATTAGACGAAGCATCTCAAGAAATCAAGAGATTGCAGTCAGAAATATCTCGATATAGTACTAATCTTGTATAATAGTGGTTATCAGAATCTTAGAAGAGGAAGGAGAAGAGTCAAGAGGCCTCTATGACGCAAAGGAATGTTTCACCAAAGAAACAAGAATCGTTGTCTTAGCATGGGTACTCCTCACATAGAAGTTCCTGTGATGAATTATTCAAGAGATATAATAAGTTACTCTAATAACAATAAGCCTAATTAAGCCAACGCTCGAACAATATCTAAATTAGTTAATACATGATGAAAGGAAGATAAACCTTAGCAGAAATTTGCAATATTCAATCCAGTAAACCTAGTAGAAGTTAGACAAAACATAGTAGTAGTGCAAAAAAAGGCAGTTAAAATAATTCAATTAGTTCTGAAACCATAAGAAATTTACTCAAAAATAAATGATTTAAATTAACTATCACTAAATCGTTTAATGAAGTTATATTTCTAAATTAGACCATAAATCTTTTTTATATAATCTATTATTGTTATTATAAATTACATACAATAAGATATTACTAATCTATCGTATTTAAAAAGAACCTTCTAATGTTATATGGATAACAATATTTAAATAATAAATTTGATAACAGCACTTATAGGGGTATCTCCAAAATGCCTTATGGGAGTGGATGATCAAAAATAAAGTCAAAATAAGAGGAAACCATAATCCTTGTATCCTATTATTTAAAATTTCTAATTTATGATAGTATTCTGATCACATAAAAGCAGTTAGGTTCAAGAGCTAAATAATCATATTGAGTAAGATAAAATGATCTTAAGGATAAAATAAATATTTTGGTTACTGATTGAATATAATTACAAAATAAAAGCACTAAAATTGGAACATTAACTTGAATGAGATTAATAATTTATCTATTTATGCTATTGATTTTAAACAACATTTTATTCAAATTTTTATTATTATTAGATTTCTGTAATATTTTAAAGGCATATTAATTACTAATAATGGGAAATATATTCTTTTTGAGTGTACCACTTGACCTTAAGAAATAATCAAATAGAATCTAGGATGAATGATACCAATCTTAAAAATACACAAAAATGTATTTAAAAGAATAATTAATTATGTAAATTAAAAACGATACTGAATATTCCATCCTAAACACTAATTTTCAGCTACCCTGTGGAGGATTACAAAGAATATTAAGGCCAAATTCCAATTATGAAATCAATATATGTGATTGGTTGAAGACAACCTAAAATCTAAAGTTATTTTTATTATATTATTTTCAAATACAAAGTATATAGTCATTTTCTTTTTTAAGGTATCACATATCTTTGAACCATGTCTGCATTTTTATATCCAGCTCTTACTTTAATATCTTTTCTCATAGTTCCATCGCTTCTCATTGTACCTTTTATTATCGTATGTTCTTATTTCTATAATTAATCGTCAATGTTAACTTAATCTTATACTTAGTATTTTTCTCCTTTATTTTATTCCTGAATAATTAATTTATTAGTGAGTGCTTCTTCTAACTATTTTTCAATAAATTAATCATTATTAAGGTCCTTAATATTGTTCTAATCATTTTATACATCTTTATTATTTTAATTTTGTTAGTCTTATTCTTATTATTATTTTTAATCATCATTTGTTTCTTTAACAATTGTATCCTTTGATTCGTCTTGATTACTCTATTATTCTATTTTCTACTCTTTTGTGTCTTCTTTTTTGTCATTTTCTTTGATTTCTATTCTTTCGAAATTATCTATTAATTCTTGTATTTCACTCATTAATTATTCTAATTATTATAATAAATATGTTGAATTTATTTATTAATTGCAATAAATTTTGAAATTACAAAATTAAAGATTAGTGGGTGAGCATCAAAATGGGAATAGAATTCTAAACCAATTAAATTTTTACTTTAGATAAATTTGAATAACGTTTCTATAAAATTAATACATTGAGAACCTTTATAATTATTTATTCCACTACACAGTATAATTAATTAACAATATCATATTTATCAATTATAGATACGAATTATTCATTATGTTTTAGGCAACAAAAAATTAAATCTAAATTGAATAATTTCCTTTATCCTGTCAGAATAAAGTTCACAGAGGAGGAGTTACACAAAGATTCCTCCTTACACAAAGAAATCCTTGATACTAAAAGTTTTTCAAAATGGGTTGAAGATTAAGCAATTATGAGTAATTCTAAATGTAGGCTAATAATTACAACTGAAGTATGCTACTGCCAAAACAACCATACTTAATTATAGTAAGAAAGTGGTAAGAAAAACACTTATATTNTACCACTTGACCTTAAGAAATAATCAAATAGAATCTAGGATGAATGATACCAATCTTAAAAATACACAAAAATGTATTTAAAAGAATAATTAATTATGTAAATTAAAAACGATACTGAATATTCCATCCTAAACACTAATTTTCAGCTACCCTGTGGAGGATTACAAAGAATATTAAGGCCAAATTCCAATTATGAAATCAATATATGTGATTGGTTGAAGACAACCTAAAATCTAAAGTTATTTTTATTATATTATTTTCAAATACAAAGTATATAGTCATTTTCTTTTTTAAGGTATCACATATCTTTGAACCATGTCTGCATTTTTATATCCAGCTCTTACTTTAATATCTTTTCTCATAGTTCCATCGCTTCTCATTGTACCTTTTATTATCGTATGTTCTTATTTCTATAATTAATCGTCAATGTTAACTTAATCTTATACTTAGTATTTTTCTCCTTTATTTTATTCCTGAATAATTAATTTATTAGTGAGTGCTTCTTCTAACTATTTTTCAATAAATTAATCATTATTAAGGTCCTTAATATTGTTCTAATCATTTTATACATCTTTATTATTTTAATTTTGTTAGTCTTATTCTTATTATTATTTTTAATCATCATTTGTTTCTTTAACAATTGTATCCTTTGATTCGTCTTGATTACTCTATTATTCTATTTTCTACTCTTTTGTGTCTTCTTTTTTGTCATTTTCTTTGATTTCTATTCTTTCGAAATTATCTATTAATTCTTGTATTTCACTCATTAATTATTCTAATTATTATAATAAATATGTTGAATTTATTTATTAATTGCAATAAATTTTGAAATTACAAAATTAAAGATTAGTGGGTGAGCATCAAAATGGGAATAGAATTCTAAACCAATTAAATTTTTACTTTAGATAAATTTGAATAACGTTTCTATAAAATTAATACATTGAGAACCTTTATAATTATTTATTCCACTACACAGTATAATTAATTAACAATATCATATTTATCAATTATAGATACGAATTATTCATTATGTTTTAGGCAACAAAAAATTAAATCTAAATTGAATAATTTCCTTTATCCTGTCAGAATAAAGTTCACAGAGGAGGAGTTACACAAAGATTCCTCCTTACACAAAGAAATCCTTGATACTAAAAGTTTTTCAAAATGGGTTGAAGATTAAGCAATTATGAGTAATTCTAAATGTAGGCTAATAATTACAACTGAAGTATGCTACTGCCAAAACAACCATACTTAATTATAGTAAGAAAGTGGTAAGAAAAACACTTATATTTAAATCCAAGAAACCTAGTTTAATTCTTCCTTTAGACAATATCAATAATAAAAGAGATATTATTGTTGTCTCTTTGGTGGCTGGAAAACTCTAAAATTCATAATGAATAATTGAATTTTAAATGAAATTCTTATTCACCTTATTAAAATTAATTTTTTATGGTGATCTTTGCAATCAAAAGTTTTTATGTTTCTCGTATTTATTATAAAATCTTTTAATATTTCAAAGGCAGCCAATTATAATTTCTTTCATTGAAGAAAAAATAAAAATACTGTTAATTATTGTAAACAATTAAAGAAAATATAAAATCTGTAAATACGTTAGATTGTTGTCAATATTAATATTATGACAATTGCCAACCTCCATTCAATTTATTTAGAATAGAAATTCTTGCAAGAATATTTAAAATAAAAATAAGAGCAAATTCTGGTCTAAGACGAAAACTAAAAATTTGCCAATTTGCTGAATAAATAATGTTGCTATTATGATATCATCCCATATTGATAACAAATTTATTATTTTTTAATATAAATTCATAAAATATATATTTGGTTTACGATTGGACTTATCAATATATATAAAATTTGACCATTTCACAAAAATTAAAAAATATATGTAAAAATATAAAAATTTAACATTAGTAATTTATTTACTTATTTAATACTATTTATAATAAGCAAAACATAAATACTATATTTTGAAAGTAGTTGTCTGCACTAGAATAAAAATTCAATATTTAAAAAGATTCAATCAATAATAACTTGTCCCAAATACAGAATCAAAAGACTTCCTTGTTTCCAAAATAAAAAGTAATATCATAGAAGTTTTGGAAGAATCCTTTGGGCTTCTATCATTAATTAGAAAGCATAAGATCAAAATGATAGTTTATGTATAGAAACTATGAACAATGGATGCTTTATCCGAAATATTTAGAAAAAAGAAATGCATTAAAAGAATTAATATCATTAAGAAGTGAAATATGACTACGGATCTATTTTTTGGAATTTATTATGAGATAATTTTGAGAACAATTTTTTAAATCTATATGGAAGTCTTTGATTACTAATTTAATGTTGATTTGTTAATTTAATTAATTATGTAAAGCAAATTTATACTTGATAAAGAATTGACAGAAACTCAAATGGCAGTTTTTCTATCTAAAATATAATTTTTGAAGAATTCTTATAAAAAATAATAAAATTAGAAGTAATTGTCTTTTAAAATATTCAAGTTTAATATTATAAAATGGAATGTAAAAATATTAGAACTGTTTTTTCCTAAATATAAATTTATATTTTCTAGAAATATCTTTATTTGATTTTTATGAAAAATAACAATTATTAAGAAAGAAAGGAAAATTAATTTAAAATTGCTCATGCTAAATAAGTAGATTGAATCAAAAATTAAATTTTTAGAAAATTAGGTTATGAAGAATTTTGATCTGAACCTAAATAATTGTTTATATCAACCTTGACCTTTTTCAAGTAGATTTCAAATTAAATCAATTCTATGGATATTTTTAATTTAATCTTAATTCCATTTGCAAATTGAATTAAATTAATTAATTATTAATGATTCTTAGAATGCTCTCAATAGCTCCTAATCATCAATATAAATATTCAGACAACACTGAAAATACTTATTTTGATTTTTGATTTAATTAATTAAATTCGATAAAATTGTAACATCAAAAACTAAAATAATCAACAATTTTTGTTTTATTTGACTAATTTGCTAACCTCTTCAATCCAAACTTAAGCAATTTTATCAGGTTGCATTGAAGTTTTTAATTAAGCAGAACCAAGGTTTATTTTAAAAAACTCTACAACTTTGGCTAATGTAGTTGGATTTTATTCCTCAGAACAAGCAATTAACTCTATTTTTTATCGTTTTTCAATTGGAAGTTGATTAAATTTATCCATAGCTTATTTAGGATAAGAATCACCTCCATCAGTGTAAAAGAATATTGAATGGCTAATATAGATTGATACTCTTACGCTTAGAATTTATTAAAATCTGGATTGGAAGAAATCTTATCATAAGCAAGCAAAAATGCATCATCAAAATTAGTTCCTCCGCCTGAAAATACTATTTAAGTTTATTAAGCTTGAGCATTAGGAACTTGGTAATCAACAACACATCTAGATCTACTGTTGAACATGATAATGGTAACTCTTAAATTAGGATTCTTTTGAATTTCATAAAGAAAAGCCACCAAACCTTATTTAGCAGATTCAAAAGGTCTTCCACTCATTGAACAAGAGTCATCTAACATAAGTACATAATGAGTTAAAATTGAATTTCCCTAATTTGCTCCTAATTTTACCTCCTACTTTGGAACATATAATATATCTCTTTTTAATTCTTCTGTTAATCTTTTACAAATCATTTGTCCAATATTTTGATTCCAAATCTTCATGAATTTCTCTTTCAATTATTTTTACTCATCCTTTAAAAAGCAAGAAAATATCCAATTATTATAGGTCTATTTGATTTCTTTCCATTATTTTATGTTTTATGTTTCCAATTCCTTAATTTAAAAATCATCTTATATTTCTTCACAAGTATATAAAGAAGGGTAACATCCAATTAAAACTCCACACATGCCTACAGTATTAATAATTTATAAATACCTCTTAATTAATGACCATTTTTACATTAATGTTTATGGTTGCTATCATCAATTTCTTCATCACATTTTCTTTTACAAATTGGACAGAATTCTAAACATCCAATTTATTTCAGTTACAATGCATCTAGATCAGCTTAAACATTAAGTTTTTCAAATTCAATTTGTAATGCATCTATACCTGAAATTCCATCCTTAATCTTTTTTTCAAAGGCTGAAACAAAATCTAGTAATATTTATATTTCCGCATCTGATTTTTAAATTGCCACACACAAAGGATAATCGAAAATATGAAAATCTTAGGTTTAAAATGCATCTCTTTTATCTTCCTTTATTAGTTCAAGTAAGCTCTTTTCAACTTATCCTTAAAGACAACTTAAAACTATTTTATATAATAGCTGCGGAGCTTCATCAGGATTGGGCAACTTTTTAAAGTAGTCTTATGCTTGTAAACTATCAAAAACAAAATCATGTAAATTTTTTGTATTAGTGCTTACTTTTTAAAGATGAGACTTCAAATCTTTTTTTAGTTGATTTGTTAATTTTGTAGAGATTTCTTATTTAATGGTTGAAATTTTTTCTTTAACATATTTTTCTATATATTTAGATTGATTTCTCATATATTCCATAATTTAATCATCTGTAATATTTTTATCACCTCTTTCGAGAATATCTTTGTCAAGCTTCTTCATTATATCGAAACTTGATTCTTGATTATAAATGGCTATAATTTTATTCGCTTCTTCACAGTATTTCTTATAAAATCTTTAAATCACTTAATTGATGATTTCTTATGCTTAGGTTTACCCTCGAATTTTACTTTATTCTTTCTTATACTATTAAATATCAGCCTTAAATTTAATATATTATTCATCAGTCTAATCTCTTAATTCTTTGATATTACTTTCTGTTGATTGATATTATCCAAAACATAATATCCTCCAAATTGTGAAAATTGCAAAATAATATAGACATCTTTCACCTATGTCATTTAAAATCACACCAAAATCAGAAAATTGCATATTGAATTCTTTAATTTTAACTTCAATTTTTTGCATTATTCTTTTAATTAAATTAAAAATATTTTGATTGACTTTGGTATTCTCATTTTCTACAACATTATTTTTTTTATCAATATTTTCATCTAATATCATTTTATGAACTTCTCCATACATTTTATTCCAGCCTTCATTATAATTTTAATTCATTAACTATTAAACAGCCTTTACAACATAATTCTTAAATTGATTATATTTATGTTATTAGTATTATGGATTTAAGATATATTCAAAAATATCTTTTACTATTTCTTACCTATACGTTTAGTTTACCTAAGATTTTGTAGAAGATGAGAAATTTGAGTTTGGCAAAGATTGACTTTTAACCTATGTCGTTGCTATTATTTAGCTACTTTTTGATGCATTTAATGAGGTATTGTAAAGGTCAATATCTAAAGTCTCAAAGTTTCCATTAAAAATGATTTGTTTTTATATTTGTATTAAATAACAATCGCCTTGATCGTACTATTTAAGTAAGTTGTCTAAATTGTCAGATAAAGAGATTATTTATTCCTTTTTTTACAATAGTATTGTCAAGTTTTTACAATGCTTATTTATGAACTAAATTGATAATTAGTATTATATGTCATTGTAAAATTCTCTTTAATTAAGTATGAAGCATTAACAAAGCTTTTTTGATAAGTCTGACCTAAACCAGGAATCTAAGACGCTATATATTGTATCAATCTATTTATCATCCATTGTATAACCGAAAATAGTGAATTAATCTAAAAAGAATTTGATGGCTTACCTTTCATATCTCTTAGTCTCTTAATGATATTATATTAGATCGTCCTTCAAACCTGTTTTTATATAATTCTCAAAAATATTTTTTGTAATCCATTTTATTTCAATTTTTTAAGAGTAGAATTTATTAATTTATAAGATGTATTGATCATTAATTTTATCTAGCTTTTTAGGAATGGTTTAACAAAATTTTTCATAAAATTGATAGTTTTTAATAGATTTTTCAACTACCATAAATTGTTAATGTTGTAATTCTGGATTTAAAATCGCGAGTGATATTAAAAAGTCGTTATCTTGAGGTGGATTTTTTATTAATTGTTTATGATACTCTTATTTATATTGAGGTTCATTATTTGTTTTCAATCTATATTCTTAAAACTCTTATTAGATTGCTTGAAGCAGTTAATCACAATAATCTTTAAAAATTTCTTCTTATTACTGGATATGATGATTTAGGATATAATCCCAGATTTCATTAAACTTATTTTATATTTTGTTTTCATCTTTCTTATATTCTTGAAATTCCTCCTCCTTTTTGAGTAAACTTTAGATAAATAAATCAAATTAAAAAAACCCTTTTTTCTTTTATAAATTAGTTTCCTAAGTTTTAATTTCAGAATATATTGCCAAATTGCATGCAGATACTTCGCTATTAATTCTATCATTGGTCATATTCAAATATTTGGTAAAAATCTTTTTTGAAATTTTTTTATCATTTTTAATGGCTGTCAATCTCTCGATGACTGCATTCTTTATCTAATCAAATTCACCTTTCATATTTGTTAATTATTATCTTTCTATTGTGCTTAATGCTTCAAGAGATAACTTGTAATTTTATTATTAAATACTCTCTTGGATTATTTTGATAAAATCATTTTATTTAGGAAACATTTAAACATCAATGATGTCAGTAAACTATTGTTTCATAAATTGGTTTTGTTAATGTTGTATTAATTCAGAAAATTCTAGTAAATCTGGCAGACTTTCTATACTTCTCCAAGTTGTTTCAATTTTTTATATAAATTATTTCAAATTTTCCATTTATTTTCCTTGTCCTTTTTAATCATCTCCTTCTCCAAATTTATCAATATATGCTCCTATTACTTTAATTCCATATTCATATGCTTCTTCTGATTATGTACCATTAAGAATTAATTACCTCCAATTTTCATAAACTCCATCACTTTGATTCTATTTCCATAACTTTTCTGTGGATGCAAATCCTAAAATTTTGATATTACCTTATGTGATCCCAAGAATTTAATTATAATCAATAGGTTCATCTTCATCTTTTTGATTGCCAAGTTCTGTACTCAAACTAGTGGCAATCTTTTATAATTATGCTAAAAACGGTGCATAATTATTGGCATCATTATTTTAATTGAAACACCAAGTAATTTATTTTGAACTTGTAAAACTTTTCATTTATCCTAATATAAATATACACATTTCAAGCAATGATCTAAACTCTCTGGTTATATCGCCTTTGACATTCACTAGAATGATGTCACTAATCGACAAAATAAACAGTGCTATTTTTTTATCAAACTCTTAATCATCTTAATTTGGACTCTAAAGTCCTTCAGTATCTAATATAATAATGGAATCAAATTAATTATTAAACAATGCTTTATTATGTATTTTTAACAATTAGAAATATATTCCTTTTGTACATCTTCCAACACTGGTCCAAAAATTGCAGCCAAATATTTTATTTAAAATTGTCGATTTACCCGAACTTTTTGGTCCTAAAACGCTTAATACTAAAATCTTTTCCTATCCTTATTCTTTAAAATAAGAAATAAGTTTCATTAAAAATGCTTAATCAATTCTTAATAAATCTCCATCCAAAAATTCATACGGTTCTCCTTTAGAAATCATTTTCTTAACAATTTTTGCAGGATCAATATCAATTTATGAATCAGGACATTATTCAATTTATGCTATGATTTCTCTCCAAAATAATTCAATTCCAATACTTCTCTTTGATATGATGTCAGAATTCTTTTTTAATTCGAGTACTTTTTAATTAATTTCATTTTACTTCTTATCTGTTTATTCTATTTAATCACTTTTCATATCCTTTGATTTCATAACATCCCTATCCTTTTTTAGTTGTTGAATTTCTTCATTTAAATTTTAATTTTTTGCCTATAATTCAAAAGTGTTTTTTTCATTAAATTTTCTAATTTTATCCACAAAATGAAGATATAGAATATAGTTATTAGGTGATTTTAACAAGCTACAGAATTTAGAAATTAAATTCGTTTGTTACTATAATCTTATTTAAGATTATAAATGATTAATATTTTAATTAACTTGCTGTAATTTTGCATACTTATTTTAATCCTTACTCTATTCAATCCTAACATATGCATCTTTCTCTTATTTAATTTACCAATCAATACTTCGTAATGGAAAAGCTTTCTAATTGTAAAAACCCTATTCATGCTTCATTTAATGATCTAATTCTGTTTCAATCTCTTAAAATAATTCTTATGCCAACTTCATTTCCTTGATTTATTCCAAATCTTGCTATTTCATCTAACAAATAAGATTAAAATATTGATCTTAATTTATAGTGAAGTTTTTTCTATTTTGATTAATTATATCATACAAAAATTTAGATACTTATTCGATTTCATCATCTTTCATTTATTTATTTAAATCTTTATCTGATAAATCCATTATTTATTTAAATTATATATTTAATGACTATAATAATTGTTTTTAGTTGCCATCCAAATCTTAAATTGAATTTCTAATCAAAAAGCAAACTATTTTTTCTTAAATTTAAAAAGATTATAATTTTTATAAATTTTAGACAGTCATCTCAATTTCTTTTTCAGTATCTAATTAAATAATCCATAATTTAAACATTGGTAAGATATCATCTAAAATTTCAAAAGGGATAAAATTATGAGCATCGGCTACTGAGAGATTTCTTGAGCCTCTAAATTCAAAATCGTACATAATATCAATTGTTTAATTATTTAATTAATTACTGTCTTAAATTTCAAATTTATTTTATTAAAAAAAGATTTTATTGATTAATTTAGTTTTACCTATTCTTTTTTGTTTTTCATCTAAACTCAAATTGATTATTGGAATGTTATCTTAGAAAACATAGAATGTATTGATATTAAAGGTTAATTTTTCTAACTCCACAGCTTCCGCATTATAAAAAGTTCGATATAGTAATGGTATTGGATATTATTTACTGATTAGTTTAAGAAGCATCACTTTTAATTCATTATTAGCATTATTATAGAATATTTAAAACATGGCCTTTTAGTTAAAATAACTAAATTTTTATTGCAATTCTTTTTAACTTTTTATTTGTTAGTTAATAATTGATAAGAATGTTTTAGATGATTCTCCTCTTTTTATGATGTTAAAAAAGAATGGTATTAATTTTTTAAAATTGTTAGAATCCTTTGCTTCTTTAATCCAATTATTTACTAAATTTTATTGCTCCTCTTTGCTTAATAAAGTCAAAGAAATATTAAATTCTTCTAAGGTAATATCTAAACATCTTGGATACATGTCACATTTAATTAATTATTCCAATTTTTCAGGAGCCAAATATTCATTTCCAAAATAATTGATTTTTACAAATATCAACTTATATTGATTTGCATCAATCCTATAAAATTATTCTGCATTTTTTTTCAGTTCTTATTATTATCTTTATTTCCAAAAATAAACCAATTTATAAATATTTTTTAGTTATTCTAAATTAACTTTATCATTTTATAATTCAAAAAAGAAATCCAAAGAGTAAATAAGATTACGGTCTAATACATTTTCTAGATTGGACTTAAAATTTTATAATTCTTCTTCATTAATTGAGTTTACTAGTTAAAATAATGTTTCTACAGTGTTCAGATAATCATTTAATGAAATTGAGTTTTATTTATTGACACTTATTAACTAATGAATTTACTCATCATTTAAAAAAGAAAATAAGTAAGTAAAAAATTGAGTTTACTCATTCATTTATTGAACTGGTTGATTTTAATAGCAGAGTTTTCTTAAGAATTATAATATATATCCTTATAATTACTACTTAGTTTCGAAATATTATTATATTAAAAAATTAACAATTTTTTGTTGAATTTTATGTTATTTGATAAATTGCCAATCGTCATCTGAAAAATCTTTGAGTAATAGAATGGATTTATCCATTTCGATGTTTTAAAAATATTTCGATATTTTTTGAGAAATTTTCTTTTCTGTTATTTTTCTATTTTCCAGAATAGTTTATTTAAGAAATAAAAAAATAGTAAAATCGTAGTTTTTAATTTCTATTATTATCCTAAAAATAACTTCCAATATTTAAATTGGAAAAGTTTTGATTTAGCTTGACAATTCTTCAACTTAAATTATTTTTGTGGGTTTTGTAAATGTTTTCAGAAAACAAGCTACTTTTCGTTTGTCTTAAACAGGTATTTCAGTAAGCAAATTGAAAATTTTTGCCATTTAATCATTTTACTAACTTAAATGGAAAACATGCAACTTTTTATTGAGATAATGAAAATCATATTCAATTATTATTTAGAGCATCTCATCGAGTGACTAACTGATCAATGTTTTCCATTCATCCTTAATTTATAATTATTCATTAGAATATTATTAAAAACTGTTAATTTAAATTTGATTAAATTGCTCTAAACTACTTTATTTTTTTTATTCAATATATATATTTAACTATTTATATCTTTCATCCTTATTTGAAGTAATCATATATTTTTCATAATATTAATTGAAATTTGCCATGCAATAAAAGCATATCTAATAAAAAATAACTTAAAGTTCAAAAGTTATTGGTAGATTCTTTTAGATTAGAGTATCAATTTCTTCAAACTTTAAAATTTAATCTTTTTTATCCAACATTTTTCCTAATACATACGACATTTAATTCTTTAACATCTATAAATCAGGTTATACTAATAATTAAGGAATTTCGGAAAGTATTTTTAATATATTTTCATTAGATTCTTGAAATTATAATTATTAAATATGATACTCAAATTACATCCAACATTCACATGTGATTTCCCCCAACAATTGATATAAATCGTCCTTTTCTTTACTGCTTATTTATAGTTCTTCAGGAATATAGAAAAAGAAAACTAAATTACTCAATGTTGTTGAATTCAGTTGAAATGAAGAATTTTTACATTATTCTATTATATCAAGAAGTTTGAAACTATGATTTTTCAGTTTTTCAATTATGTGTTTGTATTAATGAAGTAAGGTGGGAATTTAGAAGTTTTCTTTAAAATCTTTTTATTCAATTAGTTCCATTAATTATTGAAAATCTTCATCTTATCGAATTAGATTTAATTTCTCATTTTATTCATAAGCTATCTGATTCTTTTTTAATCCATAGTCATTTAAATAATTGGGCTTCTTTAATATATTGTCCTCTCCATCTAACTCTTTTCTCATTTAAACAAGTGCAGTATTATTTGAAAAGTACTGCGTTAAATACTTAATGGCCAATTACTTGTCATTATTATTTAATTTATTGAGAAAACATTGAATTATTTGAGTAAGTATGGGAGTGGAAGGGATTCTAAAATTCTATCTCTCTCTATCATTTACAATAGCAAACATTTCGCATGTGTTGATGTAATCTGATAAATATAAAGTTTCAGACATCAGGGATAACAATATTATAGGTTATATTAAGTGACTTAGTTGAGAAGATAATGAATTCTATAAAATTAATTTTAATAGAAAATAAATCTTTAGCTTTAATATTGGTATATACCTTTCTTTTTTTTCTTTGAATTTATCTATGCTCTTAATTTGTATTATTTCAATTTACACAAAATTCAAAAGAATTCTTAATTTCTTTATGATTTTTTATTGCATAATCATTTGAATATTTTCATAAGAATCATGTAGATTTTAAACTGATGCTATCTTTAAGTTGATTAATTTAGTTTTACTGTAATTCTTCATCTTAATCAGATTCTGTGAACGCATTCATCAGAGGAATTCCAACTTATGTTAAATTATTAATCTATTTTTCAAGATTGTCAAAGCTGAATTAAATTCTATAACATCTGAAAAAGCCATTGCCATTCTCGATATCAATTGAGCAAACATAATATTAAAATATTAATTATATTTAATAGATATAGAAAATGTCATTTGATTTAAAAGAAATAATTGTACCTTATTTTTATTTGTAATTTCAACTACATATATACATTTAAAGACCCCAAATAATTAATCTAAATTTAAACTTACTGGATGGAATTGCTAAAATACAAACAAAAATTTTACTTTTTTTTTAATTAACAAAAAGAAAATACTATTGATTACCAGTTATAAATTTAGAAAGGAAGTGAGACTATTAGATTGCTTTTACTTTATTGACTGCAAAAGTGAAATTAGGTTTAATAAAATTATCAAAATATATTAAGGATGTGTTTTGAAAATTCTAGGAATATTTTACTATGATAAAGAATTAATAATGGATGTTTTAGAATTTCATTGTTTATATAGAGAGAATATTATTATTTGAAATTGTGATTGTATTTAGCATAAAAGTTCAAAAATTACTAATTCTTACTTGTTATACTTTGACATACAATATTACATTTAGGGAAATCTAGGGCAATTATTAGTTTATATTACTAGAGATTTTATGGCATTTTATTTTTTAATAAAAATAAACAAATGTCATCGATATTCAAAGAAGTGTCTTTAAAATAAGTGATTGCTGATAAAAGTTAAGTAAGAATACTATTGACATAGAAAATTCAGACACTGGTTACAATGTTGAAAGATATCTAAACGGAGGAGGAGGAAATTATGAGATAATTCAATAAAATGACAAAAGAAGCAAGATCAATAGAGGAATTATATGAGATAATGGAAATGATTAATTATGAAATGAGTGTTCGAAATAACGATAAATTGGAGATAATGGATGAAATTAATCACCAAGAGGAGTATCTGTAATTAATTCGATTTTATAACAGATTGTAACAATAAGGCAATCTTGAAGGCTAAGTGAGGAATGCTTTGAAAGAATTGGAAACATCACAAAAATTTTAAAAGACACGATCTTTGAGATAGACTGGAAGATTTCTATAATTCAAAGAGAATAATCATAATTTGAATATGGAAAATAATAACATCCAATCTAATATTATANTAATTTGTATTATTTCAATTTACACAAAATTCAAAAGAATTCTTAATTTCTTTATGATTTTTTATTGCATAATCATTTGAATATTTTCATAAGAATCATGTAGATTTTAAACTGATGCTATCTTTAAGTTGATTAATTTAGTTTTACTGTAATTCTTCATCTTAATCAGATTCTGTGAACGCATTCATCAGAGGAATTCCAACTTATGTTAAATTATTAATCTATTTTTCAAGATTGTCAAAGCTGAATTAAATTCTATAACATCTGAAAAAGCCATTGCCATTCTCGATATCAATTGAGCAAACATAATATTAAAATATTAATTATATTTAATAGATATAGAAAATGTCATTTGATTTAAAAGAAATAATTGTACCTTATTTTTATTTGTAATTTCAACTACATATATACATTTAAAGACCCCAAATAATTAATCTAAATTTAAACTTACTGGATGGAATTGCTAAAATACAAACAAAAATTTTACTTTTTTTTTAATTAACAAAAAGAAAATACTATTGATTACCAGTTATAAATTTAGAAAGGAAGTGAGACTATTAGATTGCTTTTACTTTATTGACTGCAAAAGTGAAATTAGGTTTAATAAAATTATCAAAATATATTAAGGATGTGTTTTGAAAATTCTAGGAATATTTTACTATGATAAAGAATTAATAATGGATGTTTTAGAATTTCATTGTTTATATAGAGAGAATATTATTATTTGAAATTGTGATTGTATTTAGCATAAAAGTTCAAAAATTACTAATTCTTACTTGTTATACTTTGACATACAATATTACATTTAGGGAAATCTAGGGCAATTATTAGTTTATATTACTAGAGATTTTATGGCATTTTATTTTTTAATAAAAATAAACAAATGTCATCGATATTCAAAGAAGTGTCTTTAAAATAAGTGATTGCTGATAAAAGTTAAGTAAGAATACTATTGACATAGAAAATTCAGACACTGGTTACAATGTTGAAAGATATCTAAACGGAGGAGGAGGAAATTATGAGATAATTCAATAAAATGACAAAAGAAGCAAGATCAATAGAGGAATTATATGAGATAATGGAAATGATTAATTATGAAATGAGTGTTCGAAATAACGATAAATTGGAGATAATGGATGAAATTAATCACCAAGAGGAGTATCTGTAATTAATTCGATTTTATAACAGATTGTAACAATAAGGCAATCTTGAAGGCTAAGTGAGGAATGCTTTGAAAGAATTGGAAACATCACAAAAATTTTAAAAGACACGATCTTTGAGATAGACTGGAAGATTTCTATAATTCAAAGAGAATAATCATAATTTGAATATGGAAAATAATAACATCCAATCTAATATTATAACAAGTTATGATTTTGAAGAGTAATCAAAATTGTACGATAAAATCTAAGATAATATCTTTAATGATCCAATAAAATATAATACTCAAGATGGTATAGATGAGACTTAAGTATATGATTGGATATTGGATATTGATTTGATAAACAATGTCTAATTGGGTTGGCCTGTCTATATCAGTAAGCCATTCCAGGCAAAAATGGAGTTAGTGGGTTTAGGGAATAACAATAATGAAATTAAGTCTTCAATTAAATGGGAGGGTGCAACCGTGGCTGTTGTCGGTCTTTATGATAAAGGGAAGACATTTGTACTTAATAATCTAACTCAATCAAATTTACCATCAGGGAAGAAAGTAACTACTAAAGGGATATCTTTCAAACATGTTGATGTCGATTCAGGAACTTAGTTAATATTAGTTGATACAGCAGGTAGTTACTCTCCTGTAAAAATTTAATCTGCTTTAAGTATTGTAGAGAAGGAGGCAACAGAGCATTTTATTATAGATCTTGTATTTGAATTGAGTGATTACTTCATTTGTGTTGTAAATGACTTCACTTCTTTAGATCAAAGATATTTAGATAGATTGTCTAGACAAATATAGAATAGTTCAAAGACATTTAGAGAAATCATAGTAGTTCATAATTTGAAGGAAATTGAGACATCTGAAATCTTACAACATGTTTGGATAACTCAAGTGACTTAAATTTATTCTACAGGTGGATCTATTTAAAGAACCAAGGTTGCAGCCAATAATCCAAGGAATAATGAGTTATAAGCTAAACATGTATTATGGTTCAAAACCTAATATACAAGACATGTCTGTTTGGTTAGTGATGATAGTTAATTAGGATTAGATGTAAATCCTTGGGTATTTTCATTATTGAAATATTGGTTAAAATCAGTATTTGTACCTGTTAACAGATCATTTTCTGTTTGTGAAAGTATCTTGTAATATGCAACCAGCAAATTAACATAGTATTTTAAGCGGGAAGTTAATGTGAAGTTGATTGACACAGATAACTAATTCGTAAAGAAGATCGTGCAAAAGGAGGCCGACTTATAAAATGGACAATTAAAAATACCTTAAACTAATATTGATCAATCTGGTTTGATATTAGCAAGACCAGATTCATTCGCTCCTGCCACAGATATCATAGCTAATGATAAATATACTATTTATATGGATGTACCAGGAATAAGCGAAGAAGATATCGAAATGTATAGATAAAATGTTGTGACTATAGTTAAAGGAAACCGAAAGAAACCCTATTAGGAAGAATAAAGTGATCATATCAAAAAGCAGGAGAGAAAATACGGTGAATTTACATTAAGTTTTAGGATTCCAGAAAATTTCGAACGCAAATGGAAACATTTTGGAATAGAAAATGGAGTTTTGAAAATAGTATATGAGAAAGACAAGGATGATATCATTCCTAATTAATTTATGAGTTAAAATGAATGAATTAATTTAATTTCTTTTATTATATATATTTATATAAATCTATTAACTAATTACAATATAAATTGTTAATTACTCAATATGATATAAGTAAACAATTATGAAATGCAATTAATTCACAAATATAAGACTACGCAAGTAATGTCATCTCTGGCTAAACTATTTCTTTTCCATGCATCCACTGCAAAATTTAGTAATTTTTATGCTGCCAATTCAGCACTTATATTTTTATCATAACATTAACTCAAAATTGAAACTACTTCTTAAGAAGACATGTATTCCCAAATCCCATCTGAAGCAAATACCAATATTTTGTCCTCATTTGTTAATTCATACTCTGTGATCTCAGGTGTTGCTATCACACCTGCCTATGCACCCAATCTATCTCCCATTGCTCTAGTCATAGCTAATCCTGGTGCATTCAATGTTTTTAGCCAAACTCGAAGTGGACCCACTTAATTACCATAAATGTCTTATTGAGCAGCTATACGTCCACCAGCCTTTAATATTCTTATTGCCTCATCCTCTCGAGATGGTTTTTAATCCTTTGTTAATTCAAAGGTTTACCAACTATTACCCATTAACTTTGCTAAAACACATCTACTATCCCCTACATTTGCTATGTATAATCTATTTAATTTTATCAAACCACAACACAATGTTGAACCTGCTATGACAGTTTCAATTTTTGAATTATTGACCAATTCATTATTTGTCTATAAAACACCTTTTATCAAAGTCTCTTTTGGATCTAAAAGACTTTGTTCAATATATTTTGGTAGAGTAATCCGAATAAACCCAGAAACACGTTCACCATTCACTCCATGTCCATCAGCCACTCCATAAAAGTTAAGTCTCTTCTCTACAATGAAAGCATCCTAATTTATCTTCTACTTCCCACTCATCAACTAGCCAGGCAAACTCATCACTCCAAAATTTGTTGATTATTCCTTCCGACCAACTTTCCAAGACTGTCTGAATAAGATTACACTCTTACTTAGCATCAGAAGTAATCGATGGCAATTTTGGCAATCGATCCATTGATTGATATTAATAGCGTTTTGGAGTTTCAACTAACAATTCATCTCAAATAACTTACTGTAAGACTTCTTATAACCATACTAGTACCTGTGAGTCATTTAATTATTAATAATAATATTTCAATTTATTAATTCTTCTTTAACATAGCATCACTTTGTAACTTCAAAAACTTATTCCAGTTCCAAATATTTTTTGATTATCTTTTTGTCTGTTCTATATTCCTCTATCCGATTTCTTATCCAATCATGAGTTTACATTAACAACCCAGGCATTGAAGCTACTTTTTCCAACTTGAAAATAACATCAAATTGGTTGGTTATCAAAGGTAAGTTATTTAATTAGTTAAATAACTATGAAGAACCTTACCATTGATCCCATTTATGAAGTAAACTCTTCTTTGTATTTTATATATATATGCCTACAGTTGTTATTTCATTTTATCTTAAATCGTATTTATACACCTCCAAACATCATTCGAAATTTCAGGTTCTTTGCATAACTATATTTATTTCAATTGAATCCTTTGACTTATAAAGATTACCTCTTCACTAAATGAAATTGCACTTTTAGTCGTAATTTCTATCGCATTTTATAACTATCACTAATGGATCAGAGACTTATTTTCTAAAATTTATTAAATCTAAAATTAATAATTTACTTGAAAAAATATGAAATATTTGATATTTATGAATAATTTCTTCTATAATAGATTAGATATGTATAAGCCTAAGCATTAACAATTCATATATCAAGATTATGGGCTTTTTAAAGTTATCCCAAAATTTATTTAAATAAGTTGGAAATTAGTTAAATGAAATAGAGAATTTCAAAAACAATTATTTAATACTTCAGAGTTAGTAAATATTAAAAAAAATACAACTTATAATTTATTTAATTTCATATTGTGTTATTAATTAATAACTTTTTTGATAAATTAAATTTAGAGATTAAGTATTCAATAATCTAAGATAAATAATTGATATCAACTGAATTACGATAGAATCATTAGATAATATGAAATTTTATATTGACAGCATTTATTTATAAAGTTGAAATTGACACCATAAATAGTAGAATATCAAACATAATATAGTTATAACATTAAATTGATTTGAAATTTAATCAAAATTAGTTGCCTGAAAGAAATATAACTAAAAAAGAACTTTAAAAAAATTGTAAATTAATATATATATCTTTGATTGGATAAATTAAATTATATCTAAAATTACAATGTCATTACTCAAAAGATACAATCAAATAGTTTAATAGGTTGGTTAGTTAATAGAGAAAGTATTTGAATGAATCTGAATTTGATTTAAAAATTAAACATGTTATGCAGGTCAATTTAAACAAATAAAAAATAAAAAAAATTAAATTACATTAATTGGAAATAAATAATTTATTTTAGAATAATTATCGTTTTTTTACTTATATGAATTAAGTTCAATCTATCTATTATTTCTAGCTTATTAAAGGTTCTGAACCTGCAAAGGAAAGAGAATAGAGATAAAATTATTTAAGTTCAGTTTCTAACTTGAATTTTATAAAAAATTATCGTAGTTACTAATTTCTTTCTTTAAATATTTAGGATAATCTATGAGAAGAATCAATTATTTATATATTAATGGGAATTTGTGGTTCGAAAAAGTCGGATAAGGAAGCAGGGATATAATTATAAATAGAGAAAACAGTCGCTGAGTAGAAGTAAATAAAGATAGAGGAAGAGCTTTAAGTATAACATACAACGAGACGTTCTATTTGTAATCAATTTTCTACACTTAACACAAATGGGAACGTAGTTACAATTCATTAAACTGAACAAGAAGTTTAGAAGTGTGAGCCTTAACAGACTAAGGTCTCTAAAAAGAAGACCAAGTCCACAAAAGACGATGCTAATTATTATAGAAGATCAGATCATGTACTTACTGTTTTCTCTTTGATTGTGGAATTAATTCAAGACGACCAAAAAAAATATTATAGTATCACAATAGGAACAAAAATTAAAGATTGTGTACATTATGCTCATGTAAATGGAATCCTGATTACTTAAGCAGATTTTGATCTATTCCATTTGAAACCTGATACCTTTAAAGAGGCAAATTCATATTCTCGAATACCTACTTTTTTTTCTACTGATAATTATTTCAATATAGATAAAGAAAGTCCAAATAGTTTTATTTCTTTTGAGAATCTACTTAATGTTGAAAGGATCATCTCACTCAAATAATTTCAGATGAAATTAAAGAAAAAATAGAGTGTAATTCATGAATAAAATGCAAATAAATAAAATTAAAATGATTATATTGTGACTTCCAATTTAGAGATGCTTGAAATAATAACTGTAGTAGATATTGAGCAACAATCGAGATTTTTGAATGTGTTATTTCACTTAATCCTATAGCACTATCACCAAAACCTGGATTAGTATTTGGTTTTTATTACCAATACTACTTTCTTGTTTGATATACCTCCCTAATTTGATCAACCAAATATGTATAGATTGGCACTTTTCTATGATAAATTATCGTATTCTCTGAAAGATCTTTAATAGATTTTACTGAAAGACAAAAGTGAGTTAAGCAATATCTTACATAAAAAATTGTCATTAAATTTAATATAGATTCTTATTGGTTGTTATGAGAAACATATTTACAGACTTAATTTTACATTATCAACAATATTCTATGTTCCAAAATATAAATGTTTTAAATTAGAATCCTTTGGTAGAATGAAAATACTCGTATAATTTGGTTAAAATCCAGAAGTGGCCTTAAAGACCTTGGAAGAAAAGAAGTATAAGGCATTTGTTAAAAGTTTCAAGAAGGATTTATTTGCGATTATTGATCTTATCATCTATTTCAAATAAGTCTAGAGTTAAAATTTAAGAACCATATCAACAATTAGGAAAAAGTACTTTGCAAATTTGAAAAAAGAGCAAGGAGAGATTTTAGAAGATGAAAAGAATTATTGTTTATTGGCTGAGAAGATATTCAGCAACGATTAAGATCGTTATTTACTTGAATTCATTAAAATGGCAATATATTCATACGATCTGACAGATGTTGATAAATTTATTTAAGATTTCAAATAAGTTGCAGAGAGTCTTCGAAAGGAATTATTTGAAGTAGATTTTCAGTAAGATTCCAAGCAAATGGATTAATAAGTTGAATAGCAAAAATTGTCTAATTCTAATTCTGTAGATTTAGATGATTTAAGCGAAATAAAATTATTGGAAAGTTTTCCAGTAAATATTTGTGAGGATTACAAATCTATTGCTCAAAATAAGAGTAAGCTATCTGAAGTTGAATAAACCTATAAGGAGATAATTTATCAGTCATTGCTTTATTCAAACAGATTTCAAGCCTATTACGAAAAGTTTCAAAATTTATAAAAGCCAATATTTTAAAACTGTTATGTGGAAATACTTAATATTTTCTATTTTATTAAATAATAACATCGAGAAGATTCTTGGCAGGAGAAATTAAAAATAGTATCCTAAAAAATGGACAAAGTGATAAATCTTATTAAATAAGTCAAAGATGATAGTGTTGATAATTTTCATATTACTCTGTTATTTTAGATTATGACTTTATCTTAAAAAAAGCCAATAGTGATTTTAAACTAATTACAGAAATGCATTTCTAATCAACTGAAACAGAAAATGCAAATGGATCATAGATTGAGGAGTTAAAATTAAGCAAAGGGATTACTTGAACAAAAAAAGCATGTAATGTTATAAGTATGGTCAGCTTTGTCGTATCTTCATACAGACAATTATTTTTAAGCTATCAGCAAAATTTAGAAAGCTATTGGATTTTAATTGAAAAACCAGCATCAAGCATCATTGTCTTATGGTTATTCACTATTAGTGAGTGGAGAGATAGCAAGATTGAGTCTAGCCCCAATTTCGGCTATGCTTAACTTAGAAATGAGTTTAGTAATTTACAATCAGTTCTTTCCATAAAATAAGTAGGTAGAAGATTAAAGTGAGATTACAGATAAATCAGAGTATAATCCATTCTAAATAAGATATAAAGATGTAAGAGTTAAAAATTTGGCTACAAGCAATAAAGCCAAAGTAGAATTCCTACTTGGAATGAGTTACTTTGATATGCACGATTAAGAAAATTCATTATTATGTCTTAAAAGGGCTTAAGAATTAATGTTAAGATCATTTCACATTTATGCAGAAGAGGTAGTGTTTCTCGTGTTATAGTAATTATGGATTCATGTTTTACAGGATGATATAGGTCATGCTATGAATATTGCATTATTTTATGCTAATGATATGAATTAGTAATATAGGAATGGGAAAGAGTTTAAGAAGAAGATAATATCTAAATTGCAGTTTATAATAGGGTCTATCTTTGAATTTAATGGATAATATTTAAGTGCTATTAGATTTATAGAACGTTCTAATAGGACTCTAACTTATGCCAAGTGTAATAATTTTGTAATCCAAATGCATTATTAAGCTAAAAAGATTCAGATAATTACAAAATTGAAGAAGGCGTTTATAAAAATAAAAAGTAAACAATAAGTGAGATCAGAAGAAGATTTGAGTTTATTCTAAACATTAAATGAAGCTCTGGGTCAGACATTTCAAACATTGTATTTTAAATAGCCAATTACAATGAAGACTTCGGTGTTGCTGGATAAGTTTGGAAAGTAGATAATTCACATTTAGGGTTTGATGAGAACAGATGGATAGAGTAAGGCTATTAAACTACTTGGGGATTTGATAAAAGCCTTAAATAAGAGCAAAAAGGATGAGATTTACGGTTTGGTTTAGGATAAGTACCTGACCTTGTCTTTAGATAAACTGAGTGCAAAAGAAATAGAAGCATAAATTCATAGTGTAATAGAAATTCATGACAGATACTTATAATTTCCTTTAAAGTAACACCATGTATTAAAGTGCTAGCTTATTTTACTGTGTATTTTTATGAAATAGAAAAACAATAATTAAATATTTGAGCATTTCAAAAACATTGAATAAACAATTGAAGAATTCTAAAATATCTTATAATGGAAATAATTATCTTCTGACACAGAAGAGGTTCAATTATAAAATAAGTTTGAGACAATAGTGAAGAGGGGAAGCATTGCTATGGTCTATTAAATTGCAAACGTGACTGAATTGATTGAGCAGTTCAACAAATTTAAGAAAAAGTTAATTGAAAATCTACAAAATAGAGAAAAATTTGTTGACTTAGCCAATTCATTTTAGAAGAGGGTAATCAACTCTTAAGCATTTTTAAAACTATTATAAACAAAGTAAGCATGTTTACTTGGGAGTTATTCTTAAGTGAAAATAGTCAATGAAGGAGAGTAGGAGTAATAACAGCCAGAGATTATGATTTAAAGAGAAACTCCATAAAAATTATAGTTTGTTGAGGATTCGACAGAAGTGGATGGAAAAGAGAATTAAAAGTTGGTTTTTGATTTGAGAAGTTTGGATGAGATAATTGTGGAGAAGAAGTTAGTTCATCATAGGAAGGGGTAGACGGAGGAGACCCTTTAAAAGATTGAGGAGACAAATGAACCGGAGAAGATGAAGAAATCGCATAAAAGAAATGAATCAGAAATGACTTTTAAGAATGCAACGAAAAAGAAAAAGATTGATTATAAAATGAATCCATTTCAGAGTACTTTAAAAAAATGAGAGAAATTACAATGTTGATTATATAGAGTTATTTAATTATATTAATTAATGTGGTTTATCCTTCTGATTGCTTTGGGATTAGGATTGAATTGTCCATAGGTGTTTTATTTGAGCAACTTCTAAGAACAAGCGAACTTGATCACCTATTAGAGTGATTATAATTATATTATGGCATCTGTCTAAAATGCAATAGTTTTTATTTAAGCTGAGTCAGGAACGCTGAGATAATTAAAGCCAAGTAAGTTAATATAAGTAACCAGTTGATGGATAGAGCGTAACCTTTATGTAGACCCAACAGGGATATTTGTTTGTAGGCAAAACAAATCAATTACAAATTTATAGTTTAGATGAAGATAATCCAATACAAGGATAGTTGTCATTTTCAGGCAATATCAACTATTTGTAATATGCAAATGATGTAATCAGTATTGCAACAGATCAAAGCGAGGCTCTGATTTGGAATATGGCACAAAATAATATTTTAGGAAGAACAAAATGTAAGAGATTCTATATATTAGAAATTTAGCATAATCTTTATCGAATATATTAATAAATTATCAAGTTTAGATCGACTAATATGCAGACAACATCTTAATTGGGATTACTAGTGGCGGAACCTATCAATTGGAGTACTACTCCTCATATATGTAATAATTCTTGTAAAGTTTCACATTAACTTAATTTGATTTAAGTCAAATGACATCAACTCAATAAGATTAAACCAATATTAATACTTTCTTTTATGCCGTATCCTCGACCACTCTGACCATATACAAGGTCAATAATAATGCTTAGACAATTTCACTCACTAGTCAAACTGTTAATTTAGGGATAAGTCCAATAAGCATGTATTTGATTTAGGATGAGATCATCTTCTTCTCTGCTAATTGCTAGTTTCAAAGATACAACATCAAATAAAATAGTTTAGGAACTGTCTCTTCATGGATTTCAGCTGCTTCTTGTCCAAACAATATAAAACAACTGCTTTTTAACTATGATGATCTAATAATTATCATATTGATCAACAATCCTACTGATGGATCAGAAATGATTCAATTATACTAAGTAGATCAAAATCTTAGTGGTACCAAAATTCGATCATTTTATTACTCCACCTAAAGTATTAGTGCATCATATATGTTAAAATCTTAATATGTTTTACAAGTAGGTTCAACCAGCAGCAACATTCAAGTATTCAATCAATGGTTTTAATTATAATAAATAATAACAATCAATAATAACAACAATCCTGCCATACAAATAATCTAATCTGATTTAATTTTGATTCTTTATGCAAATGGTCTGGTAATCTCATTATCCGAAACATCATTCACTTGTCAGTTTACCTAGTATCAATGCTATACATACAATTTATAAACTTAATTTCAATCGTAGAATGTTGCAACCTACACCACTCAATTGATCTAATAATTTCAGTATAATAATGTAATCTATGTGGCTTATGCTTTGGACCAAGTTATTAGTTTCTATAGTTTTACAAACAATGCCTTTAGTAATATTCCCACAAACTAATAAAATTTGCAGAGTAACATTGTGTAAATGCTGATCACTAGCAATTCTATTTAAGTTCTATTATCAAGCAATTACTTAAATAGTTATCCTCTTAGTATAGCCATTTAGTAAGAGAACACTCCAGGTTCAATTAATTTGTAATTGCAGAATGTGAAATAGGTTACTTAGGATCAAACTTATTAAGTGATTACTAATGGATAAGCAATTCAAATCAGTTTGCTTAGTAATCCCTCCAATCCTGTAGTCTTGCAATGTAATTATCTTCATTTATATAATCAAAGAGCCCGGACAATCATACAAACAAATTCAAATTTATCAAGATTACTTGTTGGTCTTAGAATAGCAATCGTACACGTTGTCATTTTACTAATTAAGTTCTCTTATTCAATAAATTGATCATGCTGCTTATGTGATCAGGACCCAATATTTTAGCTAGAATTTTATTTTGAATAATAACTATCTAATTATCTAGTTTAAACAGTATGTAATGACCTTGCAACTGAATGAGTACTTTTCAATATACTCAAATGGTTTTGAATGTGAATTCACTCAAACATATAGCAGCAATGTCTTCTCTTATATTAATACTTAAATATCATTAACCAATTTTTACATTTTATATTAGACATTGGATAATTTATTTTCTGTAAGAGGTACAATAAACATCAACAAATAAAACATCGATTGGGATAGAATCATCATAGATTAGGGGATCAACCAAAGTGTGAAATTGTATTTTATAGGGATTTCTCCCTCATAATCTAGTTTGATCATTAGGAAAAGCATCGAAAAGTTTAATGAAGTCCATTTTCAGGATCTTACCATAATTGTCCCACTTTGTAAATTATATTTCAGCAATATCATATTGAGTAACATTGAGAATTGCTAAATTACAAATGCACAATCATAGCAATGCCCATATTTAATTTTGGATAATGTGTATCAACTAACTTTGTAAAATTTCAAAGTTAATAATTTCGAGATGTCATACCCATTAATTTAATCAAGCCAAGGAGCTTACATTCAAATAGAAAACCTCTAAATATCAGGTTCTAAATTGTAACAGTTAGTGTAAATCACAGATAAAACCTCATTAACATTAAATACTATAACTATTTCTAATTCATAATGTTCTTCATCTGCAACCTCAATGAATTAATTATTCCAATATTACTAACTTCAGGCATCAGATGTAACTATTAATTAAAACCAACTTTGCAGCACAATCTTTAATAATATATTAATAGAATCATTACAATCCATCTTAATTAAGTTAACTAATGTGATTATTTAAGATAATAGTTTTTCATCGTATTTAAATGCAGCCATTCTTAACCAACAGTTGAGTAATCTATTCTATCAATCAGTAATTACTTTAAATACAGTGCAACTTTTTAACAACCAGTATTAATAAGGTATCAATTACGCTTTTAAGTTTTCTTTTGGAATGAAGATTGATGCATCACACCTCATCTTGGATAATAGTTCATTTTATGCATAAACATTTGATTCTATGACTCTAAATGATTTTACATTTTCAAGTCCATCCACTTTAAGTCTTGTTATTTCTGAGATACCCTAGATTGACATATAATATATCTACTTTGATCAAGGAACGATATATTAAGATGGATTAATCACAATATCCAACCAAAATGATTATGATTGCTCATAAGCCAATTCATGTAGTATCTAGATGTCATCAGTGAGCATTTTGAATTTCAAAATTACTTCGACTTCTTTGTTAAACACCTGTTATGGGATACTAATTGATGTCAAAAGCTAATTTGTTGTTAGCCTATCATTTATTTCAATTTAGAACCTATAATTAAAGTAGGCAGATTAAAATTTTATAGTGTCATCAACTGGTTTATATTTTAAAGGATTTCAATCCCAATTATCTATTGATTCATCTAATTTCAATAACATTAACTGTAGTATTGGCACAAGCTTATTGGTTTTGAATGCTCAGGCCATAACCTTAAGTTCATCAATTGTAAATTATTTTAATGCTACTGATTCAACATATCATGGAGTTCAAGATGTAATTGGTGGAATTGCATAAGTTTCATGTACCACGCTATATGTTTAGAATAGTAATTTCATGTAAGTGTATTCTTATAGTGGTTCTGTCTTTTTAATACAGATGTTTCACTCAGCTTCATCTAGCCCAAAAATCACCTTTACAAATAACTAAATCAACAATGTGTTTTCATTTGGAAATGGTGCCATTTATATAGACAACACTTTAGAAAATACAATAATCACCTTATCCTATAATCAAATCAATTCAATATTCTCTTTATAAGAAGGAGGCTTTTTATTCTTTCAAAAAGAAGAAACAACTACTTATCCATATTTAAATTTCACAAATGTTGATGTGTCTAATATTTCCAATGTGTCTCCATACAAATTTAACAAATAATTAATCCTCATAGAAAATACCTTTTCAAACATTTACTCCCAAAATGGATCCATTTTTAAATTAGAGTTATTCAACATAACAATGAAGAACAACACGTTTTCATACAATAATTTAACTTAAACACCTGCAGTCTTTAATCCTTATCAATTAAATTAAGGTTCCTTATTCTATCTTGAGCACTGTGTATTTAGTGCCATCTAATTGAATATTAAGAATATATAATCATTCTCTACTCAAGCCTAGGAAGGATAGATCATTTATGCAAACCAAACTTGGATTTCTATTTAATAAAGCAACTTCTCTAACATTATTACAAAGAATTCGCATTTAATATATTTAATGGCTTCTTATCTTAGTGTAAATACACTAACCTTGTAGAATATTAGTCAGATTGCTTATAAATTGAATTCGAGTTTAATTTAACTATATGATTCTGCTACTTATATGTTAACTCCATAACTCAAGTAACTATCTTGTGATCCTTCTAATTGTTTATCAAGTGGATTTTATTTAAAGAATACTCATTCATACATAAAAGGAGGATTATGCTAAGGAAATAAGGGAAACTTTGGGAGTTGTTTTTATTTGACATTAAAGGAGTAATTCGCATAGTTTGAGAATGTTAGTATGATAAATAATTATGCATAATTTGATGGCGGATCCATTCTAGCAGATTTATAGAACGTGTCTAATTTGAAGGTCATAAATTGTACATTCTCTTCGAATGTAGTTTTAGGGTCAGGAGGAGGATTATATATCAATTCATTTGATTAATAATTCAAATTATCGGAAGTATTGGATCTTCCAGTAATTACCATTACTTAAAGCTACTTTGTAAATAATGTCGCCTATAAATATGGTGGAGGAATAAAGACTTAAGTGTTCTCACCATTAATAATTGGAGTCTATTACTGGAATAACAGTGCCTTGGTGGAGGGTGGTGAAATAAGTTCATATCCGACTTAATTATATTTGAGTGGACCCTTAGTAGATTAAGGAGTGATTCAATAGGTATATGATGAAAAACTATAGCCAGCAAATGGTTACTTTTTTGTGCAAGATTCTGAAAATGGTGAATACATTATTAGTAATTTCAAAAGTGGAGACACAATGAATACGCCCCTATAATTAGTATTGAAATCTTCCGACAATATCACTATGTACAACGAAGAGTCTTATTTAAAGATCTTTCAAACAACTGATTAAAATTATTCATTATCCATTTCCAGTTCTGATAGTCAAGTGAAATTTGATAAAACTGGATTCTTTCTGGATGGACTCACTCTGATTGGAATACCAAGTACTGAATTCACTTATTACTTTACATCTGACGAAGTTAAGTCGACTAACTATTTCAATTATTATTACACAAACAATTACAATTACACTATGAAGGTCATCTTCCGTAAATGTTTATATGGGGAAATCAAACAGAGTTTTGACAGCCAAACCATTTGCTATAAATGTCCCCAAGGCTTTTATTCATTTAGTATTCCAACAGATGAAGACCCTGGATAATGTTAAGTGTGTCCACTAGTATCTACCTATCACATTTAGTGTTATGGAGGAGCTGAGACAAACTTAGAATCCAATTATTGGAGAGAGAACATCACTACATTAGAGATCTATAAATGCGATTCTTAATTTAGCAATTGCTTAGGTGGAGTCTCTTAATCTCAATGTGGTTTAGGGTATATGGGAAGGATGTGCTAATCCTGTGATTATAATGACAATTATGCCAGAGATACAAGATCGATGTGTGTTATTTGCACTTAAGTAGAATGGCCACTAGTTATAATATTGTTAACCAGTATTGGAGTTCTGATATATTTCACTATGTCCATCTTCTTTCTGGCTTAAGATGTTGTCATCCTATGTGTATTGCCATGCTTAAACTAATTATTGCCACCTTTAAAAAAGATTGGATCCAACTTAGGATAAGTCAAAGATTTGAATTCATTAATGAAAATATTCTTGGCCTACTATTAAAAGACTTCCTTAGTTACTAAAATAGTTGTTGACATTCCTTCCTAATTGCAAGATTCCCAAGATCCTTCAATTTTTGATTTCTCTTTGGAATGCCCTATGATCAATGTAAATAATTACATTCCTATGGTTTATGTGAATTACATTATCGAAGTAATGAAGCCAGTATCATCAATGTTATTTTTCATGTTCATATGGACAATCCTATTTAGAAACTAAAAGATTAAACGAGGAATCTATTACACTGCCACTTGGCTAGTCATCTGGTTGTTTTACTTACCAAGTTTCTATGAAAAAACTCTTTAATTATTGAATTGCAAAGATATTGGAGATGGCAGGTACCTCAAACCAGATTTAAACCAAGATTGCTATGGCACTTAACATTTCTTCTATACTCTTTTTATATCCATCCCATGTCTATTTTTCTTTGTCATTTATATCCCTTGCATGCTCTTATATCATATTAGAAATGACATGAGGAAGAAAGACAAGAGACCACTTAGAAAGTATAAATATTATTACATTAATGGTGAATTCAGAGAAAAGTATTATTATTGGGAGTTCGTCAGATTGTTAGAAAAGATTCTGATCTAAACAGCTATTGAAATCTTCTTTTATGATAATATCTATATGGCAGAATCATGTTTAATTATAGTCTTGATTTATGGAGTTGCATCATTTGTGACACAACCTTATGGTTACAAAAGATAGAATTTTGTAAATGTCATCTCTAGTTTCACTGCCTTTGGAACCATTTACATAGCACTTGTCATTGCATCTCTGAAGAATCAATTTAGTGATCCTAATGAACCGATCATCATCTTTTTTGAAGTTATATTGGCTGGTATCAATGCAGTTTACGCTTTATGGATGGCTTGGAAATTATTTATTGTATTAATGCCAGTTTTGTTTGTTAACATTGAACAAATTCAAAGAGTAATTTATTATTAATTCTTAGAAAGTATCCAATATTAAATATTTAAGAAAACTCTTCTTAGGAGAGAGACTCAGAGCTAAACTATTATTCAAATAAATTGGTTAGAAAGTTGTTGTGATCAATTTAGTTAAGAAACATGCCATGATGAGATACTTGAAGAAGGAATAGAAGGAAAAATAACTCATTGAAATTGTAATAATCATATTCAATTAATTATAGGAGGATAAAATTAGGAATAGAAAGTAAACAGCAGCATAGGAGGCATTAAATTATATTCTAAGGAATAATATACAATCATCAGAAATCATACAATTAAAGGATAACATTATCAATCAAGAATATTTGGAATTATAAGATAATTCAAAATTATGATATTTATATATATAATTAATTTTGTTTTAGGATTTATTAAAGATAGATTTACTATTTATTAATGAAATTAATAAATCTATACAACAAGGGCTCTATTCAATCTCAAAATGTTAAAGCTAACTCCTAATAACCTAATCCATGATTAAATACAAGTGCTTTTTAGTACGACTTTTTTAACATTGCTAAATAATGTTAGATTACTTATTATTACAATAATTAATGTAAAACTGTTGTCTTTTTTATTTGACAAATTCTATTGCATCTCTTAAATCATATTGGAGGATTGAAGCTAAGTAAAGAACTACTATGGAAGGGGCTCTACCTATTCCTGCTGTACAATGGACATAGACATATTCATATTCATTAATTAATTTTTTAAGAATTTGAACTGCTTTATTAGATTTTTTTTCGAAATCTTCAGAATCCATGTCAAAAATTTAATAGTTCTTCATCACAATATTGTGTCTCTTATAAGCATCTACTATTTATTCCCAATTGACTCCACGATGAAACATATCAAGTCGTGTTTGGAGATTGAGAACTGCTCTGACTTATTGTTATTTTAAGTAAAGAATATCCTACTCATTTTATGGATAGGGTCCTATCAATATATTTTCATTTATTTCATAAGTTTAGAATTGAACTACAAAATTCCAATCCAACTTATTCAATCTTCCGAATTCTTCATAATAAAAAAAGGAAGGTTCCTTATCTGCAAAAGAGTAGCCTTGATTCTTTTATTTGATCTTAGATTTTGGTATTTTTGAAGAAGAGAAAGATCCGTTTTTATTGAACTATCTAGCCTGAATAGCTGAGTATATTTCAGTCTTCACTTTGATTGGATGAAGATCATACTAATCCAATACTTACCTAATTGAAGATAGATCGGCACTTTTTAAGTAACGCCCATTGCCTCTTTCCCATATCATTTTTCCTGTGTCATCATTTCTAATCACATAATAGTAACGGAAGAAAAAGTTGAGGGGATCCACAATAAATGATATTGACCATTGTTGGGTGGCCTCTTCAGTTACTAGAAATACAATATTGATATATTACAAATATCAATCTTCATTTGCTATTTCATAAGCACAGGTGATTTCCAGGAACCAATCTCAGGAATAGATCCTATTATCATCATGCGTTCTTTCGGTTGTAAAGTGTGATTGAGTTTTAATTTAATAGTCCTATATCCCCAAAACTCCTCTATAAATAGTATTAGAACTGCATTACAATTAAAGTACTCGTTCTTCTTGCCATTGAGTAGCAAGTGCTTCGTGATTATACGATTTTCTCCAGGTTCCCAAAAGGCTTAGTGAATTGAAGGCTCATTATAGTTGTTGACTAGGAATTTGTACTCAAATTTTCGGCTGATTCGAGGCAACTTGATACAGATGGTCCATTCGTGATTCTTAAGTAATGAAATTAAATACCTAATTCCATTACAACCGGAGTGCCTTGCAAGGATCCCACATTCCTAAAGATTCATCATCACCACATAAATAGATTGCCTATCCAAATTTTGTTATGTAATGAATCTTCAAGTAGATTTTTACAATCCTAACATCTGTAAAGGAAGTGTTAGTGGATACTGAGTTCATTAAAAAATTAATAAAAATTTTAAGTTAACTAAAATTATTTTCAAATTTAATTCATTGCGAAGAGGATATTTAAATATGATTAGAATAAAATCCCTATTGTTTTAAAAGTTAACTAAATAATAACTACGACTCATTGTCACAATACATAATCGATAAAGAGTTCACCTAAAATAGATTTCTACATTCAAAGATCGAATTGCATGAAGTAATTATATACGAAATTTAGGACTCATTGCAATCATATGCAATCTTTCATTCATTGGGAGAGCTAAAAATGCATAAATAACTTTAATAAACTAAATTTTATTATTTGGTCGTTATTTAAATAATCCATAAAAAACCTTAGTAGTAATTAGTCAGAGTACGCAACATTATATAATTTTGTTGTTTGATTACATTATATATAATATAAATTACATTATATAAGTTTATGAACTAAGGTCTCTAAAAATACTTAATTAATATTGTAATAAATTATGATTCAATTATTTCCAAAAACATATCTAGTATATCCCGGCATTCTGATAGAGTCATCAAGATCTTATGAAAATCTAGATTACTAAGATATTTTTGATGAAATCTCATTTTATTGAACTTATTTGTTTTCAAAATTGGCTGAGCTATCTATTTTATATTGAAGAGCAGGCTATTATTCAATTGATTCTCTTATCGCCATTTAAGGAGGATGTATCAATAGATCTAATTATTACTAATAATTTTGATAGGCTTCTCTTGTTGAAAATTTCTTCAAGAACTCATTAAAACTAATTCTACCTGATTTATATTACTAAAGCATAAAGAACACTCTATAGTAATCATTACCTTTTACTTGAACGCCTTTGGACTTTATATAAGCAACAAAGTCATTGAATACTAAATAGCCTTTTTGTTTCTAATCCAATTTTCTGAAAAAATCTTCAAGCTTTTGAATATCATTTCCTATTTGTGTTTTGAGATACAAAAGGCTCCTTTCTATTTTTGCATACAAACTAAAAATCTAATGTATTAATTTTTAATGATCCTAATTCAAAACACCTTCTGATGGCACTTTTGATTATCTCCATTATGGTGTAGTGGAGAATTTTAATAAATTAGCAAACTCTGCGTATGAAATGATATTGTCATCTTCACCTCCTAATGTTGTAAATAAGGATTCAATTTCTTCTCTCTTAAGAAGAATGTCTAATTTTTGTAGTGTGATAATAAAATCATCTAATTGTAATTTTCTATCGCCATTAACATCAAAGAATTCAAAGAGCTTCCACAAACTAAAAGTTGGATCATTATTCAATTTGTTTTAACAATTAGTTAATTGTTCAAAAACATGATTAGTAGCTATTAGGAAACTAAAAAAATGATATTCCTCAGGTGTTAATGTTTTAATTTATTTTTAAAGTATATTTTTGATATCGTATTCTTTATTATCATCAACAGCGAGAGGGATAAAAGGTTAGGTTTGTTTCATTTATTAAATTTTTATTTAAAAATAATAAGTTAAAAATAGCTTCAAAATTCAATTCAGATAAATTGTAGATTATACTCAACACTTACATTCTTTACAGGGGTACATCTGTAATATTGAGAGAGATATGATTGGCGTTAGATTTTACAAATTTAAATTCTTATTGATTAAAAAGAATGTTTCTTCAGATTCTATTATAATTGCTTCCTATATTTTGATAAAATACTAAGGTTTTCAGGGTTATTAAAATTTGCATTCTAATTTTTTAATAATTATTTTAAATAATTTAAATTTATTATGTTCGGAGGTAGTATGTTTGGGAACTAAAATCCAACTTAAACAAGTGGAGGAATAGGAGGTATATTAGGTACTTTTGGGGCACCATCCGGCGTATAAGGAGGACTGTTTCCAAATACAGCTCCATAATAAGGTTTATTTGGTTAAGCACAAGGAACATAAGGACAACCTGGTTTTGGTGGTTTAATGGGAGGTTAGATGCAATAAGGAGGACTCGGCGCAGGCCTTGGAGGTGGTCTTGGAGGAGGCCTCGGAGGAGGTCTAGGAGGTTAGCTTGGAGGCGGACTCGGACTTTAACAACAATAATCAAGCACATTTGGAGCAGCTGGTGGATTAGGCTAACCCCCAGTATTAGGATAACAAGCTCCTACTTTTGGTGGATTAGGGGGAGGTTTAGGAACCGGATTAGGTGGTTCTCTTGGAACTGGATTTGGATAATAGACTGGATTATTAGGTTAAACAGCTTAGCAAGGAGGATTATTTGGTTAAACACCTTAAAGTGGAGGAGGTCTGTTTGGATAGTAATAATAATAATAATAGCCAACCTTATTTGGTTAATAACCCTAATAACAATAACAGTAAGCAACAGGTTTATTCGGTGCTCCAGCTCCTGCTGCTTAACCTTTTGGATAACAATAGGGAGGTTTATTTGGATAGACACCTTAATAACCCCAATAGACTGGGTTTGGATTTGGATAATAATAAACTGCTGCTCCTGTTGGTGGAACTTCTCTTTTTGGTTAATAATAACCTTAATAATAAGTTCAACCAGGTCTTGGATTTGGAGGTGGATTAGGACAATAAGGGTAACCTGGTAATCAAATTGTATTGCCTGGAGGTGTCGATGATTCAGTTAATGATGCAAGTCTGGAATAGAGAATTAGATTGGAAGATTCAGTTTCAGCAATTTGTTGGGGAACAACTATACCTAATTTCTTAGCTATATCCTCTTGGGATGGTAAGGTCAGAATATTGGAGATCCAACAAAACTCATACAAAAGAGAATTATTTGAAAGAAGATAATTTTAGGTTGATGGAGCAGTTGGATAAGTATAAAATCCAATAATTTGCATGGATGCTAAGGGAGATTTGTCTCAAATATTTGTAGGATGTGGATTTGATCACACAGTCAGAGTTATTGATGTCAATTCAGGCTAGATGGTTTCAGTAGGACAACATCAAGCATTAATAATATCTGTTTATTGGATAGAATCTGCACAAATGATATTGTCAATATCTACAGATCAATCATTAAAAATGTGGGATATCAGAGCTCCAGGATAACCAAGATTTTAATGTCAATTTTAATACAAGCCATTAGTATCTGATTGCAATTTCCCATTATTGGTTATTGGATTTGCATCTGAAAAATTAACAATCATTAATTTGAATGAATTATAATAGTTACCAGGAAGATTTTAATACATTGATTCACCTTTAGGAACCTATTCACAATTAACTTCAATAGCAATATTTCCAGCAAGAGATGGATTTACTTTGGGTTCCATTGATGGTAGAGGACATTAGACGAATATTACAACCAAATCTACTCACGGAATGCCGACTGAATTTTCATTAAAATCAATCATGACTTTTAAAGCTCATAAAGTAAATATATTGTTCATAATTTAGGTTGAAGATAATCAAAAAGGAAAAATTTAAAACTATTTCTTTCCTGTCAATTGCATCTAAATGAATATCAAAAACAACTACTTTCTAATGACAGCTGGAGGAGAAGGTCAAATGATCTTTTGGGATATTAATGTTAGAAATAAAATCAGAACATTTTAATTCAATTGCAATCCTATTGTCTGTGCCAAAATGAGTCCTGATGGTTCCATGCTAGCATATGCGTTAGGAAATGATTTTTCAAAAGGACCTGAATACTTCAATGAATTTTAACCAAAAATATTTGTTCATTTTATTCCAGACAATGAACTAAGATACCCTAAATGATACATAATTATATATAATGTTATTTATCATTTCACTAATAAAATTAATAAACTAAACATTAGATACTAAAATAAAAAATGCCTTAAAGAAATCATAATTTTTATGAACGGTGTTCTCATCTTAGCGAAAATTAACAGATAATAAAAATGGCTATAGGATTTTATAAAGAAGGATAAGGAATGAAATTTTTATGTGGCGATTGTTATGATATAGAAAGAAACAAGAATCCAAATCAACAAATATTTCTAATTACAGATTTAATCAATATTTGTTTGCCTTTATGGAAAAGCAAAATAAATTAATAGGATGTCTTATGTTAGGAAATTTAAGAAATGTTATAGATAGTCGATAATTAATTTTAGTAAATGATAAAATATATTAAAAAGGAATTATATGGCTATAAAAATGATATAGTAAAACTAGAATAATAGCAATAAAAAATTAAAGACAATACTCCTCTAATAGATGATGATTATAAATAATTATCTAAAATAAGTAACAAATAAATCAATATAAAAAATAATAAAATTTACAATAAAATCAATGCTAATTTGGAGGAAACAATAAAATCAATTACAATTAATACAACTTAAGGTAGCTTGATTAACTCTCTGATTCAAGAAATGTTTCAGGAATCCCCTAAAAGTGATATAGAATCGATATTTTTTACTCCTTCTGATAAAAATTTAGCATATGATTAACTGAGTCTTAACCAATTTGTTAACATAGAGGTTCTGAAACTAAAATAAAATATTGATGATATTTTACAATAAAATTCAATTCCCTAAGTTAGAGAAAATTTGAATTAATTTTATTATTAAGATTAGGAGAATAAATACGTTATTGAAGACATTGATAAATTTTATAATGATGTTAAACGATATTTAGAAGCAAGTTCAAGAGAATTGATATATCGGGATTAATTAGAGGCATAATACGTTGAATTTTTGGAATATTACGTATATAATAATGTAGAATCTAGTATTATAAATATCTTAAATATAGGTTAACATCAAGGATAAGATTAATTAAATGAATCTGGTTAACATGAAATAAATGAAGAATTCGGTATCATAAATATGTTAAATATTGATTAACATCAAGAAAACGATTAATTCAATTAAAATCTTCCATAATAAAATATTGAGGAGCATAACATTATAAATTTTTCAGAAGAGGGGTAATAAAATGAAAATCTTTTATAATAAATGTATTAAAATATTGAGGAGCCTGGTATCAATATATATATTAAATATAGATTAATCTTCAAATAATGCATCATTAATATCATTTAATGATGATGATGATGACTCATTTTATCGTCTAACTGAATGCTTAGAAGACCAAAATTGAATATTTATAATTTGCATTAAATCTTAAACTTGAGTTTAAATCATTATGGGTGATTATATTGAATAAGTTCCAGGGTCTTTCAATACAATTTTTATCCAGTATGACAATCACCTCTATGAAATATAAATTAGATGTTATGTAAGAAAGTAAAAGTTTTAAGCGTATAATTGTATGAAGCTTAGCTATTATCATTGCACCTGTACTATAGCATTCCCTATTAATGAATAAATATTATTTATAGGATCTTAAAATTTAAAGATTTAAATGATACTGAATCTATTTCAGAAATTTGCAGAATTATTTTAAATTTTGTAAAGACTTGTGCTGTGAACGTTATATTTTAAATATTAATTATAAATAATGTAATTATTTAATAGATTAAATTTTTAATTGAGAAACGAATAGGTTTAAACAGATAACATTATTGTATATTTTTAATTATCTTATTCTCATTTAATTAAATATTGATGCATGAATAAGTATGCTAATCGTGATTTTTGTTATTATAATTAAATTTTGTATATCTATCGATTTATTCATTCAAATTTTGGTTTGATGACTCCAACATTATTATAATATTCATCATGAATTTATGATCTATCTGTATAAGTATGCGCAAATATGAATGCTGATCCAAAAACAAGGAATGAATATAATTTAAATCTCTTCCAATTTTAATTTTGCAAGTATCCTTATTTGAAGACAGCTTTATTCTTGGGTCTAAAATTAAATTTTAGATAAATACTGATAGTATGTTGGAACACCAGTTGATGTTTATCGGTAATAATATGATACAGGGGTGAACTGATGAATCAATATTAAATGTTACATATAATAAGCTGAATACAATTCCAGAAGCAGCAAAGTTTAGGATCCATTCATATTTGAATGTATTTAATTTATCAGCATAATCCATCTTTCTTTCTCTTAATGCTTCATTCATATAAAATTTATAGAGTGGTTAGTCATAGAATGACTTTTCAACTGTGGCAATATATCTCTTTTCTTGATCTCTATTTGGAATAGGTGGAATCTAATCTTCAAATCCCATTTTTAATAATTTTTATTATTAATATATATCAATAAACCAATCTGAAGATATCATTATGCACGTATAAACCTCCTTAGCCATTTGGAAGAATTTAAAAACTTTATGAGAATTTGTATGCCTCAGCTTCATCCATCTGTAATGACCCAGTGACAAAAATGAATAATGAATTCTCTAATGCTCCTGGTTAAACATCCATATCATCAATTTTATAAACTATTTTTTAGAAAGCCAACGATTCCAATTTTTCGTTGATTTATTTTAAGCCATCATGTTATTATCCACCTAAAAATAATTAATACAAATAAAAACCATATGTCATATGAGAGGCATCTGTATAAAATTAGATTAATCCCATTTTGTTTGTCATTAAAGTCTAATAGTATTGTTAAAGGAATTGTTATGCTATGCTTTAGGCGGGATTCATAATTAAAAAAATATAAAAATATTTTTAATGTTTTGAATTATTTAAATTTCTGGATTTATTCTTTGGAAATATAAAAATTTTTAATAATTATCAAAAAATAAATAAAAACATAACTTACATCACTAATTGAAGGGTAACTCCATACACAAAGATGAAAATTTGTATGTTAATTTTCTTTATCTTAAGATGCTCATTAATAATGAAGGTTTACTTTAGCAAGATTTATTAAGTATAATAGATTGAACTCTCTTTGGTTGATTGAACTAATTGTTATTTTCTAGTGAAAAATATAAAAAAAAAATCAAAAACAAATTAAACTAGATAAATAGAGTTTGAAATCAGATAAGTTATATCACCTCTTCTTTTTCCTTTATTAGACTAATATGTTATTCAAGAATAAAAAGGGTTTAAAATCTAAATCATAAGGTAGATGTTGATAAATTCTTAAGAAATTCATTCCTTATTTCATAGCTTTAATTAGTTGTACTAAAATGTTTACATAAATTTGCTAATTAATAGTTCTATGGAATAAAAATATTTAGTGTGATTAACATACTGAATTAAATTTAGAATCATTGAAAAATTGTCGAAAAGTGATCCTTTTAGATATTTAATTATAAAGTTTAAGAGTTATCTTTGTGGTTAGATTTAAATCGAGCTTTCATATGATAGTTTAGTAGAAATTTAATGATCAGCAATAATCGAATTAATTAGATTAAATATATACTTATTATTATTCATAGTTTTTCATATTAATTAATATTATAAATAATTTAGTAAATAATTATGAAAGGAGCCTTGGATGATACTTAAGATTAACAACAGGGTGATCAAGAATTAAATAACGAAGAGAAACATATTTTGGAATAAAAATGTATATAGCATTTAAAATATTGAAAAGAATAAATATTGAATAACAGTGGTGTATTGGCTGCTTATGAATATTTTTTGAGAAGACTTTGCAAGGATGGATTTCCAAGTGGAAATGTTTATGAGTATGCAGCTTAAGCTGTTTTAAAATATGAAAAAAAGAAATAAGCTGAACAGTTTCGACAACAGACAATGGCGAAATCTTTGGCTGAACTCTAATTAAGTAGCATATACTCAAATAAATTAAGACGAAAAACTTAAGGCTTAGCTTCAAGCTAGTAAAGTCGAAGTTAAAGCAGACCAGAAGAACGAGAAAAATGACAAAAATAAATCACCTTAGAAAGGTAATAAGGATTAAAAGGAAAAAAATCCAAAAGATCAAAATTAAGGGAAAAACGACAAGAAGGACACTAAAGCTTAAGGTATATTGTTATGATTAACTTCATTAAGATAAAACAGATCCAAAATAAAAGAAGAAATGAGTTACATATTTTTAATTTATTTCTTAAAATAAGTTATTATAATATTTTACTGAAAATTATGATCTCAAAGAAAAGATGAATAAGGAAGAGTGTATATACACAGTTATAATATGGAGTAATCTCAAAAACTTTTATTTTAAGTATTTAAAAATTATTGCTTTGTAATCAACTATTGACCACCCCTTTATAATCTTAAGACAGTAGCAATATCTAATTATTTGACAGTATAACTCCGTTGTTTTTTATCTGCATAAGTTCTCAATAAAAAATACTACCTAGCATAATCGCCAGAATTGACATAAAGATGATATTCAATTAATTTTAAAAACACTTTCTCCATTTCATTTATTTGAATGGTTGTAAATTATGTTAAAACTTTGGCAAAGTTATTATTTTCAAATGATTCATCATCCCAAATTTTGGAAGCCATAACTAATGCTGTAAATAATATTTTTTGCCAATTCAAACAATTTATTTCTAACCCTTAATTGTGTTCTAATAATCTATTTATATAGATCATAGATATAATTGCTACTTCTCTTTCCATTTTAGTGGTTGTCATAATGTTTTTACAATAATTTTGAATTATATCCACATTTGGTATATAATTGCTCAATGAAATGTCAATAAAAACTTTATTAAATAACTGAGAATCTTGTAAATTTAACGTTGTATCAACTGAAAATTATGATTGAAGTAATAGTTAACTTAAAATATAGTATTAAATAAGAACTTATTTTCATCATCTTCTTAGAATTATTCATTTAAATATCCTAAATCTGGATTGCAATTTTATTATTCAGTATTTTCAAAACTTTCAATATAATTTTGCTCTATAACTTCCTCTTGTTATAGTTCTAGATACTCTTGTTTCATATCCTGTTATTCATCATCATCTAGTTGCAATTAAAAAGTCTAATCTTATATATATTCATTGTCATCTCTATCATTTATTATATCTCTTTCATTTATAATATTCTAATCTAATAATATTTTTGTTTTATACTATCCTATTAACTCTAATTTTTATCATCAATACATTAAATTTAACTAATATTCTTAATTTAATCTAAGTCAGCTAAACCCATCATTTTTTTAATGGTAATCCCAACACAATAACTGATTTCCTCAATATCAATGTTAATTAATGTTGATGCCAGTCTTCCATTGTCAATGGATTGATATAATAGTTATATTGATTCCCTTTCTAAATGAATTTCATTAGTGTTTTTTCCATTTATTTTTAATAATTTATTAATAAATTTATTTGGCTTTTCTTAATAAGATTTCTATGTAGTTACTCTTTTCTTAATTTAATTTTATAGTGGATTCTTAACCATTTTTGATGCTTGTTTAGTAACCATCTCCTTGGTATTAGGTAATTATACTATATTCTACAATTATTAATTTCCTTATTTTGTAGTTATATCTTCAACCTAAGGATTTCTTTCTTTTTTTCCTTTACTTGAGACTTTTTCCAATTTTGGTAATACTCTTGGTTTAATTTAGTTCAATTCCTGGGGTGGTGAAAAATGTTTCATAGATGCCTTTCTATTAATGGGCTTTAGTATTTCCATGTATACTTCTTTGGTTTATTCAAATTGTCCATGCGAATTCAATTAGCCAGGTAAAGTATATCGATTTTAAGCAAAATGATTATGATTTACTAACTAAGTATTATTGTCATTGTAAGAATCTAAATTATCACTTAATTGCTTGAGCAAATCCTAAAACTTTTATTTATGCCCAGGTAATAACTTAATCTCTTGCAATAGTTTGTTTTAGGATTCTAAAGATTGTTAAGCTAATAATTGTAAACCACTTTTATATCCTCTTAACAATAATTGGTTCGTATACTATTATAAATTGTATTCCACTAATTATCTATTATTTCTTAATTCTAATTACTTAAAAAGTATGCTATCTTTGAAACCTGTTAAATCTGAACGGTTAGTTACATTGCTGCTATATTCAGTATCTCTATTAATTCTCTCTAAATCAAAATCATTGGAATTAATTACTTTTGGAAGTAGTTTTTTAATTATTTCTCATAGTTGATTTCACATTTAGAATTTTATTTACATAACTCTTCATTCTAGCATCATCATCCCATTTTTTCATTCTATTTATTTTTGATTATTTAAAATATAAAGAAATATAATCAATAAATTATAGATAACAAACAATTCTCCATCTTAGCTGAGTTAATATATTCCAAAAAAATTAATCTATGGATTATAATAAATTGATATCAATATTTTTTATCATCTGATATTTATTTATTTCTTTTAAGCAAATCTGCTAATTAGATATTAAGCATTAAAACTCTATCCTCGATTCTTTTGAAGAAATCTAAATACAATACCTACATAAATCGTTATTAAAATATTTATCTACTTAATTCATCTTATAAGGATATATTCCAAAATTGTTAAGTTGCAAATTATTGTTGATATCCTAAGGGATCAATTTACTTGGCAGTCCATCTAATAAATATATTTTAATGTTAGAATTGACATTATCTTGATAATGAGAAAATCTATTAATAAAAAAAATTGATTAACTGTTTAAAGAATTTTAAATTTAAATATTATGTATGACACCAGATAGATGTACTTTGATAAAGATTCATCTCTTCATAATATCAGCAATCTCAGTGATAAAAAGGATTATCATTTCTATCAAAGAGATCTATTAGCAGAGTTAAATCAAAGCCAATAAAGGTTAACAGTTTAAGAATTAGAAAATAAAGTAGTGATGTTAGCAACAGAGAATGAGAGATTAATGTCATAATTGAATGATAAAAATAGAGAAATTGAATTTTTGTAAGAGGAGTAACGAATGCTATAGAATGCTTATTAATCATAAAAAGATGATAGATATAGAACAATAGAAAATAGAACTACAAAAATGATATACGAAAATGAGAAGGTTGTTTTAATGAATTAGAGCTTACAAATCTAATTAGAAGAACTGTCCTATTAGTATGAATCATTGCAAAAGAAGTTTTAAGTTGAAACAGAAATGATTGAATAAAAATGGAAAGCTCATTATGGAGAAATGTATGAACAATAAAATAAGAATCTAACAGTCAACATTGAGAAGTTACTCAATGAATTAAAGTAAAATTCAGATCTTATTTAATCTTACGAAGAGAAACTGAAGAGCTGTTCAAAAGAACTATAAATGGCAAAAGAATAACTTGATTATAAGGATAAAAAAGGAAATGAGTTACTTAGTAATAATCAATAAATTAGTAACATTTTAGAATAGTAAGATGCTGTTATTAAAAAGAATAGCGAAAAGATCTCATAATTATAAATACAATTAGAATAATAAGTCAATGAAAATAGATAATAAAAACAGAAATTGATCAATCTGGAAAAAGATATAGAGAGTAGAAGAATAAAGTATGAAGAATTAATAATACAATTTGAAGAATTAAAATTATTGGAAAAAGAAGAAAGATTACAATTAGAAAAAAATGATTAAGAATTTTAACAATATAAACTCGATATTAACTAGATGAAATCCAATCTAAATGAATTGAACAGAAATCATAAGTTGTAACAGTAGGAAAATCAAAATAATTATAACATGGAGATAAATCATCTTAAAAAGCAAATTTAATAAGTTATTATGGAAAATGAAGATTTATAAAAATTACTTAATTAAACTAGATAAAATCTAAATAATGAAATTAATAAAACCACTACTCTAGAAAAGTAATTAGCTGATAATGCCTAAGATATTTAGATTAAAGAATAGCAATTACTTATGCAATATAAGGAGTTAGAAGCTTAAAAGTTGAAATTCGATAAATTATTCCAAGAGAATACATCCTACCTAAAATAATAGCAAAATCAATTTGATATTAAATTGTTGTAAAATTAACAGTAAAATAAATTGGTAAATTATAAATCTTATTAGTTAGTAAACAGAACAAATTTTATAATAAAAAAATAAAGAAGTCAATAATCTTAATGACAGAATCAATGTTTTATTGCAGAAAATTGATGAATAGGCATCCTACATATAGCAATTATCCTATCAAAGTAACATTAAAGGGGAAGAAATCGAAGAAACTAGACCACAAATTCAAAGTCTTAGAAATGAATTACACAGACTTCAATAGCTTACTGTGGAATAGAGTAATGAAATAGATAATTGGAAATTAAAGACTATTCGTATGGAGGAAAATTATGAAATGTAAAATAAAGACCAACTTGAGAAATTATAAAGATTCTAAGATGAAATTCAATAGCTTTAAACTAAATTACATAAAACCTAAGAAGAAAATATCAAAATAACCAATAATTTATAAGAAACCTTATCTAATTTAAATTAAATACAATAATTATTATCAGAAACCCATTAATAGTTAAAATTTGCAGAAAATAGAATTGAAATATAATCTCAAGAACTGGCTGAAACTAGTTAATTAAGAGAGTAATTGGGTTTACTTAAAGAAAAACATTAAAAAGAGATTGAAGCCTTAAAAAAGGCAGTGGATTCAAGTTTGAAAGTTAAAATTGAAAAAGAGATTGCATAAGAGAGAGAAAAACTTGAAAACTATTCATAATAGATTACATTAGAAAAAAGAAGCTTGGAAAACGTTATTTAGAATTTAAACACAGAAAATTAGTTGTTGAAAACCGAAATCATGCAATAATAGGAATATTTCAAATTGTAAGTTTAAGATCTGATAGTAGATTAATAAAAATATTTAATAAATATAGATCATGTTTATAAGTAAATGATAATAAATATTATTTTAGATTAGAATTAAAAGGTTTATCTGAAGCATAGTAAATACAATATAATTAATTTGTTGTGTAACTACATTCATAAATTGCCACATTGACGGAAGAGAATAAAACTCTTAAGGAATAATGTTAATCATGGTAATTGTAACTAAAACAATATGAGAAATAAAGTACTAAACTTATTAATGAAATGGGTAATATATTTATATTGACCATATTGATAGAGTATCGAGTATCATCTTTAAAAAAGGATAACAGTAGACTAATTGATGAGAAATGCTACGAAAAGTCCAAGAATACTTTTCTTGAAACTTAAATAAAGCGTTCGACTCCTGTTAGAGATGTTCGGTCATCCTCAACCTATGTAGTTGGGACTCCAAAAAGAAATAGATATGGTAAATAGTCAGTCTTAAGAGAGATAGACTTAATTAATCATTACTATTGATAATCATATAGTTTAAACATATTTGAATAATTTTCCTTATACGATTAATTCTAAACTTAATCAATAATTATAAATTAATTTATATGTTTATAAAAACAAGCTGCTCATGACAACCGTCTAAATTTTTCTGTTAAAATAATGAAATGTATTATATTTAAGTAAATAATGATCAAGACTTCTTCGTTAATGTACTTATTGTGAGAGCATTTATAGAGTTTTGAGTTCTTGGAGACTCTTATGGTTTATTGTAATGCAAAATTCTTTTGACACTAAAATTAGTTTCCTTTTTGATGTTGGCAATGGACATTTTCTTGTATCGCTGAGAACTAAACTATAGGCAATAGATTTTACTTATTTTGCTAATCCGGTATTTTTTCCAAGATTATGTTTTTCGAGGATTTGCTTTTTAACTGTTCCAACATTTAATCGTACATTTCTTTAGATATTCCAATATGTCCATGACTGGGACTTTGGGATGGAAGATCAGATAAAGTTTTTCTTACTTATATAAATTAATTACTCTAACTTATGGCTTATTTGTATTATTTTAGCAGCTTACTATTCCAAAGTTTTCGATGCTTAATTAGACACTCCCATTTACATAGCCTAATCTTACATAGAGGTCTTTTCTTTCTACAACGTTATAATTTTATCCTCATATAAAGTTTTCAAGTCTTATATTTGCTTTTTATGTCTTTTTTGCACTTCTTCAATTTGCGAGTTGAACTAACTCTCTTGAACTAATAATTATTCTGATTCTTGAGCTTAAATTTGTTCTTATAAATTCATAATGTCTTTTTTTAAAGTTACATTTTCAGCTCTTAAATTTTAGTAATCTGCTGCCCTTTCTTATAATTATTGAATTTATTTTCTAAGTAATTAAAGTTATTAGGATAAGACCTCTATTTAAAGGGACATCTTGTTGTTTTAGATGCTCAATTAGTGATTCAAAATTTCCAAATCTCCTGTTTAATTCATTTTTAATTTGATATTTATTAGAAAAATAAATCAGACTCTGTTCTTATTTAAAACTATTAAATGATAATATAATGTGATCTAAAATTTAGATCCATTATTAAATATTATATTATTGATCATGTATGAATAGAGATACACTATAATCATTTTTTTTAAGTCTAATCCATAGACAAAAACAATATTTTTGGATTTTTGTTTTTTGCAATAAGTTAAGTAGTTTCAAAATATCGAATTTACATAGCTGCCTTAGAATCTAACATATCAGCAGCCTCTCTCATGAGTTTAGCAGCTTCAACATCACTCTAGAGTTTAACATAACAATACTTTTGCTGAAATAATTTTGGACTAAGCTAATTTCTAGGCTTTGGGTGCATTTGTAATGAACTTTATAATTCACCTCCCATTTACATATCCTTAATGAAAAAATGCTCTAAGAAGATTCCTAATATAAATAGACAGTGAAATATACCCCACTCTGATACAACATCAAATACAAAACCCTCTATTTCATCAGCAATCTTTTATCTATTCTCAATTATATCCGATAGATTGTGTTCACCAGCAACTGTTCGAGGAGTCTTAAATCAATATATATTAATGCCGCGTATGTTATTTCTTTAATTGCTTCAACAATTTTTTGACTCTATAGGCTGATTTACAAACGTCTACAACTCTATAATATACAATTGTATCAATATTGACATTGATATTGTCTTTAGTCAAAATGAGTTATCTCTCTAAATCAATTCTATCTGTAAGGCTAAGGGATAGTCTAAATAGATTACGGATTGAATTCATGTAGCCCAGGTTCCAAGGTCCTTTAATATTTTCCAAACTTTTATAACAATCCCTTGGATCATTGTGTTATTTCATAATATGGATATGGAAAGCAACAACAACAGCATGGTAACCAGGCTCTCAAGGTTCTAAAGAAGGATTCAAAACAATTTAAAACGCTTTCATAACATGTCATTATCTCATTCATTTAATCATCCCTTTTTTTAAATAAAGGATGAAATTACATTTCAAAATTAGTTCTTGATCTTCTCATTTAACTTTTCTCTGTTAAATTGACTTCAACTAGCAACATTTAATTATAAAGTAATTTAATTATTAGATTTCACATTTAGAGAATGGTCATATTTATCTAAAATACATTATCAAATCATTATGATACTTCAATCAAAAAAATATTATAGATCAAAATCTCACTTCTCAAATGTTTAATTAACGACCATTGAATGCGCTAATTGGTTAACTATTTTTTCGTTCTCAACGTAAATTTTATTTGCATCCTTTACCTATATACACATATAAGATATTTGCTATTATAATCTCTATATTGATTACTTTTCCATCAATTTCACAATTTATTTATTTCACTTCTGGTTCAATTATAAAAACATCAGTTAATTCTCTAATCTTCTCATAAATTTCTTATGAGGCATTATAAATAGATAGACTAGCAAAATTTAATTTACTATCAACTATCACAAATCCAGCGGGCACTGNTAATCCATAGACAAAAACAATATTTTTGGATTTTTGTTTTTTGCAATAAGTTAAGTAGTTTCAAAATATCGAATTTACATAGCTGCCTTAGAATCTAACATATCAGCAGCCTCTCTCATGAGTTTAGCAGCTTCAACATCACTCTAGAGTTTAACATAACAATACTTTTGCTGAAATAATTTTGGACTAAGCTAATTTCTAGGCTTTGGGTGCATTTGTAATGAACTTTATAATTCACCTCCCATTTACATATCCTTAATGAAAAAATGCTCTAAGAAGATTCCTAATATAAATAGACAGTGAAATATACCCCACTCTGATACAACATCAAATACAAAACCCTCTATTTCATCAGCAATCTTTTATCTATTCTCAATTATATCCGATAGATTGTGTTCACCAGCAACTGTTCGAGGAGTCTTAAATCAATATATATTAATGCCGCGTATGTTATTTCTTTAATTGCTTCAACAATTTTTTGACTCTATAGGCTGATTTACAAACGTCTACAACTCTATAATATACAATTGTATCAATATTGACATTGATATTGTCTTTAGTCAAAATGAGTTATCTCTCTAAATCAATTCTATCTGTAAGGCTAAGGGATAGTCTAAATAGATTACGGATTGAATTCATGTAGCCCAGGTTCCAAGGTCCTTTAATATTTTCCAAACTTTTATAACAATCCCTTGGATCATTGTGTTATTTCATAATATGGATATGGAAAGCAACAACAACAGCATGGTAACCAGGCTCTCAAGGTTCTAAAGAAGGATTCAAAACAATTTAAAACGCTTTCATAACATGTCATTATCTCATTCATTTAATCATCCCTTTTTTTAAATAAAGGATGAAATTACATTTCAAAATTAGTTCTTGATCTTCTCATTTAACTTTTCTCTGTTAAATTGACTTCAACTAGCAACATTTAATTATAAAGTAATTTAATTATTAGATTTCACATTTAGAGAATGGTCATATTTATCTAAAATACATTATCAAATCATTATGATACTTCAATCAAAAAAATATTATAGATCAAAATCTCACTTCTCAAATGTTTAATTAACGACCATTGAATGCGCTAATTGGTTAACTATTTTTTCGTTCTCAACGTAAATTTTATTTGCATCCTTTACCTATATACACATATAAGATATTTGCTATTATAATCTCTATATTGATTACTTTTCCATCAATTTCACAATTTATTTATTTCACTTCTGGTTCAATTATAAAAACATCAGTTAATTCTCTAATCTTCTCATAAATTTCTTATGAGGCATTATAAATAGATAGACTAGCAAAATTTAATTTACTATCAACTATCACAAATCCAGCGGGCACTGTATTTTACTGTGTATAACTTACCAAACTTTTGCTAGCTAGAATCACACCTTTATTTATTCCATCTTTAAGATCTCCTATGGTACACATCTAAAGTGGTTTATCGAATCCTTTAGGCTATTCTCTCAATCCTATTGGAATTTATTTGACAATATTTGATAGTTTCTTTTATGTTATTCTGCATTTGTTTGTAACCAAATCATGTACTTTTAGTACTTTCTATTAGACTTCTTTTAATGTATCGTTGGTTAAGGATTAGTCAATTTTATTGGCCTTCTAATAATCATTGAAGGCTAATTGATAATCTTCAAAATAACAGTGAATCTAGGATTAGATAGTATACTATTACATTTCCTCTATTGAAATATAAATCAGGGTTTTCTCTAGTTTAATTCTTTTCTGATTAATTGTATGCAGATAAAGCGAGATTTAATTCATTATTATTTTTTTTTGGATTCATGAAATAATCAGACAGGTATGCATTCCCAACCAAATACCAAGATTATGCATTTTTTAAATCAAAAGTTAAGGCTTTCTTAGCTATTTCTAATGATTTGGTCACATTTGCACTCTTATCCTTTTGATCTCCGACTTGTCTCAAAACAATCGATAAGTATTATAATGATTTTATATTATTTGGATCTTTTTCAATTGCAGTTTCAAAACATTATTTGGCTGCAAGAAAATCTTTTTTCTTCCATAATATATGTCCAAGGGTATTTAAGCTGTCTATGTGAAAAGGGTTCAATTTCATCTAAATTTGATTTTGAATTAATTTTTACTGCTTTGGTAAGAGCTTCTTCAGCAAATTTGGAATATTCTGGTAGAATATCGGAAGCCTTTCCTTTCAAGAAATAGAGCTCTATCTTATGCTTCTTTGAGACTAAAAATATAAAAAATTCAAATTACTTTCTAATTCTTCATTTTCAATAAAGGAGTCAATTTACTTAATAATGGATGTAACTTGAGGTTTGTAATGTTCTCCTTTTTGAAAATCATACTCTGCCTCTTCAGTCAGTTGATCAACTTAAAGTTTTAATTGTGAAAGTTATTCCTCCATGTAAATATTAAATTAAGAAAATAAAAAAATTAATAAAGATATTAGCTAAGAATATTATTCTTATGAATGTTGTCGTTTATACTAAAATAAAATGATAAAAAGAAGAAGTAAGGTTTAAAACATCTTATAGAATATTACTTGTTATATTTCATAATTAATTAATAAAAATGCAACAAAATTATGCAGAATCATTGTTTTCATATTTTACATAGGTGGCAAATTAATCTTAGACAGGCCGAAAAATAATTGAAGAGATTATAGATTTGTTTGAAGAGAGAGCAAATTTAGAAGAAAAATATGCCAAATCATTAGAAAAATTGGTGTCAAATATTGCCAAATTGGATGAGAAATAGCAGTACTAATATTAAGTGATTAATAGAATGTACAAGGTTCCTATTTTCTGTTTGAAAAGTCTAACAGCAAGCAGGTAACATTAGGCTTTGAGTTTGTGTTCTTAAATAAGGGAGGATCTGATTACGTAGCTCAAATAAGTCATTCAATAATAAAATGGTACATCAAAAAAGCTGATAGAAGAAGCCAAGAAAATGGAAAAGGAAAATTTAGTCTTAAATCAGGAACTCAAGAAAGTATTATTGAATTAAAAGCTAATAGAGTTTCTAAGATTACAAATAAAAGAAAAGAGAGTATGAGTAGTATGCAACTGTTTTGGTAGTCTATAATCTACTATCTGAATACTCAGAGAAGAAGAGAATCAATTAATACTATAAGGTGAATCAAATCAAGAAGGAATACTTAGATCTTGAATAATAATATAAACAATCTGTGTTCGAGTATAATTCCAATTGTGAAACCTCTAAAACTAGAATGCAAGAAATATTAAATGTAATGTAAGAGTAAGAAGAAAAGAGAATTGGTATATTCTTAGATACTTTAATACGACAAATTGTAAATAGTTAATTTATTCACACTTAGATCTTTGAAGTTTCTCATTCTAAAAATGTCTAATATGATCTTGAGAAAATTACAGAAGTAATCAATGAAATCTAACCTAAAGATGAAGTTAATAAATTTATTACCAATGTTAAACAAGATGGTCCAACACTTTTTGAAAAAACAGAAATAGTTCATTTGAACACCTATATTAGCAATAGTTTATAAAAGTTCTTCTAGAAGGAATTTGATGAATTATTGAATTTAAATAATGACGAGTCTGTTAATAAAATTATTGCTAGTATTGATTAAGGAATCGAGGTCTTACCAGAAGATTAAAAATAATAGGAAACTTATTATGCTGCTAAATTGATACATGATTGTTGGCAGGAAGAGGAACTCTCAATTCAAGTATTCTAAGAATTAAAGAAAAAAACAAAAGATAATTATCAATTGAGAATGCTTATAATTGTAGCAATTTAAAATAAAAGACTGAATACTTAATTTAAACTAGGAGTTATAGCCTTTTAGAATGTACTTAAATTATTCAATTCATTATTGGAAATAGTATTAAATTCAAATAATTTAGTGCTTAGATACATTTGATGCAGGGACTTCAAGATCATTGATGAATCTTTCATTTACATTTTATTAAGAAAGGATTGAGAATAACAAAACACAATGTTATTTTTTATCGAATGAATTTGCTAAACATCAGATTTGGGAAACTCGAGATTTGTGGGAAACAAGTATTATATAATAAATTTATGAAAAAATAAAAGAGTAATAATAAAAATAAAGATTACCAAAGTATTATTTATATTTCAATTTAGTCAAAATGAATAAATTTAGGCAGAAAAGAATATGATATTAACTATTTTAACTCAAATGGCATAAAATATGTTATTGTTTAATTTTAAAATTGGAGCATTGAAAGATATTATGTATAAATTTTTAGCATTTTTTGAATTGAATGAAGAAATAACAGTTGATTTATTTGTAATATATTAATTTAATTTTAGAATGCAATTGAAGGATTTGAGAACTAAAAAAAAATTAATGATTAATTAGAGAAAGAAGCATAGTTTCAAAAAATATAACAATAAATTGAGAAATCTAAATAAGAAAATAAAAAGGATTGATTTCTAATTTAAATTCTGTATTGTAAACAAGATATTTGGCAATTAAAAATTATAAATAATAATTTTAAATTATATTTTTAGGAAACATATATATGAACTTTAATCCAATCTTCAAATTTAAGTCATTACAAATTAATGAAAATCGTCTAATTGATAATCAACTCCTTTAAAAATATTTGATAAATCTTTCAATATATATGATGATATATCAGTACTTTTTAATAAGTAATTGACTAAAAGATATAGCCAAACAATAACCTAAATTATTCCAATTAATAAGATTGTATGAGAGATATATTAGTAGACAAGATCTAAGATATAAAACAAATAAAAGAATGGTGAATATAGAAAGAGAAATAAATATATAATAATAACGATAATATCTAATATCTAATTACTAATCAAAAAGAGTTTTTTCTCTTTTTGTGATTGCCAAACCTCTTGGATTTTGGATGTTCAGATTTGTCAACCTTTTTCTTTTGTTTAAAGCTTGTTTCAAAGTTTTTGATTTCCTTTCTATTATCTTTAGTATATGTATGCACTGTATTGAGACCCTCATCAAAGGAGACTTTTCTAAAATCAGTGTTGGAATAAAATCTTTTTCTGTCCTGAGATGAATTATCTAAGGGGGTTGGAAGATGATGGGTCTTAAGAATGGATTGAGATTTCTAGTCTTCCCATTCAATAATTGGATCTGGTTGTTTATTTACTTTTGATTATTAATTGTTATTTTCCATTTGACTATCGATGCTAAGTATTAATTTTGAATCTGTTTGATTGTTTAGCATAATGAAAGGGTACTTTAAAATTTTAGATGATTGTTAAAATTATATAGAAATATAGTATTAATAATTTGATAATTGTGTATGAATAATATAAAATACTGAGAAATCAAGATCATGACTTAAGAGCTATAATATCTGCAAACTCCTCAAGAACTACCTTACAATATGAATAATATTGATGCAATGATTACTTTATTAAGCTATCAGGTACTGGTTCATATAAAGGTGATTAATCGATAATCTTCCATCCATCTATTTGTAATAACTTCTACAATTTTTTATTCTAAAAGTATTCTTCGATTTTCACTCTATCTTATAAGGACTATTTCGATTGTACTTCATCCATGACTTATTGCAATTTTAAATATTTATCCTTCTTTTTTAATTTTTTATTATATAAACTACAAGAATCTTACTCAGTACTGGGAGTATTAATGTGAATGATGGGCATTTTTTGTTATCTCCGAGAGGTCTTCTTTTCTAACTTCTTTCTTTGTAGTCCAAATTACAATAATTGTATGTGAAATTGATCATTTAATTGATTGTCATTTTCTTTAATATCTGATCTGGCCTATCCCAAACATTTTCCTGTCATTTCACATAACTGTATATAGGTGTCAATATTCCTCAGTCTATTAAGTACCATAAACTCTGCTATATCTTAATGACTTTTAGGAACTAGAGATTAGGTTAATTGATGTTATTGAAGTTATTGAATGAGTAAATTGATTTATTTAGCTATGACATCTTTTTACTTTAATTCCTCTAAATATGAGTGCATTTAATTTAATTAATGATTACCCTCTTGACAGCTATATTTTTGATGGTCATCTAAGAGATGACCAAAAAATAGAAGGATTTCTTATTTGATTTAAAGGAGGGTAAGTCAATATCCCTAGACCTCTCTACTAAATATGTTAATATTAAATGTGCGTCTTCAAGATGATGATAAGATCTCTGATTTGAGTGAAATTCAATTCAAAAATTCAGATAACACTCATGAAACAGGAGCATTTTATGAGAGTGCAATATTAATTCCACAACCTGTGAAATCACTTAAAAATGCATTATATCTCCATCTAAAGGAAAGATCACATTAGTGAATAATGAATAACTGAATAACTATAGAACAAGTTATATGCAAATGAAATCATTGGTAAGTGGTAAAATGCTTTAGTTGCAATAAGTGGAGATTTGAATTTTAGACAAAGACATCAATTATTGCTTAATTGAATCTAAATAAAGAATTGCATGATATTGAGATTATACAGACAAAAAAAATCAATTAGAATGATCAGAAAGAATCCTTTTATTAAAGTCTCAATAAATAAAGCAATAATGAATATATTTCAAAATCCTCGAAATGCAAGGCTAATATATTTGAAGTGAGCAGATGTTAGATGATAATAAAATAACATGAGAATACGAAATAATAATAAATGAATAATTATTAGTAGGCCAATCATATATTCAACAATATGTACAAAAAACTGATTCTAATGTATTATGTAGATATGTAATAAAAGTGAAAACGACTATGGATTTATTAGTAGTAATTAAATTATAATTGAGCTTTGTCTAATTACCTTTATACTATAGCTTTTCCTGATTCTTCAAGGAGCAAAATATTACAATATTTATCATTATTAATCTTATTCAGATCGGCAAAAAGAAGTGTAATAAAACAAAATCAATCTCCTTTTACTAAGCTATCATTCCTCCCAGATTAAACTTAGAAGAAAATGACAAAGATTATAATATCAATTGATAAGTCAATTGAAATCAGAAACTTCAATGTCAAAACTATAATGTTGATATCTAAATTATTGTTATGAACAACAAAAAAGGCAGACCTTTATTATATAATTTTTACTCAATATCTAACAAGTAATGGTTAATTCTTAAAGGATTGAATAATTAACACCTTCAATAACATTCTATCATTCATAAAAATTCAATAATAATAATTATAACTGTTTTTAAAAGTAAATCCATATCGAAATCTAAATACTTTGTCATATGAGGATTACTTAAAAATAGAAATTTCAAATGATACACAACAAACTAATTTCAATTATCAGTGCTTCCCAATTCATATTAATTAACTAACTACATTTCTTGAAGGTATGGTTACAATTAAATGCAAAGTCTATTGAAGATATCTTCAAATGAATTTAACGATATTGAATATTATTTCAATCCATGAAGAGATTAGTGATTGAATAATTGATAATATAATTATAATGTAGACTTTACAATCAGTAATTCAATAATGACTGTATTCCAAATTAACCATTGCTTAGACTTTACTACTCTACTAATAATTATTAAATATAATAGACTTACATATTCGCAATTTTGGTTAAGAAGTCTTTATGATGTGTTTATCCATTTTTTGTTGAAGAATACTCATAAACAATATTGGAAATTACTATTTGATTTAAAAAGATCAGATAATTTTTATGTAGGAGTAGACAAACAATCCTTTCATAATCAATCGGGATTGCCTTTGTCTATTTTTGTTTACTTTCAAACATATAAATGAAAATTTAATAATTAGACTATGTTGTTTATTTTCTTATTACAGAGAAATTGGTATGTTCAATAAGTAGAATTTGAAGATGCAATTAGTAAAGAGAATGGAAAATGCAAAATAGATGGAGTAAACAGTAGTGTAAAAGGGATATGATTCATTTCTGGATGAGAATAATGAATAGTCTAATTAATGATCATAAAAATATATTTATCATACACCAACACTAGGCGAAACATCATAATAGTAATTATAATCTTCGCTTAAATGAAATTGTAAACGTGGCACTTACAATTATTCGAGTAGTTATTCGTCTATGTAATCGTATTGATTTGAATCAGCTAATATATAATAATCAATAAATAAATACTGAACTGTTGATCAATCATCCTGCAGTTTTCCTGGTATCTAAGTGCATAATCTTTTTATCCAGAACTTAAGGCATTTAATATTTTTTTAATTAATATGCGTTTAATAAAAATCATCACTTTGGGAAACCATTTCAAGTGATCCTATTCCAAATTATTAAGAATTTAATAGGGATTCATTAAAAACCTCTCCACATACTCCAACATATACAATCCACAGTCTACTAGATTGGTTTATCTTGGTACTATAGGCTAATACACAGGGACATTTGATCTCATTACAATGTCATAGATTTAATCATCAGTATATCTCTTGTGTTCAAGATTATACACATGCATCAAATAAAACTTAATCTGAATTCCAATCCTTTGATCCTAAATAAGAAGTGAATCGAAATAGATTAAATACCCATTCTTATTCACATCAGTACTCAATTAATAGTTATTATTACACAATTGTTCGCAAACTTGCAATGGATTCACTACAAATATCACTGCCCAATGTTCACGTAAATGCAGAGGAAACAAAATGTATTGTTTCATAAAGATGTTATCCTTTGTCCATCTCTGTAACATTTAATTGTTCGATAAATACTGCGTATAAATTTGTTTGTATTCTGCATGAAATGATAGAAGTCGAGTGCAAAAGTAGGTGTTGTAAATAAATAGAGATTTGTTTTTGAAGATATCATTCTCAATGAATCTTAAGAAAAAGTTAATGATAGTATCATTGACATAATTCTGAGGGTTTAATTTCAAGAAATCATAATACTTTATGTCAATACTTACTTATTTCCTCTAACTCATAAATTGATATGTGCATTTGAAATCCTCTTTTACTTTCTCATCATAAGCATGATGTTTAGATTGCAAGTCTAATTCATTTATTAATTCTAAATAAGCTTGCTATTGCATTTCCTATTTCATTTCATATTATATCTTACTTTCTGCTTCTGAATCTTCTCTTTTAATTGATGCTTAACAATCTAATCTAATTCGCTTTCTTCTTGAGTTACAACATCACATTCGTATGTCATTGTTGGCTTTAAATTCATTAACCATTTCGGTGAAACTAGTTGTGGTGCAGCTATTATCTCAATATCCTGCTCTTTTTTTTGTTATTGCGTAATTGTCTAAATTATTTGCATCGCTTTTGTTGATTATTATATTTCCAGTTTCTCCAATTAATTCAACAACTCCAGATGCTCTAGTCTCTTATTTTGAATAAGCTACTCCATCTTGTTTTAATATTATTTCTTTTTTTGTTTTATCATTTAATTTATATTATAAAAAAGGTGGATTTAATTAACCAAACAAATTTCATGATAAAAATATATTTATTCAATATAACTAATCCCACTTTCATTCAATTACATCAAATTACCTTTCCTTATTCTCTCTCATAGTAATACTCAAATTAATTATTATATTATTTATATATATTTGGTATTATAAATTTAATCAAAATAATAGCATCTTTTTTTGCTAGAATTTAAAATCATCTAAATTATTAGAATATTATATTATTGTTTTTTTATTATGATATTAAAAGATGAAATATGATAGAGTTTCTAATTAAATTATGAAAAACCCTACCAAATTCTATTATAATATACTGAATTATCTGTTTTTTCTTAGAAAATCGAGTTTAGAAACTATTAATTCTAATGAATATAATATATACTTTTAATTTATATCCAAATAATCATTTAAATAAATGATAGTTTACAAAAATATAAGTAAGACTCTAATGTTAGTTTAAACTAGATTATCAATAGTTAACAAATTTAGAATATAAATGCAAAATTAAAAGCAATAATCTATGTATTGTCTGATTCAATATATTAAACATTCTTGCTCCAACCATATGGATTCTCTAACTTTTAAGAATATCAATTAACTTCAATTATTTTTTTAAAGCCTAAAGTAATTCTGTTATTTATAATTCAATTATTTAATTATCCTTTTTGAATTAGTCTAACAAGAAATTACCTTATCAGTCATTTTTGGACATTTTTTTGTATTTTCAATATCAACTTTTACATTTATTTAATTGGCCAATTAATTCCAATATCATTCTTATTAGCCTCAACATCAATTTTTCCTATATTCCTTCTTCGCAGATTCAATTTCTTTGGTGATTGCTAGAGTCTTTTATTGTGTCTCTCATAATTTAAATCTAAATTATTAGTATTTTTCATTTAAACTAGCAATTTGTGCATTATACTTTTTGGTTTGATCTATAGTGTTCTTATCTTTTTTTATTCTATTTCTAAATTAAATTTTTTTTCATTATATTTATTAGAGCACATTACCTTATTCTTATTTCAAAGCATCTATCTTTAGACTTGAAATTCTTAATATTTTCTCAAAATAATTCTTAATTTTTTCTAAATATTTAGATCGAAACACTTTGTTCATCCACAATCAATTCCTATTACAAAATTTCTTAATTTTTAATCATATTCAAAGGTTATTGACTATCGCTATATTACAAGCCACTTTTTAATACTTCTTACTTGATTAACCATCTATTAAATAGCAATATCATTATTGAAAACTTAATCTTTTGATGAATCATAATTTTATTATTATTGTCAATCTTAATCGCTTTTATCATTATGAACCTAATGTAGATTAGAGATGATAAACACATCATTGAATTCATTTTCATCATTCCTATCATAATAATCATCTCATAATTTGAATCTATATCTTTGAATTTGATCTATAATTCTATCAATCAGTTCATCCATAATCTTCTTTCAAAGCTCTGCTTTATTATTCTAACTCTTAGTTCATTCCTATTTAATTACTGTTTTTTTGTTCTCACATTATCATAATTAACCATATTAATATTATATTTATTCATTTCTCTACAAATACATATGATTTTTTCAATTTATCCATGTCTTTTTCTAGTTATATCAATTCTTTTTCGAATTATTCCTTTCTTCGTTTCAATCCAACAGTGTCAAACTTTTTAAGATGAGTACATTGTTGATATTGTTTATTAATTTCATCATATCTTTATTTCAAGCCTTCCCTAATTTATTTTAAATCTTCTTCAGACAATAATTATCTAATTAAGATTAGATATTTACAATTTATCATTTTGTGCTTCCAATTATCGCTTAACGTTTTCTTATTCCTCTAGATAAGATTATTGGAGGTGATCTTTGATTTAACTTAAATATAATGGAATTTATCCATAATCTTTTTTGGTTAACCAATTCAATTCTTGTTATTGTTGTTTTGGAGCTAAAAATAAAGATTTAAATAACATTTGAGAATAACATCAATCTTGTTTGTAGCTATGAAATTTCTATTAGATTATAATCCCATAGTAGGCTTTTCGATAGATCTAGGAACCAGAGGTTTTAATTTATTTCTATGCGATTGAGTCAATTCTCGACTTCTTGCAAGAGATCCCTTCTCAACCCATTCATCCAAATTGTTTGTACCCATAATTCTTGGTTTGATGGGAGAAAGTTGTTCTAAATAATTGAATTCAATTATAAACATGTTTTTGCTTTTCCTATCGTTCCACTCTCAGATGCATATCTTTAAGATGTCAACTAGTAATCTCCACTAATATTTTTAACCTTGTGTAAAGACTGAATTCATACCTATATAACATTTGAGTGATTAGCAAATGTACTATAAGATGGTTATATTGTACCAGGAAATTAGGATTTATATTTTTTTAATCTCTTAGATGGAAGTGGATCCTCAATTATTATATTATAGATGCTTTCTTCCATTAAATAATTAATTATATTTCACAAATCATATTTTTCTTCTCTCTTACTCCTTGACTCTTTATTCTCATAATTTCTGATCATTTCATCCAATTATGGATCGGTTTTGCCATTATGAAAGATATTGCTACATGGCTTATTATCTGGCCAAGGTACAATGTCATAATGTACATTACTTTCTCCTATATTTTCTAGCCAACTAAGATTAACAAATATAGATACTCTTAAAATTTATCAGATAGTAAGCCTCCTTTTAACATTGGAATTTAGAATTTAGGATGGTTCCATGATTCAGTCCAAATGACTAATTCATTAAATACACAACTTATAGCCCATAATCCCCAATCTGGTTTTGCTCTCATCAAATCCTTCAATTATTATAGAATGTTTAATCTAATCTTTTCTATCTATTTCTTTTCTTTAGGAGTGCATTTATCCAAATGGATCTTATCAATGCATTCAAATCCATCAGTAATTTCTAATTGCCACCAGTCATATTGAGAATGCACGATAAAAGTGGGGATATCAATTTTTAAGAGAGCATCAAAAGAAAAAATATCATTCATGGTTATACCTGCTCTCTTTGTAGCCTCAGTGTATGCATCAATGATATCTTGATTTCTAGATATATCAAAAATAACACTATCCAAAAGAATCCTCAATTCAACCTCTTCCTAATAAAATTCTTTTATGGCTGTTCTTAATTCATTATATTTATTTACTATATACCATCCTCCTACACCAGATCCTGCTAATATAATTCTTTTAGGGATTAACTTCATTTAAGATAGAGCTCCCTTAAAGACTTTTGAATTCATTTGTGTATACCACATATTGCCATCACAATACATTAAAAACATTTTATGAGCTTTTCTAAGATGCACATTTTAATATTTGTTATTTCCCATTAAACCTTAATTAGCATTGAATTCTTCTGGATATCCATTGGTACTACCATAGAATGTAGTATTTCTATAAGTGCAATTATCAATATAAACATAATCTCCAAATTTCAGAAATTTTGTGCTATCTTCAATGCAGATTCCCCCAGAATAGAAATACATAATTAAGTCATCAGAGCTACCTTCAAAGAGATAACCAGCTGCTTTTGTGCCATCCATACAATATGAATCTTCTAAATAAGTTCTATGCAATGGATGTGCGAATGAACCCTCGTCATCAGGAGGCGGTATTAAAAAGTCATCATCTTCAAAGGATTCTTCTTCTCCTTAGGCTGCAATCACAAATATTAATGATGCAAAATAAATAAAGAACATTCCTTAATTATAATACTCAAATTAGTAAATTATTGATATCCTCAAAGCTAATTTCTTGACTAAAATGTCTGGACCAATTCCTTATCGACTTCAGCAATTGCATAACCTACTGAGAGGTCTAAAGGAATTAAGAAATGACTTTTTATGAAGCTTTTTAAAAAGTATATAATTTCCTTATAATCTTCTAAGATCTGGGATACTGTACTTCGTTTGTGAATTAGTAAACATCGAATGTGATATTGAAAACATAAAAAATACACAGCAAAAAGATCTATAAGTACATGCATAATGGCAGCTCCAGGAACAAGTTATTTGATGCCAGAACCCTACAGAGTTGTCTTAGTTATAGGGTAACTTTTGTTGAACAAGATTATTTGTTAGTTAAAGAATCAATTCTAGATGATGTTTTCAACACTTTTAAATCGTAAATATAAGACTTTAATGGACCAGAAACAAAAATTCTGGATGTCTAAACAGAATAGTGAATGAATTTCATACTAATAGAATTGCTGAATATTTAAATAATCATGGAGGTAATTTAATCAAGGTGGTTAATATGATTTAAAAGAAACATGGATTGAACCAACACGTGTAGTTAACCCTGATCCTAATAGTGAATTAATGAAAAATGAAATATTTGGACACTTATAAGTAGATAGAGGTAGCTATTAATTTCATTAATTCTATACTCATTTAATTAATCAAGAATTGCCATTTGGAGGAGTAGGTGAATGGTTATGGAGTCTGTGGCAGCAGGTTTGATTGATGTCAGAAATTAAAACCTATGATTGAAAAATCAAAAATTGATCCGCCAGCAAAGTATAATATCTACTTGATTATTAAGATATCCCCCATTTAAATCCAGCTAAAAACCTAAATGAACTTCTTAACTAAGTTAGTAATATATACCTAATAAGAAATTTGTATAAATTCCTATTAGTTATTTTAATTTTTGGGGTATCCTTATATTAATTAATGCTTTACATATTTATGAAAGTACAATAACTTGTTTTGTGGATATTCTAAAAACTAGCTTTAAATGGTTATGATAAATTTTATCATTATTAGTTAATAAGAATTAATGATATATATAATGTATATGATGTTATATTCATTTCCATGAATTTCTAATGAATTTCTCATAAGTTGCTTCACTTTCTATTAGAGCACTAATATCAGTTAAATATTCATTAAATTATTATTAAGTAACAGCTTAGACATCTTTCCAAATGTCATTAAAGTCTTTAGTAGCATCAGCAACAGTTTTGATACCTAAGGTTACATCTTGACTCTTAGAAGCATCATAAAATTCTATAGAATTATTATGTTAAACTTACATTTAAGTTGTTAAATTGTAATTGACTATTATCCATTTGATATTCTATTCCATAATTAATTTACTAGATCTGATCTAAATTAAGTAAGTGGTTCTTTATTTAAACATAATAACATACTTCTTAAAAAACTAATGAATTCAACAAATGAGACTTCATCATCACAATTCTTATCAAAATATCTAAAGAGATTGTCATATTCTGTCTTAGTAAGTAAAAATCCGGATTCCTTCATAGCCCATTGGAATTCTTGTCTATTTAATGTTCCATTCTTATTTTTATCAGAATTAGCAAAGATTGTAGCCATTCTAATAACAGAATGTTAACCTTTCTTTATTAAATCAGCTCTAATTCGATTCAAAGTTTCTGAAGGTGGGGCTCTTGCAATTTGAAATACTGGATTAACATTTGCATTATTTCCAGATCCCATTAAAGCAATCAATCCACAGATTTCATCATAACATAATCTTCCACTTTTATCAGCATCATATTTATTAAATAATGCTTAAATCTCTTTATCACTGAAAACACAGCCAAACTTTTAAAGAGCCTAAGCAAATTAATAGATATCAATAGTCCCTTTATTTTCTAAATCAAAATACATAAATGCCTTCTTGGCTGTCTTACCTTCATCATCCTTTGTAACAGTCTTCTGTCTTATTTTTTCAAACAAAATGATTTCTAATTGAGCAAGTCTTTCTGGAGAAACATAATCAGCTCCTGATGTTACTCCCCAAGTAGATGTCAATAACTAGACATAATATGATAGAGAATACATCTGTAAAATATTCTTCTTTTTCACTGGGTAGAGTTGCGTTGCAGTCAGCATAATAATTCAGGAATTCATCTTCACTGATACTTTGACCGTCTTTGCTTCTTTTAGAGATGGCATTAACAAATTCTTTTGTAACTTGATCTGCAGTCTTTTATCTAGTTCTTACTCTTGGATGATTTTTTGATTGATAGAGTCTATATAAGCTTTCTAAAAGTAGTCTTCCTTGTCTTTGATGATCAAGGAATGCGAAGGTACTTCTGACAACATTGATTCTTCTTTCACTCATATTCTCTCTTATGAGATTCACAAATTCAGCATAAGCTATATTTCCATCTTTATTTGAATCATATTTATCATAGACTGNATTATTAGTTAATAAGAATTAATGATATATATAATGTATATGATGTTATATTCATTTCCATGAATTTCTAATGAATTTCTCATAAGTTGCTTCACTTTCTATTAGAGCACTAATATCAGTTAAATATTCATTAAATTATTATTAAGTAACAGCTTAGACATCTTTCCAAATGTCATTAAAGTCTTTAGTAGCATCAGCAACAGTTTTGATACCTAAGGTTACATCTTGACTCTTAGAAGCATCATAAAATTCTATAGAATTATTATGTTAAACTTACATTTAAGTTGTTAAATTGTAATTGACTATTATCCATTTGATATTCTATTCCATAATTAATTTACTAGATCTGATCTAAATTAAGTAAGTGGTTCTTTATTTAAACATAATAACATACTTCTTAAAAAACTAATGAATTCAACAAATGAGACTTCATCATCACAATTCTTATCAAAATATCTAAAGAGATTGTCATATTCTGTCTTAGTAAGTAAAAATCCGGATTCCTTCATAGCCCATTGGAATTCTTGTCTATTTAATGTTCCATTCTTATTTTTATCAGAATTAGCAAAGATTGTAGCCATTCTAATAACAGAATGTTAACCTTTCTTTATTAAATCAGCTCTAATTCGATTCAAAGTTTCTGAAGGTGGGGCTCTTGCAATTTGAAATACTGGATTAACATTTGCATTATTTCCAGATCCCATTAAAGCAATCAATCCACAGATTTCATCATAACATAATCTTCCACTTTTATCAGCATCATATTTATTAAATAATGCTTAAATCTCTTTATCACTGAAAACACAGCCAAACTTTTAAAGAGCCTAAGCAAATTAATAGATATCAATAGTCCCTTTATTTTCTAAATCAAAATACATAAATGCCTTCTTGGCTGTCTTACCTTCATCATCCTTTGTAACAGTCTTCTGTCTTATTTTTTCAAACAAAATGATTTCTAATTGAGCAAGTCTTTCTGGAGAAACATAATCAGCTCCTGATGTTACTCCCCAAGTAGATGTCAATAACTAGACATAATATGATAGAGAATACATCTGTAAAATATTCTTCTTTTTCACTGGGTAGAGTTGCGTTGCAGTCAGCATAATAATTCAGGAATTCATCTTCACTGATACTTTGACCGTCTTTGCTTCTTTTAGAGATGGCATTAACAAATTCTTTTGTAACTTGATCTGCAGTCTTTTATCTAGTTCTTACTCTTGGATGATTTTTTGATTGATAGAGTCTATATAAGCTTTCTAAAAGTAGTCTTCCTTGTCTTTGATGATCAAGGAATGCGAAGGTACTTCTGACAACATTGATTCTTCTTTCACTCATATTCTCTCTTATGAGATTCACAAATTCAGCATAAGCTATATTTCCATCTTTATTTGAATCATATTTATCATAGACTGCTCTCAATTCTTGAGTTGTTAGGAAGACACCTATTTTAGATAGAAACTTTTAGAATTCATCTTTATCCAAATAGCCTATATTAATATAAATGATACCAGAATTATCTTTATCAAACTCTGCCATTAATTGGTACACTCCTTCCAAGTCATCTATTTTGCGAGCATGTAATTAGCCTCTTATTTTGTTTTGAATCAACTCTAATTTGTTTCTCCAATCCATCAGTTATTTTTTATATTATTAATATCAGATTTTGATTAACATCTTTGTTTTTATATAATTGAATAATAATCAAAGAAAAAATCTAAAATAAAGAATAAAATATGAAGAGTTATAAGTTTATAGTGTTAAGAACTTGAATTACATGAATTGATATTGAATCACAAAAGAATACAGTGTTTACAGATTTCACAATTAGAAATAGTCGTCTAGTTGTAAATCAGCAGTTTGATTATCAATTGAGAAAGTTTCGAGTTAAATGTTAGAAACAACTTTCTATGACTTTTTTTATGTTTCAAAATATTGTTATCTCACTTGGGTCATCCATTATCTTACTTAAGGATCCAATTGAGCTAGACAATATCACAATATGTTGATACCCTTCCAATCTTAATTAAAAGTACTATAAATTTTTGCTTCCTATGCAGTTGCTAGATTTTTCAATTATTATAGAAGTAATTCATGAGAAGAGTTCTCATATAAGATTTCATTCTGATTTGAATCATCATAGGGGATATCATCAAAAATCATTACTTTTAATTCTTCTAATTTGTTTATGTTAACAACCATAAAATCTAAATACTTCTGTTAGTTCACTAATAATTCATTTATATTAATTTAGTAGTTTATTAAATATTTTCATTAATAATGGGTAAAGTTCACGTGCTATTAAAATTTTCGTGATTTAAATTTACCTCCTATTTCTACCTCAATAATACTCTATCCTTCTCATAAAAAATAGGCTAAATTGGCAATTTAAGAATTAAGAAGCATTTCTTTCTTAAATCTGAGATTTTATTAAGAATTCCAAAACTCAATGTTCTATATGACATTTTTTCAAAAATTAAGGGTGATATAATTTTTGTATTAGAGTAGACATTTCCCAAGCAATTACAATTGCATAAATTAAATAATTAATTATAAAATCCAAATTTTGCAAATCCTTTATTTGTATATTAATTATTATTGGTAAATGAAAGCAGTTAAGATGTGCTTGAAGGAATTCTTTCTGTAGAGTTAGATATAAGAACTATATAAAAATGAGAATTCTTTAAATAGTCTTACTCTCTAATTTATCTAGTCAGAATTGGAATAATGTTATTAAAATCGATAAATGGCCAAGGTTATTGTATAATTTAGGATTTCTATTGTGTTGCAAATACTAATAAATTTAGTTTACATCATCAATACTTGTTTGTTATATTAATCTCCTGAGATAGTTAAATATAGATCAATATATATAGTTTGGATGTTAATCTCACTTGCAATATAAAAGATTTCTAAGACATATTGGAATTCCCTAATTAATATACTAATTCTCATTAATAGTGTATTGAATGTGTTGCTGTATGCTTATTTTATGAAATTTGTTATCAACACCTAAGATAATATTGAAGATGTATTGAGCATTTCATTGATCTCTGGATTATAATAAGGATTGTTCTCAATAAGTTTTTTTTTAATCTAGTCTAACTATTTGATGCAGAGTTTAACCATCACTAGCTACTTTCTTACATTGATGGGAATATTTGAATAATTTTAAAATAATCGATTATGGTCACATTACATTCTATTATTGTTTACCTGCTATTTATTAAGATAGAATGAAAAAACAAGCAGACTGAATTATCTTTTAATCCACAAAACATAAACAAATTTAGAAGCATGCAAAAAATTATTTGATGAGACTGTTCCCGCATCAATTATAATATTAGAAGAAATTTCAACTTAAGATTGCTAAAAAAATGACATATTGAATTCAGCATCAAGTTAAAGAGAATAATTACACAGTCAGGAAAATAGATCAATGAATGTCACTTATTTTAACAAAAGTGCTTCGATTCATTTTGAAACTAATAATGAAGATACTCTGACAGAAAGACTACAACAAATAGAGATCATTAGTATGGACAATTCCATTTTAGATAAAGAAAGAAGGAAGTTTATAGAAAAAATATAAGACTTATAATCTAAAATTTAAACAGAAATTTAATTAAATACTTATCACTCATTTGATTATTAACTTATATCTTTACATCATAAAATGTAATGTTAAAGAGTAAAAAATCCATTTTATAATTATTAGTAAACAAAATAGGATAAACTATAATTTTATGATGCCCTTGCATAAGGTTGTCTCTGGGATGGAAAGCAATGTATCATGTTAATATTGAACGATGCTACTGATCGCGAATTGCGATTATAACATTTAAAAGAATTAGATCACTACAAAGATAATCTCTTAGCCGCAGTATCTCATGATCTAAAGACTCCTTTACATGTCTAAACACTCTTAACGAATGTGATCAAAACTAGTTTAGAAAATAAACAATAAATATATAAATCAGAAATAAAAGGTATTTATTTCTTAATCCTACTTTAGAAATCATTAACCATCTAGATGATATGTTAGCAAACCAGTAAATTCTAGCTACCATGATCAATGATCTTATCGATTATTCATAAATGAAGACCTAAGGATTGAGATTGAATCTAACGCATTTTAATCTATCCTCATGTGTATAATAAATTAGATAAATGTTTAAGACTTAAATAGAATTAAAAAACTTATAGTTTATTATTACTGAGCTTAATGAGAAGGTTATTCTTTATTCAGATCAAACTAGATTATAACAAATACTTTTTAATTTAATTTCAAATGCAATTAAATTTACCTTCTCCGGAAAGATATCCCTAACTATTGAAATCATCCAGACATATGAAACTAAATTGATCGAATTTACTGTATAAGACACAGGACTTGGGATACCTGCTTAAATACAAAATTAACTATTCAAGGCTTACTCTACATTTAATTTAGGAAATCATAACCAAAAAGGAGTTGGATTAGGTTTAGTTATATCAAGGAACCTTGTTGGTTTATTAGGTCCAAAACCGCAAATTGAATTATTTTCAAAAGAAAATTAAGGGTCTTCCTTCATTTTTAAAATCTATGCCAATATGTAAGACAAGGAAATTGAACCATAAAATTCCAGTTATGAACAAGAATTTCCAGAGAACGATCCATCCCCAATTAAATAAATGCCTAGCTTTTCAATTTTTTAATAATAGCAAAGGTTAAATCAAAAAGCTAAGACTCTTATAGATTTATCCAAACATCCTAAGAAACTACTAAAAATACTGATTGTGGACGACTAAACATTCAATTTGCAAGCTCTTAAATTAATTCTATAGAAAAGATTAGTAAAGCCATTTATAGATGAAGCATTGAATGGAGAAGAGGCAGTTTAAAAAGCAAAGAAACAATAATATGACTTAATTTTCATGGATATTAATATGCCAATAATGAATGGCATTGAAGCAATTTAGCATATCAGAAAACTTGATGAAAAACAGTCACTTTAGTTAAAAAAACCAATAATATGTATTTTATCAGGTGGAAACGATGATTTTGATCAAAAATTAACAAAAAGAATCGGTGCTGATATGCATTTAGGAAAACCATTATAAATGAATGAGCTAACATTTCTCTTAGAGAAATATTAATTATTATGATTAAATTTTAACATTATGTACGCAAGCATATTAAATTCAATACTTTTGCTTTAGTATTCTTATATAATAAATAATCTAAATAATCAAGTGAGTGTATTTATATATCATCTCTTAATTTTCCTAACTTAGAGTAAATTACTCATCCAATCAAATTATTTCTCATCTCTGTCATAAAATCCTTGAAAATATTTAATTTATTCTTTTTAAGAAAATTGTTTTGTTTTAAAAGCAGGAATTGGATAATTAAAACATTGCTTTGGGCATATGTCTAATAAAATTTTAGTTTCTTTCATATGAGATTGAGTTCGTTTTGATCTGCGCTGATTAGGAGTAGCAGTTCTTATTTGACTTCTAATTCGAAATGATGAGTCTAAAGTGGATTTTTATGATTAAACTGGTCTAGGGTAGTTTTTATAAGGCTTCTCTTCTTTTTCATTCCAACCAGCATAAATATCAAAGGTGTTTGATAGGAGGAATTGAGAACTGATTTATTCTAAGCATTATTATGCTCTTCTTTCTTAGCAAAGTCTTTAAGGGGATTCATTAAATTTGCATTCATAATTTTCAGTAGGGTTCTCATTCTCATTATTAATAAGCTTTTGCCTTTGTCTTCTCGACATACAAAGTGACCGTTAAACAAATAATATATAATATTAATAGATTATTATTTAGAATCCACTTATGCTAGTTATTTGTAATGTTATAATCTTGAAATCTCTGAGAACTCAACCAAAATATCAAGCTTTTGATTATCAGTTGATACTTCCTTTATGAATATACAATTTTATTCCTTTTTAAAAATATGTTCTTTATTATGAAAAATAACCGCTGATTCCTTGTTATTATGATATATATGTAGTCAAAAAACTCAGAGTTTGTATTTAAATAAGTAAATGAGATCTATTAACATAAATTAAATAATATATATTTTAAGTGTTTAACAATTTCTCGAGAGGAACAATATGAAAATTATGGGTATTTTTAGATTATATTTATAAATTAAGTTATAAATTAAATCTATTTTGAAAAGTGAGTAAGCATAAATTGTGTTTATTGATTAATATTCAAAGTTGTTAATTAATTTCATCTTTAAATATTGCAAAAGATCCGATTCCTTTACTTATGTAGTATTTAGATATTTTGATTTATCTATGGTTGTGTTGTATTCTTAGAAATCTACATAAATGGATTTTTGAGAAGCGTTGGCATCATTGATTTCTTTCAAACTAATATCTTATGCTTATCATACAAGGCCATGTTATTGAGTTTATAGAAATTTACCTCACTCTCTATCTAATCATCAAAAACAAAAAATTATGTTTTAAAAAACTATTTGTGGAAGATCTAAATTCAGGATTCTTTGAGAGAATCTTTACTAAAAAACCCTTTTCGACATCATTTAATTAATCATCGCTAAATATACTAAGATTAATATCACATTTTCTATTCAATTCAAGTTAGTCTTTTCTATCCTTCTTTTCAAATAGAGGTTTACCTGTCAATCTAAGATGGATATAAAGACTTACAGAACATAGTATATCACTCCAGCACCAAAAATATCACAAAGAACTGAATATTTTGCATAATCAGAATCCTATTGAAAAATTTCTGGAGCAACAAATCCTGGAGTACCACACTTTGGATATGTGTATGGTTTAGAATCTACTGATTATGCCAAACTGAAATCTGCTATGACTAAGGACTCCAAATCTTTATTCATGAACAATATATCCTCTGGTTTAAGATCTCTATGCATGATATTATGACTGTGAATAAACGTTAGGCCTTCAACCAATTATTTCATTATTGTTCTTATATCAGATCTACTGGAAAGTGTCTAACGCTTTTTCATCAAACAAGAGTGATCCTTCTTTGGCCAACTCCATTATCAAATAGTAATTTTGATTCCCTAAATAAAGTTCATGTAATTATAAGATATTTTAATGTTTTATTTCTAAAGAGTATACGCATAGTCTCTATCTCTATCTCTTATAGTAATTGTTTATTTCTATTTTTTTCTCATTGATACGTTATTAATTGAAGCATTTGGCTGCATATTGTTTTTAAGTATATAAATTTAATAATTCCAGAACTGGAGCATATGATTCTTTCCCTAAAATTGAATCAGCTTGATATTCATCTTATGTTTTGACCTAAAATACATAGAAAGGCGCTTTGTTATTTTAGTATAAGTTCTCTAAGTTATTAATTGGTACCAAAATATTCATATTGCTCTCCACCTACTGAAAATATTACTGATCTAATTGGTTTTTCTTGTAAGGCCACTCACTATATTTTCATATCTTAATTTATTTGGAATTATTGTTCAGGAATCCAAATAAAAGGAGGCTTAAAATCCTAAATTACACTTATACCTTTCCTATACAAATTTGATTCTTAAATAGATACACTGTTTATCAACATTTCATTTCAATATAATTTATTTTGATTAATTTCTTATCGAAAATTGTAAATGTACCATGGACCCCTTCCAATAAATTTTTGTCTGATAAATAAACAATTATATATGCTTTTTTTAATCTACCGCTTATAATTTTTTAAATCTCCATCGTGAACAGTTTGAGATTTTTGTCTCGTTTTTAATAATAAATTATGATAATTCTTATCGAAATCAAATCCTACTCTTTATGCTAATCCATAATATTAACCCTACCCTTCATTCATTCAATATTTTCATTTAATACAATCATTTATTTCATTCATTTTAGTTTTTTTCAATATATATTAAAATGAAAAACAAAAATAAATTATCTGAAGAGAGTTCCGTATATAGAAATGTTCCAACTGCTACTCAAGAACAGAATACTAGAAGAAATAGCTATTCTGTTCCCTCTAATAACACTGTAATTCAATAAATCTTCCACTTCTACACTAAATAAACATATGCTATAGGTGTAAATGCAACATTCGATAGACAATCTCAAGAGAGTAATTAATTAAATTTAGCTAAATTCTTTCATTTTTGTAGAGATTTTAACATTAAATTTCTTAATAAGTAAGAACTCCAAGATCTATTTAAGAAATGTGCAACTAATGGATAAAACATCAATTTATAATAGTTCGAATAATTATTTAGTTTGTTAGCATTATATCGAGGAATTGATTTGTGTGAATTCTATTCTGAACTTGGTTTTGATGTTTGGTTAAAAAACTAAAAGAAAATGAAATTGCTTGGTAAACCATTTTATATGAAAGATGATAGATAAAGATTCACAAAAGATGAACTTCATTACGAATTCAAACTATTCCATCCTGATATTAAAGATGAAAATCTCATTAAAGAAATATTAAGATAAAGAAAATTAAAATCAGAAAATAATAAAAATAATGAAAGAGAGAAAAAAACAAAGCAAAAGTTGCAATTCGAACTAAAGTTTACAAGTGGAACTGAATTGATTGAAAAATATCCTGAAAAAATTCAATTAATATAACAGCTTCAAAAGAAAAAGGTAACACAACACATTAGTAACTTTAAACCTCTAACTAAGCTTACTTACAGTCTAAATGCTGCGCCAAAAGAATAAATTTATAAAAAAAAAACTCCGATTGTTACATGGGATGCTCTAAATGCTATTATACCCAATGATGATTTAATATTAAGCTTGATTGGTCCATAATAAGAGGAAGATTCATATTTAAGCAAGCTTGAATCAGGAAATAATTCATCAATCAATCAGCATCAAACTTTCCTATAAAATAATAGTAACCTATCACAGAAAGTAAGATCAATGTCTGATTCTAATCCTAATTATGCTAGAGATAATAATTAAATTATATCAGAGAGATAACATTAACCAAAGCTGAATTATCAGGAGTCACCCAGAATCAAGCCACGTTTACGATACAATATTTTAGAATAATCTCCAATGTAAGTCGATTTATCAAATATATCAAACTAAGTTGACAAATCCCCTTTGAAAACCAAATTAAATATCTCAATACTCAAAAGAGCAAATGAAATTTAACAATTAGAGGGACTGAAATAAAAATATCTCTTAGATTAAATTTTAAACAATTAATTGAAGAAGGAGTAACTCAAAAAATCAAAAGTAATTCATATCTGATATTAAGTTTTATATTATTAAGATTTGAATGCTCAACATTAGAAGTACTAAATAAATTATATTTTTATTTTATAAATCAAATTAATTTAGAAATTAAAGTTTTTAATAATTTAATAAAATTCTAATTTATAATTAGATAGCTTCATAAGCTTATTGCATTGCTTTTTGGAAATTCAATTATGAATATTGAATTAAATTCATTTACCATTTCAAATTTGATTGTAAATCATTGTAATGAAATCCAAACCACTGATTAAAATATTGACTAATTGAAATAAATTAGTTCCTCATAGAAATTTTGTTGATAATCTTCTCAAATATATAAATTAATTAAAATTGGATTAATTGTTCATTTTATATATTAATTATTTATATTAATTCAAAAATATAAAATCTTTTTTATATAGTTAATATATAGTTATTCTTTCGAACCTATAAGAGTATTTATGGTTGTTCTTTTAAGTGGAATTTTCAAGTTATTTATTCATCAGAATTGAATTTATAGAGTAATAGATAAAAAAATGAATAAATTAGATATTGATATACTATAAAATAGATTCATTTTATAGAAATAATCAATTTTTAATTTTTGTATTCATAGTCAGAAAATACTGCTATGATTTTTAAAGTTTCTGAAATATTCATCATAGTTATTTCTAAACTATCAGCAGCTACTATTTTAATTTCTATTATTATAATATATGAATTACCAGTTACTTTTGCAACGAGTCTCATCATCTCTGATATTTCCATAGCTTCAATTACTCCACTAAGAATGATAGTTTTTGATAAAGGAACAATCAGTTTTGGTCCATTAGGATTGTAGTATATCATATATTCATCTGAAATGGTGGTTGGTTGTAACTGTTATAAAGGGTGATAAGAAATTCGCCACTAAGGTTAATATATTTTGATTACTTATTGATCGAAAAATTAAATATTATTTAAATATTCTTTGGCAATTTGAGCAAACTCGATAGTTTGGTATCTGACAAAGACTCTTTGCATTTACTTTTCGTATAGAAGTTCTTCAACATTCCCAAATTTGTTAAAAATATTATATAGCATTTTAGCAGTAACTCGATCATCGATAGATGTCACTTTAATAATTTTGGATGGTTTTTGAGTGATCATATTTTAAACATCTTAAGATATTTGAGGTCCTTGTTATTTCTGCTATTTCCAAATGTCTATATCATCATCTGAATCTGAATTCAATAAGTTGTTAATTTCATCATTTCTGGCAGGAGTGAGATTTCTTTAAGAAGTTTGTGTGAAAGTACGAGTAAATGATTCAATCTATTATCTAAGTACGTTGGGATCATCTGTGTTAGAGTGCTTCATTGTGTCTGAATTTGTGCTGCTTGCTTAAGTGTAATCTGTTCCTCGAGATTTGTCCACAACTTCTAGATCAAGATTTTTAAGGCGAGAGAAATGGATGGTAAGTCTAAACTTATTTAAATATACCTACTTTCCTTCCCCTTCAGCTAAATATTTTCCTAGTTTATCCTTTCTTGCTTCTAAGGCATGTTTCACATCATAATATTCAACAAAAGCTTTGTTGGCCTTGCCTCTTTCGAAAATGAGAATTTTTTTGATATCACCATATTTTGCGAATTGCTCAAAAAGAAGATCGTTACAAAGCGGAAAGGTTGGAGATAGTTATGTTATAACAAGAAGCAAAATTTTGCTGGGTGGATCTCTGGAATAATTATTCATAAAATAAATATTTTATGATCCAAACCTATATATTAAGAACTCAAGACTCAGAATTTAACATTAAAAAACAATAAACCTAATAAATTATTATAATATTTTATAAAATGAAAAATGTTGCAATTGGATATAGTTTTTGATTATTAATAATAAGTTTGTTCAATGTTAAACTGATAATTAAATGACATGTTCTAATTTATTCAATAATAGGAATAAAAGTTATATATCCTATATTAAATTTAATAACAAAATGAGTAATGATTAAATTAAAATAATACTCCTATAATTAATATAAATATATGTAACAATTAATCTATAATTTTCATCAGGACTCTTCTCAATCAAAAACCATGATAAAATTAATTACTGAATTAAGTAATCCTTTAAAATAAGAATGCATTATCTAAATAATTATTGTTTGAAATGAGATAGGGAATTAGTGAAGAAGTAACTTTAAAAAATATATATTGTATGAAACTGAAATCATCAAATTAAGGGATAATTGATTTCTGGTGCTGATTTGAAAGAAAGGATAGGATTAATTAACTTTGAGACCGAATTAGTTGAAAAATATTTAAGAGTTAACTCAACCCATATTTGATAATACAATTTTAAATAATACATTCTGAAGTGCTAAAAAAGGCTGGAGGATTACTTACTGTTGGGTTAAATTTGAAAGCGTAATATATAATATAATTTGAAGGCAACCATTCCCTACTCTTGAAAATTTACAAATGATTTGGGCTTGCGGACAATTGATGATTAAACCGCCAGAATAAAATAACATTTTAAATCTACCAATAATGGTTGTTATATCTTCTCTTGATCAAACAACAGAATTTTTAAGAGTGGGTATTCGATGTGGTGGAAATGGAGAAATAGCTAAAAACTATTTGAAATTAATAATGCTCTTTTTTGGGTGATTACATATTAAATCATATAAAAATATTTATAATTTTCTCCCTTTTTATATTAATAGAATCATCATTCCAAATTTAAGACATGTTTCTTGAAAAATGTGAGTTTGCTATATGTATAAGTAGCTGCATTTGTAACTCCACTAGCTGGGTAACTGGTTTTTGAATATCCTGGATCATTTACATTGAAAGTGTCGCCAGAATATGATGTCATCAAGACATAATGACCACCATTATTAACACATAAAATAACATGTTGACCAGCATCAAATTTATCTTTTTGCTTAATAAACATAGTTACTTTAAGCTTGTGCTGCTGTAAACTTTCCTTAAAATATGAATCCGAGGTTATTTATTGAAGCCCAAACAAATAAATCTCCAGATGCATATCCATTATTTTTTTTTAACCAAGTATTCATTGTTCTTGGGGTTGTTGTTCCATCTGTTGTTACTCCATAAGTGTGAAGCATCATGGCAACTGAAGAAATCAAACATCCAGCAGAACAAATTGTATTTGAACTTGTCCCTAATTGATCTTATCCCCAAGTTGAATCACACTATTTGTATAATGTATATGATCTAGTATTTGCAATGACAACGATCAAAAATAGACTAATCAAAGATTTCATTATTTTTAATTATGTCATATAGTGTGACGTCAAACATAAATAAATTAATATTTTGTTAATTAAAAAAATTTTTTCAACAATTTTATTAAGCAAAATCAAATTTATGCTTAAGATACAATTACATTATCTGAATATTTAATGAATGAATAAATATTCATAATCAAACAAATTTTTTAACCTTTATACCTAATTTAAGATTAATCTGAATTTTTCTAAATAGATTTGATAAAACCCAAACTGATTTTTTTTAAAGTATGATCTGGATTTGAATTAAATACTTTAATTAAAATAATCTCATGTAAAATTAAAAATTGAATTTTTAAATATATCATGAAATTAACTCGGCAAAAAATGAGAAATAGGCTGATACTATGTTATTATGAAAAAAATTTTTAAGGAGGATTTTAATAAGCCAAGAGTTCTAATCGAAATTATAAAATGGTATTTTGAAGGCAATAAAAAGTAATGGTTTGATTTATTGATAAATAGAGAGAAAAGGAATACTATTTAAATATTAAATAAGTATGAAATATATATCCATTCTTTCTTTATTTTCTCAACAAAAGCATACTATTGAAAATCCTAAAATCATAGTTTGAAACTTATTGATTTGATAGAATAAGTTAAAATTCTTCATTTATATTAATTCAATAAATTTGAGCCATTTTAGTTTACCTTTCCAGAATTGTAAAGAATTTTTGACTAACCATATGAAGTTCGATAAAGAGGGAAGTTTGATATCAATTCAAAATAGAAAATAATTTTTTTATCCTATCGTAATTTGCAGATGCATAACTAATATTCTAATATATATTGGTTTTAAAAACTTTATTTTCAGTTTACTCATTTATATTCATTAGACTTAAAAACAAAATTCTTGATTAGAGAAAACATAATTAAATCATATTGTTTAGAAGCCACCTTATGTTTCCCTAATCAAATAGAGGGCTCAATTTGATCTATATACAATGCTTTAGTACTAAGGCTATACTATTTAACAGACCAAAATTCGCCAATAATTATTCCAGTGTAACATTGGATAGATGTTTCAGAATTAAGTTTGAGGAATAAAATTGGGGAAGTTATTGAAAAACTTAAGACAATTGAATTAGATATAGAATGATAAATATGTAGCACCTAATAAAATAAAATTAGGATTTGAAAAAGATAAGTTACCAGATGATACTAAATGAAAATTACCATTGCCTTAAATAAGTTGGAAGTGTAATCGTGTGTTTAGGCTTTCATAGAACGATTTAGAATACTATTACCTTTAATTATTAGATACCTATAAAATAAATACATGATAGGGAAGAAAGAAGGGCTACAAAATTTAAAAGTAACCCTGAATTAAAGAATGCCAAATTCTTCAGAAAAATTAGAAGCAGTAAGAATTGAATCACAAATTAATTAATACTAACTTAAAATGACTGTCACTTTAAATTCAAAGATAAGAATTATTTCAAATTATTTCTAAATTCTTCTATTCTAATGTTAACAGTAACTATTTTAGGGGAATGAAGTTTTGTTAAATTGAATTTAACTAGTTCTATTAAAAGTGTGATAGATGAAAATTAAGCTTGTGAATTTATCTTTTCCCCATAAATGTATATTGAGTAAATATAACTAGATCCAAAAATTCAAAAAATCACATACATACTTAATTATTTAAACCTGTATGAATTAAGTTGATAGTGAAAACATCTCTAATTGAGGAAGCCAATCATTTATTAAGGGAAGTAATTGACCTGAAAATACGAATCTTAAAATAAATTTCTGTTTGAATTTGGAATTACATTTGAGTTTATAAGTCTGTTTATGAATTCTTAGGAAAAAATGAGTAATTAATTATATTTGATTTTCATTAATTCAAATTCAAATATATCGATAAATAGATATACGAAATTTAAGAAGTACTAAGATACTTTCAAAATATTTCCGTAAATCTTTTAAATTTAATTCATGTTAAAGTTTAGGAGATGATCAATTAACAATAATGAATACAAATTTACCATTATCATGTACTTGCTAAAGGTTGGAGAAAAAACTTACTTATTTTATAACCGTTTCAAGATAAAGTAAAATTGGAAGTGATAAACCCCACAATCNTATCGTAATTTGCAGATGCATAACTAATATTCTAATATATATTGGTTTTAAAAACTTTATTTTCAGTTTACTCATTTATATTCATTAGACTTAAAAACAAAATTCTTGATTAGAGAAAACATAATTAAATCATATTGTTTAGAAGCCACCTTATGTTTCCCTAATCAAATAGAGGGCTCAATTTGATCTATATACAATGCTTTAGTACTAAGGCTATACTATTTAACAGACCAAAATTCGCCAATAATTATTCCAGTGTAACATTGGATAGATGTTTCAGAATTAAGTTTGAGGAATAAAATTGGGGAAGTTATTGAAAAACTTAAGACAATTGAATTAGATATAGAATGATAAATATGTAGCACCTAATAAAATAAAATTAGGATTTGAAAAAGATAAGTTACCAGATGATACTAAATGAAAATTACCATTGCCTTAAATAAGTTGGAAGTGTAATCGTGTGTTTAGGCTTTCATAGAACGATTTAGAATACTATTACCTTTAATTATTAGATACCTATAAAATAAATACATGATAGGGAAGAAAGAAGGGCTACAAAATTTAAAAGTAACCCTGAATTAAAGAATGCCAAATTCTTCAGAAAAATTAGAAGCAGTAAGAATTGAATCACAAATTAATTAATACTAACTTAAAATGACTGTCACTTTAAATTCAAAGATAAGAATTATTTCAAATTATTTCTAAATTCTTCTATTCTAATGTTAACAGTAACTATTTTAGGGGAATGAAGTTTTGTTAAATTGAATTTAACTAGTTCTATTAAAAGTGTGATAGATGAAAATTAAGCTTGTGAATTTATCTTTTCCCCATAAATGTATATTGAGTAAATATAACTAGATCCAAAAATTCAAAAAATCACATACATACTTAATTATTTAAACCTGTATGAATTAAGTTGATAGTGAAAACATCTCTAATTGAGGAAGCCAATCATTTATTAAGGGAAGTAATTGACCTGAAAATACGAATCTTAAAATAAATTTCTGTTTGAATTTGGAATTACATTTGAGTTTATAAGTCTGTTTATGAATTCTTAGGAAAAAATGAGTAATTAATTATATTTGATTTTCATTAATTCAAATTCAAATATATCGATAAATAGATATACGAAATTTAAGAAGTACTAAGATACTTTCAAAATATTTCCGTAAATCTTTTAAATTTAATTCATGTTAAAGTTTAGGAGATGATCAATTAACAATAATGAATACAAATTTACCATTATCATGTACTTGCTAAAGGTTGGAGAAAAAACTTACTTATTTTATAACCGTTTCAAGATAAAGTAAAATTGGAAGTGATAAACCCCACAATCATAGAATTAATTAGTTTGATATGAAAATCTGATTTATATAAATTTAAAATAGTTGAAGGTTAAAAGAGTGGATTCAAAAAAGTAAATAAGAGATTAATGGAGAAGAAGTATATTATGTTGTAGGAAGTAAATTCAAGAGAGATTTCTGTAATTTAAAAAAGGATGTAAGAACTAAATATTAGTATCTGATTTGATATAGTTATGAATAAAGGTATGTATTTAATATTATATATAAAATGAATGTTGGTAATCGTCTTAAATTTTAGATATCCTTCAGTGAGGATGAAGTAAAACCAGAGATTATTACACTTAATCAATTCGATGATGCACTTAAATTTGAGGATAGATATGAAGCATTATAGACTTTAGGTATAAACTGATAAAAATTTGGATTAGGTTAGGGTGCTCATGCAGTAGTTAAAGTAGCCAAAAAGAAAGATACAGATGAGATTTTCGCAGTGAAGATAGTGAGATCGGGAGATTAAGAAATATAAAACAATGTTAAGAGAACATTTAACAATACTAGATGTTTGAGACATCCAAATATTGCTTAGGATATTGAATTATTTATTAATGAAAAGATGGAAACTTCATATTTAATTATGGAATATTGTGCATTTGATTCATTGGAGTCTATTATAAAGAAGCGAAAATTGAATGCAACAGAACTAAAAATTGTGATTAAATAATTACTTTTAGCAATTTAGCACGCCCATCAAAAAGGTATATGCCATAGGGATTTGAAACCTGATAATGTTTTAGTGGATTTGAGTGATGATATGGATTCATCAGAAGTAAGAGTGAAGGTGGTAGATTTTGGAGTATCAAGAAGATTTTAATCAAAAGGTCAAGAAATTGAAATGTTAACAAAAACTGGGAATGTCTTTTATTGTGCACCAGAAATTTATCATAAATCCTGTTATTCGAAAGAGGTTGATATTTGGGCTATAGGAGTTATAACATTTTAATGCTTATTTTAAAAACTTCCTTTGCATTCTGATGAATACTAAGATTTTGTTGAATTATTGAGATCTCCAGATAAATGGAGGTTTAAAGAACAATTGAAAGAACTAGAAATTCCTCTTTAGAACTTAATCATAGGAATGATGGAATTTGATAGTTAGAAGAGAGTTTCGATAGAAGATGCTTTAAGAAATTCATTTTTTGAATAACAACAAAGAGAAAGCACTCCTTTGATAATAAGTACGAATTTGGAGAATCTTATTCATAATAGCAATAAACACATGAAATAATTGCAAACAAGTTTAGCCATAAACAACAATTATTTTGGATATCATAATTTAGGCAACATGATCTAAAAGTTGCAAGGAGAGAAAAACCAAGACAGAGTAGATGTAGAAGATTTGACAAAGAACTTTGGAAACATTCATATTGTCTAAAAATAAAATGAAAAAAGAGGGCCAATTTAATTGATGAATTCAATTGGAAGTAGTAATATTTTAATGAGTAGATTTGGAAGTAGGCAAGAGATATCTTATCAAGCACAATCTGATGCATTAAGTATTACAAATATATCTATAAGATTAGGAAAAATATGTGATATAAAAGGATCTGGGGATCCTTTTGGTGATTTTGCTATTTAATAAAGTTAAGAATTGAAAGAACAATAATAATAAGAAGCTAATTTTTAATAAAATAACCAAAAGTTATTTCAATAAATAGGATCTCATATTGAATCTAGTATCAATCTCACTACTGAAGAGCAAACGAAAGTTATCAACCAATTAGATAGTTTGGGAGTTCCGAAAAGAAGCTCTGTACTTACTTAATTCTTAGGTGATTTGGGAATTAAGGAAGTAGATGAAATAACTGAAGACTTTTGAATTATTTGAATATATAATGCATCATTAAGCTTTAAATTCCATTTCTTATTCCTTTGAAAAATACTGTAAGAATTCCAATGCTGGTTTTGGAAACCATGTGCTATCAGCATTCAAACCTTCTAAAAAACCTATGTGCCCTCCACTTTTAGCCAAACAAACAATTGTTTATTTATTTGAAAGTAATTTATTTAAAGACAAAGCTTTTATGTTAACAGCGTAATCATCTTTTGCAGCAATGCATAGCATCGGAATTGTAATTTACTGAAATCTTTCACATGAAGAAAAATGCTTATAATATTCCACTTATGATTTATATCCGTAAATCTGAGATGTATAATACATATCAAATTGATGAACTAACAATGATTTCATAGCTTTAGAAATTTATGGTTTCCATTGCTAAGGATAATTTTTTGGATCATCAAATAAATGTTTATTTATCTTTAATCCTCTTCTTAAAATATATGTCATTGTGAGATCCATTATAGTGGAAATATTTCTCTCGCAATCAGTAATGTTATGTGGTGAACATACAGTTACACCTGCATCAATATACGAATGTTCTTAAAACCTTCCTAAGTAATTTCCTAATTATACGCCACCATAAGAACAACCGATAGCCAATATCTATTTGAATTGATATTTATCTTTTATATATTTTAAGGTGAAGTGTAGATCAGCTGCTAAATCTACCCTTGTAGTTTACCCGGCAACAACATCATCTCTAAAATATTCTTTGTCTGCTCCCTGAAAATCAATTCCATAATCTTAAAACGGAGGCACGAATTGAAAATTAGCTTCCTTTGATAACATCCTATAGGTGTAGATGCAAATATTATTAAAGCCATATTGATGAGCTTATGTGATAAGACTATTCACATATCTAAATAATTAAACATGCAGGCTTACCCATTTTAAACTTTTCCAGTCAAACCTGGAATTATTAATAACAATGGTTGATTAGAATTAATTGATTGTCCCTTATCCACAAAATCCACAGAAATACCTGTGTCTCCTAACTTCTCCAAAAATGAAATGTGTTTCTCTTTAGGTCTTGAGATGGTGGGAATTACTGTATGCAGAAATCCACAGAAGAATGCGGGAGGTCTATAAGATGTAAGGGATGGGCAATTTTGCACAACTTCATTTTGCAATTCGGTATTTAATGAATACAATTCAACTTGATTGCTATTATAGTTATTCCAAACTAAATAACTCAAATATGAACCAATTCCTCCAAAAATTCCCACTTTCATTTTAAGCTATAAATAATCAATGAATTTTTAAAATGAATCTCAGCATATTTTCTGAAGCATTCAAAAAATAGTTTTGGAAAAATAATACGATCTTATACCCTTTATTCATATTCCAAGATTTCTTTTAGAGAACATTTTTTGATTTTAGTCCAGGCTTCACTTAATACATAGAGGGAATCTATAAATGAATTTCTTATTACAATTTAAAGAATTCTATTTATTTAATGACAAATTCAAATTATCTTTCTTATTCACTCATTTACTTTTAAGAAATTGCTATTTTCAAATACAATAGGCTGAATAATTTATTTTAAACAATCCAAATTGTGAAATCTTTCAAAAATTACTTCAAAAGAGCTGCTGCTGCTAATAACATTTAAAAAATGATATCATGCTTTAGTTGAGTACAGATGATTATGGGGATAATATGTAAATAATCAAAAATATAAGAAATATAAGCGAAGTAAGATTTTACATTCACCTCAAGAGCAGGTAAGATAATTAAAATAATGTAGAAATTGAAAAAAAAAAGGAGAAGAAGAAACAAGAAAATGAGGACAATTAAAATAGCATGGAAGAAGAGGATGATGGAATAGATGAAGATGCTGAACCAATATTCTAATAGAAATTACAAAATGAAATATTAATAAAAGCTAAAATTGCTTAGAGTAGTGCTGATTCAATTCTGACCAATCATGATGTACCTTTAATTGTGCCTAGGTAATAATTCATTTAATATATTTATAGAGGTAAATATACAATGGACTTCTTTAAAAAAGATACAGCTTTATTTTAAAAAGTTAAAAAAAAAATGTATAGATTTCTATAAATATTTGTTAGAAGATCAATTCAGATGATGACGATGATGATTTTCATGCTGGAGAAGAAGATGAAAATGATAGTGAAAGCGAAGATAGTGATGAACCAGAGAGCGTTTCTAAAATTAAAAGTGATAATCCATTCATCGGATCATATTCTTTATATTCAAATACATATTCAAGTTTACTAAAAAATAATCCATAATTTTATATTTTATTATTCTTTTTTCTATTCAGAAAGTCATTTTGTCTATTGTTTGATGGACGATAAGTACTGCCATTTTCTTCTTCAAATAAATTCTGATTCGTTTATAAATCTTCTTTCCCATCATCCTGAAAATATTATATTAGAGATTTCTGAATAAATTCGAAAATCATCTATGTCTTATAAATTGAAAGGCTGACGCTATTTTAAAAATGTAGTCTAAATCATCGTTGATATGGTTATTTCGAAAATTTGTAATACTTGCACACTATTTTTTCTTATCCATTCCATCAGTTTATTGATAGAATGCAAAAGAGGATTTATGCAAAATATCATATTGGCCTTTAAAATATGCCTATCATTTAATGTAACCAGCTGTTAAATAGAAATTGGAAAATGAAGTTGTTGTTTTCTAGAATTACTAATATGAACCGACAGGATTTATTCTATATATTCATATCGGCACTGTTTCAAAATAGTATCGCATCCTTGAGTCATCTTATTCCTTAATATTTAGGTCATTAATATTCAAGTGTTATATTAAGCGAAACGATTAGATAAAATAATGTAATTCTCTTGATATCAATCTTGAGCGTCTTAAGCAGGTCCTCTTTTGGTCTTTTTGAGGAAAAAGAGAAAATTTAGGCCTACCTTTAAAACTTCCATAATATTTTTTTATTCTCAGAATCAAATTTAGTCATTGTAGTTCAATTATTTTTCTCCAAATTTTTTTTACCTGTATTCCTTCCTTATTTAATCATCAATTTGCTACAGTTAATTTTAACCTAAAATGGCTTGTTGTTTTTAAATAAGACAACTTAATGACTTGAATGTTATTTCGTATTAGATCCAAAAGTAGGTTTCTATACCTACTCTTCCAAAGCATTGTCATTTCAAAAACTCTACTTATTAATTTTTCTCAGTATATTGTAACAGAATGATTTGGTATTTTTATTATATATTTACAAAGAGATGAAATGAATGTCATATCGTTAAAATATCAATGCTAAAATGCCCCAGGACTTTAGTTCTTTCCCTGTTGATATAAAAATAGAGCCCTTCTTTAAATTCAAAAATTAACAGGTCCAACCTAGGTAGTTGAAAATTTTGAGATTGGCTAGCCTTCATAAAAAATTTAAAATAATTTAGTTTTTAATTAAGTTGAATACAAAGGATTATTATTAAAATAAATGATTAGAATAAAATAAATGGATTAACAAATTAATCAACAATCTTTCTCACATTTGATTAACTTGTTAACTTCTTCAATCCAAACTTAAGCAATTTTTTCAGGTTACATAGAAGCTCTTAATTTTGCAGACCCAAAGTGTTATTAAAAAAAATCTACAACCTTGAGTAATGTGCTAGGAGATGACTCTTCAGAACAAGCAATTAACTCTATTTTTTATCGTTTATCAATTGGAAGTTAACTAAATTTGCCCATCGCTTAATTAGGATAATGAGCACCTCCATCAGTGTAAAAAAATATTGAATGGCTAACATAAATTAATAAATTTACGATTCGAAATTATGAAAATCTGTTCTTAGAGAAATTTTCTCATAAGCAAGCAAAAACGCTTAATCAAAGTCTGTCCCTCCACCTTAAAATATTATTAAAGATTGTAAAGTTTAGGGTTTAGGCGCTTAGTAATCAACTATACATCTAGCCGATTTATTGAAAATAATAATAGTAACTCTTGAATTAGGATTCTTTTAAATCTCATAAAGAAATGACACCAAGCCTTATTTCGCAGATTCAAAAGGTCTTCCTTCCATAGAAGAAGAGTCATCCAACATTAGTATGAAATGACTTGTCTTTTGAATTCCTGAATTTGCTCCTAACTCAACTTCTTACTTTGGTATATAAAATATATCTTTGTTTAATTCTTCTGTTAATCTTTTACAAATCATTTGTCCAATATTTTGATTCCAAATCTTCATAAACTTCTCTTTCAATTACTTTAACTCATCCTTAGTCAGACAAGAAAATAACCAAGTATTATAAATCTATTTAATTTCTTTCCATAACTTTATGTTCTATGTCTCCAATTCTTTAATTTAAAAATCATCTTGTATTTCCTCACAAGTATATAGCGAAGGATGACAACCAATTACAACTCCACTCATACCTATGGTATTAATAATTTATAAATACCTCTTAAATAATGACCATTTTTACATTAATGCTTATGATTGCTATCATCAATTTCTTCATCACATTTCCTTTTACAAATAGGACAGAATTCTAAACATCCTATTTATTTAAGTTATAATCCATCTAAATCAGCTTAAACCTTTAGCTTTTCAAATTCAATCTGTAACGTGTCTATACTTTAAATTCCAACTTTAATTCTTTTTTCAAAAGCTAATAAAAAATCTTTTAGTATTTATATTTCCTAATCTGATTTTTAAATTGCCACACATAATGGATAATCGAAGATATGAAAATCTTAAGTTTAGAATGCATCTCTTTTATCTTCTTTGATAGATTCTAGTAAGTTCTATTAAACCTATCCTTAAAGGCAGCTTAAAACAATTTTATATAATAATTCTGGTGCTTCATTAGGATTGGCCAATGTTTTAAAATAGTCTTAAGCCTTTGAATCATCGAAAACAAAATTAAGTAAATTTTTTGTATTAGCATTCACTTTTTATAGGTGGGCCTTTAAATCCTGTTTTAATCGATCTGTTAACTTAGTTGAGATTTCTATTTTAATGTTAGAAATTTTGTCCTTAACATATTTTTCAATATATTTAGATTGATTTCTGATATATTCAATAATTTAAACATCTGTAATGCTTTTATCTGATCTTTCTAGAATATCTTTGTCAAGTTTTTTCATTAAATCAAAACTTGATTCTTTACTATAATTGGATATCATTTCTGAAGCTTCATCACAGTATTATTTATAAAGCCATTAAATTACTTAATTGATTATTTCTTAAGCTTAGGTTTACCCTCGAATTTTACTTTATTCTTTCTTATTTTATTAAATATCAACCTTAAATTTAATATATTATTCTTCAGTCTAATCTTTTAATTCTTTGATATTACTTTCTGTTGCTTGATATTATCCAAAACATAATATCCTCCAGATTGTGAAAATAGCAAAATAATATAGACACCTCTCTCCTATCTCATTTAAAATAACTCCAAAATCAGAAAATTACAAATTAAATTCTTTAATTTAAGCTTCAATTTTTTACATTATTCTTTTAATTAAACAGTAACTGTATTAATTAACTTTGATGTTCTCATATTTTTAAACATTATTCTTTTTTTCTATAATTTCATCAAGTATCATCTAATGTATCTCTCCATACATTTTATTCCAGCCTTCATTATTTTTTTAATTCATTAACTATTAAACAACTTTTACAACATTATTCTTAAATTGACTTTATTTAAAATTTTACTATTATGGATTTAAAATATACTGAAAAATATCTTTTATGATTTCTTATTTTTAGTAATAACTGCCTTATGTGCTGATTTATGATTTTGTAGAAGTCAATAAATTAGTGGTTTAAAGGGAGCTTACACCAAGATAAGTTGTTGGTATTTATGAGTAGGTTTTTGATGCATTTAATGGGACAGAGTTAAGTTCAATATCAAAATTTTCAACATCTCCCCCTACTATCAGTTATTCTTAAATTTAAACTAAAAAATTATCACCTTGATCTTAAGATTGAATTAAATTTTCTAAATTGTCAGATAAGGAGGTTATCCATTCCTTTTTAGTCAGATGTTTTGCAAATCCTCTACAATTTTTTTTTATGGAAGTAATTGAAATCTAATATTAAGTGTCGTTATAATACTCTCTCTGATGGTGCTTAAAGCATTAAATAAGAGACTTTGATATATCAGACTTAAACCACGAGGTTGAAATTTTATAAATTTCATCGACCTATTCATCATCTATTTCATAACCAAAAATAGTGAATTAAGATAAAAAGTTTTTAATAGCATACTTTTCATCTTTTTTATTATAATGATAATATTATTTAAGATCATCATTCATTTCTGTTTTCATATAATTCTCAAAATCATTCTTTTTTATCCATTATATTTCAATTTTTTAAGAGTAATATTTATTTATTTATAGAATGTATTAAGAATTAACTTTTTAAACTTTATTAGGAACACTCTAAAGAAATTTTTCATAAAATTGATAGTTTTTATTAGATTTTTCAACCACCATAAATTGTTGGGATTGTAATTCTGGATTTAAAATTTGTATTGCTGTTAAAAAGTTTTCAACTAATGGCGGATTTTTTATTAATTGTTTATGATACTCGTCTTTATATTTAGGTTCATTAGTTGTTTTTAATTAATATTTTGAGAATTCTGATTGTATTGTTTGAAAAAGTTAATCACAATAATTTTTAAACATTTATTCTTATTATTGGGTATGGTGATTTAAGATTTAACCCCAGATTTCATTAAACTTATTTTATATTTTATTTTCATCTTTCTTATATTCTTATAATTCTTCTTCCTTTTAGAGTAAACCTTAAATGAAATAATCAATTTAAATAAATCCCTTTAACTTTTATAAATGAGTTTCTTAAGCTTTAATTTCTGAATATATTATCAAACTACACGCTAATATTTCACTATTAATTCTATCTTTGATCATATTAACATATTTGGTAAAAACCCTTTTGGAAATTTTTTTTTCATTTTTGATAGATGTTAATCTTTCAATAACTTCAATCCTTATTTAATCAAATTCTCCTCTCATCCTTGTTATTTATTATCTCTCAATAGTAGTTAATATTTCAAGTGATAATTTTTAATTATTGTCTTAAATACTCTCTTATATTTTTTTGATAAAATCCTTTTGATGAGGAAACCATTATTGACCCATAATGTCAGTAAACTGTTGCCTCATAAATTGATTTTATTAATGTTGTATCAATTCAGAAAATTCTAACAAATCAGGTAAACTGTCTATACTTTTCCAGGTTGTTTCTATCTTTTGGATAAAATATTTTAAATTTTCCATTTCTTTCCCTTTATCATCTCCTTTTCCAAATTTATCAACATATGCTCTTATTTAATTAATTCCATATTCATATGCCTCTTCTGAGAACGTTCCATTAAGAATTAATTATCGCCAATTTGCATAAATTCCATCACTTTCATTCTTTTTCCATAATTTTTCAGTAGATGCAAATCCCAAAATTTTTATATTACCTTAAGTAATACCAAGAATTTCATTATAATCAATAGGTTCTTCTTCATCTTTTTAATTGCCAAATTCCAAATTCAAACTTGTGGCAATAGATTATAATTAGGCTAAAAAGGGCGCGTAATTATTGACATCATTATTTTAATTAAAACACCAAGTAATTTATTTTGAACTTGTAAAGCTTTTCATTCATCCTAAAGTAAATATACACATTTCAACCAATGATCTAAACTCTCTGGTTATATCACCTTTAACATTCACTAGAATAATATCACTTATCGACAAAACAAAAAGTGCTATTTTTTTATCAAATTCTAAATCCTCTTGATTTGGACTCTAAAGTCCTTCAGTATCTAGTATAATAATGTAATCAAATTAATTATTAAACAATGCTTTATTATGTATTTTTAACAATTATAAATATATTCCTTTTGTACATCTTCCAACGCTAGTCCAAAAATGGCATCCAAATATTTTATTTAAAATTGTTGATTTACCAGAACTTTATGGTCCTAAAACACTTATGACTAAAATCTTTTCTTATCCTTATTCTTTAAAATTAGAAATAAGTTTCATTAAAAAGGATTAATCAATTCTTAATTAATCCCCATCTAAAAATTCATATGGTTCTCCTTTTGAAATCATTTCCTTAATAATTTTTGCAGGATCAATATCGATGGATGAATCAGGACATTATTCTAGTTATGCTATGATTTCTCTCCAAAATAATTCAATTCCAATATTTCTCTTAGATATTATTTCAGAATTTTATTTTAATTTAAGAACATTTTCATTAATTTATTTTTATTTTTTTTCTCTTTACTCTATTTATTCAGTTGTCGCTCCTTTTTATTTAAGAGAATCTCTATCCTTTTTTAATTGTTGAATCTCCTCATTTAAATTTTAATTTTTAGCCTATAATTCAAACGTATTTTTTTCATTAAATTTTCTAATTTTATCCACAAAATGAAGATACAATATGTAATAGTTAGGCGATTTTAATAATTTGCAAAATTTGGAGATTATTTTTGTTTGCTATTATAATTTTATCTAAGATTATAATTGATTGATATTTTGACTAATTATTTGTAAATTTTCTTGTCTTTTTGGATCTTCCTTATTCTAATCAATTCTAACATATTCATCTTTTTGCTATTTAATTTACCATTCAATACTTCTTAAAGGAAAAGCGTTTTTATTGTAGAAACCCCATTTATGTGTCATTTAATCTTCTAATTCTGTTTCAAAATCTGAAAACAATTTCTATGCCAACCTCATTTCCTTAGTTTATTCCAGATCTTGTTACTTCATTTAACAAATAAGATTAAAATATTGATCTTAACTTAAAGTGAGGTTTTATCTATTTTGATTAATTATATCATACAAAAACTTAGATACTTACTCAATTTCATCATCTTTCATTTATTTATTTAAATCTTTGTTTGACAAATCTATTATTTACTTAAATTCTATATTTTATGCCTATAATAATTTAATCTAGTTTTCATCCAAACCTTGACATGAATTTCTAATCAAAAAGCAAACTATTTTTTCTTTAATTTAAAAAGATTATAATTTTAATAAATTTTATATGGTCATTTCAATTTCTTTTTCAGTATTTAATTAAATAATCCATAATTTAAACATTGGTAATATATCATCTAAAGTTTCAAAAGGAATAAAATTATGAGCATCAGCTACTGACAAGTTTCTGGACCCACTAAATTCAAAATCATACATAATATCAATTGTTTAATTATTCAATTAATTGCTGTCTTAAATTTCAAATTTATCTTATTAAAAAAATATTTTATTAATTAATTCTGTTTTCCCTATTCTTTATTGTCTTTGATCTAAACTTAAATTGATTATTGGAAAGTTTTCTTAGAAAACATAAAATATGTTTATATTAAATGTCAATTTCTCTAAAACTCCAGTCTCAGCATTATATGGAGTTCTGTATAATAATGGAATTGGATGTTATTTGCTCATAAGTTTTAGAAGCATAACTTTTAATTCATCATTTGCATTAGTATAGAAGATTTAAAACATAGACTTTTAATTAAAATAACTATATTTTTCTTACAGCTCTTTTTTACTTTTTATTTGCTAATTAATAATTGATAAGAATGTTTTAGATGATTCTCCTCTTTTTATAATGTTAAAAAAGAATGGTATTAATTTTTTAAAATTACTAGAATCCTTCACATCATTAATCCAATTCTTTACTAAATCTTATTGTTCTGCTTTACTTAATAGAGTTAAAGAAATATTAAATTCTTCTAATGAAACATTTAGATTTCTTGGATAAATGTCACTTTTTACTAACAACTCTAATTTTTCAGGATTCAACTATTCGTTGTTAAAGTAATTTATTCTTTAGAATACTTGTTTATATTAATTTGCATCTAGCCTATAAAACTTTTCAGCATTCTTTTTCAGTTCTTATAATTCGTGTAATTACCAACAATAAATCAATTTATAAACCTTCTTTATGTATTCCAAACCAACTTTATCTTTTTATAATTCAAAAAACAAATCCAAAGTGTATATTTAATGAAATTCGAATACTTTTTCTAGATTAGACATAAATTATTATTTCTCTTCATCCTTTATTTCGTTGATTACATAAAATAATGTTTCGACAGAATTCATATAATCATCATATAAAATCAAATTAGATCTATTGATACCAATAAATTGATTAATTTGCTTATCTTCTAAACAAGAAAACATCAAAGAAAAAAATTGAGTCAACTCATTCTACTATTGAATTGCTTCATTTTTATCAAGAAGTTTTCTCAAAAATTCAAGGATTTATAATGATAAGTTCTACAAGTGAGATTAGAAATATTGTTTAATTAAAAAATTACAAATGATGTATTAAATTTAATTTTATTTTACTAAATGCCAATGAACATCTGAAAAATCTTTTAGTAATTAAATTTATTTATCCAATTCCATATTTTCATTATACTATGATATTTTTAAATAGTTTTCTATTTCTGATGCTTTAATATTATTCCCCTTTAAAGCTTACTTAAGAATTAAAAATTACGTAAAGTCTTGATTTTTAATTTCTACTACTATTCTGAAAATAAATTCTATTTCTTAATTTGGATATGTTTTACTTTCTGATTACAATTCTAATGTAACATCGATTAAATTTTTATGTTGTACTATCCTTAAAAAATTAGCTACTTTTCGTTTATCCTCTACAGGTATTTCTGTAAGCAAATTGAATATTTTTGCATTTTAATCATTTTATTCTCTCAAATTTATAATATGCTATCTTTTATTAAGATAATGAAAATCATCTTCAATCATTAATGACAACACCTTATCAATTGATTGGCCATCCAATATTTTCAGTTCATTTTTTATTTCCATTTATTAATCCTAATATTATTAAAAACTTTTAATTTGAATTTAATTAAGTTGTTGCAAACTATTTTACTTTTTTTATTAGATATATATATTTAGATCTTTATACCTCTCATCCTTATTTTTGCCAATCATATATTTTTCATAATATTAATTGAAATTTGCCATACAATAAAAGCATATCTGATAAAAAATAACTTAAAGTTCAAAAATGATTGGTAATCTTTATTGAATTAGATTATCAATTATTTCAAACTTAATAATTTAGTCGTTTTTATCTAGTAATCCTTCTAATACTTATTAAATTTACTTTGTTAACATCTAAAAATCATTTTGGAATAATATGTATGGAATTTCTGAAAGGATTTTTAATTTATTTAAGTTCTTTTCATTGAATTATAATTGTTAAATATGATATTCAAATTACATCCAGCATTAGCAGGTGATTTATCCTAATAATTAAAATAATTCATGCTTTTCTCTAGTTGTAATTTATAATTTTTCAGGAGTATAGAAAAAGAAAATTAAATGGCTTAAAATTGTTGAATTTAACTGAAATGAGGAATTTTAACATTATTCTATCAAATCAATAATTTTGAAACTATGATTTCTGAGTTTTAAAAAGATATGTTGCTTTTAATGAAATAAACTAGGAATCTATTAGTATTCTAAAAATTCTTTTTTCTCACATAGCTCCATTAATTTATGAAAATCTTCATCCAATCGAATAATGTTTAATTTCACATTTAATTCGTAGATTTTCTGGTTCTTTTTTAGTCCATAATCATTAAAATAATTAATCTTATTTATTAAACTTTTTGACCCATCTAATTCTTTTTTCATTTGAATAAGAGTTGAGTTTGTGGGAAAGTACTGCATTAAATACTTTATAGCCAATTATTTATCATTATCATTTAATTTATTTAGAAAGCATTTAATTATTGGTTCAAGGATATAGTTGGATGTGATAAAATTATTATTTTCTCTATCTTCAACAATGGCATACATCTCGCATGTCCTAATAAAATCAGACAAAGAGATATCTTGTAACATTATAAAATTATTTTTTTTGAAATATATTATTCGTGTAATAATTTTCTACTAATTCTATTACAAAAAATTAGAAATTCATCTTAAAATATATAAAAAAATTTTTATTATATTAAATAAATTTTAATCATAACAAGATGAAAAAAATTAACATTTTTAAACATGGAAATTTTCATAATTCAATAATTCTTCAAAAATATAATAATAATAATAATGATCTCCAACTCTATTAGTAATGATAATATTATAAGAGTATACTATTATTAAACTATAGTAATACTAATATTCTGATAATATTAACAATGATTTAGTAATTAATGTTTAATTAAAACTTATTTATAAATTAATAAGGAATTGTTAGATTATATAACAATCATTCAAATTCCATATCATCATTTGAACTGAGTTCACTATCTGAGTTTTCTTAATAGACAATTTAATATGGGTTTTAGACTCCAAGATGAACTCTTCTGATGTAGCAATAGAATCTGTTTTTTACCATATTTTCCTAATTGGTTTAAGAATAATAAATATACAGGTCTGCCCTAGAGATGAGATGAAATAAGACTCCATTTACCTCCATAATCCTAATACAATCTGATAATGGTGGCATCTTCAGCTTCAGTCCATGGGCCTGTATTAATATCAGGATCAATTTTATTAATATATCGTTCTCTTATCTATTTGCTCAAAATACCCGGAAAGTCTAGGGCACTATAGTTGAATTAATTTTTACGTAAAGCAATAAGCTTCCAATTCTTGCCATGTTATTAGACTAATTGAAGAATTTTCTCATCTTCATTTTGAGTCCATTGCTTTCTTTTAATCTAGGAAATATATATATATGTTTTATTACAATCTTAACAGGCTATAATCTCCTCCATCTTTAGCAACATTATGAAACATTTCTTCCTGGCATGTGCTTAGCAATTTCATTCCACTTTCCATTATGTTTCTCATATTGAATACGCAATTAAGCATCTTCATTGGCATCCCATAGCTTCAATATTCGTTTCTAGGTGATATATTTAGAAAAATAATACTTTTTTTGTGTGAGTTTGTTCCTTTTTGACATTACTTTCATTTTCCTCTTACATAGGTTGATTACTGATGACTTCATCTTGGAGGATAAAACCAGATGGTAATTGAGTAGAAGGAGGATCACTTGAAGATTAAAAACTTATATTTAACAAATAAGAACATACTCCATCTATTCCATGTAGTAGTCATTATCCAATTGTAAGTATTAATCCGTTTCTATAATGGAGTTCTATTAAGCTTAGTTTGTCATAGTTTCCTAAATTACAGGTTAGATAGACAAAGTTTATGCTGGTTTTTGTATTGGTCTGTTGGCTTTCTCTGGTTTTTCTCTATTAGAGAAGCAGCAGATCGATTAAAAAAAATTGAACATGATAATTAAAATAATTTTCAAATCTCAGCAAATATTATGTTAAATGTCCTTTTATTCCAATTCGGAAACATTCCATCAGCNTATTAGTAATGATAATATTATAAGAGTATACTATTATTAAACTATAGTAATACTAATATTCTGATAATATTAACAATGATTTAGTAATTAATGTTTAATTAAAACTTATTTATAAATTAATAAGGAATTGTTAGATTATATAACAATCATTCAAATTCCATATCATCATTTGAACTGAGTTCACTATCTGAGTTTTCTTAATAGACAATTTAATATGGGTTTTAGACTCCAAGATGAACTCTTCTGATGTAGCAATAGAATCTGTTTTTTACCATATTTTCCTAATTGGTTTAAGAATAATAAATATACAGGTCTGCCCTAGAGATGAGATGAAATAAGACTCCATTTACCTCCATAATCCTAATACAATCTGATAATGGTGGCATCTTCAGCTTCAGTCCATGGGCCTGTATTAATATCAGGATCAATTTTATTAATATATCGTTCTCTTATCTATTTGCTCAAAATACCCGGAAAGTCTAGGGCACTATAGTTGAATTAATTTTTACGTAAAGCAATAAGCTTCCAATTCTTGCCATGTTATTAGACTAATTGAAGAATTTTCTCATCTTCATTTTGAGTCCATTGCTTTCTTTTAATCTAGGAAATATATATATATGTTTTATTACAATCTTAACAGGCTATAATCTCCTCCATCTTTAGCAACATTATGAAACATTTCTTCCTGGCATGTGCTTAGCAATTTCATTCCACTTTCCATTATGTTTCTCATATTGAATACGCAATTAAGCATCTTCATTGGCATCCCATAGCTTCAATATTCGTTTCTAGGTGATATATTTAGAAAAATAATACTTTTTTTGTGTGAGTTTGTTCCTTTTTGACATTACTTTCATTTTCCTCTTACATAGGTTGATTACTGATGACTTCATCTTGGAGGATAAAACCAGATGGTAATTGAGTAGAAGGAGGATCACTTGAAGATTAAAAACTTATATTTAACAAATAAGAACATACTCCATCTATTCCATGTAGTAGTCATTATCCAATTGTAAGTATTAATCCGTTTCTATAATGGAGTTCTATTAAGCTTAGTTTGTCATAGTTTCCTAAATTACAGGTTAGATAGACAAAGTTTATGCTGGTTTTTGTATTGGTCTGTTGGCTTTCTCTGGTTTTTCTCTATTAGAGAAGCAGCAGATCGATTAAAAAAAATTGAACATGATAATTAAAATAATTTTCAAATCTCAGCAAATATTATGTTAAATGTCCTTTTATTCCAATTCGGAAACATTCCATCAGCATAATCCATCGGACCGGGGATAATATTTTTAGGAACGCTTTTTGAAAATCGTTCTTGCTATTTATGTTAATTATATTAATACCTTGCACATAAATGGAGGTGGATCTTTCTTTTTCTTTTTAAATATTCCTAATTAATTTTATGCTGATTTTTCTAAATAAAAAGGCTCATCCTCTTCCTCATCTTCATTAGCTTCTTTTATTTTCCATCTCTCAGCTCCAACTCCAAATGGAGGTTTAACTACTGCCAGCTTAGGATCTTCCTCTTCTGGTTTAATAATTTTATTGGCAATTGTATGTTAATTTAGATTATAGGCACCTGGAGCAGGATTTATGTTTGGAATTGATAGATCCTAACTTTTAGGAGCATGACTCATAAAAGCAAATGTTCCCTTTTGTTCTGGTAATTTCTTATCCTTTTTTTCATCATCTATTTTATTGACTTCATAAGCTCCAGGACCAGGTACTAATAACTTTTATTCTTTAAATCTATTCTCATTAACTCCAAACTATCCCAAGGGGGCCTTCATTAGCTTTTAGATCAATTTTTATTCCATTGTATTACTGGCTTTATATTACCCTGGAGCAGGAGTTTCAGAACTTGATTCCTCAAACCTACTCTTGCTTATCAAAAATGGAGGTTAGGAACCTTTATATCTTTGAGCAGCTATTTCCAATTAGTAACTACCAGGACCAGGAGTATGTTATGACTTTGTTTGGAATCTTTTAGTTCTAGTTTTAATTGATCCTTTAATTTGAGATTAATTTAAAAATTAAGAAATAGTTTATTAAGTAGAAGCATTTTCATAGTAACCAGGACCTGGTGTTGCATCCTAATTCATTTAAATATAGTACTTCGATATAACTATATTCTGAATCAGCATCTGTTTCTCTAGCAGTAGTGGCTGGATTGGTCGATTGATGAAAACTATATTATTTATTATCCAATCCCTTTTTAATATATCCAGTGTTGCTTTTAAGATTTTGAAATCTGAAATCAGAATTTCTACTTTATTTAGAACTAAATGCCGTGGTTGGTTTCATTTGGTACATAGGTTAAGATTGACTGCTGACATCATAATAACCAGGGCCGATAGATGATTTATAGTCTTTTTTCTCTTAGCTTCTTGGTTTATGCCAAGAAACTCCTCTGGGTTTTGTATTGTTGAATGTACTTTTAAAGTCATATGATCCTGGTCCAACATCATTTGATGAGTCAACAGGATTTTATTCCAATTGATTGTCTTTATTTATTATTGAGTAAAACCTTTATTCTCAATATAGCCTTAATGAACATTGGAAGGGATGGATGGTATGCTGATGTATTTGTTGTCCTTTACTAATTACTCTAAAATATTGAGTTTTTTTGAGCGATTCACTTGGCCTGCAGAATGAAATTTCTTCCTTTCTTCTTGAAAGTATTGAGTTGGTCTATAGTTAGATGAGACACTTTTACCCTGGTCCTTCAAATCTATCATCTTTAAATCTCACAGTAGTCGATCTGAAAACTGATATTGGTTTAGGTACTTCCAAAATTTTGATTTCTTGTTCATCAGATTAGAATATCACCTTCTGACACTCGAAGGAGCCAGACAGATTATAAGTTCCAGGGCCAGGAATAGGATGGAGCTAATTAGATTTATGTATTCTATCGACAGTTGAGTTAAATGGATGATGATTAGATCTTGATTCAATTTCAGGAATATGATCATATTGTCCAGGTCCTACTTATTCCGTTTTTGGTATGTAAGTCCCTCTATTTTCACTTCTATATACAAAAGCCATTTGAATATACTATATAGTTAATTAAATAAACTATCAATCCTTTTAAGTAATCCATTCCAATAATGTTCCGTTGTCCCATCTGCCTCTATGTTCTTCTCCTTTTTCATCAACAACAGAACCCAACCCATGTTGTTTGCCATCATGCCATTCTCCTACATACTTGGATCCATCAGCTTTAAGAATATTATGTCTGATTTACGCCAATCAAATGTCCCATAACCCTGTTTCTTATCATTCTAATAAGATCCCTTATATCTTCTTCCATCCGCCCATTTGAACTCTCCCAATCCATGCATTTTATTTTACCTCCATTGTCCAATATATGTTCGTCCATCACCCCAAACATATGTTCCCATTCCGTGTATTGCATTATCTAAGAATTCACCTTCATAATATGATCCATCTGGCCATTTGAAAATGCCATGTCCTTCCTTCTTACTTTAAATGTAAGCTCCTTTATAACTTGTGCCATCAGGCCATATTTCATGTCCCAATCCATCTTATTTATCATCTTTCCAACAACCTTCATAACTTGCCCCATCAGCATGCACATATTTCCCCTATCCATGTGCTATTAATATATTTATTATTCTTTACCTTTGTCATTGTCCCATTCACCTTCATAATAATCTCCATCTGCATGTATTAATCTACCATGACCATGTGCGCAACTATTTTTCCAATATCCTTCATAATAACTGCCTTCCCTCCAAACTTGTCTACCTGACATATTTAAGTAATTCCATACCTCGACCTTGTCTTAATCCATATTTCCATTAACCATCGTAAACCATCCCTTATTCAAATATTTATGGTTCCAAGTGAACTGCCTCTGGATCATCACCTCTTGTATACTAGTATTCTTTTAATTTACTAAGGACCATTTTAACTTTGGGACCAATCAAGTTTTATAATTCGCTTGCTGGTCTACCCCAAGGTTATGCTAATTATGCTATGGGACAATGCACTGAAATTAATTGTTCAGAATTAGTTTTTTATTTTTAACTGTCAACACCATTACCAACCATTGATAGTGAGGCCTCTTTTTAAATATTAATTGATGGTTTTTGACTTGTTCTCAATTAGTGTTAAGAAGTATTCACAATCTCTGCCAATGAGGCTTTCGAAAAAGGCTAAGATCTTCTAACTATTGAATGCAAAGATGTTTGTTTAGCATTTTAATGAGTACCATATTCATTTAAATTTTATGGATCATTCATACATGCCTAGCAATTACCCATTTCTATTTTAAATTATATAAATAATTGATTTAATAATTTTACACATTCAAACTATCTCATTTATCAAAAATATTTATCATAATTATAATTATACTCTAAAAATTTTTAATACTTTAGTAAGTAAGTAATAAGGGATGATATTTAAAAGAAAAAGTCACTAAAATTTAATCATAGAATAATCATGCTGATTGATTAACTATAAATTGAAAATAGTTATCATTGTAATAAATATCGATATTATAATAATTAAGAATCAAGATTAATAATTATAATTTAAATTAATACTCATTTTTTCGAATATCTATTAAATTATTGATTATTTAATATTATTTATGATATCTAATTGCAAAGATGAGTTTATCTATAAATTCTTAAAAATTTGATTCATGGACTTTAGAAAATGATTGATAAGTTCTGAATAAATAGGGAAATAGATTATTGAATTTTCATAGTTTCAGTGTGTTTCTTTGTATGAGAATTAAAAGAGACAATATATTAGTTAATAAATTTTATACATGTGATTTCAATAGTACGTAATATCTTGCTTTAATTTATTCCATTTAAAAATATATCTTTAATTCATTGGGTTCAAAACTAACTCAAATATCCTAAAAATTCATTAATAAAAAATCCAGAAACTCAAAATGACACTCTTTGAATAATTAGGAGGTGAAGCCGCTGTCACAGCTGTCACAGCATAATTCTATGCTAACATCCAAGCCGATGCTACAGTTTCCAATTTCTTCAATGGAATCAACATGGCTGACTAAACAAATAAGACAGCTTCATTTTTGTGCGCTGCTCTTGGAGGACCAAAGGCATGGGGAGGCAGAGTAATAAATTTTATGTTAATATTTATTAGAACTTGAAGGAGGTTCATGCCAACATGGGAGTCACAAATGCCCAATTCACAACAGTAATTGGACACTTGAGAAGTGCATTGACCTCAGCTGGTGTTGCTGCTGATTTGGTCGAATAAACCGTCGCTGTTGCTGAAACAGTTAGAGGAGACGTCGTCACAGCCTGATTTATATAATATATCATGCACATATATCCAATAGCATCTCAAATATCTATTCCTTAATTTTATTTCTAGCCAATTATTATCAAAACAAATCTAGAGAACATTTCTAATTAAAGTTTTTCACAAAATGAATTGATTAAAAAACGACATTCTTCCTCCATTACATCTACTAATATTATTTGGTATAATAATAATTTGTTATTTGATATTCATCAAATGATTGTTATATCTGTTGCAAGAATCAAAACTATAAATATTTATTATAATATGCAGATTTCAATGCATCACATTTCTATTCAAAAAATTTGGTATATTTTTATAAATTATTTGATCTTTTGATATTACATTCAAATTTTGATCTATTCCATATATATATATGGCCTATACATACTTGAAGAGTATTTAGATAATTAGATTTTATTGTAATATAATCCAAACTAATTGTTGTGTTGTAATTATAATAATGTAAATGTAATTTATTAATAATTGCTATTGATATTTTTAAATTTTTGTTAAAGTTTAAGAAATGAATGCCACAGATGATTCTAAGTATAAATAATGGCTACTTTTGTGATCAATTTAGTAAAGTATAGAGAGTCGCATCCTATCTTTTCAGTTGCAAGTTCCAATTTAATATATTTTAAGTTCAGTGAAATATCAGATTAAGACAATTTTGAACTCGGATTTAAACAATCAATAAATAATCAACTTACTAATTGAATATATATCCAAAGTATCTTAATACAGTCAACATCTACATCTATAACATTGCTTACAAATTTATATTAATTAAATAGTCCAACATTTATATTGAGATGATTCAAACTTGATATTTATTAATTTATGTACAATACACCTAATTCTTGTTTGTTAAAAATTGTAAAATGCTTTACACCTTCAACAATTTTCTGGCAAAACATAGCGGTTTAGTTCTGGATTACTTTTGATGTATCTTAGAATTTTCTTCATTTAAAGAAAGAAGAATATTTTCATCATAAAGAATTATAATTAAATTAAATATCATATAAGTAATACATTAAACCTTGGGAATAAAACTGTAATAATTAAAATATTTTAATATTATTTGTAAGGTATGTGGTCACGATAAATAAAATAAGTTTTTAATACAAGTATTGCATTTTCAGAGATAATTATTAAAGTACATATTAGGTAAATGAAAAGTGGCTTTTAATTGTTACTCATAAAATTTTGGGGTAGGTGCTACAATTATTTTTATATTCTAATAATTTAACTAATACATTTTATATTGCCAGTATAAGTTTGATGTTAACATTCAATAGAACAATTAAAATAAGATTTGATGAGGAGGAACTGAAAAATTAAGAAAATCAACAATAAATAATATTCTCATAAAATTACATGTATTTCTAATTTCCTTTTATAATTGATTATATAAATGTCTCTATTTATGAATATTTTAATATTATACTCTCGATTTCTAACTATAATATTATAAAATAAATGGAAATAATCAAAATAGGTTCAATTGTGAGTATTTCTCATTTGTAGGATGATGATGCATTAATAGGTGGAGATGGGTTTATAAAAAAGTATTAAGAAATGAATAATGTAGTGCTGTAATTCTTAAAGGGATGTCACATTAGAATAAATTAGACACTAAGGATTTCAACATAAGCTATTTTAGTCAAATGAAGTAAAAAAGGTTGTTATAATAGCATGCCAAATTGCTTATTTGTAATTTGTCCAAGGACATCAAATGGCAAGAAAGTCGAAGCTGCTAAACTCTTTCCATAAAGAAAAAAGAAACCTTTTGGATCAATTAGCGATGATGTAACTGATTAAAAAAGTGAAGTTACACCTGTGAAGTCCTAAGTATTTAAATGCTATATCTGTTATGTAGATTAAATCAGCCACTCATTCGGTACAACCATTATTGAGTGAAAAGTAGGTGAGAGATAATCAAATGAATTTGTTCAATGAATTTAAATTCAATGTGGATGGTTTTGAGAAAGAGAAAGGCAATTATGTTAAATATGAAGAACCAATATAACTCTTACACTTGGCTTCATCTAAATGGCTTTGTTCTTTATCGGATGAGGCTAAATTTGAAAATTAAAACTTTAAGCTTGCATTAAGTGATTATACAAGTGATGAAACTCTATTCAAAATAGTGGCTACTTATAAATATTAAAAGGAAGGAGATTAAATAGTGTACTCGTAAGAAATTGTCAGAATTATGCGTATGATACCTTTTCTTGGGAAACCGACATTTTTACATTGTTCAGGTGAGATTCCATAGAAGGCAATCAAAGAATATAAGGATAGTAGCGAAGTGAAGATCTAAAAGAGAGAAATTAATGCATCACTAGAAGAATCAACATCTTGGAAAATTAATCTATTTGCTGAAGAATTACCAATAGATGGTGATTTGGTATGGATTCATCATTCAGAAACATGTTCATAATTGGCTGTTGATTATGAAAGAGATCTCAACAAAGCTAAAATATCTGTGTTTTAAACTGATTTAAGTGAGTTATCATTTGACAACTATAGTGGTAATGCATATTCATTGTGGATAATTGAAGATGAAGATTATAAAAGAGGAGGCCCCTACTTATATTCTAATAATTATAGATTAAAGCATTTCCACACTGGATTATATTTAGCATGTGTAAGGGTTGTTCCTAAAGAATAAGAAGATATTAAAATTGATCCGTATGGGAAAAAGAAAGTCATCATACCAATGAGTAAAAAAGTGCCAGCCACGTTTGCCTTATAAGTTCGGCCCAATAATGATGCCTTATTTAAATTTGAACCCTTAAAATCTGTAGAAAAGAATGAGATTTAATCTGATTTTCTTTAAATTAAAAGTGTAACTTAGGGAAAATACCTTGATGTTATAAGTAAATACCATCAGGATGGCAGCACCTTTAAACCAATTATTTTAAATCAAAAAAATGAACATGCTGTTTTTAAATTATTCAGAGCTAATAAACAAGAAACTTAAGAAGTACTATTTTTAGATTCATGTACAAAATAATTAAGAAAGTATCAATTTTACATCAATTTACCCTTTAAGTTCGAATAAAATTAAGTCTTCTAATAATTATCTGATGATGTAGATCTCTTAAAAATTAAGACTAAAAAGTTAGCTACTACTTAAAGGTGCATTCAAAATTTAGATGACTTTCTCAGATAAAAAATATATAACTCTAGTCCATCCCAAAAATATGGGTTTATATCTTCCAAAAGGCAGAAACTCTTAAAGGATTAACATTTCTTTGATGTCTTATTGCAGATTCTGACAGCCACAGTTACAAAACAGGAATTAGAGGCTTGGGCAAACAAGAAAGGAGCTCTCAAGGCAATGGAGTAACCTTCTATGACTGAGAAAAACTAAAGAAAGCAATTGTAAAGCATATCTGAAAAGGAGAAATTAGAACTATCTAATTCAAAGATTGAAGTTTGCAATTAGATATTTATGCTACTCCAAACTAGTGTTATTAATAATACAAGCAATTAACTTTATTTATTTGAACGATTACCCGATTATTAGCATTATTGCAAATATCTTCCATAAACTATCAATTTTTTAATTGAAATGGTTAAAAATAATGAGAAAATCTTAATCAACTTATGCAACAACTTAAAAATTGAATTTGATTACATAAAAAAACAAGAAATTGAAGATGATCTAAAAAATAAAGTAAAGGTCTTAATCAATTTCTATGAAAAAGATGTTGGAATATAACAGGAAGTTTCAATTCCTGTTAAAGTACATGATCGTATTATTACCAGACCTATCAATATTATATAATATTTTTTCAATCTGATTATTGATGATACTGCTAAGAATAATGAACATTATTTGAGATTTCTGAGACACTTATGTAGATATAAGAATAATGCCATTAGTATCAATTAAGAGAATTTGTTCAAATTGTATAAGAAATACAGCAAGCAAACCAAATTGTTGCATATTGAAACTAATAATGGATGTATTATAGACAAAGAGATCTCCTTCTAATATGAATTATTGTAATTCTTTTCGGAGGTTTCTTATGGAAGAAACTATTTATGGTAAGCAGAATTAAGCCCATTGTTTGAAAAGGAGATCTTAATAAATTAAATTTGGAATCCAAATTAGATTGAGGGAAGTCAAATAGATGATAAATTAAGATCATATTGGTGTAGATTAAGTAGAACCCTATATGTTGATTAATAACCTTTTCAATACTTAATCGTTCCTAATTATTGTAGGTTGTATTCCCCTTATTAAGATCAATTAAAAAACAGGAATGATGAGGAAATTGAGAAGCAATTCAAATTGAAAAAGATGTTTAAATACATAAAAACTAAAAGAAGCGAAGTCTATTCGGCAATAGCCAGTCGTGCATCTAGTGATTTATTAAATGATGAGTTAGTCTATAATGCAGCTGATCAAATCTTAACTATGTTATAATTAGACATCATGCCCAGTAAGTATTATAACAAAATCATTAAATATATGTCAGAGATGTTCATTTATGATAGAAAGAATCTTGATTATTTGAATGCAGCAGTCAAAAGCTATTAACAAATTGTTAATGAGAGGAGGAATAAAAAAAGTATAGTAATAAATTAATTTGGAAATGTATTTAGTGGAGTGAAGGATCTCATTTAACTTAATCAAGAAGATAAGGAAGAAGTTGGAGAGGAGGAGGAAGAGGAGGAAATCAATTTATATGATTAACCTAAATTGTTTTTGAATCCAATAATGAAAGGGTTCATGTCAATGAGCAATCAATTAGAAGGGATGATTACTTTACCTAAATCATAGTAAGAAATTGAATTTAAATTGAAAGTGTGTTCAATTCTTGATCATTTCTTAGATCGAAGACAGAACTTCCTTATTTCTAACATTCTACTGTTCTTCTTAAAATATTAATATACAAATGACGATTTGTCAGATGAAGATGATGATTAAACTATTAAGGCTGCGCCTAAGATATTTAATAATAACTATAAAACATTGATTCCGACTATTGCTAGAACTGGAATCGATGAGATTGATGAGCCAGAAGATACAACTTAGGATTTCCTATAGATGGCAGTGAAGAAGCCACCTACATTTACAAATTACTTTTAATAATATAGTATCAAATCCGAAGAGGAATTCTAAGAATTAGATTATTATTTAAGTTAAGCATAGAAGTTTGATAATAATTAGAGATTGAGTGAAGATCAATTAAAGGAGAAACAAGTGGCAAGTTTATTACCGTATTTGATGTCTACTTACTTTTTGGTTAAAGATTAGGTCTTGGAGGAAAGGTGTCTAAACGTAATTATGAGAGTTTTCAATTAAAGAGAAGAATTACGAGAAAATATGAAAAAACTATAAATCTTATTTGATGATGATAATATTAAGATTTATGAGTTTGTTGAACATCATTAAAGGGATTTAAGAGTAATGGTGGAAAAGACAGAAATATGGTTAACTTAATTTAAGGCAGGATATGATGTTGAAGAACTAGATAAATGCACTCAAAATATCAGACAATTAACCTTATGTATGAGATAAGGAGTTTAAATCAATGACTAAGAGCTAGTCGTAGAAGTAGTCAATAAAGAGATTTATGAATCGGAAAAGTAATCAGTTATGACCTATTTAAATATTCATGAAATAATTGTAAATCTAATTTAAAATGGTATGGCTCATTTCATTTAAGTGTTGAATGATGAATTCATTAATATATAAAGAAAAGAACAGTTATTACAACTATTTTCAATTGCATTTAAATTCCTCATTTGCTATTGTACAAACAACAAGGGAAATTAGTTAATCCTCTATCAATATTTAGAAATATATTTATAGTATATATAGTATGATATAGGATAATGCAAACTTTTAATTGAAATTTTCAAAGACAATCCAAGACTTTTAAATACTGGAGTTAAATCACTGGTTTCACGTTTGACTGAAATAATAGAAAGAGAAGGCAGACAGGTTAAATTCATCGAAATGTAAGTAATATGATATTAATTTTAGATTTATAAATTTAATTAGTATTGGAGGATAATATTTACTAGAAAATCAAATTTTAATATTAAATACATTCTTGCCAATGAGAGAATTGAAAGAAACTGAATAAAGATTATTGTATGCAGAGGGTAGTTAGCAAAAGGATCTTCGATTTTATTTTGAGGATCAATTTTTAGATTCTGAAGAGAACTTACTACACTAATTGGAAGCAATCGATTGGAAAGATTGTTATAGAGATGAACCATTTTTATATCATTCCAAAATTCTAGACTTGCTATTGTAAACTTCTTTGATTGATAATACTGTAAGAGAATATAATCCTTCGCTCATGCCTACAGATTATTTTAATATTAGTGTTTTTAAATTAAAAAAACTGATCAAACCAAATTATCTCTTAGAAATTTTAAGATTGGACGATGATATGGTATCAATTAAACAAAGATTAACAAGAATGCCAACTCAATTTATTAAGGCTTAAGTTAATTAATAGCAAGATGAATTATTTAATAAAAGAAAGGGTTACTCTTCATTAAAACCTATTGTTTGTGAGTTCCTGAGGTTGGTACATATTGTGAGTGAAAAAAATAATGCATAAGAAGGATTACTATCCTAATCAAGTAGACAATTTATACATTTTGTTGAATTTGAAAGTAAAAAATTAGAGGTTGTTGCTGCTGGAACAGATTATTAAAATTGCTATATAGATTATATTATTGGATAAGTTATTCCACTAATTTTATGTTATCACCAGAGAGTACTGAGTGTTTAATAAGAAGATGTAAAAACTGCATTAATTGAATTTTCTAGTCAGTTTGCATAAGCTCTTTGCTCAACTTTCTATTCAAAGTTGACAAAGTATGAAGAGCTAGTAATAATTACAAAATTGAGAGAATATTATTAAAATGAGTACTATGAACCTGCCTTTAGATAGGAAGGAGAATAATCAATATTACATTTATACCATGTTTAATTTTAGTTATAAGATGGTGATGATTTATCGAAACCAATTTAAGAATAACTGGTATAATCAATTCCTAAGAAATCTTAGACCAAATCTAAGAATTTATTAAGTCAATTTGCCTCTTTGAATTTGTCTTTGGTGAACAATAAAACAAGTAAGCACAAAAGAGGGGAATTAACTCCAATAAAGTTGTAGGAGTAATGGAAGAAATTTGTCGAGGAGATGTTTAGATCATAGAAGTTAGAAGAAGAAATAGATATTGAAAAGTAAGCATTGGCAGATGCAATCATAGGAATAGAAAAGCTAATTAAGGAACCTTGTGAAATTAAACCATCTTTGGAATCAGTTTTGAAGAAATTTATTACATTTCTGTAGACTGCTGTATTGCAATAGGATAATAAAGGGACGATTGTGATACTCTTAAAGATTATGTCAAAGATCATTGAGAAGCAGGATTCAGATGAAAAGAAAGAATACTATTAGAAATTATTTGATAATTTAGGAGCAACAAGAATGGTACTCAATGTTATCACCGATTATTCAAAATTACTAAGTAATGAAATGCTATTTTATTTGATTTCGTTTATCAATGTACTTCTAAGAAATGGAAATACTTAAGTGCAGAGCACAATTTATACATTTTGTCAGACTCAATAGAAAAGTGAAGTGATGTTCTCAACATTTGCTAAATATCTTGAAATAGCTGCTACTTCTGGAAGAGACATGAATGAAGATTAAGAGGAAGCTGAAATTTAAAAGAAGATAGTAAATTGTATCTTGAAGTTCTTTTAAAATTGTACTGAGGGACATTATTAAAATATGTAGAATTACATAAGATATTAACATAATTCGAGAGCATCTAAGGATCTAATCAATTTGGTGGCAGATTTATTTAAAAATTATGATAGGACTAAATAGAATTTCAGCAATTTAATATGTTGTTTGGATACACTAAATGAATTAGTTTAAGGTCCTTGTTCAGAAAATCAAATAGCAGTGGCAGACTCTAAATTCTTTGATGTTGTTTAAGAAATGTTCCCTTTAAGAAAAAATGCGGCAATTTAATAAAAAGCAATAAAAGTTGCTGCTACGAAAAGGATCAGTGTGTTGCCTTCCTCATCTGCTTCTAATCTACTATCGAGAGGAATGAAAGCATAATTACAAAATAAGATTTTGATATTGGTGCTATCATTGTTGGAGAATAGAGAAATCAGAGGAAAGAATTCTATCATAAAAAGAATTATGAGAGTATTGCCAATGAATGTTTTGGAACGACATTTGAGTAAGATTTATAAGAAATGGTTCAATAAATATACAGGGGATTATAATATGCAGGCATTTGACTTACTGAAGATTGATGCAATGGACTTGGATGAAGAAAGTTAGGAATTCAAGGATTGTGAAATTATCATATAGAATGGTTTCTATATTATGTTTTTGATTTGCTATTATATGGAGAGTGATGAAGAGATCGATTCAGTCTTTATGGGATATAACAAATAATATTTGAAGAGTTAAATTTAATAAAATTCGTTGTTTGATCCCAATTCTACATTGGGTTAGTTGTTTGCTTTGGGCATGGAAGTGTATGAAATGTCCTTGTTGAAAACCCAATAGATGTTTAATGAATTGAACAAGGCTAGAAAGGATGATCCAGAATTCATCTTGGAATAGATGAAGCGTAAATAAGAGGAAAAGAAGAAGAGGTTGAAGAAAGCATTTATGTTCTTTCGAGCTAGAACAGCTCATATAGAAGTAGTTAGAGATGATCAAATAGAATTAGTGTTCTTTCCATTACTACCATTCAGTAAATTGAATAAGGATGAGAAACAGTCTTTTCAATAGACAGTTGATCGTTCTTCTGCTAAATCTAAGGTTCAGGATCTCATGGAAAAGAGTCCTGAATTAATCTAAATCATGAGACATGAGGAAGAAATGAACAGATTCTATAAGCAATATAAGATCATTGGATTCTTTGCCAATTACATCCAATTATGGAAGGACCTAGCTTTCTATTTGACTCTGATAATCAACATTATGATCATAGCTTCCTTTTCTCATCAATCGGACCCAGACAGACCAAAAGAGGATGTAAGTAATGAGGCTTTGAATTAATATGTATTCTTTAGGAAAGATGAATGGACTTAAGAATAAACTAAAGAATTGATTAGTGCATTAGGATATGCTATGATGGTTTGTTCTTTATTTGTAGTGTTGTTTGTCTTAGCCAGAATAGCACCACTTATTATTAAAAAAGCACTTTAAAGAAAACCTTTAATAGAGGGACAAGGCATGATAAAGTTACTAATAAATTGGTTGGCTAAATTCTTTTTTGTGCTCTTTTATTGTTTACAAGATTTCCAATTGGTTTACTATTTAGGATATGGAGCATTATCTGTAATTGGTACTTTAGTTCATCCCTTCTTCTTTTGTTTCCATCTTACAGTCATACTAATAAGATACCCTACTTTAAGTAATGTTGTTAGAGCAGTGACGATGCCTTGGTAACAATTAGTACTTACTCTATTGCTAATCATAATAATTACTTATATTTTTACACTCATTGCTTTTTATGCTTTACAAGATCCCTTTGGATTGGATTGTAAGGAAGTAAGCATCTGCTTCTTATAAATATTTGATAAGAATTTCAAAACCCCTGGAGGTATAGGAGGTGATATAACAAATAATAATCCATCTCCTACTTATGAGATTTTTAGATACATTTATGATCAAGTTAATAATCTGTTATTGGTTATTATTATGGTAAGTATTGCATCAGGTATTATTATTGATACCTTTGGTTAATTAAGAGAGGATGAAAACAAGATGAATAGCGATATAAAAGATAAGTGTTTCATATGTGGTTAAGAAAAGTAATTATTCATTAATATTTAATTTAGTATCATATTTGAAAGAAGTTCTGATGGTTCATCTGGTGGATTTAAGAATCATATAAGACAGAATCATTATATGTGGAATTACTTATATTGTAACATTCTATTTATTACTCTTATTAGATATTGCTTATCTATAATGGAAAGACTCATAAGACTATTCAGGAATAGAATCGTATGTGGATAAAAAAATAAAAGATACAGATTTGAGCTGGATTCCGTTTGGAAGAGCACGAGAATTAGACAAAGGAGAGGATGAACAAGAAAAGTAGATTAAATAGATGGAACAATCCTCTAGCAATATAGCATCTTTGTTGACTCATACAAATGATATAATTTAAGCACTCAAAGAGAAGAAAGAAAAAAGAAAACAACATTTTACTCAGTAAATTCAAACAACACAATAAAAGGAGTAAATTGTATCCCAATCATCAATAGCTTTATTATGAATATCATTTTCTAACTCCATAAACTTATTGTATTGTTAATAAATTAGTTCTTATTTTTGGTTTCTTTCTCTTTAATTACTGATGGATTGTCGGTAATGGCAACTCCTTATTTAATTTGTCAGAATAATAATCACTCAAGGAAATAGATTTGCTCCCCTTATTGGATTAGCATTCATTTTTTGTATTCTCCAAAGTTTTTTATTGTTCTGATTCTGATCGTATATTAGATGGCATTTTTTCAATCTTATTCATCAATCTATCAAACATTGGATATCTTTCAGTTTTGTTGGATCTCCTACTAGACAAATTTTTAGGAGTCATCTAAGGTTGTTATTAAATTTATTAACTATTGATACTAGTAGTGTTATTCATTGTCATAGTGTCTTATTTCTCATCCTCAATTGTCATATTGATTTTAATTTCACTTTTTGCGGTCTAAGAATTCAATTCAATCAGTTATGCCTGAAACTAATCTGATGCAATGTCAGCACATGTTTATCCTCCAGATTGTATTATCTAATCCAAAAATAAGTAATAAGCAGTAGTTGCATCATTATGTTAATTTGAAATTAGACATTGATAAATATACTTTTTTGTATATCCCAGTTATTCTACCTTACTTACAACATTATTGTCTATGGGAATTTTATGTTATCCAATTAAAATTCCTTACTTAATTTAAAAACTAGTCTTATATAAATTAAACCAAGGATGCTTCCTAATTTAATCAATATTTGGTCTATCTTCTGGATCTGGATTCAAAATTAGCTTTAACACGTCTACTGCATCACTGCTTAAGAAATTAGGAACCTTGTAATTGGCTGATAGAATTTTTTTATATAGTTAATTTGTATTTGCATCTTCAAAAGGCAAATAACCACACAACATCACAAATAATACAACTCCACTACTCCAGATATCAGCTTTCAATCCACTATATAATTTTCCTGATATCATTTCAGGTGCTGCATAACAAGGTGATCCACAAGCTGTCTTCAAAAGATCATCATATGTATTCGAGAGACCAAAATCAACAATTTTAATTCGACCTTTAATTAAGAGATTCTCCGGTTTTATGTCTCTATGCACTATTTTTAATTTGTGTATATATTCTATCCCCGATAATAGTTGTTAAAACAAAGCACAAGCATTTACTTCTGGTATTTTCTTATTTTTAACAATGTAACTAAATAGTTCTTTTTGGCAATATTCCATCACAATGAAAATATACTTAGTTGTCTCGAATACTTCATATAACATAATAATATTTGGATGTCTAACAATTTTTAAAATGTGTAATTCGCGTTATACTCTCTCAATATCAACAATATCAACCATTCTCGATTTATTCATAATCTTAATGGCCACAGTTTGTTAAGTAGGGATGTGAACTGCTAATTTCACCTTTCCAAAAGTTCCGGAGCCAATGGTTTTTCCTAATTGATAGTTGCCAATGCATTTCATTATATAATATATAATAATCACATTATAGTATCATAGAATAACTCTGTAAATTCAGTACAACATTCAGGCTAACCAACCCTCAAATAATTATGCTCTTTCTATATTCTGTATATTTAAGAAACTTCAGTTCCGAATTCAAATTTATTCACCTCATTAAATATTATTTCCCTATGTTTTAATTATATTATATTGAGTTCAATTATAGACACTTACAAATCTAAAAAATCAAGTTATAAATACGTTTTAAATGAGAAATTTGAATTTGGTTAAAAATAAAGAGAGACATAGTTTATAGGTTTCAAATTTAATGAAATTAAATTACTACTTCCAAAATGAATTCATCAATTAAATTGGCCCTCTTTTTTCATTTTATTCTTAGACAATATGAATGTTTTCAAAGTTCTTTGTCAAATCTACTACATCTACTCTGTCTTGGTTTTTCTCTCCTTGCAACTTTTAGATCATGTTGCCTAAATATGATATCCAAAATAATTGTTGTTTATGACTAAACTTGTTTGCAATTATTTAATGTCTTTATTGCTATTATGAATAAGATTCTTTAAATTCGTACTTATTATCAAAGGAGTGCTTTCTCTTTGTTATTATTCAAAAACTGAATTCTTAAAGCATCTTCTATCGAAACTCTCTTCTAAGTATCAAATTCCAACATTCCTATGATTAAGTTCTAAAGAGGAATTTCTATTTCTTTCAATTGTTCTTTAAACCTCCATTTATCTGGAGATCTCAATAATTCAACAAAATCTTAGTATTCATCAGAATGCAAAGGAAGTTTTTAAAATAAGCATTAAAATGTTATAACTCCTATAGCCCAAATATCAACCTCTTTCGAAAAACAGGATTTATGATAAATTTCTGGTGCACAATAAAAGACATTCCCAGTTTTAGTTAACATTTCAATTTCTTGACCTTTTGATTAAAATCTTCTTGATACTCCAAAATCTACCACCTTCACTCTTACTTCTGATGAATCCATATCATCACTCAAATCCACTAAAACATTATCAGGTTTCAAATCCCTATGGCATATACCTTTTTGATGGGCGTGCTAAATTGCTAAAAGTAATTATTTAATCACAATTTTTAGTTCTGTTGCATTCAATTTTCGCTTCTTTATAATAGATTCCAATGAATCAAATGCACAATATTCCATAATTATATATGAAGTTTCCATCTTTTCATTAATAAATAATTCAATATCCTAAGCAATATTTGGATGTCTCAAACATCTAGTATTGTTAAATGTTCTCTTAACATTGTTTTATATTTCTTAATCTCCAGATCTCACTATCTTTACTGCGAAAATCTCATCTGTATCTTTCTTTTTGGCTACTTTCACTACTGCATGAGCACCCTAACCTAATCCAAATGTTTATAAGTTTATACCTAAAGTCTATAATGCTTCATATCTATCCTCAAATTTAAGTGCATCATCGAATTGATTAAGTGTAATAATCTCTGGTTTTACTTCATCCTCACTGAATGATATCTAAAATTTAAGAAGATGCCTTTATTCATAACTATATCAAATTAGATACTAATATGTAGTTCCTACATCCTCTTTAAATTACAGAAATCTCTCTCGAACCCTTAATACTGATTGGCTTCGTCAATTAAAGATGTTTTCACAATCAACTTAATTCATATAGGTTATAGGTTTAAATAATTAAGTATGTATGTGATTTTTTGAATTTTGGATCTACTTATCTCACAAATTCAGTTTTAATGAGTCATTGGCACCTTAATGTTGCTCATAGTTTAAATAGAGATTACTATTATGTTTATTTTGTATTTTATTTAATGATTAATCAAGAATTTGTTTTTTTGCTATCCACAGTCTTTCTAATATAATCTACAGTTTGGAAGAAGTGTCTTAAAGAATAATTGTTATATTAAGATACTCCTTCTGTCTTAAAATAAGCTTGACTAGAAAACAATTCTACTAATATATAGCAATATAAGAACTTCTTGTATTAAGAGAACTTGGAATATTGTACAATAGAAAATCGAAAATGAGATTAAATAAACTTAGATGCTAACTTGAATAAGAAATAAAAACTATTAAAATATTAATAATGAAACATTGTCTAATGAGGGAAAAACACCAATGAGAATTTATAGATAATAGAAAAATATCATTAGATAAATGTAATACTATGATAAATTCATTATTATTATTATTAATTTTAAATATCCTATATATTTTTTATTAGTTGATCGTAATATTAGAAAGTTTTTTTTTTTTCCTCTTCAAATTTAATTTTGTGTGTTTTCAATGTATTAGTTAATACTTAGAACTTTTGCTTGTATTGTTAAATAGATGTCTCTAATTAATTCAACTCAGATTGGTAATCACTAATACCACTAATTGCAGAATCTTATTTTTTTTCAAATTTTTCATATTTTTCATATTTTTCTGATTTTTCTGAAAAAAAAGTTGAATTAGCACTTTTTGATTGTGCAAAATTCTACAATTAAGCACTAACTCTTTCCATGCTTTCATTAAGCTAGGGAATATTTTGATCTTGAATTTATTAAAACATATTTTGGGTCTAAGAGAATTAATTGTTAAAGATGTCTGAATGTGCTTTAATTGTATCTTTTAGTTTTTGCTATTGACTTTAATCTAAAGTCTTTGGTGTCGATTAGCTAATTTTATTATCATTTAATCTTAAGATATGGTAACTTAAAATAAGATCTTTGTATTGTTATTTTGAGAGGCTAGTATCTATTTATCAAAATTGAACTTATACTTTCTAAAACGTTAATAGCCTCACTAATTTACATATCATATTTCCAATTGATTGACATTGAATTATTATAATAATATATATTTGATATGAATTATTTTATTAAATGAGAGGATAAGATTTCGATTTAATTTTTTTTCTGGAAACTCTTGATTACTAAATTATTGTTGGAAGGTCAGAAATTTGATTAAATATCAAAAATTTTTCACTATTAAATATTGTATTACCAACGTGAATGAAAATGATTTTTCTCTAAATGATTCGTTAAATTTTTCGTTTAGTTAACTAGAGTGCTGGTAATGTTTTGATATATTTCTCCACTATATACTTATTTCAAGAATCTCTTATTCAAATATGAAGTTTTTAAGAAAATAGTGCAATCAATTAATTTCTCGGCTTCTATATTTTTAGACTTTATTTTTACTTGATTCCAATGTTTTTTTAAGGATTTGGTTTTTAGAGAACATATTGGCAAGAATAGTTGATCAACAGATTCATAAATAATTTTTATTTTTTTATCTTGTGAATACCAGATAGAGTTATCGAGAACAATAAAAAAACTATCATTTTAATGTTATCTTCGCAACTTTACCAATTCAAATAAAAAGTCCTTAAAAATATTTGAGCTTATTGTCCCAATAACTATTTTAAATGCAAATAAATTCCCCAAACCTATTGTCCATGAATTTAAATTTCTTTTTACCTTGGTGTTGATATACACATCTTGGAGTTTTTTTAAGTTACCAGCACTTAAATTTACCATTTTATGTCCTAATCCTGTTTCATCAATGAATACAAAATTGCGTCGCAAATGAAATAATCTTAAGTAATAGATAGAATAATTATATCCTTTTTCAATAGCATTGTTTTTTATATTTATTTACTGGAACACTATAAGTTGCCCCATATAATCCTTTAAAATTAACCCTCAATTTCGATTTTTCTATTGCACCTTTATTAATTTAAAATATATTAAAAATATTTAACATAAGTTTTCAATATTTTGTAGGTCCTCAATTTTTGCTATCATTAACTCCTATTTAATCCACTGAAAGTGATCTCCACATTATAAAATATTATTATTTATCCATCTTCTTGTTTTGAATTTATTTAACATATAAGTATAGAGTCAAACTCAGTATGGCTGCAATAAACCTACCTTTATGTTTTATTGTTTTACTTTTGTTATGTAGCTTCTTAGTTCGCCATATTTATTTATAGATTGATTAAGTAGAGGTAAATCCTTTTTACTTTTTATTTTCGAGGATATAATATAATACTGAAGAGTGAACTCCTTATTCAGGTTAGTTAGCTAAATAAATTTTAAATTAAGGCCAATAATATCAAGCTCATATATGTTTTTATATATATTAAAATATATATATGAATTGTATATATATTTCAGTATTCCTCAATTTTTATAATAAGGAAACTTTTATTAATTATTTGATTTGTCTTTATTATAAAAGTTCCTATTCTATTAATGAGGATTGAACGGGTATTTTCCAGTATTTTCACCTTTATTTTATTGTTTACCAACAAATGAAGTCTGATTTGAGTCTTTATTTTATTTCCAATCAGTTTTTATGATGTATTAACAACCTGGAAATAAACAGAAAAAGGAGGTTTAATGAACTTAGTTATAATTTTCATTAAATTAAAGTGAAAACAAAGGTGATTCACATTTTGTACATTTTTTGTCAATCAATTTAATTGATTTAACAGTATCAGGCAGAAAAATGGCTTAGTTGCATTATGGATAGGAAGAGCATCCCAAAAAATTAGTTTTTTTAATCTTTGAATATCTAATTTTCATGAAATTTTAGCATAAATTACATTAAAAACAGTTATCTTTGTTTTGTGTAGATTGATGATGGCTATTTTAGTTAATATCTTCTTAGATTTGACAGAGCTTGGGACAAATCTAGATTAATTTTCCATTCAATTATTTATTAGTAACACATAAAGAATTACAAAATTAGCAAATTGAAGGAGGTGTTATTGAATTTTTAGGTTATTCATCTGATTTCTTATTTCTTTAATTCTTAGTTTTTTTATTTACTTTTGGTTAATTCTGTGTAGTTTCTTCTGCTTCATCTAATGGTATTCTTGGTTGATTATTATCATCATTATCATTGTCTTCATCATAATTTTTTAGAGCCTCTAAATATGATCCAAATGTCTTTATGATTAAATTTTACTTCTCTTAAAGTTATTTTAAAATAATCGTCATTTCATTTATAGTTGCTTGAACTATCTAGGATTTCTCTTTCTTCCCTAGGGCAACTTCATTCATTCTTTGTTCCATTACGGCCCTTAGAAATGGTTAATGCAAAGTAAAGCCCAAAATTTCATAGGATTCAACAAGAGCAAGTCCAATTTTGGTAGGTTTGATGATTTAACCTCTCTTGGTTGCATACTCTCTATCTTAAATAGTATTGATATGTTCATGAATTGTAGCATCAGTGCCTATACCATTTTTATCCATCAAGCCTATGAGTTCAGCTTCAGTCATAGGTTTAGGAGGAGAGGTTGATCCTTTTTAAAGTGTTAATTTGATTTTGATAGAATCTCCTTATTGATAATTGGGAACCTAAGATTGAGACCATTCATCATAGATATATATTTCTAGATAATTCTTCTCTTTAATAACCAGGCCTGTTTTAGAGAAAGTTTCATCATTGATTTATAAAGTAATAGTAGTTTCAGATCCTTTGGCATTTTTGGAACAACAAGCTAAGAAATGCCTGGCAATAAGTTGATAAACATCCCATTCTTGTCTATTTTGTGCTTCACTTTCAATCATCATTTTCACTGGATGTATTGGAGGATGTGCTTTATCATCTTTATTTCCTGCTTTAGGATATTCAAAAGCAAAGTTGATTAAATTGGTTGCATATTCTCCCCACACTGGATGATTCTATTAATCTCTGATGATAGTTTATAGATTAATAGTAGGTGGAAATTTGTTGGTTTCAGTTCTTGGATAACTGATATATCCTTTATTATATAGCCTTTCTGCTAATTCCATTGCTTTGTGTGCTGAGATCTTTAATTTCTTAGATGCCAACTTTTCGAATTCTATGGTGCACAAGGGGTAGGGCTTCCATTTTTGAACATCCTTTTATTACACATTAATCACTGTGGCACTTTCTTAATAACATCTCTCAAACAACAAGGCAACGATTAATTCATCAAATAAATGTGTGCGATCCCAATTATATATGCATTTCTAATCATCTTCACTTTGGATGAACCAAAACTACTCTTTGACGAATGAGTCGATCTCTTTCTGTCTTTGAACTACAAATCCAAGAGTGGGAATTTGACAAGGACCATAACTTACAATAGATGATAGATTAAATTGTTTTTAGAGTAACAGTGTTTGAAATCTAGTGAAAGATGCACCAATTCTTAGATCTATCTCTTGTCTGGCTATGACTGAATTTGATAAGTTTTCATCTGGATATTTCAATGTATCTAAAGCCTAAAATTATTTTTTAATATTATTAAATTTACTCTTCGAACATCAACATAAGTGACTGCTGAAAAATGAGCTCGATTCACTTGAATATTGGGATTGGCCTCTCGACATACTTCCATCACTTCAAATGCTATATTTTCACCTTCTCTATCGCAATCCAACCAAAGGATTAAGCGATTACAGATCGAGGCAAAGTTTTTGAGATTCAATTCTAAGTTTTCTAATTCCTATGTGATACTTACTTACACTTATCTGTTGATATATTGTTCTCTATTTCAGCTTCCTTTAAAATTATGATTGGATCCCACTTCTCCCAACTCTGGTACTTTTGGGGATACTTCAAACTCTTCAAGTGTCCAGTAACAGAGGTGATCCACATCTCCACTTCCACATCTTTTAATCTATAATCCAACTTGAATAGCTTATTAAATGGGGATTTGGTTTCTTCAATACGATGATCTTTACTAAGCACATTTGCAATGGATCTAGCCACAGATGGTTTCTCTGCTACATTAAGAACCTTAATTTTATCACTCTATATAAAATTAGTTGAACTAAATTACTTTGGTGCTTGTTTTAAAATTATTCATTTATTTAATGATTGACTAAGAGTTTCCACCAACCATAGAGAATGTAGGCAAGAAGAAAACCTTATCTTGGAAGGCATTTAATGATTTTCCACTGTTTGTTGAACAAAGTTCTTAATTTCCAAAACAAGGGAAATTGGGCAATTGTTATTGGATTGCACCATTGGTTGCCGTCTATGCTGCAAAGTACTCTAGACATAATATAATAGGCCATAACAAATTAAATCACTTTTCCAATCACATGATAGCGATTTTACAACCGTAAGATTCTGCATTGATGGAGATTGGCAAGAAATTACAGTTGATCATCATTTTCCATACAATGAAGAGAAACAGAAAGTAGCTTACAGTAAATTGGTTGATGGTGCTCTATGGGCTATGATCTTAGAGAAAGCCTGGGCCAAACTCTATGGGTCTTATTAATAAATATGTGCTGGGTTCAACAGGTATCATTTCTAAAATATCTTAATTTTAGAACTACCTTTAAAGTGTTGACTGGAGCACCAACCAATAAGTTTCGAACCAGGGATCCTAATTTTAAAGAGATTATTTATGAAATTGGAGCATTACATTTTCCAGTTGGTGCAAACAGTAAAAAATAATAGATAGATAATGTTTTCGCAACGAATCATGCTTACTCAATCCTTAAGATTGATGAGGATTAAATCATTGTCAGAAATCCTTGGGGAATAAAGAACAGAGATTAACATACACTGACTTTTGAGGAATTTAAATTAAGATTTGCGAGCATTGAGTGTTGTTATCATTTTGATGGATATCAATATCAAAGTGAGAAAGTTACTTCCGATGTTTTGGAACCTGTTTACTTTGAGATAGAAATTAAAGCACCAGGAAACTATTTTTTTACGGTCAACTAAAAAAATAAACGATGGTTTCGTAATAAACCACATCTAAAATATGTTATATCACCTTGTTAAATTTAAATCATATATGGAGACACTATTCTGAATTAGTAGCAGCATCAATCTAATAAAGAAGTATGGATCAATTGGAATTTTAAAAGGCCATGCAAGATCTACATCATCTGTCAAATTGAATGGCAAAATATAGTTGTCAATGAATTCATCTTCAATACCTATGGTCCAGATTTCAATCAGAAAAGGGTTCAGGAAATCATTAAAAGTAATGAAGATATCAACGACTTGGGATATATACAATTCTTATAGAGAGACTCAGAGAAAGAGTAGGAAGAGGAAGAAAAGTCAAACTAAATTCAACAAGTGGAAATTCAATAACAAGAAAATGAATAAGTAATTTCACCTCCACCCCAATAGAAAGAACGTAAAAGTTGTGGATAATGTACAATTTATTGATAAATATAATTTTATTATTAAAATGTCAGTTATGAGTTAGAATAATGATCCCTCCATGAAATAGAGAGACAATAATCGTCAACAAATCACATCTCTAAGTAAGCAATTGCATTCATACTCTAGATCAATTATCAAATATGTACGGTAAGTCTAAGCCTGGTGAATTGGCACAATCACTTGTTTATGGTGATAAACCCAAAAAGGAAAACAACCGTCCCTCTAAATAAATGTAAACCACTGTTTCTGAAAAACCTAACCAATGGCAAACTAGAACAGTAGCTGTGTCTCCTTCTAAATTCACAGTTCTCGCCCAATAACTTTATAATCACATCCCAGACACATTGGAAGCCCAGAAATCTCAAAGAGCCTTCCATATTAAAGATTAGAAATTGTTATTGTCTCCTGAAAGATTACATTCCCTACCCAATTAAAATGGAGACAAGACTCCTGAAGTCTGCAATAGACTCCTTGAGTATAAAACCTTTGTGAGTGACAAGAAACAAACACTCAAAGACCAATTGGATGCCGAATACTTGAGTCAATGCAGCTTTCAACCATAAATAGATGAGAAAAGTAGAAAAATGGCCATAAAAGCTACAAATCAAGAAGTTCGATCTGCAGATGAATTTCATGAATAATAAATGAGACATCTACAAAAGGTCAATGAAAAGAGAGAAATACTCTAAAAATAATAAGAGGAAGATGAAAAGGCAGAGTTGTCTAGTCCAAAATTAACTGTTAAAACTTAGAAATTAACATTGAAATATTGCGAATAGCCTCTTGTTGAAAGATTACATGAAGTCA